GAGACCGGGGCACCACCTCCCAGGCGAGCTTACTGTACATGAGGTGCCCTGGGTTTTTTCGATGATCCCGCAGCGTCGTTGTCAGAACCATTGTCTTTGTTGAGAAAGCCACGATCTGTTGCAGATAAATCTCACCCTCACTAAGCCCTATCTCTGGATCTTGATAAACGGACATAAAAATTGCCTGCTTTTGGAACACAAAGACGCAATGCCTGTGCTTTGGCTGCCATCCTTCCAGATCGGGGCATTCTGAAGCGCGAATTAGCTGTATAGATGACAAAGCACCCGGCGGACGAGGCCGTCTCGTTGATGATTTGCTTGTTGCTTCAGCAGCGTCGATCAGTCTCGATCCACACACCCTGAGAAAGGCTGATTTGACAGTGTCTCAGCCAGGCTGGCATCCTCGCATCGACGCCCTCGGCGGAATTGCATCATCGAGGGACAGCTGGTAACAGGCGCCATGGCGCAGTCGTAGCACAGTCGTTGACCTGCTACTCGAAATGAGATCGAAATGACCAGGCTCGGGTGTCTAGACTTGGTATTCTCCACACACATGGGACCATGGAAGGGGACCATACATGGTACTCTGGGGACCATACATGCTACTCTGGGGACCATGGCAGGAACCATACATGGTATCCTCGAGACCAAGTATCCAAACACGTCGATTTCCTGCGCTGATTTAATAACTGTCGGTGTAGGAGACAGTGGAATGACCTCAGGATGGCCGGCGTTCTGCAGATCTGTTCTAGTACGCCAGCAGTAGTAGGTGCAGAGATCGCCGCGTTAGCACCATTCTTAGGATGTGGTCACCTGCCATTGCATTGGATTGGTGATCAATTCGCAGAGTCGCAGCAAGATATATGGTAGTTCGTGCTAGGATAAGCATTCTGAGTGGTGAATAGTTCTAGAAGCCTGCCATCCTGGACAACGTTGCGCCATGACTGTGGGCTGGTCCCCCCCCCCCCACCAAAAACTAATGATAATCCATGTCGCTGCCCAGCCAAATAGAAGCTTTAGCATGTCCAAAATGGCTGCGGCCAGCACGATGGGTGATCATTTTATTTGGTATTGAAGTCATGACTGGGGTGGTTGCCGGTCACTCCGAAACGAGAAATCGGCATTGGGCACACTAGGTGCTGCATATCTTTGAATCGCCTACCCATGGATCTCGTATTCCAAGGTAGGAAGGCAAACAAGACCAAGCAGCAGGGGATGGCATCAAGGCTCCAGAGCTGCAGCTTCTCATTTCTTTTCTCTTCTTTTTGCTTTTCTAACCCTGGCTAGTGGTAGGGGCTTGGTCAGGTCTGAGACTAAGACAGTAAGACAAGAAGGAAGTTGGGCTGTGTATGTAAATGTGCCAGAAGCAATCCCTGAGTCCATGGATTCAGAAGGCGCTAAGGCTGGGGTCACGCAGAGGCCCCAAGCTCCACAGCTCGAGGGTATGGCCAGGACAAGTGTGCTCTGAGCCACTAGTCCAGCTCGTGGCTCAAACTCCCTCGAGGTGCTCTCAAGAGCTGACTTGTCGCAGCATCAAGAGCCTGGGCAATCTGAGAAGGAGATCTCACCCTCTCACCCTCATTCTATCTGTTTCTATGCAGTCACATAAAAGTCTTCCAAAACGCAACATATTTGCGGAAGAATAGAGGGGAGACTGAAAGCATACTTCTCTGCTGATCAACTCAGGAGCTGTTGCGCGTCTCTACAGCTACTACATTGCATGTTGTAGAAGATGACAGGTAATTTCGATATGCCAACACAAGCATGCACACAATCTCCAAAATACGCGAGTCAGCCAGCTGAAGGAAGGAAAATCCACGCTGCTCATGTACCATATGTACTATGGGTACGTGTACAGTACTGTGAGTACTATGTACTCTGCCCCCCTGCACGGCATTTGAGGAGCCATCCCACCATGATAGGCCTGTCCACAGGGGGAATCTCTGAGGGGACCTGCGGATGGTATGGGTGGTGACAGGGGGGGGGGGTAGGAAGGAGATGGTCAGTTGGTTTTTCTCAAAAATCAGAACAGGTAATGGTGAAGAGAAACACTACGGGTGACAAGAGCGCTTTTTTCTCTCTTTGTTTTCTTCTCTTCCTTTTTTCCCTTGTCCCTCATGTTTTGCCTTTCTGACATAACCATGATGAGGCGCTCTAGCGTTGATGTGTGTCGTTAGTGTGCTGTTGTGGTTGTCTAGGTAGTGTGATGAATCTTGTGTTATTTAAGTCACTGAACTACGCTACTATTTACTCCTGTAGTAGTGGTAGCTGTGGTGGATGCTGCTGAGCACGGAAAGGGTGGGTACCGTAGTAGAGATGCTACCAAAAAGGCACTACCGCGCATCTAGCTCAGGTACCGTGCTTGTCAAAAGAGAAAGAGGGGCAAGTTACACTCTGCCACTGCATGTATGCACATCATGCTGCGTACTGTGCGTAGTAGTAGCGACTGGCTTGAGGAAGAGGATGATGGCACTCTTTTGCTCCAAAGCCATGCACCAATGTTCTGTGTAGATACTCAAGACCACCTGTGATTTTGTCATCTTTAAAATAGGTACAGACCGAGTGGTGAGAAGATTCATCATAGAGGGAATAGGAGGACTGGACTACAAACAAAGGGAAAGAAAACCGGGGGGGAAGGAAAGAAACAAAGACGGGGTTGGAGAGGGGTCTGAAACTCGATGCAGATCTCAGAAAATCATACATACTATAGTACTGCTGTACTGGTCCATGGTCTCGATGACTCCCACCTTGACAGGGCATGATGAGCTGAGATGACAGGGATGGAGGCAGGAGGGTCCCTTGCTAGATGTTGGCCAGGTTGGTTAGCTATGCGGTGAAGGCTGGATGATAGCTTCGTCGCATAGTGCGGTTGTTTGCTTGAAAGCCTTGTTGAACTCGGGACAGAAATAGCTACTGGGGCAGGGGAAGATGGGAGGGAATACAACGAAGAAAAGAGTGAGAAAAAAAAGAAAGAGGGGGGCTAACAAGACATGGGCCTGTAGATCACGCTAAGTACTGAGCAGGGGTGTGCCTGTTCTCCACCCGGTTAGTACAATCCCAATGTCCTATCTATACCCTGTCAAGCTGTGTGTGTTGATGTTTGGGAAATTAGTGTGTTTGTCCCCACACACCCCCCCCCCCTCACCCAACTTTCCGTTTCTCTGACTTTTTCTCTCTTTCTTTTGTTGTTTTATTTATCGATCGCACCGCTCTCCTACCGCCCGAACTGCCCGTCAGCGTCGGGGGAAACTTTAATCAGTGCCCGACGGCGTACACGGGCCCGTCAGCGTCGGAGGAAACTTTAATCAGTGCCAGACGGCGTACACGGGCCCGGCACGACCTGCCTTTCAAGCATCTTCTCTCTTGCCAGCCTGTTTCACACATCCCCATCATATCCCATCGGCAAAGCTGATGTGAGAACATTGATATCGAGCGCAGGATCGGCCACGTTGCGGATGATGTGAGTCGCTTGCTGGAAACTGGTTGGCCGGTTGAGTACCGGCTGTCAGCCCTGTAGAGATGGGCGAGGAGATCTCTTTGCAGGCTCCTCATGGGCCCTTCCGAGATGACGTTAGGCTATTGCCAAACTTATAGTATTCAGGTGAACAGATCCCATGGAACTCGACCCGAGTCTCGACAAGGTGCCCTGGACTCGCGGCCCAGCCCTGATGGAGGTGATCCGCCTGCAATGGTAACATGAATACGGCAACCCGGAACAATCCATTTCATCAGAGAAGTTGGGGGTTCTGTCGATAGAAAAGACTTTGCCACCTCATACAGCACACCGCAACACGGCGCCCGCGTTGTGCTCTCGAGACACAACTAGTTCAAGTTTCAGGTGCGACAAACTCTCGGGCCACAGCCTGACTGCGCGCCTGAGGGCCCAGTTACATACACCCTGAGCGTTGTGGCTGCCACTGACAGCAGCGACAGATAATCTGTCCAATCCCAAACCAAGGACTCCTCAGCAAGAAATAATTTTCTCGACTGATCCGGGACGAAAGAGTTCGAGAATAGAGTCAGCGCGATTGAAACTCGAAACAAGGCGACCACGAGCAGATGCGGTAAGCGTTGCACTTCTGGTGCGTGTAGTGTCCACGCGCACTTCTCCTTCTTCACCGTATCTTCCAAGGGCCACACGCCAGAATCACAAGCTCAGATAAGCTTGTCTTCAGAAGCGCGCGGAGGTTGTCGGGGGTGTCATAGTACGCAGCGGTACTACATAGTACAGTGCAGGTACTTCGACTGCCGGGCCTCCATACTATGGTGGTACCTACCGCAATCTTGGCCGGCCTGGCTCCACTCCTCTTCTGCTCCTTCTCCCAAAACGGTTCACGGTTCTAAAACGGTTCGCGGTTCTCGACTTTTCCGCCGCCCATCCGTCCATCTCTCGACATAGTGCGCGGCCAGCACAGCGAATCCGACTACCTAGTGCTGGACAGGGACTGGGATTCATGTTCGTTGCCGAGCTAAGGCCTGACCTCCTGCAACTTGCGTGCTTCTGGGGTACATTTCCTTCTTGCCTGCTCCTGGGGCACATTCCCTCCTTGCCTGCTACCCGTCGAAGTGGGCCGAGCCCGGCCGTGCCAGCGTCACACAACTTGACCTTGACACTTTCAACGAAGCCACGACACGTATGTCCAGTCACCCTCAAGGGGTCCCCTGGCAGAATATTTGCCTTGCCGACGATGAACAGAAACGAGGGAGCTAGCCTCATGAAGCAGCATCCACTTTGCCGCAGAAAGAGGGTGTCTCTTGGTACCAGTTACCCGCCCCTTCTCTCAGTCTTGGTGCGGTGTGTCCAAACCTTCCAGACCAAAGGCGTAGGCCAAACGGTAGGTGTGCTCGACCCGCTCGACATTCACCTCGTCCATCAGCTCTTCTTCTGGGGGATCTGGAAAAAATTATAAAAGAGTGATGTCTCTTCCCCCCGGGAACATCGTTTCTTTCCTTTCTTTCCATCTTCTCCTTCATTCCTTTCTTCATCTTCTTCATCTTCACCTCTTTCTATCTTGACTTCTTCCTTTCTTCGTCACCCGTACGTCCAACCCCACAGAGCCACAGCCCAGACCACGGCCCTTCTGTTGGCCCCCGTGCAGCAGTCAACACCATCCGGGCCAAGTGTCTTGATCAACAGAGCCCGCCTATCTCCCCAACCATGTAAGTCTGCAGTCCACTTAAGCTTCTCCTATCCTAGCACCTAGGACTAACGACGACCGTGGGCCCAGTGCAACTCGTCACAACCTTCCTCCTTCGCCAGACACGATGTCCAATCTTTTCCCCTCTCACAACACGCCAGTGGTCCGGTTGCAGACCGAGACCGACCACGAAGGCTACGTGGTGGTCACGAGGGCCCCTGCGCAGGGGACGATGCTCCCATATGCGCACTACAACGGTGCAGCGGGACAAGCGACAAACCACACCGGAGGTGGTGCTACCCTGGCCTTCGAGTATTCGGGGCACTACCCTGCCAACATCGACATCAATCAAGATGCCACTGAAGAGGGAACCGTCGATATGAGCGGCCAGCAGCAGCCCGCCTTTCCTGCGTGGGCCGTCCATGCTATTAACCACTCGATGGGTGGTCTGCAAGACCCTGAGCGCCGCACCGAACAAGAATTGGCATCCCGCCCCCTGACGGCGGCTACCCTTGCCGGAGTCGAGCAGTTCGGCGACATGCGCCGGGGCTGGATGCCTCCCACCCTCACTGGGCATCGCTTCGGTGGTCGTGAGGAGCAGCCGGCGATTGAATTCGTCGAGCATCATGGCGCGTTGACCCATGACAGCCATCGTCGTACCCGGCGCTCGCGGGGCGCTGCCTCGCACGGCAGCTGGGTCCACGTCGACCAGGTGTCGCATCCTTCCCGTGGGAGCCGCTATCGCTCTGCATAGAAGGAGCAAGCAGGACACCATGGCCATTGGCCTGCACTGCTGCACGCAAGCGCTTGTGCGTCCCTGGCATAGCCTCCATCCTGGCGATGTGATGTCCACACTGCGAAGGTGCGGCTGTGTGGCAGACATTTCCTTCTTCACCAGCTGCGAGGTCATGCGTGTGGCGGCTTGGTACCCCCACCCTTTGTTCGAACTGTTGCGTCAAATGTCTTATTTTCCTTCAGCCAAGAGCACGTTCTCTACAGGGAAGCTGGTAATCCTGCATTCTTCCCTACTGGCTTTGCCTCTTTTTGTTCTTTCTTTTTCTTTCTCCTTCCCACCTTTCCTTCATTCTCTGTATTTTACCCCATCTTTGTTTTGATCTTGACGAGGGACAGCATGAGGGCTGTGCCCTCGGCCCCATCATCAACCCCAAACACTTGTTCTCGTTGTTATCCATCATTGTTATTGGCTTCTCCAATCATAGGCGATCATATGATCGCCGACGGAGAGGAGGGATATCATCAAGAATCGTCGGATTCGGACTATTGAAGAAGTCGACACACGACTGCTCCCACATCACTATCCTCATCGTTGTTCTTTATCATCTCCTTCACAATGGATGATAGACTTGGGGCCGGTAGCACAAAATCAAGAAAGACAAAAAGGAGACAAGTGCCAGCGCTTATGTCCAGCATATTCGATGATAATAGGAGAGGGGGATGACAATGTGAAATGACCATGGGGACTTGGATCGGACCCGGCCAGCTTACCATACCTGTACTTACATTAAAACCAAAAACCCCCCAAAAAAATCGATGACACATTTTGCTTTCAACCACCCCACTGCCCAACAGGATTCAGCATCGTCGTCATCGTCTCATGTTGCCGAAGTTGGTGTGTTAAGATGCGACGAAGCGCAATTCGAATGCCCAACCTTGTATGCGTTACCTTTGGTTACTAGTCACGCAAGATTTGGGTGCGCAGACGTCAGGCCGGGAGATGTTTCCAGGTTGTGTTGCGTTGGGGCTGCAGGGAGCGGGAGCACGAGAAAAGCCAAGTTTCTCCATGCAACCCCAGGCCCGCCCCTGGCTCGGATCGCGGTGACAGAGATGGGATCCCCTGCTCGCCCCCATCTCGTCTTCCCCGCAAAGCGGTGTACCACGATATCGTCACTTCGCCCGTTCTTTTTCCCGCCATTCGCATTAGCCTCTTCTTGAACTGCAAATTAGCCTGATATTGCAATCCATGAAAGCGGCTTTTTGGTTTGCTTTTTTCTTCTTTTCCTTTCTCTTTTGGCCTTGTTTTTTTTTTTCCGTCATGCCGAATAAGCCGACCAGCTGACCTTTAATCCAGGAACCTAGGATGAATGGGCCGGCCCGCCATTTGGGTTCCGGCGTGCATATAAAATGCATCACTCACCCGGAGGAGTGTGACTCTTGCTAGCCTTGGCTTCCCTCGATAAATTGTGGCACCTGTTGTGAGTTCTTGGCTGTGTTCGAGGTCTGGTGCTGTTGATCGTCAAAGCTCACGATGGTTGGTTCAATCTTCAAGACCGCGCTGGCGACTCTCGTCGCCCTCCAGGCACGGGCTGTAGAGGGCGCGCAACGCAGCTCGAGCCCGAAGAGCCACTGGGTCGACATTTGGGGCTCCATGCCACAGCTGGTCGAGTACACAAACATGCCGCCGCCTCCTTTCGTGAGTTTGGTCGATCCGCCCTGCCTGCCCTGGTCCTGTCCTCAGCTGGCCACAGGGAGCTGACCAGTCCCCCCCAGAACGAATCTGGCATCGTTTTTCAGAATGCCTCGCTGCGGCAGACCATCTTCATCACGCAGTCGGCGCCCACGATCCGTCTGGTCATCTCCAACGCCTTTGGCGGCTCGGACCTGCCCATCTCGTCGGCCACCCTGGCTGTGCCTCTGAACGGCTCGGCAGGGACGTCGGCCATCAAGCCCGAGTCCCTAGCACAGGTGACTTGGTCGGGCGGCCTGACCAACATCACGATCCCGGACGGCGCCCGCGCGATCTCAGACCCCATCCAATACCCGGCCACGGCGCAGGAGATCCTCACGATCAGCATGTACCTCGCGACAGGACAGACCACCAATCTCATCACAGGCCACCCGGGGTCTCGGACCAACTCGTACTATTCCCCTGGCAACGTGACCGCCCTGGCTGATGTGGCGACCCTCAACGCGACCCAGACGAGCCAGCACTGGTACTTTATCTCAGCGGTCGAGGGCTATCTGCCCACGTCACTCGGGACACGTGCCATCTCCATCATCGGTGACTCCATCACGGACGGGCGCGAGAGCGACAACAACGAAAACGACCGGTGGCCAGATAATGTCCTGCGCAGGCTCCAGGCGCCCAACGCCACGGCTGTGCAGAAGAACATCGCGGTGATCAACCAGGCGGCCGGCGGGAACCGCGTGCTCTACGACGGCAACGGACCCAACGCCCTGGGGCGGGTGGACAGGGACGTGCTGGCGCAGTCTGGCGTGACGTACGCCATGGTGTTCGAGGGCGTCAACGACATCGGCACGGCGGGGACGGACGCGGCCAGCCAGGCCAATGTGGGCGACAGGCTGATTTCGGCATTTGATCAGATGATCTCCATGGTACACGCCAAGAACATCCCCATGTTCGGAGCAACCATCACGCCGTTCGGGGGCGAGGGACAGGCATACAGCGACCCGAACCGCGAGGCGACAAGGCAGCGGGTGAACAAGTGGATTCGAGAGTCTGGGCGGTACGATGCGGTCGTGGACTTCGACGCGGTGATTCGGGACCCGGCCAACGTCAGTATTATCAACCCAGAATATGATTCGGGTGACCACCTTCATCCAAACGAGCTGGGATACACGCTCATGGCCGAGGCATTTGACCTGAGCCTGTTCGATAAGTACCAAAACGGGGTGGAAGAAAGAATATAGCCGGACAGAGAAGATGAGTCTGGGAGAGAGAGAGACAGAGAAAGCAGACACACACAGGGAGAAGGGGGGGGGGAGGAAGGAGTTTAGAGAGTGAGCAGAGAGAGAGAGAGAGAGTGAGCAAAAGGAGAGGAAGGAGAGGAGGAATAGGAAGAGAGGGAGGGAAAAGGGGGGAGACAGTCGGTGAGCGGCAAGATTTGAGTCACCCCTGTGTGCACAAAAGAAATTTTGCAAACTAAGGCATAAGTATACCATGCGTATCGTAGCACAGCAAGAAAAGCAAGATCGTGTGCACCTGATGACAACGTCGACAAACCACACCTTCTGTCGTGTGGAGCCTCATGCAAAAAGCCTAATGTTTGGAATTAATTGGCCGACATCAACTCAAAAAATCCCAACCAAAAATCACTACAGCCCTACAGGCACAGAACAACAAAACGAGTCACAGCACCCGAGCGTATGAGGCTTCAACATCACAGCAGCCGCCCCCCCCCCCCCTTCGTTTCCTTTTCTCTCCCTCCTTTTGTTGTTCCTTTCAGGGCGCTCGGTGGAGAGTTCGCCTCTCGGGTGGTTTGCTGAAAAATCGATACTCAACCCTTGAATATGATTAGTCAAAGAGAGTAGTGAAGACTGCTGCTGCGCCTCCCAAGATTTCTCGCGGATTAATTATTCCCGGCAACTCCTATACTCGCTATTTATCACCCAAGTAGTTGCCACACACACGCACACACACCAGACTACTCAGCAATATCAGCAAAAAAAAAAAGTTGGCAAAAATTGAACACGACCCATCCAACAGACGTTCCTTTGCCTTGATCTTTAGGGTCGTAGGGAAAAGGAAAAAAGCGGTTGCCTAGACAAGCCCTACCCTACCTGGTAAGTACTTAGGTTTGGACCGCTTTCTTAGCATAATTACCTGCTTTCCCTAGCCAAGCCATGCGCCCGCACACCTTGGGTTGCTCGGACTAATCGGAGTTGGACGGCTGATCCGTAGCGGATGTATGTTGCATGCACTTATACCATGGTGCTATGTTAGGATTGCAACTGCAGACGGGGGAAAGAAGAAGGATAGAAAGAACAAATAAATAAGCTCGGCATGTTCGACTCGCGCAAACCTGTAAGGTGATTTTCTTGACTCGATCAAAAATACTCACTCCCACCCTTTTAACATCGATCAGGGTGGTCGAGGAGGAAGGGGGGGGGGAGGGTGTTTTCGGAGCAAAGAACCTCGGGAGAGATCTCGGGAGAGGGGGGACAATCGAGAAGGAGGAGGGGTGACTGCCATGCCATTTCATGATCCTCAGGTGAGGGACAAGAGAAATCCTTTTCCCCCATCCCCTTGTCCACACAGAGTTGATTGGACGTAGTCTGCATCGAGAAACTTTGACTCATCCATCAGCTCTCATTTGCCGCAAACTATGCCGTTATGACCAACCAGATTGCCCTTCTCTGCTTTGGCTAGTGGCAAGGGTGAGCATCTTCCTTGCGCGCCTTCCTCACCCTCCTCCCCGCCCTTTTCCCCTTCCGTTCTTTCCTTCCTCTCGTGTCGTGTCGTGTCGTGTCTTGTTGAACGATGTTGAATGATGATGCACGGACACGACCCATCTGAGCTGAGCGAGTGTGAATCAAACCTGAAGCCGGCTTTGCCGTCGTCGTCGAAGAGGAAAAGGACACGTCTCAAGAAGGAGGTGGGGGAGGGGAGCTCTGGATTAGTACTCGTGCAGAGAGACAGCTCTTCAATGCTGAAGGATTTATGACCGGCAAAGGCGGATTCTTTTTTTCCCTCTTCCTTTCTCTTCCCCAAGTTCAAAGCACCCTTGGATGAAATGAATGGTATTCAATACTTCTAACCCATTGTGCCTTGGCATCCGTTTATTCCGGAGTTGATATGTTATTTGGCAAACAGTCATCCTATCTTCCCCTGTCGAACTTTGTATGGACGGATGCATGGATGAAAAGACTTTTATATTCCAGTACGTCAGTTGAGGGATCGATAGTGTTATACGAAATGGGTTTTTCCCATGTCCAGACATTCGCTTCATTCATCGATTGAAGGTTGCGTTGGAAGGGCTACCATCTCCATCAGAATAATATATAAACGCACATGTATATACATATAACACTTATTTTTACTACACAGTCACCGTTCACAGGATCTCGCCCGTTCACCACCTTCTCCATTCCAAGTCTATGTTTCAAGAATGTCACATATCAAATTATCATTCTCTTTCCTCTCTGTCCCCCTCTCTCGTGAGAAAGACAAGAAAGAGAAAAAGAAAAAGGCACTTCGCCCTACGTCGTCCCCCTCAGCCCGCTGAACAAATTGATGCCCAACTCAACTGCAGCATTTAATTGGATACCTTACAAAGTAAGGCAACAAGAAATGAGACGCTCTCTGCAGCCTGTGACGTGAAAGTGCTGGAAATGCTGTTTGGGGGCGAAAACCTATTATTTTATTTTTTTTAGGCTACTGCGCCTTCACCCGTCTCCACCTCATACGACGTGTGACCGAAGACGTAGCTGACGACGACGATTGTTAACAACGTACCCCTTGAGAAGTTGCCAAGGACCACGTAGGAAAAGCAACAGCGAAAAATGGGCGGCAAACATTAGACTTTTATCGATTGGTATCTCTCTCACTATTCGCTGCTATTCCTTTTGATACATCTTGGAATAAATGATCTACATCCACAGCCTTGCGGTTCCATCACTTCCGGCCGAGAACAGCCAAGGCTCCCGGGGGTGCCAGTCAACATCCATGACACCGAGCGAGCTGACCACCTTGTGACCACTCAGCGTCTTGAGAGGCACGATCGTCGCGTTCTCCATGAGATCGGTCACCACCTTCCCGTGGAAGATCTGCAGCGAGCCATCGTCCGAGGCGTCTGCAAACAGCGGGAGGTCCTTGTGATACCTGACGGCGCGGATGGCCTTGGCGTGGAACCGCATCGTCTTGTATGGTCGCATCGACAGCTCCATGTCGTGCCAAAGAAGCCTCCTGTCATAACTGCCACAGAGAAGATTGTCTCCGCCGGGGTGGATGTCAAAGGATGAGATCCACCGCGCGCCCGGCTGGAGCACCTTGACCAGCTCGAGCTTCTGCAGGTCGTAGCAGCGGATCATGCGCTGCGTGGCCACAAAGAACAAGGGGCGTGACGGGTGGAAGTGGGCGGCTTGTGCGAGGCCGGCCAGTTTGCGGAAGGGGATCTGGGTGAGGTGTTTCGAGAGTGTGTGGATGGCAACAGAGCTCCGCTGGCCCGTGGGGGAGACGGTACAGAAGTGGTCGCCGCGTCTGTGCCAGCTGATGCCCTTGACCGCGGACCGAACAGTAATCCTGAGCAGGACTCCCTCGTCCTCTAGCTTGGAGCCTGGCCGTGCCCACTTGGCCGCTGGCTCCTTGGTCTTGTCGACGGCAGGGTTGGTAGCCTTGCCGCTAGCAGCATATCCAAACCCTACATCCAAGATCTCCCTGCTTGTCTGCTCCATCTGTGGATCCACCATAGGAGGAACCATCAGGTAGATGTCCTCCTCAGCACCTGCAGCCAGTATGAATGCATCCTTGGCCGGCCGCCACCGGACCACATTCACAGCCTCATCACTGCTGAGCCTCACACTCCAAACCTGTCGCCCTGTCAAGATCTCCCACACACGTGCTGTACCGTCGTCGCCACCAGTCGCCAGCCAGCAACCGCTCGGATCGACCGCAAGACTCCGCACACGACCCTCGTGGCCGCGGAAGATCGTCTGGCACACGGTTGGGAAAGGCTTGAGATCCTCGGGTCTGGGCAGTTTGGGGAGGAGCGAGCTGGGGTCGATGTTGAGCTTGTTTTTCCGCACACGGGGGGCAAGGTACAGGTCCAGGCTGCGCTCGAACCGCTCCTTGACGAACAGGTCGTATCCTGGCACTTTTCGTAACGAGTCGAACTTCTTGGGCAGGTATTCCTTCTCGCGATCCTCTGGGTCCTGCTCTACCCAGGCCTTCCTCTCCTCCTCGGTCGGTAGATACTCTGGCGGCGGGTTGTAGCTGAGGTCGTACCCGGGGGGTGCGAGTTTCGGCGCAGGGATGTGCATGACATGAGGGTCTCTGGGCTGCTCGTCCTTCCACAGATCGTAGTGGACCTCATCCTGCTCGTCCTCTTCCTTCTCACGCTCCTCCGGTTCCTTGTATGGTAATATTCTGCCCTCCCTGATGGCACGGACCAGTTTCATGATGCGTTTCTGTTCGTTCTTGGAGGGGAGGAATCGGCGCTTGGGTTCGGGAGCCGCACTCAGCGGCATGATCTCCTCATGGCTGGTGAACCATTCGACAGTTTCCTGGAGTACATTAGCAATTTTATTGTGCAAACTTCATCTTGACGCCAGGAGAGCACATACGGGATATGGATCGAACCCATCCTGGGGGAGCTCGTTCATCTGGATCTTCTTGATGAGCTCCAGCTCGTCCTGGCTGAGCTTCAGAGGCTTTCCGGTCGTAGGATCCGTAAGGCCAGTCCACCCCTTAGGCACCTCGATACTGTCGAGAAGGGCATCCAGAGCTTCGCCCGCGGCGGGACGCATGATCTTCTTGCCGTTGATGTCGTAGCCGATGTGTGGGAAGGAGTCGTAGAACTTCAAGCTGATGTTCCCAATGGTATTGACGGGCTCATTGGCGTCCGTGTCGTCGGAATCGTACACGGGATCGATCTCGTCATAGACATACTTCTCGTTGCCGAGGGCATCGGTCTCGACCCTATAGTTTCGCAGGTCCTCATCCCCATCGTCCAGGTCATCTGGATCAAGTCCAGGCACCTGACCTGGCTTCAACGATGGGATCTTGCGAGAGGACTCGTCTTCGTCGGACGGCACATGATCGCTGTGTAGAGCATCGTCCTCCTCTGGCTCATCGTCGTCGTCAGATGCGTGGTCATCCCTACCGTCTTCCAGTCCGTCTTCGGAATCGTGCTCTGGCTCGGCGTCTTCAGCTTCTGAATCGTCGTCCTCGCCAGCCGACAGGGCTCCTTCGAGCTCGGCAATCTCGTCGTCGGACCCGATACTGTCACCTTCTGACCCTGACGACTCCTCTCCCTCCTCGACTGCCTGCACAGGCGAAGCTTTGCGTTTCCTAGGTGAAGAACTGCGCTTTGCGGGGTTTGGTTGGCCGCGTCTGCCAGGAGAAGGCTTGGGCCTAAGGTCTAGAGTGCCACCGTTTGTCGAAATGGCGGCAGACTTGTTGGGCTCCTCCGCCGACGGGGTCTTGATTCCAGACCGTAATCTCATCTTTGCAACGTCCAATAGTTTGGGTATCATGGAATTTGCTGGGGGGCCCTCTCCCAAATTGAATATGTCTAAGAAATTTACGAGGTATGCTACAATAACTTTTTTTTTTCTGCCGCTGAATCTCTGACTAACGAAAGGCAGTAAGGCGGTGGTAGCAACGATGGGCTTCAGGTATGTACCCACTATAATCGACAAGTGGAGGGCCGCACCCCACAGAGGAAGGGCCCTAGAGGTACGTATCCCAGCCCGAATTCAACCCTGACATTTTCTCACCCGGAGCACCTTGATGGCTTCTGCCCCCCTCTGCTGCACCTGTCCTGACAGTCCTGTATACTTAATCTCTGCTCAGTGCTTAGGTATGCCGTAGAGGACATCATAAAGTCTTGTCGAGATCCATTATTTCAACACAGGGCCACGAGTTCCTCTGAGCATGATTATCCTCAATATTTTGCTGTCTGTCATAGCTGACTCTGACAGTGCCTAGGAATTCCGGGCTTAGGACAACATCCTGATGCAGTGCTGGTTCATAGATTCCTATTTAAAACCCTTAAGCCCGCAGCGATGAGCTAGCTACTCGTGATACTTTATTATACGAATGCGGCTAGTGTATCTGAATCGGTACCTGGGCCACTGGCCAGGCCGCCTTCTGCCACGAATCCTCCCGGTCTAGTCGCTACCTGTTACTCAGCTCAACAGAAAGGCGTCTCCCAAAACAAAATCGCTTAGTCAAGAACTCAGTTCCTCAAACCACCTTGTCTCTCCTTCTTACCACTAACTCCAAGATCTATGTCTCACACATGACAAGTCCTCACACGTCTGCTCAGTCTAGGCGACGCATCAGCAGCACGACTACTCGGCCCATCTTTTTTATATTTCCTTCTGGATAGCAATGGCTCCATCAGCTAAGCCAGTCTGGAAGGACACTGAGCCTGGATTCGGATCCGGGTCTGCTCCAGCCAAGCACCGCGCATGTGATGAGTGCAGTACGTGTGGACTATTCTCCGTCAGACCTCGAGAAGAAGAGAGGGATATACCTGTCTAACCAAACAAAAGGGGCCAGAAAGCTTGCCTGTACCAAAGAGGCAGATGGATGTGCTAGGTGTAAGAGGGAGGGCATCATCTGCCACTACTCAGCACAGAAACCAATGGGTAGACCGAGAAAACGGCCCACCATCCAGAGTGTCAATGAGCCACCTGCTATCCCCGTCACCACACAAGGCGACGATGTTATGATACCGAGTTGCACCGCCCAAAGTGGCCCCATGGAGGACGCTGGCCCAATCATTATCGACCAGAATCCGATGATAGACCCGCTCCTCGACACCGACGTGACAGATTTGAGTCTTCTGGATCTGTTAGGCCCTCATTTCGTGTCGAATGAGCCTTTGGAGGAGAGTAGGCCACCACCAGCAGACTTGTCAGCTCAACGAGCCATGTGGGATTTCGATATCAGCTTTGACCCTCACTACCCACCACCACCATCAGCAGGAGGGAACAGCACATCCGTCCCATCGTCCATCGACACCCCCAGCCTCTCGTCCCAAGGGGCTACACCGCCCGAGCCCCATCCCATCGACCCCGCGCTCTCATCCACATACGCATCCACAGCCGCGACTCTACCACCCTCCTCAGACCACTCGCTCCAGCCTCCGACCTGTTCGTGCCTCGCCAATCTCTACCTGGCTCTGGATTCCGTCAGCCGCCTCCCGACCGAGATCATGCCCGCGTTGCGTGTGGCCCGCAGTGCCGCTCGCGCCGCCCACGACACTATCCAGTGCCAGGTCTGCTCGCCACCGTTGGAAAAGGCCATGGTCGCCCCGCTCTCCACCTTCCAGAACATGATGATCGTGGGCGCCTTGATCCCTTCCATCGCGGACGCCTACCATCGTATCCTGACCATGGTTGACGCCGAGACCACCCGCGCCATCGCCACGCACACTGATTTACGCTTCTCGCTGGCCGAGCACGGCGGTATGTGGGCCGCCTTTCACGAGACTGGCTGCGCCACCGCCGACTTGTACGAGAACCAGGTCATGAGCCCCGCCACCTGGCGCCTGACCGTGCGCGCCCTTCTCAAGATTGATGTGTACGGCGTCGAATGCAAGAATACGAAACCCGGCGGGTTCGAGTACCGGCAGATGGGGCTCCGTGACCTCGTCTCGCAGATGGACGAGAAGAGCATCCGGAGGCACGCCGACATAGATGCCATGGTTGAAGCCGGTCTCGCCCCGCCGACTGGGCTGTGCGGTCGGCCGGCGCACTACAGCGTCCCGAGGGACGGGGGCGGCCAGGAGCCACAGTGCAGGAAGATTATCGCGATAGCGAGGCACGCGGTCGAGGGGCTGGTGATTCCTTAAACCCCGTAGCTCAGGGGGGTAAACCAGCAATGGGACCACGCACTGCCTCGACGACTACATCAGTACCGAAACGAATTTATTTTGATCATGGCTAATGGAATGGTTCTCTGCCCAGGTGCTTGCTTTCTATATATTGAACAGATTTTGTGGAGAAGAAACAAAATAAAAACAAAACAAAAAAGAGGCTGACGCAGATACGTTCGAACCGAGACAATGGCAAGGGAAGGAGAGGACTGTTCCCCGGTAGACTGCATTTTACTGTCCTCCTCAACGAGAGATGTCGTAACGATCATATACAACAAATGCGCGATTCGGGGCCACGTCACCGCCTGGTGTGAGGCCTCAAGCTTCTTGAGATGTTTCTGAGCAATGTATAAAACTTTGTATTCGCCCCACTTGACCGTGAACGCCCTTTTGAAATGATATCCACTGCTTAATCCTGCCAGCCTAAGACCCGTTTTTGGTGGGAATTTTTCTTCTTTTTGTTTTCACTACCTCATACATACGGGAGGACTTCGACAATCCTGCCCTCTTGAGCCAACCTTCAGCACCCGTCACCATAATTGCCGCGAAGTGCCTTGTCGCGGCTGACATCCCCCGCACAGTCTTAGTAGACCTTCTTCTTCTCGTCATAGCTGAGCTGGCCGGGGCCGCTGTTGACAAGGAGCAGGAGACCGCCGACAATGGACAGGATCTGGAAGAAGTCGTACTTGGCAAAGTCCTTGTGAGGGTGGTGTTCGTGAAGCTGGAAAAGTGACTATTGTTAGCAATGTGTCCTCTTCATCGTTCACAGATGACGCCTCGGGATTTCCACAGAAACTTACAGTCCAGAAGTTGTTCACCAGGATGTTGAAGATGCTGAGGATGACCACCAGCAGCGTAGCGCTCCACTTGGCCTTGAAGCCAACCACAACCATGACGCAAGCCACGAGGCCGACGATCGAGACCAAAACCCTGCCGATGGACCACGATCCACTGAACACGAAGCCGACGAAGAGGAAGATGAGCAGGACGCGGCCCGCGAACTGGAAGTACATCTTGCGGTCCTTCTCCTCGAGCTGGGGAAGGCCGGCAAAGACCTGGGTCTTGCGCACCCACGAGTCGGAGAGAACCATTAGCAGACCACCCATGACGGACAGGTTGCGCAGGAAGAAGTTGAGATCGAAGATGAGGCCATAGCCGAGGGCCTGCGTGATGACGACGGCGATGAGGCCGCCGACAGCATAGTCAGAGTGCTTGCGGGCAATAACCATCGTGGAGCAGGCGGCCATGGCAATGACGTTCGTGATGAGGAAGAGGTGGGTGAGACCGCTGGGGACTGGAGGAGGGTGGCGTTAGCTGGCTGAACTTCCCTAGGGGCGGGGCAGGAGACGGCATCGCGACGCTTTCCCGGGATTGTTCTCGAGACGGGGACTACTCACTGTGACGGTAGTCGTGTAGGTAGAGCAGCTGGTCGCTCCATTGTGTTATTATGCGCAGGGCATCCTCGAGGAAGGTCACGACGATCAGAAACCGGCCAATTGCGGGGAGGTAACTATGACAGCGTCAGCAAAGACATCCCTTCGCCAAGGGAACGCCACAACCCCTTGTCAAACTGCGGGTGTTGGCGGGGAAGAGCCACGTACGGCTTGACCGGCTCGGCGGCACTGTCGAGTAGGTCCTCGATCTTGCTGGTGTGTTGCCTGATGGCATCCAGGGTATTGGTCTCCTGGGAGCTGTCGTTCATGCCACCGCCGTAGCTTGGGGCTCCCATGCCGTAGCCGCCCGCGTTTCCTCGCATTGTCGCCATGTCGAAAGATCAGCAATCTCTAACCTCGGGTTACGAGGTAATGAGGGCAAATTTGTTTTTCGGAGCTCTGCCGGAACGGTGTCTGGCGGCAGGCCTGCTGAAGGAGCGCTTGGAGGAGAGAAAGTGTATCGCAGTGAATCTCGAAGAGGGCAAGCTGGTGACAGATGCCAACACGGCTTTTAGAGATAGAGTAGCCTTTGTTGACTCGGAGAGGCGAGGAGGGGGACGGCGTTTGCGACAGGAACTCGGCAGAGCTGCTTAGAGCAGAGAAGAAAGAAAAAAAAATAGAATAAAAAGAATACCGCGTATCGATGTGAAGAAGTTGTCGGTGAAGAACCAGACGGGACTCCTGGTGGGAAAAGAACGAGAGTATAAAACTCTATCTGGTTGATGTTGGTAGAAGCATCGACTAGGCCGCCTAGCGGTTTGGCGCAGGTGGTTTTACTCTGCCAGGTGTCCTCAAGCTGCTGCCGTTGCTTCGACGAAGCCCTGGCCCGGGGCTAGCTCCCCACGCAGCTGAGCCGGGGCCTCGATAGCGGCAGCTCCCGGAGCTACCTGGTCCCGTGTGCAATACCCCGCAGGACAGGATGTACTGGTGCTAACAGAAAGGGTGGGGCGCCCTTTGCAGACAGTACGCTACCGCCCCCTGGCCTGTTTCGCCTAGGCCTGCTTTCGGCTGACGGTCCGAGCAAGACCCTGAACAAGAGCTCTGTCGAGGGACACGGCTCTCTCCAAATTCACCCATCAGCGCGCTCACGTCATTGTGGTCCATCTCCTGGCGGTGGCATCTATTTTCATTCCACCACGTTTGCATCTCGACCCAAACAATGTCCCACATGCTTACCATATACTGAGGCCCGCTCAGTGAACCTGAGGCACGATCGGGAAGCGGGAAATACTTCATGTCTGTAGGGGGGGGGGGGGGGGGCGAGAGGGTTCCAGTCAGGACCTCAGGCCTCGTTTCATCTCCCCGGGGTTCAATAGTGATTGACACACCTTGTTATGTGGACCTGCTCAGTTAGTCGTGTGCAGAGCACGGCCGTCAGGCCGCTGACTAACTCGTGAGCAAGCCAGTCGGTGGCTGGTCGCCGCTTGACAGCCCGCCATAGTGATCACGTATGGCCGTCATGGCCGTAGTGTTTCCTACTAAAAGGCCTAGCTTGGAGATGTTTCGTTTATCGCCTCAGGCTACCCTCGCGCGGCCGTGATGGATAAGTAAGACAAAGTCCCTGGATTGTAGGCTCAGCACAAGGCGTGAGGCAATGATGGTCACACATCCAGTCCACTGTTGGTCTGTGGCGTTGGGTTCGTCTAGGAGCACGGCTGACTTTCTGCAATCGTCCGAGCCACAATCCGAGCCACAACCCGATGCAGGTCCCCGCGAATCTCTAATAGCCAGAGCCTGTCGCGTGGATTATGAGCAGAAGGAAACATTTTTTCTTCAATAGGCTGTGCTTTCGGTGGCGGAGCTCGTGCAAGATAGCCTACCTTAATTCATATCCATCTTTCTGTAGGTGAAGCCTGACCATGCCACAAACGCTGCAGCCAAACATGAGGATAGGATTAGAGGCACAAGTAAATAAAAAATAACAATAGCAGGAAGTGAATATCAAGATAATGCCTCGTCTAGTACTTAGTAGATTGGCAGAGGTGGCACTTGACGCCAACAGAAAGGAGTTCGGCGCAAGAGCCTACATTAACCTTAGCAGAGCAACTACTTGCAAAGCCTAGTACAAGAGTAGGTACCGCAAAGTCGATGCAACAACTCATTGTCGGTGCAGGGCTGTCTGTCAAGTAGATGCCAAGATTGCCATGGTTAGACCATATGCCTCTGTAGGACAGTGAAAGCGGACACAGCCTGACTTGTGCAAGTCAGTCCGCCAGAAGGCTGTGTACCTCTGCAGACAGAAATTAAATGTCTGTATGCTGTCCTTCATCCGTATATAGATGTAGGTATTTGCCTACAGGTGCAAGCAGCATTACGTAGGTATGCCGTCACCTTTTGCCCGGTCCACTTGGATCGTCGATGTTTGCCCTGTCTTGTGCTTCCGGAAGCGTGCAGTACTGGCAGTCAAATGACACATGCCAGCATGGAAGAGGTCGACTGTACCTCAATCTATACATCCTCATCGACTGTGAGGGCGATGATCTGCCATCCAGCTTCTTACTTCTCAGCATTTTAGCTATCCGCACCAGCTGCAGCACTAAACAGCCACATGGTCGGAACACGTGCAAGGGACAGCTCTAAACAAGAGATGGCGGCCCTCCTGAGCTGCTGCATCGGGTAGTCGTTGCAATAGCACTCCACAACCGTGTCTCGTTATTGTTGAGCGTTGCAATTTCTTCAAGTCTGGTGTTTGGGGACATATGGCCCTCCCGGTCTCAGCAGCCGCGAAAGGAACATAGCTCTCAGGTTTTGAATATTCCTTCCAATAATCCTATTGTTGTTTTTCTTCTTGTAGCTTGAGTTTGCTTAAATTTCTGCTTTAGTAACAACAAAGTACATATCTTCTGGACATTTGGTTTTTGAAAAGAGTTTGTTCGGGTGCTCTATATACTGAAGGCTTATTATAGAGTGTATCGTATGTAACATAGGCCTAATCTTCCCCCCAGCACATTGTAAAGGTTTTAATTTGAGTGACTTGGGAAGGTTTATATCGGACATTGAAGTCTTTTTTTTCTTCTTTTTTTTTCATTCGATCCTTGTTTTAGAGAACTATGCTCTTATAAAATGAACGATATAGAGGTTCCGAGCTCTTTGAAGAGAACCATCGAAAATGAGCCTCAAGGCTTTGTAGGCGAGATGTAATATTTACGCGTGTGGGCAGCAAGAAATACAGGAGCAAGACATAATTTTAGGGGCTGAATTGCAATTCAAATTGATTATAGTCGACTTTTCTTAAGGAGTGTTTTCCAAAATTCCTACAACACAAGAGACTAATATGAAACTACCGTTAAGACGGCCTCCCTAGAATCCTAGCCAAACGTTTTGACTTTTCTCGCCGCTCAAGCTTTGATCTCACATCAAGCTTTAGAAGTCTCAGTGCAGTCCACCATGGACCCAGAACTGATCCGATGCATGCTAATATGCATCCATTCAGTTGTACTCGCAGACAGCGTAAGTCTGGACCTGAGGGGGTCCAATGGGAACATCAGACTCGCTGCCGTACAGAACGGTATCGGAGCCATCGACTCCGTAGGAGTGGCAGACGGTGTTGCCGGGGGACCAAGAGGAGATGTAAGTGAAGCTCAGATCGGAGTCGATCCAAGTCTCAGAGCCGTCGATGGGGACAGAGACGGTGAAGGTGTTGCCTGCGGCTGCCCAGTACTCAAGGGTGACATAGCCAGTGCGCTTGGCAGCAGGAGAGGCGGCGGCGAGGCCGGCGAAGAGAGCGGTGACTGCAACAATGAACTGCATTTTGAAGTTTTGATTTGTGTGTAGAAATTTGTTGCGTAGGTTGAGGAGTGTGTTGGTGTCTTGAGATGCCTGAGAAGATGCTTGTGTGGATGATGAGTCTGTGAATGATCTGTCCCAAGCTGGGAAGGACACTCGACTTTTATAGACGAGGGACAGTCACCATTCTTCACAACAACTTCGGACCAAGGTCTTGACGCCCTTCAGCTTGCTCTGTTGTCGGCCGCCCTTTCCGAGCTCATCGTATCATAAATACTGTAGTGCAACGTTTGATTGGCATGCGGTGGGCAAAGAACTCAGCACCGGTTGGTCAGATGGCTGAGTAGGAGTGCTGTAGTAGGCAAACCACCTGACTTCAGCCTCAGAGTCCATACGAAGATTCTGTTGGTTGAGTGTTGAAGCTGAGAAAGTGTGTGTGTGGCAGAGGCGTTCCTCGTCAATGCTCTAACTGATGACCATTGTGAGGGCTCAGGCAACGAGCCGTTCTTCACATAGCCACTTCAACTTCTTGGACTAGAGTCTCTTGGTCCTCCATAATCATGTCTTTTGATCGGATCAGCACGGGGAGTCGATACGAAGACGAGTGATATCGTACATTGTTTCATGAAGCCTAAAAAAATCACGTCCGTTGCTTTCTAAGTATGTAGAGCTAATTCTGTGTTTATGAATCCCAGAGTCGACTTGAGACTCACAAACATCATGAGAAGCACTGTACGGTATTGTACACAAACGGCGGGACCCGTTCAGACTACCACGCATTCCCACAAAAGAAGACTTGCACATCTCGATGCGGGGATACTCTCGACAACGACTACTCCGACCCGGATCTGCCGGTTGTGTCCGTGACGTATGCCACATATGACCTTTGGACATCCAGTAAGCTTATTTTTGCGTTTGTTGATCCATTCAGCGGGGTCCCCAGGCCGATATGCATTTCTCATTCTTGGAGCCGCCGGAGAAAGCCCGGTAAGTGGGCTGACTCGAGCCACAAAGTCATCATCATCAACCATCATCGACGTCGCTCTGAACGGTTTACAAGCTGGAGAAGGAGAGAAGAGAAGGGAAGAAAATAAGTTCAGCACATGAGAAACTTTAGCACTGCAAAGCAGCAACTGCAATGGGCCACATGAGACCCGCCTTTTCCCTCCGAAACCAGGCGAAAGCGTGTAAGATGATAGGCTGGAGCTGCCAGGGGCTAGACTGAATGGGTAACTGCCGACTGATCAGGACTATCAGGGCTTTTCTTTGCAGCCTAATAGGGCTGAGCTTAAGCTGTCGCCCACTGTAGTACTCAATGAGTGTGTGTACCATTGTTTGGTACATCATACGACATACACTGTATGCATGTTTACTGTGTGCTAGTGCCTTTAGCAGCCTTAGTAAGCCACAGAGCACCGTTAGGCTTTGATTTCTACCAGTTATGAGCCACCATAGCAGCTACGTACTCATCAAGGAAGTCACTAGCCGGCAACGTCAGCTCATTGATGCCTTGTAGGGACTACCTCCTCATCTATCCCACTCCCCTCCCTCCAAACCACCACTCCCGTCTCAACTCAATCAAGCCAAGCAACACAAGATTGACACAGCCCCAGAATTCATCGAATTCCCAAGGCTTTTCAACCACAAATTTCACTGAAACCCATCAAGCTATCAAAACTGTTTGCTTCTCTTTCCAATTTTAGGACATTGACATTGCGTGTTCACTGGTTTGCCAAGCAGCCATTTTTCTCAGCAGCAGAGGCAGCCCGGGAGACGCGCTATATTTCCTTGGCCCATCCATCTTCAGACTTCAGTCGCCCGCGTCCGCCCTAGGTCTGACATCAGAGCTACCAGCCTCGGCTTCTGAAGCCCTAAACAATGAGCACGATGGCGCAGCAGAGCAAGTGCTGGGTAATGCTGGGTGAGCACTTGATCTCTGAGCCATGACACGACAGCAGACGACTCGTCGCTTTCGAACCCCGCCCTTGTTAGGCCCTCCCCGTCCCTCACCCCGCCCCCCCTCTCTGTCTGTCTGTCTGTCTGTCTGTGTGTGTGTGTGTGTGTGTGTGTGTGTGTGTGTGTGTGTGTGTGTTTCCCACTGTATATCTGTTGACATTAAAGGGCTGTGCCTGTGGACAGAGAACAATCCCGAGGTGATGAACGCTCTGGCCAAAAAGCTCGGCTTATCGGATGAGCTGGAGTTCTACGATGTCTATTCCCTCGACGAGCCTGAGCTTCTTGGACTCATTCCGAGGCCAGCTTATGCCCTCCTTGTCATCATTCCGATGAATGAGGCCTGGCTGCGCGAGAGGAGCGCTGAGGACGAGAACAAGCAAGATTACGCGGGCGCCGGGGAAGGGGAGCCCGTCATCTGGTTTAAGCAGACCATCGGCAACGCGTGTGGCTCCATCGGCCTGCTACACTCGGTCATCAACGGCCCCGCTGCCCAGTTCATCTTGCCAGGCAGTGACCTCGAGAAGATCAGGCGGGACGCTATCCCTCTGACGATGGCTGACCGCGCCAAGATGCTGTACGACAGTCAGCCGTTCGAGGCGGCGCATGGTACGTCAATTCATGGGCTGTGTGGATGAAAAGGAACCTACCTGGCTTTGCAAGCTCTGCCTCACATAAGAAGGCACTGCAAAGCTGAACCAAGGCTCGGTCTCTATACCGTCCTAGCCTCTCGGCTTACTATCTAGACCGCTTCATCGTGTGAACGGTCTTGGAGAGGCAGCTATAGCTAACGCAATATTCTTGACAGCGGCTGTAGCCAACCTTGGAGATACGATTCCTGGCGCGCCCGTTGAAGGACACACTGGGCATCACTTTGTCTCTTTTGTCAAAGGGACCGATGGACATCTTTGGGAGTTAGAGGGCTCTAGAAAGAATCCAATTGATCGAGGTGTCCTGGAGGATGACGAGGACGTTCTGAGCCCCAAGGCTCTGGACCTCGGTCTGAAGAGGGCCATGAAGCTGGTCCAGGATGCGGGGCTGGAGAGCCTTAACTTCAGCTGTACCGTCCTCGCGCCCAAGAAACTTTGACAGCATGGCACGTGAGAGCAATGGATCTGCTTCAGATCCCGAATCAACACAATTTCACATGGTCGGGTTTGTCTAAAGAGACTTTTCACCGGTTTCTCGAACCATTTATACGTTATTTCATTCAGTAAGGACAGGTAATGACAGAACTCCATCAGGCGGGACTCCCTCTTCTTATGTTATTGTCGAAACACAAGAAATCGGAAGACTTCACAACCGTATTGACTAATCCACAGTGTCATCCAAGGTTAATCATGTGCAGAAGGAGACTAAACTAGCGCAACAAGCACTCTTCCCCAGCCCTGCGAACCACTTTCTTCAAGCTGTTCTTTCACGGTCCACCGGGGCCGGAGTTAGAGTTGGCTACACCACCAGACGCATAGTAGAAGGCGGCAGGAGTGACAGACGAGCTCTCAGTAGTGTTGATACCAAACGAGAGCCAGGCGAAGAGACCATCTGCCAGACTATCGCCGAGGTAGGTGAATTCAAAGATGGGGTCCACACCGTCTGTGTCGGCCTCCTGGGCCAGGATGCTGTCGTCAGAATTCTCAACGAGCTCCTGCGTGTTGTCTGAGTAGGGCGAGATGGTATCCGCGTCGATTATGAGGTCCTGGTCGAAGAAGCCTTGGCCGACATGGCTGGCCGACACAACGTTGCCGAGCGTGCCGTTAGGGTAGACGGTGACGTTGGTGTGCACGAGGATGTGGATATGAGTGGCACGCCCGGTGTAGTGTCCCGGGAAGATGGTGTCGAACTGGGCCACGCCATCTGAGTCCGTCTCCTGGATGCCTCGCAGGAAGGTCTGGTCGATGTTGGTGCTGTCACTGGAGTCTCCATTGCCGGACGCGATGACGCCCGAGTAGACGCCGGTGGCGTTGCAGTGCCACATCTCGACGTAGACGTCGGGCACCGGCTCGCAGGTATCAACATCAATGACCTGGTAGTCAACGACCATGTCGATTCCGGCCTGCGTCTCGGTGACGTTTTGGCGGATGTACTCGCCGCCCACATAGTATGGGCCCTGGGTGACATCAGGAGTGAGGACGCAGCTGGCGTTGCTGCTGGCGAAGAGTGTCGCCTCGTCGGTGGCTGTGGTGTAACCCAGGTCCGTCTCGTTGTGGTCGGTAGCGAGGACACTGGTCAGCGACCGCCCGACCTCCTTCTTGAGCCCGCGCTCGGCCCTTGCCGCCTCGAGGCGCTGGGTACGGCGGGCGATGTTGCGCCCCTCGATGCCGCGCGCCTTGAGCTTGGCGGCGCAGTGGCTGAGGTCGCGGACCCTGGTGGTGGACAGGAAGTCACGTCGCTCCTGGAGCTCTTGTTCCAGAGAATGGCCCGGGTGAGCGGCAGCCAGGACCGACAGCGTGGCCGCGAGGAGGGCTGAAGTGAAACGCATTGTGACGATTTATGTTGGTGTAAGTGAACAATGAACGAATGTTAAATGTATGTATGTACGAATGTATGTACAATATAAGAGATAAAGAAGGTGGGTGTTTGTGAGTAGCGTCAGGATAGGGAGGAACAAGTCTGATCTCTGAAGATACCCAATGCCATCGAGTTTGTGAGAATCCCCTGTCTTATATAGACTCGCCTCCTAGCACTTCTTTCATCACAGACTCTTTCATTCTTTCTAAAAGGACGACGACGTGACGCGTCGTCTCCTCTCCCTTTGGACATTTGCCGCATCACGAATGTCATGGCCAGTGTGACCCTGACAGAGCCACCTTCCGTGGAACGTTAAGTCAATGCAGAGCAAACCTGAATGCCATCCCCTTTCTTCTCCAGTCACAGTCACAGTGAGGCGGGCTGGAGTAGCCCCTCCGCAAGGACTACTCGTGTCGTTCCGTTCCAGATTCGTCCTTGTTCATTAATATGGAGCTGGACGGGAATGCCTTCAGGGACGACGGCCCAATGAGACTCGAGATATAAGTCAGATCCCAGACAAGACATGCGTAAATGTCAAGCATGCATCGTGGATCAAAGTGCTGATCAAGGAGGTGCCAAGGCTGGTGTTGCGTACTCGCGGCGGGATGTGGGGGGACGAAGGAGGAGGAGTGGGCGCCAAGAGTGGGAATTACTAGGACCTTTAATCATTCGAGGGAAGGAGCATGGGACATTATTCATCGTCTCATGCGGTTGGCATAAGCTTAATGGCAGTTGCGAGCGACGTTTTAGCTAGAATATACCCTCCCTGTTCTTTCTGTATTTTTATGCTTGTTGGCCTGGTATGGACATGGGTTAATTACCAGGTAACCTCGCCCTCGCATCAAATTATGTTTTCTTGCCAGACCGATTTGCTCCACAGTACGCACAAGCAAGTGATAATTCTTGGAGATCAAACCATTTGTTTATTGAATGGTCAGTTACGTTATTTCCCCCGCCCCTCCCTCTATGTTGAAAAGATGACGAAGCATACCCGCCACAGAGTTGTAAGTATTGTCCACTATGATCGGTACACAGGCTTCGGCCGTTGGACAGCCCGTCCAATCTGCACCGTCTCAATTTCGCTGACGGCCGTCCACTTGCCAGCCATTTGCGGATATGAGACCCTTTCGATAGTCCCCCGGCTCACCTGAGGTGGCTCTCTACTAATCTTAGCAGGACTGCTTCCGCTCCGCGCTCGACGTTCCTGTTCTTTCATGGTCTTCAGCAGCAGTTTCTTCGCCTCAGCCTGCGCCTCGCGGCGCCGGAATTCCCGGCGGCTGAGCTGGTGGGTCTCAGGCTGCCCATGTGAGCCGGGCGCAGGGCGTCTGGTGTTGATACTGTGAATGGCTCTACACTCTTGGGTGGCCCTCGAGGCCGCCTGATAAGTGTCATAGACGAGCTCTTCGCTGGAGGCGGAGGCGACGCTTGCCTGTCTGCTCCGGGCTTGGCTCTGTAGGAATGGTCCTAGTCCAAACATGCCGGGCATCTTGGAGAGATTGCGAGTGCGTGGCCTACCTAAAATGAGACCGCAATAATTGGTACGCTACGTAACGTTCCGACCCCAAGAGAGCAAAGATGGATGGGTGGATCTGTTCCTTGTTCGTAAAGAGTGTCAATGCAGTCTTCATGTGAGTGTGCGGACCTGATGGAATGAAGGAGGAAGGCTATTTGAACGATCTGGGATTTACTAGTACACGTTGACAATACCATTGTGCAGGATGTCCAAGAGTGTTGTCACCCAGAGGTGGACAAAGAGCTCTTATGAAGCTTGAGAGAGCGCTTGGAGAGACAGCCTGTCTATCGGACCATATCAGCTCCTTCAAACAACAGAGCTTCATCTTCGTTCACCTGGAGCATTTCGCTAAACCTCAAAGACTTAAATTATAGTGATACAATGCTTATGTTGTTTGACTGAACTCGCCAAAGATCTTTAAGTCATTTTTGTATATAAGATAGTCCGTTTCTCTCGCCCAATGATCAATTAATTCAAGCGCCTCAAAGAACCAGGCTCGATCTCAACAATTCTGTCACTCGGTCCACATCATCGAGATCTCACAAGACTCGGTGTGGAACGGAACCCTCACTCAACATCTGAAGTATAAAAAAGTGTAAGTACACCATCATGTGCATGTTTCCGAGTGAATCCTCGAACGACAAGAGCCACTCCATCAAGTCAGGGTCCGAGAAGAGCCCCAATCGTAACTCCTGGACCAAGCTGTTCTCTTCATCCAAGGACTCCCCCTCCAAGGGCTCCTCCAAGTCCAAGGACAGACGGCGTCCTGATTCTGGTGGCTACTTCTCCGTATACCAAGAGATGGCCAGGTCTGGACACGTGAACCAACGAGGCATCTCGTCCCGTACCGACAGGGCCACGCGAGCCGGGCCATCTCAAGCCCGAGACACGTCTCCTGCTCGTCTCGCCGCCAGGGACACGCAGCTCCGTACCAACCAGAGCCTCAAGGACGCGTCCAGGCTCGAGAAGAGTCGCAACACCGGCAAGTCTGTAGCTCGACAAGGATCCACTGACGCCATCGAGGCCATCAGGGCAAGGGCGCTGGCCAAGGCCCAGGCCCAGCGCGCGAGTGACTTCTCCCCTTTGCCAGCCCCAGTTCTCGCCGAACCGCCAAGTGACTGGCGTCCTGACAGCCGGCCCTTCATCCCTGAGCTGGTGCCGGCGCCTCTCAATGTTAATAAGCAGCAAAAGCAGCAGGGGACGACCTCGACAGTCCCAACCAGTGGCCAATGGTCACCTGGCCCATCAGCCCCTCGCCCCCTGCCACAGCCTCCACGTACAGTGCCGCAAGGTCCCCGCCCCCAGCCGGAGACTCGTTCTCGTGGCCGCAGCTCTCCTAGTTCTGGCCGCCACCACCAATATGGCCAGATGCCTCACAGACAGTCTATCCTCGACAGGATCGAGGCTGCTGCTGCCATCCACCCCGATGTCCTCCGCCGCCAGCAAAGGCAAGGCTCTTCGCGAAGGACTCCTTCTCGTAACCGTACTAGTTACGGCATGTTGTAAGTGCTATTCCGACCAGCTGATGAGCTACATATGAAAGAAACAATATCCTTTGCTTTCCCTTTGTCTTTAGCTACATTCTTATCTTATTATCGATCATTAAAGGTCGTCCAGTAAGTACTTAGTACTTAAGTAGTCTTGGCTTTTCAGCCGCAATAATTTTCCTTTGTCCAGTCTATCTTTAAGCACAGAAAAGCTTTGCACCTAGCGAAACGGTAGGAGCCTTTGAACCTTTCCATACTTGATAGGTAATGTTATTTGATGAAAATGGAATGTCATTATCAGGAAATTTTCTTGTTGTGTTACCCAGTCTCAAGTTCATATTAGAGTAATCCACTGCTACGCCCTGGCATGACCATATCGGCAGTCTCTGAATATCATCGGGTAGTGGTGAAATATCGGACATGTTGTCACTGTCTCGTACAGCCATGAGACGGACGCAACAGTGGACTTTCTGTCAATTCAAAGTCGAGTACGGACGGCTTGCCTTAAGGATGATGATCAACGTCGCAGACAAGAGCTAATTTTTTCTATTAGTTATCGAGATTTGTCTGTTGGCCACAGGCCATTATCACCGCCCGACTTCAGGGCGTCCCGGAGAACGTAGTCCCTCGCAGGTAGGTTCCTCACCCTTGACATATTCTGTCCCTTCAATGACAACCCTGCTGGTCAAGTGAGCAGTTCATAAGAAATTGCAACACCGAGGTTAGACAGCATTCAGTGTGAACGAGCTTCAGTACACCAACCCCTCCCCCAAGAGATATGCTCCCACAACGCCAACAGGGAGCAGTGGCAGACGCCACAGACTGAATGAAGCAGATAGTAGCCAGCCGCTTCAGTAGGCCTGATGTCGACAGCGGTACGAGGTCATTCTGGGTGCGAGATAATGATCCCGAAACCTTCGACATATGCTTCCGAAAGACCAGCCACTCGCGGCGATCATGCTTGTCGGTTAGACCACTATACAGCGGTACACCAATGGCACGCATCATCAGTAAGGCCTGAGTCTGACTGAAAGCTCCTCCACCGGATACACCGTGGGTATCATCACGCAGAACGCTAAAGAAGATAAAAAAACACTACTCCTGAAAACCCCCTTGGACACTCTCGCTCTGAGAACCAACATCGGTGGTTTGTGAGATGATCCCGGGCTTTCCGTTTCATGATGGTTCATTGTCGTCCCCCCCCCCCCCCAAAAAAAAACCTCTTTTTTCCAATGCAATCGGTTTACCAAGTAGGCCATTGATGGCCTCGTCCGGTACAGTTTCCATCCTTTCAGTGGGCCTTGCCGTTCTTGTTTGTTCTTTCCGCCTTGAACTGAGCGATGTTTCTGTCCACCTGCTTCTCCACCCGCTGCTGGAGCTCCTTGCGGTAGCCGAAATAGAACAAGAGCTCCAGCCAGACAAAGAGCGGAGCCAGGAGCAAGGCCTGCATCAAATTGTCGAGCAGCGCAGGGGCTCTTCCCTCAAACTTCCCATGGCCAACAAACTGGAGGATCCAGGCCACAAGGAAGATGGCTCCAGCCACAATATTTGCAGTCTTCGAGTCCACCGAGTAGAGGTAATTGTCCACAGCTGCCATCCCCAGGCAGATGGCACACAGGAGGCCGCCGGCGACAGGCTCCATCAAAACGTAGAAACCACCCCAGATGATCGCACCAATTGTACACATGTTGAGAGGTAGGTATTCGAGGGTAAGCCATTGAGGTAGATCGATCAGGACGCCCGAGTTTGCTGCCTTGAGAGAAGAATCAGACGTCAGTAGTGTTCCGATGCCCGACGGTCGGGGGGACAATCGCACCAGCAGAAAGCTTGTCATCAGTATGATTGGTACGCAGACCATATGGATGCCAACATTTACAGCATTGTTGTGGTAAGAACCATAGAAGACGAGATGCTTCTCCAAGTCGAGAGACATGGTGAAGTCCCTACTGCGGTTGGCCTGTGTGCTAGGTGTTCGACAGACCGATTCCACGTCCTAGGGAGAAGAGGGGGAAGAGAGTCACAGCGTTTGATGTCTTGCGCCAGAGAACGCCGTGTTGAGAGCCCAGTCTGCTGTAGAAGCTTCTGTTGAGAAGATAGGAAGCAGGACTTTGGTTTGCAGATCGGTATAGAGCAGGAATACTGTTCTCTAATCTGTTTCGTGCAGAAATAAGACCTCAACTGGTGGTGGTCTGTTGAGCGGTTGGGTGGAGTCTCCTGATTAATCGATGAAATGTTGCAGGTGATTGGAAAGTTGATGTGCTGCTGGCAGCTTGTTGACAAGAGCAAAGGCCCATAAGTTTACTGTCGGAGGTGCCCTGACTAAGTACTTACCCTGTTAGTAAGTTCCCAGGGTACAGTACTGTGGTAGGGGGCTATCGGCGGGGTTCTAGTGGGTCAAGCACCTCGCCCGCAAGACCAGGGGTTGAATACCGTACATTCAGTGCACATAGTATGCGGGTACTGCTTCTCAATTGATGCATCATTGATGGCATCCAGTATATCCTCAGCAAATTCTGGCCAGTACATTAGCCACCAAATACTATGCATAATGCTAGATGGACATTGCGTTTTGAGAAGGCCAGCATACTCCTCACACATAAGTAGCTGCCCAAATCCTGCTTGGACTTTGAGTGGTTATAGTAGCTCAGAATCTTGAAGGTGCTGCAAACAAAGTGACATTCTTCCTGCAAATGCTGCAGGTATCTCTACACAGAAGTTACACAGCGGATATCAGTTCATGGCATGGCAGATGCTGTTCAGAGGTCCAAACCAACACATAACCCTTGCACAACCCTTAGCAGAGCCTCACAGTTCACTGTGCTACAGGGGCTCAAATGCACTAACAGAGTCTGCTGGAGCAATCTATGGGCATCTGCTAGCCCCGCATTACTGTGAACTTGTTTGTGGACCTAGCTTAATTCTAGAAGAGCTGACGAGACACTAATCCCTGTCAGCATCTGCAAGGTTGCCGACGGCTGTTGACCTCAGGTCTCGAACTTTCACAATCCTGTTGCTGCACCTGCACATGTGTAAGGCCTGCTCTCCACCTCCCTTCCAGTCCTTCTTGTGGCCAGCCACAACGCCTTCTTATTCCAAGCCAATCCTTACCATCACATACCAGTCCCTTTGACCTTTTGATTCTCTGAACAGTGACTTTCCTAGAGCGACTTTCTGTTCTCTGAGGTGGTTACTACCGCCTCGAGGGTGGTCTGTTGCATTTCAGCCTTGTCTTCTTGTGAGCAATCTCTGTCGCAATGCATCTCTCTTTGTTCCTACCATCAGCTCGAACTGGACATGTAATCTGATCCCTTCGCCAGTCCCTCCTCCACCTACGGCGAGTCCGCTCGATCTGACGCGACTTCAACCCCACCGCTTCAACTCGAATCGTACATACACACACACAAGCGATAGAAGACAAGAAAGAAGGCGACTGCGCGACTGCTTTATTGTGCCACCCCAAGCTGAACCTCAGCTGACTTCCCAACACTGGAGACGAACGAATATCAAGGCCAACAACATGTTCTTCTTGTACAACCTCACGCGTCATGTCACGCTGCACCCCTCCTACTTTGGCCGAAACATGCATGAGCTGGTCACCACCAAGCTCCTGAAAGATGTGGAGGGCACATGTGCTGGCAACTACTTCATCATCACCATCATGGACACCTTCGACATCTCTGAGGGTCGCATCCTCCCTGGAAGTGGACTTGCAGAGTTTACTGTGGGCTATCGAGCTGTGGTGTGGCGACCCTTCAGGGGCGAGACGGTATGATGTTTGGAGAATTTGCTTGCTGAGGCATACTGACACGTGTCAAGGTTGATGCTGTTGTTGGTAACTCCATCAACACACATGGCTTCTTTGCCCAAGCTGGTCCCCTCATGATCTTCACGTCCAACCATGTAAGCTAGGGCGATAGGGCATGCTTTTCCCTACTGCAGCTAACACTCCTCTAGTCCATCCCCAAGAACTGTGTCTATGACGCCAATGCTACCCCTCCCCAGTTTACTGACCACGAAGGCCTCACAATTGAGCCTGGCACCCACATCCGCCTCAAGCTCATTGGTATCCGAACTGAGGTGACTGAGATGTGGGCAGTTGGCACCATGAATGAGGACTACCTTGGGTACTTGGGCCCTTTCTATCTTGTTCTAGAGAAGGTTTGCTAACAATCATTAAATGCAGACCTTTGGCAGAATAATTTCTGGACTCTCGAGTCGAGAGGAAACAAAGTGTTCTGGTCAATTTCCGCAGCGCTTGATACGGACTTTGACTGATAAATTACGGCGATTGCGGTGTCTCAACTCCCGGAGGATGGCTGTTCAGTAGCGTGACTTGCGCATAAGGACACTGATTTTAAAGAGACCCGCTCTGATATTCGTTGAATCTTGCGTGGCCGATATCTACACTAGGGAACGACTGTCTATGGGCTAGGACTCTGGGTAGGAGGTTGGCACATCACATCTACAGTAGATGAGCATAGGGAACCAGTTTCGGGCGCAAGCTCATCTAGCATGGAGGAAATACCCGAGTATCTTCAAAAAAAAAAGTCTGCACGTACGTGCATACTGGTGGCTGGTCTGGTTGATCATAGAGACGATCTACCACTCGGGCCGTCGCGACTAGGGCCAGTCGTCGGTTTTAAAAATAATAAATCAACCAGTCTGGTTTGCACTACCGTCCTAACTCAACTTTTGATATTGATGGTGGTGGTATCGTCCCGCCCTAGCGAAGTGTAGAGGAAAAGAAGCCATATCCTTCTCGTTTGCTAGGAGGAATCGCCTTTTAAAGAAGGCTAAAGGAGCTGGTCTGAAGATCATTTGACGTAGACATAGTGCTTTTAGAACTACTAGGCGTGTCGACTCGCTCTTAGCACGCCCCCATCGAGGCTCTTTCCAACGAGTATGACGAGATCACACCCGTAGCTCTTTTCCTCCCAAAGTTGACCTAAAACGCTTCGATCGCGCTCTCTTCTTCGTGCCCCCAATCACGTTCGCTACCCATATAAATTCAACACGCCCAACCCTCTCACCCATCTTCCCACATACTCATTCTTCGATCATCCTTTCGTTTACCAACATAGTACCAAGTACAGTGCCTGCTTGAACATCAAGGGCCAAGACCTGCTCCGCGTCAGGTAGACCATCGATGCGCTATCTAGCACTACAATACTGGCCATCCACGCTCGTTCCGCGTTCATTATCGTCAACAACAAAAAACCAAAAAACTGCAGAAACTTCACCTCAAACAGACCGCAGACAGTATTTCATTCGAGTGCCATCTGATTTGACCGCGACAATAAATAGAAGATTATCGGTACCTGACCTAACATTAATTGCTTGGTGTCCACACTCGTTCAAACCGCAGTCAACGACCGAACTCTCATTCTTCTGAAGCTCATCCCATCGCATCCACCCTCGATACTCGTCAAAATGGTCCGATCCTGGAGGCAACGTTACAGTCAATCAGCCACACACATTCAGCTCTCCAAATTTCGGACGACAGTCCTCCATCACAACAAAAGTAATGAGCCTTTCTGCAAGCCTCCCAACTGGTTGACAGCCAGGTCTTCGACGCTGAACTGCCGGCTTCAAGCCATGGGGTGCATCGGTGAGGGTGTCGAGAAGTTTAGCAGCAGATGTAAATTCGAGATCGAGGATGTTTTGACCGAGGCGGACGCCGGCCCCGGTGGCAAGTGGGAGCAGTACCTCCTCGAGACAAACGAGACCGAGAACGCGGATGTCCAGGCATCCGACAAGGTCGTCGTGTCCGTAAAGCTGAGGGCGGAGCTTTTTGCTAAGGGCCATCCATACGAGGGCCCGTGGTCGGCAGATCTTCAATTCCTCGACTCCGACGGCGAAGAGCTCGACATACCCAAGACGCGTCCCCTCCAGAATAAAGTCACCAGGAGCAGTGTAAATTCTGTCAGTGATGCCTCAACCGAGCTCATCGTCCCCTCCCCCTCATCAACCTCCTCCAACCGTAACGACCACGCCAATGGCAAGGGTAACACCGACGGACGGAACAAGGAGAACCAGAACGGAAGCGCTCGCTCCTTCTTTGACAAGATGAAAAAGAACGACAGCAACACCTTGAAGCATGATGCTTCCTCGTCCAACGGCAATGGTGGTGAACTTGTCAAGGCGGAGGAGGCAGAGAAAAAACACATCTTGAAACTGTTTAAGGACTTTCCAAATTGCATCGCCAAGGTGACGCGTGTGGTTGAGGATGATGCTAAGTACAGCATAACTTCAATCGACAAGTCGGAGGAATGGACAATCATTCCCAATGACAGTATGCCACAGCGAATTCGCGAGTGGATTGCTGACTTGACGAGTGAGTGCTGGTAAACTGAGACCACCCCTTCCCTGGGGCTAGTTTCTTTTCTCCTTTCTCAAAGCCTTCTTCATGACAATGACTAACTCTTGGCACATGTAGTCAACCATGCCTTCATCCCTGGCATCCATGATTCGAGTGGCTCGTCGTCTGTGATGTCGGACTCCCACCTCTGGCTGGCCATCACTTGGCAGAACGAGTTTGTCATCAACTCTATGAACTGTACTGTCTGGTACAAAGCCTTGTCCAAGGAGCCTGCAGTAGCCTTGGGCAGGCCTGAGCCAAATGCGCAATAGAATTCCGCACTCTGCGAGGTGCCCTCTGTGGAGAACCCATGGAGAAGGAGAAGACTGGAGAAGAAGGCCGCCAGACAGAGACATCACTACACTGTCCAGCATCAACGCCACCAGTGGGAGAACTTGGTCCCAAGAGTCGCTCCGCGTCCTCGAAGGACAAAGCTTCTGCAGCAATGTGGCTGGGTGTTCTCGCAACATCCAGATGATACCAACTTTGGTCCACAGATTGTGGTGACTGAGCCAGGTGGTGCTGAGCATTATCTGGTTGAGCCGGAATTTCTTACAACACAGCTTGACTAGTGGGGCGAGCAGCAATTTGCATACATGACGAGAGGACGGAGGGTACCAAAGCATTCGAGGCTCGATAGAGTCATCATTGAGAAGGGTCGGGATGTTTTCAACGACAACTGTGACAAGTATGAAGACAGAAGGAGGTCTTTTGTTACATCTCATACTTTTGCAGCAACAGCATTGGAGTGGCCTTCCAGTATGAAAGGAGATGAGGAAATTGCTGAAATGGTCTTGGGTACTACTCCAGCTTGTGCAGTGGTACCACTGAGGTGGTCTTCCAGATTGAGAGGAGGCATTGCCCGAAAGTGGAGGAAGAAGAGGAACTCCAGAGCGATACTCCCATGGTACCACATTGACGAGGGCAGCTCGACGTCGGATGAGCTAGAGGAAGTAGAGGAGATGCACCTCTTGGGAGCTATGTCTGCTCGACAAAGCCATCACCAAGGGGCAATTGTGCTAGAGCTCTTGGGGCTTTGGGGAATGGTGCGGACCATAGCAGCGTGCTGTAGCCCCTCAGGTAGGAGGAAACATTAGCGCAGGGGGGCCCAGGCAATTGGGAAGAAGAAAAAGGAAAGGAAAAGAAACACGTAGAGGAAAAGAGCGTATCAGCAGCGTGTTGGATTACTGTACAGAATAGTTGCTTGTATGATAGAGAAGATCATGACACAATCAAATGCCAAAATTGAGGCATCAAACACATTGCCGAATTCCCCTTGCTTGGGATCTGGAGCTGTGATTATTAAACATGCTGGCCTAAACTTGCAACAGCCCAGCCTCGGCCCCAAGCAACACTCCCGTCCCGCAAGCATTATTTGTCTGATTAGATGAACATCTCCCTACACCGCCTAGCTTCTAGTACCTCGTCCACCTTAACATGGATTGCCCATCAGTGAGTTTGTGTGACACAAAGTGCTATGGGATCACGCCTACATCATGGCGCCCCCAATGTGGCCGCAATCTCTAGCCATGAGACTACTCAGCTGCTGTGTGGATCTAAGAAGAAGTAAAGAAATGATTGATGAATGGCACGTAATAATCTTTTTTGCAACAACTGACAAATTGCTCTTTTATGACCGAAGGCTGCGTCAGGTGTGATGATATATATCAGTCGGACACTCCCCAAGGCCTTTTCCTGAGTCTTGGTTCTCAAGTGGCCCAGGAGTCCAAAAAAAACTATATTTTCCCCTTTTCACTCACTGTGAAATTATTACCGTGCATCGAGACATCTTTTGCCGACGAACATCGAGGATGGATGTTGGGACTACGGAGAAGGATCTCTCGGGCAGAACTGGCAATAGCCTGGCAGCACAAGATCTGTCTGATGATAGTACCACAATCATGGCAGCCACGTCGGACACAGAATTGGATGCTGTGGTCTATGGGGACATAGAAAATGTCCAGGTAGGGGATTCTGGTACTGATGAGAAGACTCAGGCATTTGACGTCAACAACAACAACAACAGGGCGTGGGACTGGGACAAAGACCCCGAGAACCCATACAACTGGCCTGGGAGGAAGAAGTGGGCCCAGGTGGCCATGATCTCGTCCTTTGCCATAATTGCGTGAGTATGAGCCGGCGTTTGCGTTGCTTGTTTCAGCGGAACCTGTCTGACCCGTTTCCAGCTCCCTGGGGACGTCCATCATGGCCCCCGCGACGACGCAGCTGCAGGAGGAATTCGGCATCACGCTCACGCAGAGTATCGTCCCGCTGTCGCTGTACACCTTTGCGCTTGGCCTGGGCCCGGTGCTGGGCGGACCGCTTTCTGAAACCGTGGGCAGGTATTCTACGTTTATCGGCCTGGGGACTCTTGGTGCGCTGTTCACGCTTGGCGTGGGACTCGTTCATAATTTTGCAGGACTATGCATCTTGCGTTTCCTGGCGGGGTTCTGCTTCGGACCGTCGCTTGCGGTGTCCGCTGGGCTGCTCAACGACGTGTTCAAACCGGTGCAGAGGGGTCCGCCTTCTGCACTGTTCGTATTGATGCCCTTCCTAGGACCAGGAATAGCGTGAGTATTTCTGTGTTTCTCGTCATCTTAGATCCCAGAATTTCAAGTGATGTTGAGGCTGACATACAGGCTGTGGCTGCCAGACCTCTGATTGGTGCCTTCGTGGTGAACAGGAAAGGCTGGCGATGGACACAATGGACGATGCTCTTCTTCTTCGTCCAGGCGCTCCTCGTCGGGCTTGCCTTCGGGCGGGAAACCTACGCGCCAGTTCTGAAGCGGCGCAAGGCAAAGAAACTAGGCCTCCCCCAGCCGCCGTCCACACCCATCTGGATCCAGGTCAAGGTGTTCATCGTGATCGCGCTCGTCCGGCCTGTCATGATGCTGCTGACGGAGCCCATCGTTACCTTCATCTGCCTGTATGTGGCGTGTGAGTTTGCCACGCTGTTCTGCTTCTTCGCCTCTATACCGTACGTCTTTGAAGGCGTGTACCACTTTGGCATTGAGAGTACGGGCTTGGTCTACATCAGCATCGTCGTCGGCTGTCTCCTCGGCTTCGTGACCATTGTGCTGTGCGATATCTTCTTCTACAGGCCGCAGATCCCAAGACACCCGCCCCATCAGGTGCCTCCCGAGTGGCGCCTCGTGCCGGCCATGATAGGCAGTTTGGGGATCCCGTTAGGAGTATTCTGGTTCGGCTGGACCGCGAGGCCAGACATCCACTGGGCGAGCCCGGCCGTGGCCATCGCGCCGTTTGCGTGGGGCAACATTTGCCTCTTCGTGACAACGATGCAGTACATGGTCGACACGTACCACGGGACGACGGTGGCGTCGGCTGCCAGCGCCAACAGCCTTGCGCGGTACGGGCTGGCGGGGGCGTTTCCGCTCTTCACGGTGCAGATGTACGAGCGCCTCGGGATTGGGTGGGCGAGCTCGCTTCTGGGATTCATCGCCGTGGCGCTACTTCCTGTGCCGTGGGTGCTGTTCAAGTATGGCAAGGAGATTCGGGCTAGGAGTAAATATGAGACTGCGTCGTGGTAAGGATGATGGTGAAGATGGGGAGGTGGAGGTTTGTTCAAAGAGTTTAGTCACTACCTTTTGTTGCAGTGGAGACAATCTAGATTTGGGGCTTGAGTTTAAGGAGGTTCGATCAATACTTACATAAAAAAGCTTCATGGCTCAGTGAATCGTAGCAGTACAACTTTTCCCTTCTCGTCATATTCTTTTCTCTTCTTATTTTTTCTCAGAGCTCCCAGAATTATTCATACCCTCTTAAAAAAAACCCAAAAACCAGTGATGAGGGTGGAGGACTATCGTCAAAGAGCGAGTTAGTGGGGTTAGGGTTGTAGACCAAATACTTGAAGCAGGTACTAAGTAGAGAACAGTCACTTCCATTGTCACTTCAGGGAGTTCCTGAGGGAAGGCATGGAGCTCATTGCGCCTGTCACAACGTGGGGAGACTCTCCTTGATTTTCTCATGCAGACTGCATGAATGGGCACTGCATCCAAAATTTGTCTACATATATATATGCACATATATGTATTCTGTCCAGCAGCTCCTTGCTGGCTGCATTTGAAGCCTGAGAGGGGCTAAGCTTGGTTTGATTTACGATTTTGACTTACTTACATCAACTCATCTTGTACACCTTGGTTATTCTGAACACTTTGTTTTCTACCAGGGAGAGAGGATTGAGGATTGAGAAGGTGAAAATGTCTCAAGTCTCAGGTTTGCCTCTAGAAATCGTACTCTGCATCGTCGACAAGCTGGTGGATGACCCCCGCTGCGTCCTCAAACCGTCCCACCCAACGACCAAAACCCTCCTCTCGTTCACACGGGTCTGCAGGGGAACATACACTGTGGCGTCGAACCACCTACGGAAGCACTGCGTCTACATAAACTCTAGACTGCGGCTGGACCAGCTTCTGTATTGCATCGAGGCCACCCGCGGCCGAACCAGGAGCAGTGTTGAAGACGACGACGCCAGATCTTTAAAGCCCATCACGGCCCTGTACCTCGCACCCTTCGACCGGAGCACCGCAAATGATGCAGCGATCGTGCATAAGATTGCCACGCTGTTCGGCCGTGTGCACACCACGCTTACGCGCCTGGTGATTAATATGCCGCTGCACAGCATACGTTCGACCTACGCCACGGGTGGCGTGCGCCGGACGCTGCGGGAGGCCTTCCTCGCGCTCACGGCCCTCGAGGACCTGGTGAGCCTGCGCGACGAGCTGTTCCTGTACACGATGGAAGTGGGCGAAGAGGAGAATGAGGACATCCCCGAGCCCGAGCCGTGGCGGGCTTGGCCGCGGTTGAAGAGGCTCGCGCTGGACAAGGTGAACGCGGACGAGAACTTTTGGAAGGCGGTGCGGGGCACGGAGGCGCTGGAACAGGTTGTGCTCACGCGGGCGGACTCTCTGGAAGAGGTGTGTATGAAGAGAGCTTACTTGGGTCTTCACCGCGAGGGCGAGCTCCCGAGACCGTTGCGGGTCGTGCTGGTGAACGTCTCCATGATGCATCCGGACCAATTGGCTGGGGAATCGAATTGGGGGCAGATCGACCCTAGCAACCTGGTGGACGTCGTGGCATACGATGTGCCGGTGAGCTTCTACGGTGACGAGAGCCACCCTGAGCTGTGTAGGGCATGGGTTAAGGCGGCGGCGCTGAGGGACGAGCTCTGGAGCTGGGAGGGGACTCCGGTCGGACCAAGGCGGGTAGATATGTCTGCAGGCGAGGAGGGTGCGCAGGCCTCTGAGCTATACGTCTGAGCAGCCCGGTTGCCTTGTGTGTGTGTATGTAGAGCCCTGTTTGTTGATGACCAGAGGTTCTACATTCATGTTCCATAAGCCAGACAGGGAGGCCATCGTGTCGCTCAACAACCCTGCAAATAGGGACAGGAGCAACAGGGGAGTAGATACGTAGACAATCAGAATGATATGAAGTGACCATGATCATCATTTGTTTATGCGTAGACCGTCAACGATCTCAATATTCAATTGGCCAAAATAAAGCTGTACTGTGATAGTAGCTACACCGAATTATATGCTGTGAGTACAATTTTCGTATGTTGTCTCTCTCGTTTTGCTGGTCGAAAATGGAATCGCAGCAGACGGAGGCCACTTCGCGTGTTCACATGACATCCAACCAACAGGTGACAACAACATGTCTGTGTCCAAGGGTCTGAATTGTTATTTATGTCAATATTCTTGTTGACTTACCGCTTGGTGATTTGAGTTTTCTCATTGACCAGCCCAATCTTGTTTTAGGGTTCAAGTATGCAACTTAATACAGCATGTAGTATCTCTGATGGAAATACTACCACACTCAATTATATGAAATGCTACGATGGACGATGCCCCGGGTCCACCTACACACCGAATGGCCGACGAATGGCCCCGCTCTTGTCTCGAAAAATAAATTCGGAGTTGATCAATTAGTCACTACTACTTACAGCTGAGGATCCGTGCAGTGCCATTGCATTTGCATTATCGTTCCCCTCCTCCCCACACATCCACTGAGCATATTAATTCACTTAGACTACAGTACACTCGTATTTGGATCATGGTGAACATTAGAGAGCGCTCCACCCACCAAACATCCTCGGCAATGGCGTTTGCTTGTGCCAATTGACAAGGCCGCTGATCTCTTACCAAGCATAGTATGTACACGAACAGGGAAGAAGAAGAAAAAAAGAAAAAACAAGAAAAGTCTTTTTGCTTTTGGTCTTGAATTTTGCTCCTACAATATTTCCAAGATCATCGTGGGTTTTGTATCTCGCGAACAGGCCCGCAACTACGGCTTACCTCCCCTGTCCTCCAAACTTAGTACCTACATACCACTTCCAGACTGACTCGCTCGGTCCAATGCCCACATGAAAACTGCTGTGAGAGGAGCAGAAGGTGGTTTTGTCGTCTTTGCTGAGCGGCAACCTCATAGCAGAGCTACAGAGCGCGTCGCAGCGAGAACAACCTTGTTCTTCTACCCCTCCTCCTCCTCTTGCCGCGACGCGAACCATTGACAACCACGAGGACCCCCGATTCACAAGACAGCGCAAGCCCAGCCAGCGAGCAAGGCCCCAAGTACTCAACGCCTGAGGCACACACGCACATACATACCCACCATATATACATCATCGTCTGCCGAACGAACGACCGAACGAACTCTCCTCGACCTTTTCCCGCGAGGCCATGCCGGAGAAGCCCCTCACCGTCGCCGCCTACGCGGCCGGGGCCTCTCTGGCCGCCGCGACGCTGATCTACGTCTTCGCTCCCACTTACTTCCTCGATAATGACCCGCCCGGCCCTTCTACCCCAGGAGCCAGTTTCTTGAAGGGCGGCAGCAGCCGCAGGAAAGGTGTCGTCGGGCTCGTCAACCCGGCCAACGACTGCTTCATCAACTCCATCCTGCAGGCCCTCGCCGGGCTGGGCGACCTACGCGTGTACCTGATACGGGAGATGCACAGGCGGAGTGTCGGAGACTGGTCGGCCTACACGGTCACTGTGCCCGAAGACTGGAAGGAGGACGGCGAGGGCGCGAGGACCGCACCCGTGAAGAAGGGCCTCATCGCCGGCCAGCAGAGGGGACTTGTCACACAGGGCCTGAAGGAGATGCTCGACCAGCTGAACGAGAGGCCTATCTACAAGAAGACAATCACCGCCGCGCCGTTCGTCGCCGTGCTGGAGGGCGCCTTCAAGCAGAACATTAGCAGGCAGCAGCACGATGCCCAGGAGTTCCTGCAGATCGTTGTCGAGAGGCTTTGCGACGAGTACCATGCGGGCCATAGGGCACGCAAGTATGCCGAGTGGAGGGCCAATCAGGAGAGAGCGGGCGATGACGGCGACGGCAACGACAACGATGACAATGAAGATGCTGTGAAGGAGAGGCTAGCAGCGCTGGCAGTCCAAAATCACGACAGAAACCACGAGACCACGAAGACAACGGTCGTCACCCCCAACAACGAGGAAGAAGAAGAAGACGGCTTTCCCATGGAGGGCGTCACGGAATCACAGATCGAGTGCCTGAGCTGTGGCTTCAAGCCCAGGCCGAGCAGGTCACGATTCTGCACCCTGACGCTGTCGGTCCCTATCGGCGCGACATCCACCACGCTGAACGCGTGCTTCGACGGCATGTTCAAGACGGAGCACATTGACGACTACAAGTGCGAGAAGTGCAGGCTGGTGCACGCACAGGAGATCTTCAAGGCCCAGCTGGCGAGGTCGACGTCAGAGGAAGCCAAGGTGCACGCGCAGACGTCGCTAGAGAAACTACAACACGCGATCGAGACGGACCCGGAGTCACCCCCAGAGGACGTCCCCCTGCCCGACAGCAAGCACGCGCCGAGGCGCAAGATCGCAAGACACACCAGGGTCACACGCTTCCCCAAGATATTAGCCATCCATCTGAGCCGGTCCATCTACGCAGGACAGGCGCTCAAGAACTCGGCCAAGGTCGCGTTTCCCGAGAGGCTGCCGCTGGGGGGCCTGCTGCTGCGGAGGAACTACAAGCTGCTCGGCGTCGTCGCCCACAAGGGGGGTCACCAGAGCGGCCACTACGAGTCGTTCAGGAGACAGAACGTCTACCCTCCTTATTCCAACCCCACCACCTTCCAGCCGTCGGGCGTCTACAGCAAGACGGCAAGCCCACAGTCCACACCACAGATACAACCCACCGCACAGTTCTCGGGCGACGCAACGCCCTTCACCGCAACGCCGTCCATGCTGTCACCAGCGTCCACCTCCACGCCATCGCTGGACACGACACTCCAGGAGAGCTCCAGCCGTCGCGGCTCTCCTGCCCTAAACGGCGGCGGCGGCGGCGGCGGCGGCGGTGCGGTGAGACGCGACCGCACCGCCACGCCCAGCAAGGAGAAGGATTCAGACAGCAACAGCATCCGGTCGATAGCAGCGTCGGCCAAGTCGACGCTGTCCAAGATGTCCCCGTCCCGGCACGGCAGCAACAGCGGCAGCCAGAACGGCACGACAGGCAAGCCGTCGGCCAGGAGGCGCAAGGTGCACGACAAGTGGTGGCGCATCAGCGACGACAAGATCAAGGAGGCCAGCACGCGGGAGCTGCTGGGCATGCAGCGCGAGGTGTACCTCCTGTTTTACGAGATCGAGCGCGACGGGCTGTAGCAGAGCCGGACCGCGCTTCGCGCCGGCGGAATAGAAAGGAGGTGGAGGAGCCGCGCTCAAGGACATGGGATTGGCGACAATGGTGGGACTGGGGCGGACAGCCCTGACAGCGAGACGTGTTTGATGATTGGAACTTATACATATGAGGACGAAGACGAAGACGACGGCGACGGCGACGTAGGTGAGGTGAAGGGTGATGGTGAGCCGAAGGGCCGAGGATGCCTCCTGCGGCTCCGCGAGTGGACGGGCCGGCTCATTCACTCCAGGCGATATGATGGCATTGGGCTGGCCTGGGCTGGCTTAGACGACTTTCAATACAGTCCGTTGCATTAAGCGGCGTTCTTGTGAACACAGAAAAAGAAAGCAAGGGTAAAAGGAGAAAGAAAGAAAAAAGCATATAGGCAACGCATTAGACGGATAGAGAGGCATCAAGAGTCTTTTTGCCCCTCGTGTTTACCAAGGTCTTCACGGGGGAATGTTCAAGTACAGTTTATACATACGCATACATACTTGTACGTACAAATAAAAATCATATCTGGACCAAAGGCTGGGCAGCAGTAACCTAGTCACCCATCGCAGCATCACATCCCGCTCTTGCAGGCCTTCTACTGCAAGGGGCAGCCATCAAATATCCACGTGGCCATCCTGCAATGTGGAAACAGGTCGACATGATGGGATCAAATCAAGATTGTGACGGTAGCCTTTGGACGTCTGAGGTGGTCTCATGTGTGCGTGTGTGAAGCATGGGGTCCGAGGCGAGGGTGTTCTTGGAACGAGAATCACAATGGTTTGATTGGTGCCCCGACCTGCCACATCAGTTTCCTTTCTTTCTGGTTGGTTTTTTTTTTTTTTTTTTTTTTTTTTTGCCCTCTTGGGTCTTGTGGGAATGCTGGGATTATCCTACCACGTTCATTACCTGCCACGGTCCCGCTCTGCATCTCGTAAGTATCTTTATTATCATTTTTAATTTATGACAGTGATCAACCTGTCAACCCCGCGAGAAGAGCACCAATGGGAGTCTCCGAGTTCATGCTCATCTCCCGGATTTGTGGTGAGGACCCCTACACCATCCCCGCGATGTCTAACAAGGTCTCGTGTTGTACGAAACATCAGTGCATGCGGGGGAGTGTTTTCTATTACACAATATTTACTAGGGATGTTTCCAGTTTCAGTGTGGTGTGTGATGGTAACCCGCCCTACATACTAGAACTACATATGGTAGTAAGTACCTATGGTGAAGCTTTTTTTTTTTTTTTGTGGGCGTTGGGATAAAAATTGACTGCATGGCTGCTGCTTGCCATGATTGATCGGACTCCACTCAGGACACGACTTTGTCGGCCTGGGTGGCAGCAACAGTTTGTTATCCGTCGGTTGGAAGAAGCCGAGCGGCTCTCGCTACCTGGCCCAGGGGGAGCAGGAGCAGGAGGACAAGGAGGAAGAAGTGCTGATGCTCACTCTCATGATAACTCTCATGATAATGGATCAGGTGATAGGGCGAGATAACGATGGACAGAACGGGTTGCTATCCAGCTTATTCCCTGAAACCATGCTGAGACGGAGATAGCCCGGTCGATTTCCTTTTCTTGTCATCAACTACTAGTAGCAGAAAAGTGTAAGACTTTGGTGGTGATCCCACCGGCGGTACTAATGATCCAATTTATGCCGTTACCCGGACGTGTGCCGTGGTAACGTAGCAACTCCATGCTTTCGTACCTTACTTAAGTGGTTCATACTAGCGCTACAATAGTATGTATGGAGAGTGGGAAGTAATAGCCTAAAACAACTAGATGAAAGGTGCAGTGGAAGTCAACATCCTAATGACCCCATCTAAAATCTCTGGGGTGACCCTTGTACACTGATCTGAGACGGCGTCTTTTTTCTTCTTCTTTTATTCTCCTCTCTCTCTTCGTCTTCATTGCTCGGGAGCTGCCGAGGTTGTCGATAGTGGTACTGGTGGCCATTGCTTTAGCCCTCGGATGCCTCCGTCTCCAACGACACACAGATGCTGTAATGGTAACGCATTCCCAGTAGTCAATGGAAAGAATGACCCGTCCGCCCCTCACCTCCCCCCCGCCCCCGCCCCCGCCCCTTCCCTTGTTTCTGTCTCGTCTCCCCTCTCTGCATAGGACCCTGTCGTCGTCTCCACGGTTCGTTCTTGCTCGGTAAGATCGGCATATCCATTCCCCCACGAGAATTTAATTGTCAAATAAATTTCAGCTGGCAAGATGGGCCAACGAAACATCAAAATCCCCAGACAGGCTGTGCGCTCAACAATCTCTTCTTGTAGCTCCCTGACTCGATCATTTCAAACCTTGCTGAGTAAGTGGTGCCGCTAATCGGGCCGCACCAAGGCCTCCTCTTACTCTTGCTGCTCCTCCTCGTCTCCGCCTGATCAAGCGAGGCCTCGCGTGACTTGTGGTTGGGCTGGGCTTCTTGGGTGTGCGGGGAGGGCGAAAGACGAAGGAGGAGAAGGAGGAGGCGAGACAAGTGCGCCAAAAACGCACAAAATTGCACACGAGGATGTCGGAAGTTGACCATGGTTTATTTCCGCGACTGCTGCACCGACCGACGAGAAAATGAACCCAGACAGCTGGGAATCCCCCCTTCCTGGTCAGCTGGCCTATCAGCTTCCCATATGGGAAGCTCCCCCAGCCCCAGGGCCCCAGGGGACCGTTTGAGGCACGAAAGAATGTTGCACCATCCCTCCCCCCGGCCTTGTCTCGTTCTGGTCTGTCTCTGTCTGTCTGGTGTGGTGTGGTGGTCAGCTTTTGCTTGTCGAACCCACCCATTGGCTCTGGACGCTGGCCCCAGATGGCAATTCCTCCGAAAGGGTCGAATTTAGAGAGCCCTATACTGTTTGCCGCTCGGAGGCCCCGGGGTCCGGCCGTGTCTTTTTTGATGTGTGGACTTTCTCTCCTTTGTATGGTGTGCCTAGCCACACTTGAGGGCCTAGGCTTCTGCTAGTACTGGACTCTCGTTCCGCCTGGAGATCGTCGTCAGATCAGCAGCACCAAACCCCAGCTGGGGAGACAAAAAGACCCCAAGGTCTTCCGCCACCTTTGATGGCAGCGGCTTTTCGATCGTGGCGATCCAGCAGGCAGGTAATCCGGGGGAGGGGAGCGAGGGTTGCCATCCGCCATCCTTGGCACAGCAGGGGAGGCACGCTCATGCAATGTGCATTGCCTGATTGATGCATTGCATGGATGATGCATACATAGTCAGTGCCCATGCGCGTGTGTATTACGCTTGCTGGGTATATGTGCCAATGAGGAGACGAGGAGCATTGCGAAAGACGCCTGAATCCTTCTCCTAGTACTCAATGTCCGCCCCGGCGTACATTCGTGTTCGCTCTGGCTCCTGCGACGACTATCACTATTCGACAGCAGGCGAGATGACGGAGGCATGGGAGGGTGGCCACATATCGGGCTGAAGGACGACAAGGAGCAGGTCCCTCGTCTCTTAGTGGACAAACGCCACCTCGCTTGTTGATAAGTGTGATAACCTAAATTTGCTGAGACTGAGACGAGGGGGGGGGGGGGAGGAGATGACGATCTGGACGACGACAGCTCCCTCCTGGCTGACATTCATTCTCCTTAGGTCCTAGCGGCTCAGATCGGTCGAAACATACGTCCCCAGTTTACAGTACCCAGGCATCGGATTGGGACTGGGTGGATGTTTTGCGATAAGACTTCGTCCTGTTTGTCTCATGATAGGAATGAAGGGCCGACAGAAATCCTCCTGCGTGCATCTGTTTCTCTCTGTTCCGTCTTTAATCCCTCTCTTTCTCTCTCTAGTCTGATCGACGCCATCCACGTCGTGTGGGCTCCACCCTTCGGTACGACGGGTGCAGGCCAAGTCCGCCAAGTCTAAAGCTTGGCCTATCTACCCGCCGCCAGGCGATGAACAAGCCTTTTGCCTACAGCCACGATCGCCACTTTCAGTCCCTAGGCAGTGGTAATAACGCGATAATACTATAGGTCGGGCTACGGGGGCTATTTGGTACAGGATTACGAAAGGAGAAAGAATCCTGCGGGAGGTGCGTCTCTTGGCACTGCAGTCAGTCAATGTTGGTTGTGTGAGCTTCTAGAAGGAATCGTGAAGGGAGGTGTGTGTGCGTGTGCATCTGTGTGTGTGGGCATTTCCAAATCAATCACCTGCCGTAGACGGTGCGCGTATGTGGCGTCCTTCTTCTTACCTACCAGCGCAAAGTCTAGCTCAAGCAGGTGATCATCATCATGAATGATCCCTCCCCCAACAGAAGGCATTGCGATACTGTATTAGATGGTACAAAACTGAGTAATGACTGAGCCATGGTGGTAACGTGATGGTGGTATGGCCTCTCTTTTTCGTCTTCCTCCTCCTCCTTCTTTGTGCAGACCCGTCCAGTGAAGAAGAAACAAAGATGGGAGAAGGAGACAGGCAGGGAGACAGACAGAGAGACACACAGGCAGACAAGGATCCCTCGACGCATGCATGCAGCCATGGGCAGCCTGTCCTTGGGAAGACGGAAGTGGTGGGCCGAGGCCTGCGGTTTATGTCCAAGAATGGCAGGTGGTCCACCGAGGACGGGACGGGGATACTGATAAGACCTCCAAGACAACGTTCTCGAAGCCTTCGGCGCAACCTTCCCCCCTGTCCACCCCCCTGTCCATTCACCTGGTTGGCCCGCTGATATCCTAGGTTGCGGTTGCCCTCCCAGACTTGCAAGCATGCCCACCCTGCCACCCTGCCACCCTACTAAGGGACCTGGGACGTGGTCCTGCCTCGCCCTGCTGTTGAAGGTTTGCGCGGCATGCAATGCGACGTCCGAGACCATTCTTCTCTGCAGTACAAGTAGACCTTGAGGCCCTCGCCAGGACATGTCTGATCGACGTCCCATTGCCCCTCCCCTCTTTCCTCCTCCGTCCCCCCTCCTTCCCTTCATCCCCCTTTTCTTCATCACCCCTCCTTCCCTCTTTCACTCCTTGCCTGACAAGCAAGTGTAGTCAAACTCTTGGTCTTTGATACCATCCTGCGACAGGAAAGAGATAGAGAGAAAGAGCACAGCAACAATGGCCGTCGGTACTATAATCGAGCCCGTGGCTGACCCTCGGGCATCTCTGAATGTGGAGTTGCCGCACAAGGTCGAGGCCACTGGCGGGCGCGTCTTTGGCCTCAAGGCCCGTGTTGATCCCACGGTGACCTTTGAGGAATACCAGTAAGTATATATATGTGCCACTTCTTCGTATGTGGTGGTGACTCGAGTGTTGCTGGCCTGAGGTTGACCTTGTCTCTTTTCCCCCCCCCTTTCTCTAGGTACTATGCGGAGCTCCAGCGTGCCGCAGAGCACGAGGAGAACAAGAGGTACATCGAGGAGCGCGGCCCCATGAGCTTCACCAAGCTCATCAAGGGTCGTTTCTCCAAGGGTGTCCACCAGGAGCGGGAGGAGCGGGCCGCAAAGCTCGCCAGGGAGGAGGGCACAGGCAATGGCGTCGTCGCCAACACCGTTGGTGACGAGAAGAACGGCGGCGATGTCAGCCCCAGCAGCTCGAGCGTCGTCGCGGATGACGACTGGAAGACTCCTGTCCGCGCCATGCGCACCGCCAGCTGGGGTACCATCTTCTACCTCATCACCACCGACATTCTCGGCTGGGGCAGCACCCCTTACGTCTTCGCCAACGTCGGCTGGGGTCTCGGCGTGAGCATGTACGTTCTCTTCGGTCTCGCGGCTGCCGCTTCGGGCTGGATGATCTGGAGGGTCTTCCTCGGTCTCGACTCGCTGCACTACCCCATGGCCTCGTTTGGTGATACATACTTCCGTGTCTTTGGTCCTTTCTGGCGCCACTTCATCAACGTGTTCCAGGCCCTTCAGATGTTCATGACCGTCGCTGTCATTATTGTCGGTAATGCACAGATTATTGCCCAGCTCAACCCCAACATCTGCTACATGGTGTGCATGATCATCACCATGATTCTTGGCATCGTCTTGGGATCGATCCGCAGTCTGCAGCGCCTGGGATGGCTCTGCAACGCGTCCGTCTGGATGAACATTGTCTCCTTCCTCATCGTCATGGTTGCCGCGGCCAACTACGGCATCGACTACCAGTTCATCTTCAACTCGACGCTCATCAACACTGTCATGCCCGTCAAGACCTTTGCCGGCCCCCCTCCTGATGCCTACCAGATGTCCGCCTACGGAACGGCTGCCACCATGTCTGGTATCAACTCCATGGTGTACTCGTACGGTGGTGCCCTCCTCTTCGTCGCCTTCCTCGCCGAGATGCGTCACCCTTGGGATTTCTGGAAGGGCATGCTCGCCGCCCAGTCTTTCATCTGCATTGTCTACATCTTCTTCGGAGCCTTTGTCTACGGATTTTACGTAAGTTTTGTCTGTTGCTATGGCGCGAGCTAATAGTGGGGAGAATTGAGGCTGACATTTTCCTTCGTAACAGGGCCAATACTCGTCGTCTAGCATCACCCAGGTCACGGCCATGAAGAGCCTCCAGGTGACGGGCAACGTGTTCGCGCTGGTGACGGCCTTTATCGCGTGTTTCCTGTACTTCAACGTCGGCATGAAGGTGGTGTACCTCGAGGTCGGCCAGGAGATCCTCGGCCTGCCCCCAATCACCAGCAAGAAGGGCAAGCTGCTTTGGTACGCTCTGGGCCCCCTGTACTGGATCCTCGCCTTTGTCGTCGCCGCCGCCGTGCCCAACCTGTCAGGAATTTCGTCCATCGTCGGTTCGATGATGATTCTCAACTTCACCTACACTTTCCCCGCCTTCCTCTACCTGGGCTACCGCGTCAAGGTCGACGCCAAGCTCCCCGGCGAGGGCTTCGACCCGGTCACCCGCGTTACCACCCGCCACGACGGAGGTATCAAGCGCTGGTGGCGTGGCTACACCGTCAACTGGCACTTCAACACCGTCTATTTCCTGTACGGCTGCGGTGGTCTGGCCTGCTGTGGTATGGGTGCCTGGGCTGCTATCGAGTCCCTGATTGCCCTGTTCGGCCCGGGTGGCACCGTCGCCACCTCGTTCGGCTGTGCCGTTCCTGTGTAAAGAAAGAGAGGTGCAGGCGTTGCTCGAGCAAGTAAACTTGATCACTCCTTTTTCCCTTGGTACACGGTTTAAGAAGGGGAGCTTGAGGGTGGGTAAAGAAGCGTAGAGCCGTCGAAGGTGAAGCTTTTTTTTTTTTTTTTTTAATACTGGAAGATAAAGAGGAAGAAGAATAAAACTAAATTTCAAAATACCCTTCGTCTTTGCATGTGACGTGTGTCACAAGGCTTGACATGCGCATCTAATCATCCACCTCTACCTCTGTACGATGCGTCGCGGTGATGATCTGTTCCCACCTGCGGTTCAATTCTAATGTCTTGGTCATTAGATGCGATTCTGCTGCTACTCGTCTGAAACCAGCACACACGATCACAGTGAGGTTCAGCAACAAGAGCATCCGACGAGGACAACCGCCAGACCAACCAATCATCAAATTCCGCCCCCTCCATAAGCATCAGCATCGAGACTCCGTGCTGTTGGTTCGTAAGCCTATTGATAACCGCGCACCAGGAATGAGCTCGGCGTTTTGTGTTAAGGCCCCAAAGGGTTGTGCAGTATCTAATCGGGGCCTCTCACCACCTACTAACTATCCAAGCATCTACTATCTGTAATATTTTAGTGCTTTCCTTGGGGTATGCGTGGCGATCCTTTCTGGCGCGCTCCTCGCCCTCCAAAACTTAGAGTTTGCATCTCACATCCTGGCGTGAATGACATGGGGGGGGGGGCTTTGGTTGGGTTCGTCAGATTGGTTTAAACTTTAAAGGAAGCTACGTGACATCGGGGTTCATCCATCCGCCCATCTTGTCCTGTCCTGTGCAAGCCTTCTTGAGGGAAGGATGGGGGAGAATATGAATAAGATGCCAAGTTTCCCTTTCTGGCCACGATTTCCCCCTTCCATGCATGGTTCCACGCTAGCAGGAAGAAATGGTACGTAAGAAGGTATTTTTTTGAATACGAGATATGCGCGTCAAATGGGTTGTGTGTGTACTGTATGCGACAGGTCACCCGCCCCCACCTTCTTAAGGCTGACGAAGGGGAGGGGGAAAGAGGGGAGTAGAAGTGTTCTTCCGGGGGGGTTTTTTTTTTGCTCACCTTCCTGAAGTGGTATGGGGTGGCTTTTGACTATTGATTACGAATGAACGACAGGATCGGTTTCTTTCACACATGTGATGTGGCGGGACCCTGTCCTGGAGATAGGGAGTAGCATCCCGGTGCCTTGAGGTATGTGTGTTGGTCAGATCGATTGCAGATGTCAGATTTGTATTTGTAGATGTTGGTTTGTCACGTGCTCATGTATTGAACGTGTGAAAGTTTAGGAGCTGCGAGAGCATTGTTGCCAATGATGAGCGTAGAGGCAATACATTCGCTTTATTGTGAATTAGTTTACTTATTCCACAACCTCATGTAGGTGGTGAGGTTGGAAGATTCGAGAAGCTAAAGATTTCCGTGTTTCGTCAGTCAGACGCGTCACTTATGATTATGTTGAGGAAAGGGCATTTCGATTAGCTCCATTAGCACGGCTGGTCCGTACGTTTCTGTTTATCTCGGCCCTCAGGCCGAACCAGTTTAGATTCTTTTCTTCTTCCTTCAACAATCAATACATCAATTCTTCAGACATCAACATCAAAAAGTTAGACGCGGCACAGGATTACCTCTCACAACAGCTAGACCGAGTGCGGGATGACCTGAACCACCTGCCTATTCTTCAGAATAATCTCCTCCCAAAGCGACTTCAGGACTCGTCGGCGCAACCAGTCTCCATCAAGGCCACCGCCATAGCCTATGTCTACCGGGTCCTTGTCCACATGTCTACCGGTCCCGAATGGAAGCCCAAGCAGGCGAAGAAGAGATAGGCAGAGGTTCAGGGCGGAGAGGGCGCGAACGTTTCGGAACACAAGACTCTTGCATTTCTGGGCGTCAACCCAGAGTCAACCAAGCGGTTCCTGGCTTCTTTGCAGAGCTTCTCACTAAGGATCCTGGCGCCCTCCAGGCGCATGAATACCACCAGACCCGGCGCCGGACGGCAAAGCTCCTCAAGAGACAGACGGCATACCTGCGCCGGTCTACCACAGAGGCCGAACCCCGGCCCCTCTCCGCCATTCTTGACACTTGGGACCAGATCCGGAGCATCCTGGGACCCCAGATGCCGCGCCCCGACGGACTGGACATGTCAGATTTCGCACCCAACCCCCACATTGCCAAGCTGGGTGGCAAGGCCGCCCAGGAGTTTGTGGCCGCCTCTGGCGAGGCTATCTTGCGCGTGGCTGAGTGCCTCGGCGAGTCGCTTGAGGAAGATATACCGGATGACAAGCTCACCAGCGAGGTCACCCGTGTCATCAACCACTCCTTCTTCCTGAGCAAGGTGGTGTCGGGAAAGCCGCCTCCCGACATCGACTTTGAGAGGACCCTCGATAGCTTCGGTTTCAGGGGCGAGGATCGGCAGACGCTACGGTTCAACATGAAGAATACAGAGCTCAGGCCGACCTGATGTCTTCGCGGGCCCACGCAGCCGCTGCGACTAGCGATGATGATGACGACGGGGAGGAGGATGCGGGGGCAGTCCAGCCCCATGTGCAGCAACGCTACAGTGATGGCGATGAGGACAATGATCAGGGCCGCCCTAACAAGGCCGAAATCTTGCGGGAGGCATTCCGGTTCCTCCCCCACCAAGTTGCTGATGCATGTGAATGTTATCAGTACTGCAAGCGCAGTCCCGTGCGGTGCTATATCAATGGCACAGATATGGGTGTTGGCAAGATGTTGTCAGGCATGGCTTCCATCTATCTGATGTACAAGGACCAGAAGTCTCGGCACGAACGTGGTCTCCTCACCCACCACCACGTGTTCGGGCCCAACATGTAGATTACCAAGCCTGAAGCTGGATATACAGAGCATAAATGATTTCCTTCACAAGTCTATTCTAGCGTGGGATGCTCTTGCGTTTCTCCTGATACTATACAAAGAACAAATACTAATAAACACACACACACACACACACACACACACCAACCCCCCCCCCCCCCCCCCAAAAAAAAAAACCACCAAAAAAAATGAAACTGAAACCTGAAAACTGAAAAAGGGCAGGGACTCAACTCACTCCTTCCCTCACTTCCCCTCCGATGGCCTCACCACTCGAATTTTCCCCCTCAAACTTTCCCTCTTCCTCTCGGCCCTCTCGGCCCTCTCGGCCCTCTCGGCCCTGTTCCGCAAACCCGCCGCAGACTTGGCATGATGCAGCGTCCGCGCAATCAGGCCGCCGCCTCCTCCTCCTCCTCCTCCTCCTCCTCCTCCTCCTCCCAGCACTCCAGGAAACACACTCTTTTCCGGCGTAGGCGTCTCCGGACTCCACGCCGAACCGGGTGCCTCCGCGTCCACCTCCGCCGCCGCCGCCGCCACCCCCGCCACCACCGCAGGACCCCATGACGCCGCCGAGCCGCGCCGGCTGCCTGCAGCGCTGGCACTGAAGCTCGTCCTGGCGCTGTTGCTGCCGCCGGTCGTGACGCCGCTGCTCCCGCCCGTGAAGATGCGCGCCAGCAGCGAAAACCGCGCCGCCCCGGCCCCCGGGCCGCCGTCTAAGCCTGCCTCCTCTGTTGATGTCGTCGTGCGGATGTGGCTGCTGTTGCTGTTGTTGCTGCTGCTGCTGGTGATGCTGCTATGGAGCACGGTTGGGTACGGTGTGCGCTGTGGGGTCTTCCAGGTCGAGGAGGACGAGGACGAGTAAGGGTGGGGGACCACGGTAGCGCTGAGAGGGGTAGGACGGCGGCCTCGACGCTCTGAGAGGCCGCTGCCGGCGCTCCCGTCTCTCCTGCGGAAGGGGTCAAGGGAAGGTGGGCGACCTGGGTTGGGCGTGCTGGGGCCGCGAGGGCTTCGTGCCCAGGAGTTCCTCTCGGGGGCAGGCTGGCGATTGTTGTGGTTGTTGTTGTTGCTGCTGCCGCTGCTACTACTGCTGTTCCTCCCTAGGCAACGGTGGTGAAGGCTCTGGGACAGTGGTCCTGGTGGTGGTGGTGGTGGTGGCGGCGATCGTAGTGATGGTGGTGATAATGGCGATGAGGACGATCGTAGGCGTCCTCTTCCGGTCACGGTCGGGCTGCTCCTAGCAATGGATACCGCCGTTTCGTGGTAGAGTTCAGCAGCCGTGGGCTCAAACTCCATCTCGGTCTCGCTCACGTCGCTTGAGGACGACAGGCTCATCGAGTCTGCATCGCTGCTGTGACGACGTTGATGATGCTGGTACCAGGACTGGCGCTGCGGTCCTGTTTCTGTTGGAGCAGGCGTCGTCGCCCTCTTCTCCTGTTGGGGGGCTGGTGAGGCATACGCAGCGTCGGCTTCATATCTGCTCAGGCGGAGGGCGTTCGTTGGGAGAGGTGGTGGAGGGAGTTGCTCGTCGCCGTCTGTCCATGGCTGGTGGAAGGCTGGGAACGACCTTGTCGTTGGGGCGAACCTTGGTGTTGTCAGTGGTGTCCTGATCTCGTTGTCGTTGCTACTATCCATATCATAGGATTGCTGGAAGTAGCCACACACTGACGGGTCGGATGACATGCTCTCTGCATACTCATGGTAACATGTGTTAGGTTCTGCCACATCGTGTCGGTAAGCTGCGATGTCGTTCTCCTCCTCTCCGAATGTATACGCCTGGCACTGGCTCGACCTCCTTGCACCGACATCAAGGCCGGTGATCTGCCGGATCTTGGTTGACGAATTATGCAATGACGGCGTACCTGGAGGAAAGCTCGTCCTCATCCCCGCCGGGCTCATATTGACAGCCATCTGGAGAATCCTCTGCGCACTCGACCTGGGCTGAGGAGAGAGGATCTCGTCCGACGGCGCGGTCGGGATGACGATTTTATTGGCAGCGGCAGGTTCCACGAAGGTGTGTTGCCCACCTGCTTCCTGCCCTTGCCCGGGCCTCGGGCCTCGCATCGAAACAATCAAAGCAGTTGGTTCTGCTGTGTTGCGTTGCAGTGCAGCCGAGCTTGCTTCTGCTGCTGCTTCTGCTTCTGCTTCTGCTGCCACCACCTGGTCCGGGACAGAGGGTCCTGGTTCCGGGCCTCGTGACATCCCCTCGAAGGCTGCTAAAGCTTCAGTCGCGTGCCTCGTCTGTTTGATCCTTAGTGGCCTGATGCTGAAGGGGTACGTGAGACCTTGGTATAACTTGACTGAACTGCCGTCCTCTTCCTTTTCCCAGTCGAAGAGAAACGGCCTGTTGTCATCCACGACGCGGCCGCTGGTGGTCATCGACATAGAAGCGTGGTCCATTTCCGCGCTGAAGGAGGAGGCAAACGATCTCCTGTGCAGCGGCAAGGCAGGCAACGGTTTTGTCTCGTAGTCCACATAGTCGAGGGGCGGCGAAGCTAGTGTTCCTACTGAATCTTGTCCCATGTAGACACTATCACTGTCGCTATCCTCCATCTCGGCGACGGGTTCACCCTCGACCATTTTTTTCTTGGGTATATTGACACATACACGAACAAATTCTGTTCCCTCAATCCAGTCGCTGGCTAGCTTCTTCCTGATCGATCGAGAAGAGAGAAAAGAAGCAAAAGAATAAAGAAAAGACATGGATATTAACAAGAGGTGACATTGATCGCACCACTGTTGTAGCCTTGCGCACCACAAAGAAAACCGTAGACAAAAGTCCCGGTCTTTTCAACCCATCATCGCTCACGAGATGTCCCTCTCTCTTCACTCCATCTCAGCCTCCACAAACAAAGAGAAGAAGGGGGGAAAACAGCGTTGCGCAAAGGAACTTCAAGAATTGGCGTATGCTTGATCAAGAGAAAGGCTTTGAGATATTGCAACTGGAATTTGTTGCTGCGGTGAGACGGAGCGACGCCTGTGCTGCGTTCATGCTGGCGTCATTGACGCTTGCATAGTACGTTTCTTCGGACAAAGCCATTCATCTCAAACCTAGTCCTGGCATTGAAGGAGGGTTTGAATTCTTGTTGTACACTAACCTAGAAGACACACACACACACAGAGAGCGAGAGCGAGCATTGTAAGCATGGACGTGGGATATCACCTACCCAGCATTACGACGTCGATGCTCCCATTATTCCATCGCATCGCCATCACTCACGAGCTCAAAGAAGTCACGTGTGCTTGATTTGCTTCTGGTCATATCGTGAGTGACAAACCTTAATACATCGCGTTGGTTGACGAGGAACCGCCAAGGGCCACTCTCTGAAAACTGCTGACAAGTCGCAGACTGAGCGGGCATAGAGACAGCACGGCATCTAATGGCCCGGGGGTAGGAGGTAAAGGGAAAACTGACTGACTGACTTTGGTATTATTTTCTATCACCGATAACACCAAGAAAAAAACAAAGAATATGCTCCTTGAACTCCTTCTCACCCGGTGGCCAGTCGCAAAGCCTGGTATCACTCCCGATGCACCCACCACATGCAACATGACCACTGCATTTCCAAGAAGAAGAAAAAAAGAAGAAAAGAATCACCCAAAGTTCCGGCCCATGTATCTCACTCCGTCTAGTCACCCACAGAAGGATAAAAAAGATAGCCGCCAACAAAACACTAGCATACGCCTTGTCCCTGGAGCACTTGTTGAGAGGAGACGACCTCTTTAATCTTCGTCCTCGTACTTCCCCTGGTAGTCGCCCAACAGGATATCATCCACCTCTAGCCCCGTGTGCGTGTTCCTCAGCCACTCGGTCTCGACACGCAGGAAGATCCAGACCCAGCGCCGGAACACCTCGAGGAACTCAATGATGAAGATGGAGGCCTCAAAGTCGGAGATGTGGTCCAGGTGCGGGCTGAGCTTCAGCGACCACGTGCAGCGCAGCATGAGGTCCATGGCGATGATCATGTAGTAGGTCGGGGGCCCGTTGCCGACCAGCAGCCTCCTCCGCAGCCCAACGGCGTGGTCCGGCGCGTTGCGCTCCCTGGCGCCCGAGAACAGCGTCAGGTCCCAGTCCTTGGCGACGTCCCAGTAGAAGCTGTACAGGCTGTTCACCAGGCACGCGGCGACCCACGCGCGGTACAGCCCCGTCCGGCGGGCATCGTAGGCGGGCGTGTCGGGCAGGTTCCTCTGCAGGGCGCTGAAGATGATGACGGGGAACGAGGTCGCGTACTTGGTCGCGTTGGCCAGGTGCTGCCCGCCCCAGCCGACGCTCTCCTTGTAGGGGGCGCGGCGCACGCGGACGTACTCGATGAGGCACTGGCGGAGGCGGATCAGGTACGGCGTGGCCATGATCAGAGGCACCAGCACACGGCCGCCGCAGTTCCTGTCCGGTCGGTCGGTCGCGCTGCCGGTGGCGCCGTGAAAGAACATCATGCAGATGCACACAAACAGGTCGCCCATGACCTTGGCGTACGACGTGAGCACATCAGCCAGGAGGATGTCGCCGAACTTGCCGTCGGCGGCCTGCGCAAGCCCACCAATGCTGACGCGCCTGAGGGTTGCGAGGAGGCGGCTGCGGCCGCTGTGGCTGAGGGAGAAGGAGCGCAGGGGGAGGGCGAAGAGGATGGCGAGGACGACGAGGTAGGTCATGGGCATCCAGTCGTAGTAGACAACCAGGGCCGGGTTGCGGTGGGAGAAGAGCCAGAAGGTGACGATCGAGAGGGCGAACGTCGCGGACAGGACGGCTGCGAGACGGTACGTGGAGAGGTGGTGGGGTGGATGCGAGGCGGACGGTCGTGATGGGTAGCGGATGAGCGAGGGCACGTCGATCTTGCGGTCATGGAGGTAGTGCAGGTTGATGCCCCATCCCCAGACGGCTGCGCCTCTGGGTCAGTACGCATGGAAAGATCTCCGATTGTTGGGTTATGCATGCGCCAATCTCGACTCACCAAGAACCACGATAAATGCGACGCGGTAAGGAAGGGGAAAAGTGAGGCTGAAAGAGTCGAGCTGCGGCTCGACCGCCGGGTCGCCGTCCATTCTGCCAGCCTGTGTGTCCTCCTATTGTCGTCTCGTCTGCGATTGAGTACATGAATTATAAAGAAGAAGAAAGTGTTTCGGATGGTTCGCCCACAAATCCCCTCGGCGCACCTCAAATAGTGGGTGTTTGGGTTGTGGTGTGCGCAGTTCAGGTCGAGGCTTGATCTTCATCCCTAGAGCGCAGAATAGTAGGTGTACGTGTACCCATAGTACTTAGGCAGTGAGTAAGTACTAAGTAGTAGGGTCACAATTTGGAGCTTGTCGTAGGGGGGGGGGGAAAAAGGAGCCACATAATTTTAGGGGTCGCGCGTCATTGTCCGGCAGTGGCCGAGCATCCCCTGCCTAGAGCTCAGTATAGTGGATCAGTGACAACCCCCCCCCCCCCAGCGCCTCTGCTCACTGACAGCCGAGGCAAGTGTCACTTATCGTTACAATGCTCTTCTTGTGTTATTACTACTATCCTCTCGAAGCTGACCTTCACCTTTCAACATACCATCACATTTTTGGCTTTCTTTTCTCTAGTCTCCATTCATGGGCGATCTATTGTGGATCAATTTCTAACAACAAGAATGTGGAGAGGAGAGTCCACCCCAAGAAAGAAAAAAAGAAAGCATCACAAGATGGCCCCCTCAACACCAGCGCGACGGACGGCCTCGACAACTTCCTCCCCATTCCCCTTCGCCACCGCGCCAGATATCATTCGTGCCCACCAAAAGGACGCCTACTTCCAGGGCCTCCTCACCAACCAACTCCTCGACCTCCACCGCCGCCTCCTCGGCGCCCGCTCCTCCCACGCCTGGGCCAACGAGAGTCGCACCGCCGGCGACCTGCTGTACCTGTGCCTGACCACCCTCCTCGGCAACCGAACCCTGGGCGAGGAGTACTGCGACCTAGTCCAGGTAGAGGCCCCCTCCGCAAGCAGTGGCAGCGGCGACAAGGACGCAGAACAAACCACGACAGCAGCCGCCGGCGGCCCAAGACTACCCTCCCTCCGCCGCCGGTCAGCCTATATCGCCCTGTCCGCCCTCCTCCCCTATCTCCTCTCGCGCGCCCTCCCCGCCGTCCGAGCCCGCCTGCGCGCCCGTCTCGAAGCCCGCCTCGCCGTCCTCCGCCGACGCCACCACCACCACCATCATCAGCACAACAGCAAAGGGAATCCGCACGCCCCTCCAAAGACCACCCTCGAGTACCGCGCCGGCCGTTACCTCCTCGCCCACCTGACCAGCCTCACCTCCGGCGCCCACATCCACGCCGTTGTGCTGGCCGCCTTTTACTTCTCGGGCGCGTACTACTCCCTGTCCAAGCGCCTGACGGGCCTGCGGTATGTCTTCACGCGCAGGCTGCCCGAGCACCCTGCCGGCGCCGACGGCAGGGGCGGCTATGAGGTGCTGGGCGTGCTGCTTGTGGTCCAGCTTGCGGTGCAGGGGTATCTGCATGTGCGGGCCACCCTGGCTGGGCTTGGTGAGGAGGAAGCCGGTGTTGAGGCCGTGATTCGGGAGAGGGCCTTTGGGCCTGGTGGTGGTGGTGGTGGTGATACCATGGATGTCAGTCTGAACGAGCTCAGCTACAGCGTGAACAACGACCTGCTCCTCAACACAGGCACACCGGGCGGGCGGCGCAGTCGAGCAGCGATCGGAGCGATGGCACACACGCCTGTGCCCAAGGGGTGGTCATCACGGGCGGATGATGGCGCCGGTGGCGGCGGCGGCGCAGCGAGGTATGACCTGAGCGACAATCAACTTCTGGGCTGGATCAAGGGGTCGTCGCAGAGGAAGTGTACGCTGTGCCTGGAGGAGCTCAAGGATCCGGCGGCGACGGGGTGCGGGCACGTCTTTTGCTGGACGTGCATTGGGGACTGGGTTCGGGAGAAGCCTGAGTGTCCCTTGTGTAGGCGAGAGGTGATGGTGCAACATATATTGCCGTTGAGGGCAGTTTGACTGTAGTTTATCTTTCTTTCCCCCCCCCCCCCCTCTTCAGGCATCAATACCACCTCGTGGTCTGTTGGAGGAAATTGAATTTATGGTGCGTGGTCCAGATGATATTGAAAAGTTTCTGTATGCAAGGGCCTGACCGGAAGTGAGAACAGACGGACTACACGGTGGCAGTGAGGCTATCACTGTTACCACAATACATCATCACATATGTATGCACGGCTGAGAGAGCAGAGTATAGACTGTGGATGTCATCAACAAGACGATGTGAACTTTCATATATGCTTGACAAGTAAGCTTTGTGTGTAAAGACAGCATCGGAATCGAATAGTAGCAAGCCTTGGGCCCCCCTCTTTCCTGCTCTCTATGTGCCCTCAGGTAGTCCAGCCGAAGGAGCAGAATCCATTAAGCCCACTCTTCTTTCCACCAGTAGCAGAATACAGACAAAAGAGACCGGACGTGGTTGTCCGGGGGATGAAGGGAAAGACATGTTTCCATCCACATTCATGTGGCCAGGGGATAATCGATCGATCTTCATGATGATTACTCTCCCCTCAGGTATAACGCTGTAGACGACGCCCGTTGTCGTTGTTGTTGTTGTTGTTGTTGTCGTCGTCATCGTCGTCGCCGCCGCCGTCGTGTACTTCTCTTCCTCTGTCCTCATGCAGCCCAAACAGTACATATACCCAACTTAAAACAACCAAGAGCACAACGTATCAAGGTATCATTATTGCGTAACCACTTGGCACCATGAACTCCGCGTCACATCAAATCAAGTCGGATCCGGGAACGCCGTCGTCAAGATGTATGCAAAAGTAACCAACCATGTATGCTCAGAACTTGTTGCAAGGTCGCACTCTCGCTCGATCACTCTCTCGTACCAATCGTCAGGTCAGACTGAGAATAGTACGATCTCTCCCCTATCGTTTCTTTTCATTCGCAACGACCTGAAAAGCTCTTTCTCCTCCAGGGGCTTCGGCGATGTATTGCCCGCCCCGCTGCGTTCGCGGTGGAAGCGTTTGAGCGCCTTGTTGAAGCTGCAGCCGCGCTGACTCTCGGGCCCCTTGTTGACCATGCTGAAGAACAGGTCGGCACGCTGGCCAAAGACAACCATGGGGCCAGCTCCGCTCCGGTGTCCGTCCCTCTCGTGCGTGGATTCGCTCTTGTATTCCAGGAGCCTTGGTTCCTTGGCGCCTTCTAGGTGCCTGGACCGGTGGTGGGAGTGGCGCTTCTTGCTGGAGGTTGTCGTGGTGCTTACCATGGATTTGCGCTTGTTGGCCTTGCTGGTCGGGTTGTTAGAGGTCCCCGAGTTGGTGAGCATGGACATGATGTTGTTGCCGATGCCGCTCACCGGGCGGCTGGACCGGTGGTGCTTGGAATGTCTGGACTTCTTCAGGGGACTGGCGGGCGTCTCGCCGAATTCTCCGCCAGATCCTGAGTAGTCAGGCGACGGTAACGTTTGAGGCCGGCTCAACATCTTGGACATGCCGCCCGTGAGGCCGGTGTGGAGGCCCGGCGCATCTGTCATCTCGAGGTCATGGGTGTCAATGTGGAGTCGCTTTCTCTTCTTGTCCTTCTTGCCGTCTCTGTTTGACCTCTTGCGCTCCCTGGCGGACCTGGGCAAGGGTGTCTCAAAGGTGACGCCGAGTATAGGACCTGTGCCGTAGGAGATCATAGCCTCGTCGTCTGCCATCATTTCCAGGTCGAGATCATCAAGAGGTTTGGGCTCTTCGAAACGGACGAGCTGGTTCTGCTCGCTGGGGGCTGCTTCCGAAGGACCAAGAGCTGTGGGTAGTGCAACGGCGGACGCAGTTGGGGTTGGGTTCACCATGTATTCGAAGACGTTGAAATCATTGGCCGGCGGTGGGCTGGGCGCTGGCGGTGGCGGGTTGGCAGGTTTCTCCCACCCGTCGTAGTCGGGCACCTCCTCGACGTATGCTCGGTGGGCCATGTTGTCCTTATTGTTACCGTTGCTATTGGTGTCGTTATTGTTACTGTTGTAATTGTTGTTGTTCTGCACAGACGTTGTGATGCGGTCTGTGGTTTTCGCTTTCTTGTTTTTGTAGAGAGCGCCTTGGTATTTCTGTTCCTCTGTCATGCAGCTCTAGGGGAAAGAAGAAAGCTAATTAGTCTCGGGGTTCTGGTCCCTCCGTCATTGTATGACCCTCGGGCGTAACGATAGGCGTCATCATACCGTGTGAGAGCGATAATCGGTGCCGTAGAAGTGGACCATGCAATCAATGCAAGTGAATGTGGCAGCTCGACAACGATTCCGGTGAGGATCGAGTTTCTTCTTGGTTAGGACATCTCCGCAGGCTGCGTTTGGGGAGAAGAGACGAGAGAGGTCAGCTTGGGAGTCTAGTAGTCGAGAAGCAGGAAAGGGAGGGACTCTGGGTAAAAAGGGTGTGACATGAAGCCCGAGGGGTGGTGGCGTGTCCCGAGGTGGGAGCGTGTGTATGTCTCTGTGGTGTGTGTGTCTGGGAAAGGATATATTGGAATTGGGATTGTCATAGCACAGCTCTTAGCACAGAGACATTGCCTCAAGACGGAAAGGGGCAGCTGGAGGGGAGGACTGGGGCGACGGGAATGCGACAAGGTGTGACATCAAAGGTCAGGCATCGGCATGACATTGGACTGCAGGGCAAGATGATGCACACTTTCAAGGCTGGAAGGGGACTGGCTGGGCGGGAATGGACAACCGGGGGGGGAGGATGTGATGGAGGTGGGGTGTGTGTAGCAAGAAGTACATAGAGGTTCCTCCCCACCCCGGGGGGAGGATTGGCGATAAACGAGACCAGCAAGAAAAGCCCAGCATGCCACAAGAGGTAGTGACACTAGAACAAAATCAGGTGATAACAAGAGGGCAACCTGTTTGGTCTGGTGATGGGCTCGCTTGCTGAGGGGAGGATGGAAGAAGGAAAAAAAGATATCGTGACTCTGGACGTTGGGTGGTAACGGCTTACCTTCGCACTGGAAGCTCACCATCTTGACGACAGTTGGGCTGGGATGGACTGGACTGGACTCGGCAGGGAAGAAACCGGTTGTGTTGATTATGGTCGCGACGCTGGCTCTCTGTTATGCAGTGGGCTTTGCTGTGGTGTGTGGGCGGGATGGTTGATTGGCACGCGGTTCTTGAGGTATGCAGCGGATGACGGCCGAAGCGTGTTGCTATTTGACTGGACGCGCTCCTCTCTTTTTGCCTCCTCGGCTCGACCTTTGTATTAGCCTGCAGGCGATCTGCAAGCGTTCCGATCCGTGATGCTTTTTCGTCCTTCTTGGCTCCAGGTGCGATCGTCAAGAAAGCGCCGAAATGACGATGACCTTCGCCACAGATAGCACCGTGTGATGAAGAACAATGCCTGCCTGTGAGAGTTTGTCTCGGTTGCTGCAGCAGCAACAACAACAACACACAAGTAGCACAACAGTACGCACACCAAGTTTGCTATGTCGGGGGCGGCTGTAGCTGCGCTCTCTCAGGTGTCGTCGGTGACGCGCGACGCTGCAAGTGCTGGGGGGATTTTATTTTTGTCGCCCTGCAAGAGGACGAGTGCTGCGTGAGGATTGGTTCCTGGCGGCAACGGATGAGACCCTGGATGAAAGAATAGATACACGGCGCGAATGGGCAAGCAACGGTTGGCTGGCCCTGGACGGTTGTTGACTGGAAGCTGAAGGAATAAATGAAAAGATCTGGATGCGCGCCAAAAGGAAGCTGGCACGATTTTCTTTTCTTTTTCTTTCCCTTCCTCGTCTTTCTCTCACACACTACCACACGCACGGTGCGTTCGTTGCTGCTTGGCGGAGGACGGGGGTGGGGTCGCGACAAGGCAAGAGCGAGGGAAACCTTGCAACGTTCATGCGATCTCGCTTTTTGGAGGTTAAAACTGGCGTGGCTTTCCCTTGTGACTCTGATAAGAGACAAACCAAGCACAGAAGCTCCAAGGATGTCTTCGGAAAAGGTGTTTGGTCGTGGACTGGTCCAGGTTCCAGGGTCAATGTTGACAGGTTGAAAAGAAGCAGAAATTTCTGCGTTGCCCGGGTTGTCATGCACGTCAACTTGCCATGGAGACCAGGAGGGCGAACGACGAGTCCTGAGTACCACCTAATACCACACGCCCCCTCTCCGGATCACGCCCCCCCCCCCATCCTCATACATACTAAGTCTTTACTGTACACCCTGTCGCCTTGTCCCCAGTAAGTAAGTGCATAGTAGTACCCCAGTTCGTATATTCAACAGCCACCAAACCTTGTCCACCCTGTACTATGTAGACGCTTGCTTTACAAACGACTACAAACTTTCCACTGAAATCTTCCGTCTTCACCAAGAAAATTATTTTGAGAGATTCTGAAAATTATTTTGAGAGATTCTGTTTCCTGCATTTGACCCAAGAGGGAGAGAGGGGGCGTTCGGTTCACGCTCGGTCTGGAATGACACTAAGCACAGGAATGGGCGAGAGGAGGGTCTAAGCCGTGCTGCAAGCTTGACGTGGTCCCAGTGATGACAGCCATAGAAACCACCTTAGGGAGGGTCCTGTCGAGACAACACATGCCCCCAGTGGGACTTCTCCGAGCACCAGCCTTTTCTTTCTGTCTTCTTTCTGCTTTTCCTCCTTCCCACTTCTCCTGGGCGTCAGACGAAGATCTCATTGCATCAGCTTCTCCAGTAATTGTCATGCTCAGTAGCACAATTGACCTCTCAACGCGTGTCCCATGCCATAGTAGTAGACTATTATCAAATAGTACTGCCTTGGCCCCCTTCGTGTAGCACACTACACTGTGTCGTACAGTGGGTGCCCCTGGCAACCTGGGACCCCTGGCGGCTAGGTGATGCACAATAGCGCTTCCTTGAGCTGGGGGACAACCCCCTCCAGCTCCTTCGAGGCTAGGGCGAAACGCATCAAACGCGTGCTCTGCCGAGTCTAATTAAAGACGACATGCCACCTCCAGATCCAGTGTGTAGGGGCGTGAACGTAGACAATTAGATGAATGGACTTTCTATATATATCAACTCTTGCTGGCTCCTCTTTTCATGGGGAGGAAGAGGGATCTTCAGGGTGCTTTTAAGTCGATCAAAACGACCGCGATCGGGTTCTTTGAGAACAAGAGAACAAGCAATCAGAGAACAAACACCCCTTCAAACCATGCCTGGTCCACGGCCGATATTGATGAGACAACTTGGCCCTCAAGCCCATCGACGCGTGGGCAAGATCTGCGGACATCCACACAGCATCATGATGAACTTGAACGACGAATGCGGGCGATTCGTACATATAGTGTCATCACATATTGCATGCCGACTCCTCGACCACAGTGCAGAACAGCTAGATGGAATGGAGGGAAGGAGGTATACATATACATATGCAGATTTATTCAAATGTATAACACAATCATAATGGGAATTGAAGACGCATTCTTGGTCTTGCAGAGGGAGAGGCAGAGAAGTAAAAGAGTAAAGGCACAAGAGATTGCTCACAGGGTCGACATCACCTCTTCGAATCTCGCGTGCTTGGTGCCAGCAGTGTCTCACCTCGTCTATCCAAAGTCTCGCCTCGCGGATGAGCATGATGTGGCCCGCGAGATTGCGTGTACCGAATGAACCAATGGGTGAGATTGCTACCCTCATCTCAGAAAGACACAGCTGCCGAAGTCAGGGCGGACCCAGAAGTGATGAACAGGGCATGTCGTCTGAGGCGCGCAAGATGACTGATGATGATGATGATGAGGATGAGGATGATGATGCTGCGTCGTCCGTCCTGAGCCAAGGGCGGGCACTCGAGGTCAGTAAATGATAGCGAGGAGATAGCCAGCAGCGAGGAAGGGTTCATTCCTCCGATGTCCCAATTTGTCAGAAAAGACGCCGGTGGCGCACTGTTGACTCAGACCTCTGGAGTCGTCCAGAGACCGGACAGTCGAAGCAGTCTCACCATATCAAAGAGGCTCCTTCCAACTCCCAAAAAGCTGGGTGATGTTCACCCTCTTCTAGTTCGACGCCCAAGGCGCAAGATCCAATCGACGTCTGGCCCCTTTCTCCGCCGTATGCTGTCAAAGACGAGCCTCTTCACCAATGAGAACATGGTGAATCTCGGGTGAAAAGGTCCACCGGCCGACGAGGGCTGGTGGGATGAGAAGAGACGACGATGCTGGGACGCGCAGGGATGGGCGTTTCAGGTCGTGCACCAGGAAAAGGCTCCGAACCCGAAGGTGCCGTAGCGACTTGTATCAAATGGCGACGGCGATGAATCAGCATAATTTGTGGGTTTGTCACATCAAATATGATCTTAGCCTTATTAGATACCCGCCTGGTGGGCCCCCATCGATGCTCATTGAGCCATCACAATACGATGAAGCCCATCAAGCCCTTAGATGGATAACTTTTGTGCTGCTAGTAAGAGGTGAGGATGTTGTTTATGTGCGACTTTTATTTGTTCTTGTTTTGTTGTTGTTTAGCCTTACCAACCACTGGATTTCACCACTTCCCCATCCCACGATTGACGCAGAGATAGACTTGTGGTGTCTAGGACATGATCTTCAGCCCGTACGTTGAAGCCCGTGACCTGCAGAATGCACTCCACTCTGCCAACTGTCCCATCAATCACCATCCACTTCTGGTGGACTCTAGGCTCCTACCATACAGACTATGGCAGTGGGAAGGGAGAAAAAGGAAAGACGAGAGGAAGGCAAAGAAAGACAATAGAAAAAGGAACAAAAAGTGCCCGGGGAAGGGGCATGACGTCGACTCAAGAGCAGATGTCAGCCAACGGATCTTCCTTCGCTTGAATCCAAGCTGACCTCTTTACTTTTGCCAGGACACTATCCATCCTGCATATATGCGGCCTTTGTTTCTCAATCCGCCTGGTGCTTTGTCCGATCATGGGGTGGCTTGTACCGAAAGAAGAAAAAAGATATGTCTTCCTTTTTGTGTTGTTCATTGAATCATTACCATGTATTATAGTACCACGTATATACAAGCAGCCTGGGAAGATCGGCAGCAGGGTGTTTTTGTTCCAGAAACAAAAAAGAATGCGGAACAAGACCCACTTCTTCTATCACGAACAGCACCAGCCCACTGGGGGTGTTTCGTCTTTGGAGGGAGTAACGTCGGCACGTATTCCCCCTTCGAGAACCCATGTGAACTCGATCTCAACTTTCTTGTGACCTGGACAAAGAGTCGACAAGGCAAAGGATCTCGCGTGGCGATATTTGAGTAAAAAGCCGGAGACCGACCCAGTCAGTTCATGCTTCGGGCGTCCGAGTTTGATCAACTGCCCAATGCGGCGGTGTGCGCCGGGGGCGTCGTCACGTCTTCCCGTGGTGCAAGGAGCTGAGACGGGGGTTGGGGGGGGAGGAAGAGAAAGGGAGAAAAAGACACCACTTAGAGGCAGGAGGAAAGGAAGAGGAGGTACATCTCCTATTCGGGATACGGAGTCTGATTCACAACCCGGCGTACAAGTAGTACGTACTACGGTACCGTAGTGCCGGGTTATTACAAGAGGACAGTAGGGCGGAATAGTACTACCCATACACCCAGCTCTGAGACGTGAGCAAGCCCTTCGCAGAAAACGAACCCGACCGACCCCCCCTGAAGCTGTTAGTGGGGACGGCAGTGTCAGGGGGCTTGCCTGCTGCTGGAACCATAGTGGACCTCTCAGCGCACTGCTGTGCCGCTGCCCTGTGTCAAGTCGTCGTCCCCCAGCAGGTGATGCATTGTGGATGCTTAGCTAAGGGCCCAAGTGCCTAAGTTCTCACCAAAGGATTCCCTGCCACACCTGCCAACTGCGCCTGGCCTGGCCCGACCGTGTAATCTGCATCTTGCATCGTGCATCTTGCATCTCGAAACCCTGGAGCCTTTCGGCTGAACCCAGAGCTCTCTCGACTTTCCCCCTCATCTCACAGCCCGTCCTTGGGAAAAAACGGGGCCTTGGCAATCCTGGCTGACGATCTGCCTCTGGCTTGTCTCCTCTTTCTCTAAAAAGTACAGATCAAGCAGTATTGTCTGCCTGCCTGTCTGTGCTGGCCTGTCCCTGTCTGCGCCCTGTCTCCTCCTCCTCCCCTCCTCCTCCTCCTCCTCTTCTGCCCCCAGACCAGATCGAGCGAGACCGACCAGACGGGACCAGCAACAAAGCACAGACCTGCCAGAGTACAAAGTACCAGAGGGGACAGTGAGGGTCGGGACCCTCAAACAAACTGCACTGCATCGTACATCCGAAGCCAAGGCACCGCACACACACACACGCACGCACGCACGCACGCACGCACGCACGCACGCACAACCTCCCCCTCCTTTCCCCCTTCTCGCCTAGTACTCCTGCTTCGACAGTACAACCTCCCCCGTTGGTGTCCCTGTCTTACACACTCTCTCTACTACTCATACTTTCCCCCCTGTCTTTTCTTTTCCCCTTTCCCCTTCTCTTCTTTTTAATTACCTACTATGTCCTCCCCTCCTCCATCCCAGACTCTTGTCGAGTCAACCGTCTCGCTCCTCGGCACTGCCGCCTCGTGGATGCGACTACCGGCCATTGCCTCGACTGTAAGGCATACTGCCTCCTTCGTCATGTCCTGAATCTATTTTCTCCCTGCCTGCTTTTTCTTTTGGTCCCCTCACCACCCCCCACCCCAAAGTCGAGGCTCCTATGTCGTCGTCCGCCAGCCCGGCGTCATACCTCCTCCTCCTCCTCCTCCTCCTTCTTCTCGGGGCTCCTACCTCTCCGAATGCGCTGTTCCTTTGCGGACGACCTGAGGCGCGACCTGAGGGACTTGGCTAATCTCGTCACATCCAAGGGCGTTGCTGCTGTTCTCACATCCCTCCTCTACTTCAAGCAAAAGTGAGTTGTCCGGCCTTCCCTTTCTTGGGTCGCAGTCCGAGTGGCGCCCTAGTTCGTACCGTATGACTGACATGGCAATGCTCATCCGCATAGAGCCCTGATTTACCCGTCGCATATGCCCCCAAATGCTCGAACCGACGTCCCGAACCCTTCGCAATTCGGCATCCAGGATTTTGAAGAGTTGGTCATACCGACGGGCGATGGGGAGAAGTTATCAGCTTTCTACATTCGAGGCCCAAGGTCGGGGCGAAACTCCAACGTCACCGTCTTGATGTTCCACGGGAATGCTGGCAATATTGGACACCGGGTGCCCATCGCTCGCATGCTCATCAACCTCACGGGCTGCAATGTCTTCATGCTCGAATACCGAGGCTACGGCCTGTCCACCGGCGAGCCTGGCGAATCGGGCATCTGCCACGATGCGCAGACTGCCCTCGATTACCTCCGCGAGAGGGCAGAGACCAGCGACCACAAGCTGATCGTCTATGGGCAGAGCCTGGGTGGAGCCGTCAGCATCAAACTCGTTGCGGAGAACCAGAAACACGTCGTTGGCTTGATTCTGGAGAATACTTTTCTCTCCATGCGGAAGCTGATTCCCTCCGTCCTTCCGCCAGCAAAGTATCTCTCCCTGCTGTGCCACCAGGTCTGGCCGAGCGATTCCATCATACCACAAATCACAAAGGTGCCCATCCTGTTCCTTTCTGGCCTGCAGGATGAGATCGTACCGTGAGTTGCGCGACCCCCCCCCCCCCCCGACCCTCTTCTTATCACTCAGCACCCTCCCCTCCCCTTTGGATAGCTTCTAGAACGGAAACTGCTACATGACCAAACCAAACCAACCCCCCAGTTTGGGGCCGGGGGGGGGGGGAGGCAAATTCGTTCCTCCGAAAGCGGTGAATTTTTTTTTTGGGGGGGGGGGGTTTCTGGTCTTCTCTTATCATTCTGCCCACAATACGACTTTTGTCGTGCTACCTCAGTAGTAACATGCAGCAACCCATGCATGACATGCATGTCTCACAGTAGATGGCCCACACTAACCTCTTCTTGGCCACCCAGTCCAAATCACATGCGCCGCCTCTACGAGCTATCGCAAGCACCCAACAAGATCTTCAAGCCGCTCCCCAACGGCGACCACAACTCGAGCGTACTCGAGGACGGCTACTTTGAGTCTATTGCCGACTTTATCGCGTCGGTCACGCAGGAGTACCCCTCCACACCACCCGAGAAGAAGCAGAAGTAGGGATCCCCCGGGGGAAGAAGGGGTGGAGGTGTGGCACTCATGTTGGGGGCGCAGTAGTGGTGATCCCGTGAGGGTTGTTGCATCGGTCCTGGGAAGGGTCATCTGATGAGGACTTGTGGGAAAGTCTTTGGGTAGGATTCTGTCTTGTGTTCTCTGGACTACACAATAGTGAAGGGGGGGGGGGTTCGACTTAAACTTCGGCCCGTCACTCGGTTGCAGCCGCGAGCTGTGGACGGCAAGCTTCTGCTTTGCGCAGTGGAATGGGTGGAGGCGTGCTTTTGATAAAGATACCCCCTTATGACGAGCTCGATCATGTAGCTACCTAAATTCAAATATGTCTAATGATTTTTCCTTCTTCCTTCCTGCAAAGGCTTCCTCCCCCGATCCCCCCCCCCTCCCAAAAGACGTATCCACAAGACCATCTCATGTTTAGTCCTTGCATTTGTGAGAGGGTGTATGGTTCAAGGTCGCTATCAAGCGATACGGATACGGACCTCGTATTGTCTAGGTACCGATTCTGTAGAGGGAAGTACTGACTTGTGTTCGGACACTGTAGAAGGCAACGGGCTAGGAGAGATGGGCGAAAGGAGGTATGAAAAGTAAGGATAGAGAGAGGCTCGTACTGCTGACTTGGTAAGAGGGTGCTGTGAGAGTGAGACCTCTTTGCATTCTTCGGGAGATTATGTGCAAGATTAGGGCGCAGATTCATGAAGAAACTGTTTGGTCGAATTTGGTCTTTTCTTCTTCTTTGGGTCCGCCTCCTTTCCTTCTTCCTCCATTCCCAATATATCAGAGGCCATATGAGCTGGCCCTGGAGCATCATCATAAGCGGAGTGAGCCCTCGATAGCCTCGGTCCCCAGAGTTCCGAGCTATGGTGACGGTTGAAAGGTCTCGAAACCGTGCCGTTTCAAGCATACGAAATTCTACCTACACCATGCGCCTCACTCTTACCGGCGAATGAGAAGAACAGCGGTGGCATTGCGAAGGGCAAATAAAATAAAGTTTCTCACAGTCCGTCACTCTCGCCCTCATCAGCTCTCGCCGGCCCCGCCTCCGAGTCCTCCTCACCCACCAAGTTCTGCACAGGCAGTGTGTCGGCTTTCACCTTCTCGCTTACTTCGGCTTCCTTCTGCGCTGTCTCCCCCTCCTTTCCCTCCTCCTCCTCCTTCTTCTCCTGCTGTGGCTGGGTTTTCTTCATCCCAAGCCTCCTCAGCGCAACAAAACCCGTCTGTTTAGGCTCGACGACCGATGCGGGTGCCCACTGCCTAGGCCGTGCCGCCGCCCGGCTCGCGACCGTGCTCCAGCCGCCCGCCGAGCCGTTACCGCCGTCGCTGCCCTCGCGGCGAACAATGTTCGACGATGCCGTGTCCGCCACGCAGAGGATGACGCCGGCGGCGACGCCATGGGCGCCGATAGCCTTGGCGAGCTTGGGCTTGAGGGCGGTGAGCAGAGCTTCGAGCTGGGGCGGGTTGAGCGTGCCGGAGGTGATGCTCGCTACGGTTGTCTTGGTGGTAGTCTTGACAAGGACCTCCTCGGAGGGGAGGAAGCTTGTTGTGAAGGTGAGACCCGGGTTCGATGAGGTCGCACTCGAGAGGTCAGCCTTGAGAGCCTGGTCAACCTCTTCCAACGTGAGGCCGAACCTTGGCTTGGTGAGCAGGAAGGCGTTGTATGGCTGCTGAGATGGCTTGCTCGGGGGAGGAGGCGCTGGTGCCGCTACTCGAGAGGGCGCCGTTGCCTTCAAAAGGCGCAAGCACTGCATCAGCGTCTTCCGCGGCGGCGAGACAAACCGAGGGCCCTTGAAGATGCTGACGTGCCTGTGAGGCTCTGGGTCTTGGCTCTCGCTGTCGAGACCATAGTCCTCCGCAAGCGCGTGCAGAAATTGTCGCTGATGAGATTTCATAGGTTTGAAGCGCATGTTCTTGGCGCTCGACTCGGCAAAGACGCGGAACTCGCGCTCCTGTTGTTGAGCCCACTCGGTATTGTCGCGGAAGAACCTGAGCGTGGTGTCTTGGTAGGGGATGTGGTTATCTGTATGATCCGGGTCGACATTGAGAGCTTCGGCGAGCTGACGATTACGCTTCTGGCGTAGACACTCCTCGTCGCACTTAAGGGACTCTCGCTGTGGGCCCCGCGGGTCAAGATGTGTAGACAAACACTTGACCTTTTGCTTGCGACGTTGGCAATCGCAGGTGATGAATGTCTCTGACTGGCAAGGTTTCTCCTCCTTGCACGAGAATGGCGCGTGGCACTGATCGAGGTCTTCATGCCCACAAGACTCACGCGGCTTACCACAAGGTTGTGTGCAGTGGGATCCCGGCACACCCACATCTTCGCAGTCGCCTCTGTGGCAGAGCAAGTTGCAGTAGTGCGTGCTATATGATACGTCAGTCGCTTGAAATCCGTAGCCATAGTCCTTGGGGGCATATGTATCACCTACCCACACTTGAGACGCTTTCCACAAGGCCGACCACAGCGAGCCTCTGCAAACCAGCATGGTTGGTTGCGCAGGACTTCCTTACCACAGATGCAGGTCTTCTCGACCAGGAACGGGCACTTGGGGCATTCTACGTCGTCGGGATGGCACTGATGTTCCACCTGAGGGTGTCCGCAGGCTCGTGCACGCGTACAAGGAAACCGGCATTGCGGCGGTTGCGTGCCACACTTGGCATAGAATTAGTTTCAGGTTGACAACTCAAGCCATAGTATCGTCCTCGATAGACATGTAGGTGTACATACCGGTTGGGGAGGGTAAAGCCTGGTGCGACCGCAGGAACAGCTGATTTCCTCAAAAATGGCCTCCAAGCAGCTTGGGCACGGTCCCTTGTGGCACAATTGCTGGCAAAAGTGCTTGCCGCACTTGAGCAGCCGGTTGCAGGTCCTTGTGCAGATATGTTCGTCTTCCACATCTTCTTGCGCCGGACCAGCGGCTCGACGCCTATTTGCCTGACGTTTGGCTGCCCTCTTCTCTCCAGGGCAACAACGGACATCACAAGAGTGTCGCCCACAGTTGAGGACCGCTCGACACACCCGAGGGCACTCAGGCTTTACTGTCTCCTCTGGAGGCACTCCGTGGCAAATTGTCGACACCGTAGTTCTGCTGCAGCGGCATTTTATATCCGTCTTCTGCCAGCAAGGACTGCAGGCGCCGACATGGCAGAGATCTGGGCACTGATGCCCGCAAGAAAGGGTCTTACCACATTTCTTTGAGCAGTGCTCGATCTTGTCTGAGCAGGACTGTCGAGGCTCTGCCATGATCTCCCCCAAAGGCGTCTTGCCGCATGGGCAGTGTGTGACAACGTCAGGTGAGCTTGGACAGTGCGATGCTTCCTCATCCTGCGGGTGGCATCCTTTCCGGCACTGATGAACGCCGCAGTCGAACTTTCTTGTGCAGGGTGCATGGCAAGTGAAGGAGCCTTCGAACCATTCTGGTTGCTCCGGAGCTTGGACCTGTCCGTAATTGAAAGACTCGACCAGGTCGTCTCGCTGCTCGCAAGGAATTTCCTTGGTCTCCTTACCACAGTAGCAAGTTGAAGGGACCATCACCTCGCAGGCACCGCAGACTCCTGGATGACATTTCTGGGGACAAACGTGTTCTCCGCACGGCAGCAGGTCTGCACAGACTTCGTTGCAGCTGAAGCCCTTGGTGTAATCTGTATCAATACACCTCTTCTGTGATGTATTCTTTCCGCAGTAGCAAGGCTGTACAGGACCCATCAGGGTGCAAGGAGGACAAGGCCCCGAGTGACACATCAAGCCACAGGGATGTGGACAGGTGCCACGAGGTTTGGAGCATGTCTGTCCGCAGGAATGTGGTGGGAGTCCTGGTGTCGACCGCGGGTTGATCTCCTTGCCGCACCAGCAGTGGTAGGAACCTGGATCTTCTGTCAACTTCGAGTTACACCCAGGACATCGCCAGGTCGGCTCAGCACCCTGTGGCTGCTTGTCGTTCTCCATTTGACTCTTGAACCACTTCTTGGTACAGTGGTAGTGAGTGACAGTCCAACACAGAGTGCAGGTCCATACCCGCGAGGTGCGCAGGACCTCGCCGGAACAAATTACGCACTCGTACTTGCCGTTGTCGATATCCTCATGGATCCGCGTCGTCAGGTCTGGGGCCTCAGACTTGGATGCTCTTCTTGCTCGCGGCTGCGGCGTCTCCTTGGGCTTGGCTGACGGCCGCACCCTCTGCTGATGTACTTGGCCAGGCACAAACTCAGAAGCCTCACCACTCAGCCCTGGCGTCTCTTGAGTAGACGCATCTTCGGCCGCTGAGGTGAGCTGTCCCCCGAAAGTTCTCCGAGGAGCGATCTGAGTGTCTTGTCCAAGGTGTCCTCCGCCCCTGCCCCGTCCCCGCCCGCCTCTCCTACCCCTGCCTCCCCGAGGCCCTGATCCCGTTGGCTGGTCCGCTGGTGTCGAAGATCTCTGTTCTGCTGACGAGCCTGCATCCTGTTCTGTCGTACGAGGGGCGGCAGGGCTGCTCGCGTGGGGGAGGTGCCCTCCCCTGCCATGACCTGAACCTCTCCCTCGACCTCTTCCACGACCAACCCTAGCTCTTCTCGAAGCTGAGCTGACGCCCCGATTCTGGGACGGATGGGACTGTGCCGAGCTGGCAGATGGTGTCTCAACCTCAGCCATGGTGAGAGAAGCGTGTGGTGCGAATGGGTGATGTTCCAGATCCAGGGTGATCGTGGCAAGTTCTAGTGGGCAAAGTGTGTTGTGATTGTGCGCTTTTTGAAATACAGCGACTTCTGAGGTAGAGAAAGTAAAATAGACTTGGTAGTCTAGGGTTGTCGAGATACAATTTTAGAGTTGGGATCGTGTAGATGAAAATTGTAGAAAGTGAAAGTCTGCTGTGCAGTCGCCAAGAAAGAAAAAACACAAAAAGCCAAAACGCACCAAATAAACGTGTGGCAAGATTGGAGGGCCAGAAAAAAAAGAGGGAGAGAAGGGGGAAAATGAACTGAGCCCGCTCTCCACGAAGATGGTCCGATCTATATATCAGTAACAAAAAGTTGGAGGTGTCGTCTCAAGTGAGGAAAGGCAAAGATTGGTCTCTCTCGAGATTGGGTCTACCATCTGGAGGAAGGCGAAGTCAGTCTATGTAGCAAGTGAGTCACTATGATCGTGGCTTGCTGTGGAGTAAGATATTCTTCCGTGCCTTCCTAGTCTAATAGTCATACCATGCATGTACTGTGTACCTAGCCATAGTACAACAAAGTCAGCCCCTCTAGAGGCACTACAGCACTCAACGCCCCACCAAGGCCGCCAGGCCCACCTGAGCACGCTGGCAACCGATTTGAAGTAGAGGGCTTAGCTGCTGACCCGGTACAGTCTTTAGCGCCCCTTGCCACTGAACCCTGCAGATGAGTGTAGCAACACAGTTGGCGAGCAGACTTGAGCAAGGAAACATGAACACTGCGAGCCTGTAGGACAGCAAAATATGAACCCGAGATTCTGTGCCTGCTCAGTATCGACACTTCAGATTGCACAGCTTGTGCTGCTCGAAGCAGCGCCGTCATCTCAAGACCGTGCCGTTACACGACCCGCTGCTCGTTGAAAACCCAAGCTATCTGTTTCTCTTCGGACTGATGCCAAAATGCTGAACTTACCGTGAAGAGTGCACAGCATGACATGGAAGCCCATCACAACGTTCAACATTTTCAATCTTACCAAGTGGCAAAAGAAATTGCCAAAAGAGTGCGCAAACCCGGAATCGAACCGGGGGCCCATCGAATCAGTCCGAATCACGAACCCAGAAGGTTGTGAAGAAGATGGCAACGATGGATTTTACCACTAAACCATTTGCGCGCTTGAATGGTTTGATGAATTTGTGGTTCCATAGAAAGATTTATGTACTATCTTTGTGTGATCCAATTGTGGGCCCCTCGAGACTCGGCCGAGGAGCCGTCAAGGGTTTCATTGCGGCCCGGAGCGGCCCGGATCGGCCAACGTTAACCAGCGCGGATCAGGAAGCGGGTGTATGATGTTGCTGCGGGCACCTCATTGTGTCTCGAGTATTAGGCGAAAGGCCAAATTGAACAACTAGATCACTCTGCCGGGCTTGGATTCTGAAAGTACGGCGATGGCTGTCAGTCAGCCGTTTAATGTGTGCACTTCGGAATAGGACTGGAGGTTGGAATCGGAAAGCAGAGCGCGTAGCACCAAAAACTTGATGGAGGTTTTGGACAAATTGCTGCCGAGGGTTTAGTGCCCCTGATACGGTGCTGATCTGGCCCTTCAATCTGGACGTATGAACTGGCTCCTGCAAGCTGTAGAAAATCAAATCTTGTCTGATGTAGACATCGCCTCGACAGCAACTCGCGCTGCCTTGTCCAATTCCATGTCTTGACTCATTGAGCGGCTCAACGTACCAAGTATGTACTGCTTACAGGGGAGAGAGAAGACAGACAACTGTGGTGGACATTGACGGCAGCTTGAGACCCCGTCCTATAACACGTTCCCCGCAAACTAATAAGCCCTGTTCTCTTATCTTGCACTGCTGATAACAACAACAACCCAGGCAACGCTTCTTCTCAGCGATTCAAACTTCCTCTCAAACGACAAAATTTGCACGAGATTCAGCAGAAACAGAATAAAAAGATCATGACGAAATACAAGCTTGTCTTCTTCGTTCCTCTGTCTGCTCTGGAAGCCGTAAAGACGGCTGTCTTTGCTGCCGGCGCCGGGTGCTACCCAGGCCCCGGGAACTACACCGAATGTGCCTGGCAGACCATCGGAACCGGCCAATTCCGCCCAGGAGACACGGCGAACCCAAACATTGGCAAGGTCGGCACCCTCGAGAAGGTAGAAGAAGCTAGGGTTGAGACACTCTGCCTCGGTGAAGAGTGTGCTAAGAAGGCTGTGGAGGCCTTGAAAAAGTTGGTCCTCCGCTCCCCCCCCCAAACCGGCGGCCTCGTGTCGTAATCACTTCGTGGAGGCAGCTGGGGAAAAAAAAAAAAAAAAAACTTACTTAACTTCTTATTCTTTGCTCTAGGGCTCACCCTTTTGAAGAACCTGGTTTTGAGGTCTACGAGATCAAGGAGTTCTGATCTGGTCTGTCTAGGGTAACTGGCACGAAAGAGCTATTCGATATCGATCAGCCGGGTCAGATCACCTGTGGTCTGAGTGGGTCCCGAGGAGTCCTGGGGTACAGTAAATAGGGCAGGCAGGGTCCAGTGTCTGTCAGTGGACAGGGATGCGGAGGCGCCTACTGTGCAACGAGCTTCCTGGTGGTACTTGTAACTTTTTTTTCCCCGTCCCTCATCCAATCTCTGATCAGCCAACCGTCAGGCTCGCCTTTATTTTTTTTATTTTTTTTCTTTACACCACGAAGGCACAATACCAACCGACCTGATATCACACTGTCCAAATCTTCCGTCGAAAGCTCTTTCAAGTGCCGGCACAGACTCTGGCATAGTCAATACTCAATTCGACATTACATGATCTTTATTGTTCTTAATTCCCACGTTGCAAAGTAATATTTTTTTATTTTTTTTTTGGAAGAGGCGCACAGCTTCGGACTGCCCGTGGCGCGATGCTTTCCCTCTACCATTTGAATTGCGACACCACTTAGGCCACTCATTACCCTCCTCCGGAATTTGAGACTTCCAGATAGGCGCGACCTCCCATGGTCACCTTCACAAGATGGTACAGCAACACGCCTTGCAGGGGCTGCCGGGCATACCCACCCTCTTCCGTGCCGCCACGCCCAGACGCCCTGCAATCTTTCCGAAGCCCCTCAGGGTGCTAGCTATTGAGACATCAGCGGACGACACATGTGTTGCTCTATTCAAATGCTCTGCTGGGACACGGCCGGGTCGTCTGGCTTACAGCGAGCGAGTTTCTTGTCCCAATCATGAACTCCGAGGGATCCACCCGGTAGAGGCTGTGAAGAGCCATACCAAGCAGTGAGTTTTTCTTCCACACACGGCGGACAGATTAAGCAAGAGAGATCTGAAGGAGGTAAGTGGCCATGTGTTGATCGCGGGAATCGATAGCTTGCCCGCACTCGTCCACAAGGCGATGCAGTCGCTGGTGGCCGCCACGCACCATGCCGGATATATTCCGATATCAACTGAAGAAGTAATTTCCTCGTCGGCTCGTGGTCTCCATTTCGACTCACGCACTTTGGATTGTCCACCGCCGTACCTGTTTAGAAAGCCAGATCTAATAGCCGTGACTCGAGGTCCTGGCATGGGCGGCTGTCTCAGCGTCGGTGTGAATACGGCTAGTAAGTAAAAGATACTCTTGTGTACCACCTTCCCTCTGGCAGATTATGGGACCTCGTCCTTGGGATCATGGATGGCTGACCCTTGATGGCGATATAGAGGCACTGTGTGTATATTCCGTTCCCATGTGCAGACAGGCAGCATGCCGGATGCTCACTCATGCCATGTCCTTCTGCCAGATGCTGACTCTTGAATGTCGATAGCGCCGTCGCCTGGTCAGTACCGGTCATCGGCGTTCACGTAAGTGGTCCTACGTGTGTGGTCACGGTCCTGCATGATGCATATTATAGAAATTAATGATTTGCCCGTACAGCATATGCAGGCACATGCCCTGACCCCACTGATGTACGCGAGGCCCCCTTCTCCCTCCCCCCCCCCCCTACCTGACCTGATATATTCTCTCAGTCCAATCCTCTTGGCCTCCACTAAATGGTTCTTCTAATGCCTGGCAGGGAAAGAGAGTTGTATGAGGACCCATCAGCCCGCAGCCCTGAAAAAAGCTACCCCTTTCTCACACTTCTTGTATCCGGAAAGCACACGATGCTGGTATACACCAAGTCGGCCCTCAGCCACCGGATCCTGGCTTCGGTGGAAGGTATAGCTCTAGGCGACGTGCTGGACAAGTTTTCCAGGGAGGTATTACCCCGAGGCTTTGTTCCCAAGGGTGCCACGACCGTCGTCTATCCTAAACTTATGGAGCGCTTCGTGCAAATGCTCGACCCGACAGCCAATTACCAAGCCCCCCCCACGCGCCACCAGGAACTTCTGAGCTACAAGTCCTGGTATGGATGGGAAATTAGGCCACCGCTGGCAGAGTCCAAGGAGCTGGTATACAATTTCACCTCTCTTCATGGTAATACCTTACAGCTTCTATCCCAAAAACCTGATATGTCAAACAACGAGAGACGAGAGCTGGCTCTTCATACAATGAGACTTGCTTTCGAGCACGTTAGTGAGTGTCCATGGCCCATCCACACACCGGTTCAGGAAAGCCTTTCTTTTCTGCAGACTTTTACCATGCGCCTTGCTCAAGCTCCGGAGAAAATGCTGACCTAGCAATAACCATCCAGTCAGCAGAGTCGTCCTGGCCCTCCAAAACGACAGCGAACTGGTAGCACAGCGCCCAAAGACTCTTGTCTTGTCCGGCGGCGTGGCAAGCAACATGTTCCTACGCAAAGTCGCCCAGTCCATGCTCGCAGCCCGCGGCTTCGAGGACATCAAGCTGATCGCACCAAGCCAGCAGTTCTGCACCGATAATGCCGCCATGATCGCTTATGCCGGAGCAGAGATGTTCCGCGACGGCTGGATCTCGAGCCATGAGTTCACGCCAATGAACACCTGGAGCATCGAGGAGATCATCTCTGGGGCGGACTGCTGGATCCCGCCCCCTGAGTCTGCTACACTCACAGGGACAGATGCTGCTACCGAGCGAGCCCAGCGACTCGGACAGAGCGACTCGGCACATGTAGCGAGATCTGAGCCTGTCGCGCCAGAGAAGACGAGCATTGAGGAGGAAGATGAGCCCGAGGAAGCCCTCACCGAGATGAAAGATTCCGTCCCTCTATCTGCTACAAAGGACACAATCGCCCTGCGCAAGGAACTTGACAAAATGACCAAAAAGGTCTTCGCCAAGTCTGACAAACACAAAAACCACAAGGGAGAACCCCGAGGTGACCCTCGCCCCAGCAACGAACCCAACGTGCCAAGCAGCCTGGGAGAACACAAGACCTTTTCAACGCAAAAGAACCCCAACGTGCCAAGTACGACGCCGGTAGCCAACCCCGACGCAGCAGCACCAGTGCCCGAGATAGCCAATGCCGAAACCTTTCGCCGGGTCATGCAGACCCCTCCACGTACGCTAATTTGGACGAGCAGCCGGTCATTGTTGCGGCCTGGACCCCCTCGAGGTCAGCCGCGGATTCGAGAACAAGATGAGCCAGTAGATGAGGTGCAGCCGACCATCGAGATCGAGCTCGGCAATGTAACGGGTCAGCGAGCCAAGTCGTCTCAGGAGCAGGTAAGCATCACCCTGTCTTTATCCTGGTACCTTTATTTCTTCCTTCTTAGAGGGGCTTCGGGGAAGACGCCTGGAGTGAGCAGTTCAGGACGTCTTCGAGAATCGCCGATCCTATGCTTCTTCTCGCACAATCATGCGTTCTGTCCGAGATGTTCTCGTCTGCTGAACACTAACCTTGCATAGTCCAAGTCACGAGCGAGACGGGCCCGCCCCAAGCAGCAACAGCCACCGCAAACGCCCACCGCAGAGACGAAGACGGAGCAGACGCTTGGCCTCCCGGGGAAAAAATGTCGGATGAAATCGCCAAAGACTCAGGATGAACCCTCCTCAACCCAAACCGATACGACCAGCAGCAGCAGCAACGGCGACGACAAGAGATCCAAGCATAAGACAAAGATCAAGCTTATTGGTCACCTGGAGGAGCCACAGCCGCAACAGACGCAACAGCCGCAACAGTTTTTATCGGCTCTCCAGAGATTCAAGGCTTTTTTGCAGGGGAGGTGATGGGAGGGGAGGGGAGATGGGGCCATCTGAGAAGCGACATGCAAGATCTCATAGGAAGACGGGTAACGAATGCCCTCAGGTACATGCATTGCGCTGGTATCATATGTACCGACAGGAATAGGGGGCATGTTGTGCAGCGTGTCATGGCTAGCTGTCGATAATTAATCACTGTATGCTAGACGATAGAGCATTCAGTCAAAAGAAGAAGCCAAAGAAATAAAGACGGGAGGTTTGTTGTCAGAATGTCATCATTTATTGTACAGATACAGGGCACGGCATGACTGATAGTAGCCACCATGCCTTACCCAGGCAGAGGGACTCGACGATGTGTTCATGCCAAAGGTCTCGTCTCATGCCTACTCTCTACCTCTCGGCCATCCGGATCCAGCTCTATGCGCCGCCATCACCATCGCTCTCGCGTTCTTCCCCTTAATCCAGGTTGCTCGTGACGTTCGTAAACTCGCCCTTGTCCAGCTTCGTCCTCCAGAAGATGGGGTTCGTGTCGCTGAAGCCGTGCTTGACCCAGCCCTCCTCCTTGACATGGTACAGGTTGATGAAGCCACCGCTGTACGCATCACGGTGCGTCGCGGCCAAAATACTTCGGCTACCCAGCTCCAGGGCCTCCTCTTCGGTCAGATCGTATCTATACTCAGCATCCAGCACACCGTAGGCGAATGTCTGGCCGGAGCCAACGCAGAAGAGGTTGCCGGCGAGCCTGGTCCCGTCCGAGTCGATGTAGTACAGGGCAGGGCCCTCCTCCTTGGTGACGCCGGCACACATGGTGCCCATGGACAGGCCCATGCCCTTGTACTGGTAGACGAGGTTGGCGAGGATCTTGGAGGCGGCGGCCACGCTGATGCGCCGCTTGTGGCGCAGCTCGTGGAGGCGGCACTGCATGCCCAGCCAGGCCAGCCAGTACTGGCAGTCAGCGGCGCCGCCGGCCATGGTTCCCAGCAGCTGGCTGTTGATCTCGATCACCTTCTTGACCGTCTGCGAGGCGATCCAGTTGCCCGCTGTTGCGCGGGAGTCCGTGGCCACGATGATGCCGCCCTGGAACCGGAAGGCGAGGGTTGTCGTGCCGTGGGCGATCTTGATGGGGCATTGCGGGTTCGAACGGTCGTCGGTTGCAGCGCGGAGCCAGGAGGAGGGCTGTTGGGGTTGGGGGGGGGAACACAACAGGTCAGTTTCATGGTGGTCCACTGCTTGAGGAAGGGGAGGTTGCTGCGAGGTGCTGCAAGTAGGCTGGACCGAGAGGAGCCAGAGAGGTCGGGGGTGGTGGGGGAGTTGTTCTTACCTGAGCTACTGGAGGCATGGCAAACTTCAGAGATGGACCTGGGACGGCATCGCTGATGTCCAGCTCATCTTGCTCGGTGAGGCCTTCGTTCTGGGCGTAGGCGGGCCTCGTGTATCTGGCAACGAGGGTGTCCATCGTGACGTCGTATGTGATCGACTCCCCTCAAGATGTTTGGTTTATTTGTCAAGACGAAAATGCAAATATGAAGGGTGCCGTCCGTCAGTTCGTAGATTATGGCAACAAAAGAGAGGATTCGGGTGGTGGTGGAGGAGGTAGTGTCGACTGGCGATGGGAGGATGGTGGTGGTATGTAACTGAACTGCTGTCGGAAGCAACACTGGTCGTTCCGTCAGAGCTCAAGGCAGCTCCGGGCCATGCGCGTTCTCTCCTGCCGGTGGCTAAAGCTGAGAGTGCCTGGAGCAAGGGGGGGGGGGGTGCAAGGCGCGCCGCTCCTAGCTGGCACCTGGTCAGTGCGTCGACAGGGGTTCACCCCTGGAACCTTACTTTTGGTAACAAGTTGATGCGGCGCAAGGCCAGCTTTCACAGGTGCTTAGCCCGCGATGGACAAGTAAGTAGCCTTGCCTTTCCTTCCTTGCCTTGCTTGTGCCTATTTGCCTGCTCTCCCTTTTTCTGCCGACAACTTCTCCTACAACCTCAACAAGAGACCTACGTCGCCGTCCCTGAATTCAGGAAATCTACCCTACTCTCTCCCAACTCCAGCGCGGCTACAAGAGAGTCGCAAACGCCCACTCAACATGGCCGCCCTCGGCAGTCTCATTTATGGTAGGAGAGGAATCCCAAGGCAATGCTCTGTATCATGGTAGGGAGGGAAGGGCGCTGACAGCACATTCCCCTTCTAGTGATCGTCCTCCTGATCAACGCCATCGCCATCCTGTCCGAAGACCGTTTCCTGGCGCGCAGTACGTATTACCACCATCCTGTCCGAAAACAACAGGCCACGACTGGACCTTGTTTAGGCCGGGACAATACCAGACCCCTTTCTCCGGTTGGAATAGACAAACGGCAAGGCTAACATTCTGCTGGAACTATTTGTAGTCGGCTTTTCTGCAAAATCTCACGACCCTGCCTTTGGGCAGTCAGGGCCCGACCAGAGCGTCAAGGGGAAGATAATCAGCCTGATAGCAAGCGTGCGGATGATTATGAGAGGTACGTGCGCGTGGCGGTGCCGTGGAGCGAGGAGGTCGCTTCTATTCTGTCCCTGAAAAAGTGTGTGTTTCTATCTGTGTTAATGCTGACACGGTCGCGGCACAGTACCCCTGATCATCTTCAACACTTTGATAATAGTCTACGAGCTTATCCTCGGATAGTGAGCTGGCTGTGCGGTAGACAGGGAGCTGTAGCAAGGCCAATATATCAAGGACGAGGCAGGATGAGAAACATGCAGAGAGTATGCTCGGATCTCAGACAAGATCAGAGGCTTCGACGACTCCGGCCGAATCAGAACGCTGGATTCTGCCCCTCTCTCTCTTCGGACAAATGCCCAGAGACAGCGCGAGGTGCCTGGGGAAGGTGCTCGTACCGTGTCGGTGGAGATGGACAGCCGGCCGTGTTGATATCAACGACGACAGGCCAGGTGACGAGACCCGGCATGATTCAAGAGATAACTCCTCCGGCTCGCGCTACCTACGAGAGACGGTTGAAGTGGTGATACATGGCGTCAGAGCGTTTCGGAACAAAGCTACACGCAGGAGAGGAGCGTCGCAGAAGGTATCACGATACAGGTAATAGACTCTGAGGGGTTCATTTCATCCCCTGCCTAGATCATGGCTAGGCGAGTTCTCTATCTTACAACAACAAGACTATTTCACACACGCGCTCTCCTCACAATTGCGCCGAGAATATCAAGATCGGATGCCCTCCATTAAAGGTCTGCCTCTGCCTGCCTTATGTGCCCGTCTCCAGCGCTGTCTTTTGGTGTACATAAGTTGCATGTGTGGGTATGCCCGGCAGCTGCGGATCGTAGTATCGACAGAAAAGCTGCTGCAAGAGTATGTACATACAACAACTCCCGCGCCGGCCTGGAGAAAGCCCAGCGCAACCCGCTCTGTGCAATCCCAAATGCTCTGCTTTGACTGGTCGGCGGGACCAATCAGCCACCCAACTATTCACTTCGCTGTAACTGACCGAGGAGAGCCTCGCCTCCCAATGATGGCTGTTCTTTTTGTTTTGTTGTTAGGGGCTGCCGGAAATGACTTGAAGCAACCATGATGATACGCAAAAAACGTAGAGAAGAGAAGCCTCAGTTGTACCAAGCGCTGACTTTTGTTAATCTTGTCCCCGCCTTTTGCCATGGTCCACACAAGTTGGAAGATGTTTGAATCCTTCATGTATCCAGAGAGCCAAAAACGAGAAAAAGAAGAACCCAAAATTAATACCCATCCGGTGAACGCCATCATCGGTTACTCATCCCCACCGGCAAGAATGCAGAGACGGTGTCGGAGACGATGAGCCTGATCACCTAGGAAAACACGGTGCTCTTCTTCTTCCCGATGCTGAAGCTGAAACGCTCCCTCAGTGGTTGTTTCGCAGAGTCAGGCTTATCCGACGGCCTATCCGCGTTAGAAGAGGAACGCGCCCCCTCGCTCCCGTTGTAGTCGACGGTGTTGAAAACCACCGCCGACTCGGAAGGCTCGCTCTCGGGGTCTGGTTCCTTACCGTTTTCCAGGATCGCTGTCATATCCTCCCTATCCTTTTCTTTCTCCTTGTGCTTCTCTTTGGAGCCGCCTCCCAGCCAGCTCATGTTAAGCGACTTGCGGCTCAGCGACTTGCTACCTCTGTTCGCCCGGTCCAGCAGATGACCTGCGTGGCTGGGAGTCGAGGGACTGGGAGGGATCGCTTCTGCGGCCATGCTCTTCTTGCGCTGCTTCTCTTCCGCAGCCGACATGGCCTTGCTCTCGGCCAGCACCCGCTGTAGCTCCTCCTCGTTCTTCTTGCGCATCTGTTGGATTTGTTTAGCGTTCTCCTTACGGCGCTTCTCTTCCTCTTTCAGCTGTTCCTTCTCCGCGTGCTTGCGCGCCTTCTCCGCAGCTTTCTGTTCCTTCTTCTCTAGTTTCTTGTCTTCCTTGCTCGCCTTGGGCGACTGCAGTGATGTATCCACCCGTAACGCTGTCACCGGAGTGGAGGGGGTGGAGGGCTCGACAGCTGGGGGTGGTGGCGGTGCCGGGTTCAGTGGATACGTCTTGATGGGCGGAGGGGCCTCTTCCGGGATCGATGGTATTTGCGGCCCATCAAGAAACCCGGGCGCCGTCTCTGCATGATCGAGGACGGCAAAGTTGTCCTTTTCGTCCGTCGGGGAGGTAGGTGTTGTGACATGTCTGGTCAAGGGCGATTTGGCCTCGCCGTTGCCGTTGGCCTTGAGGCGGTCCAGGGCCAGATCGGCCTTCTCGCGCTCTATCCTGACCTCCTCAAGACCCTCCTCTTCTTGCTCTGCCATGACCTTTTCGTGCGTTGTTTCCTGGTAAAAAAGAACATACGCACAGGCCATGCCAGGTTTGTCCCCAAAGAAGTTCCGCACAAAATGCTTGTCGACCGGTTCCACCATTTCATCGTCGAACAATAACCAGCCCCTGTCCGGCGTCTTGATGACCGCAATGTAGTGACCATGGTATGCGTTGCCGCCAATATGAACGACCACTGCGTACAATTCGTAAAGCCGATCAGGGTCGGCCGCATCGTCCGTTGTGTTGAACATGCGGAGGTGATATGGGTAGACGACGCGATGAAAGAGCTTTTGCAGCCGGGTGAAGTCTTCGGTGTACTTAAAACGCTTTAGGTGCAGGGCCATGACTTTGGGCAACTTCTTGATCTTCATCCTCTTCTCGGCCTCCTGCAGGCCACCGCACTGGTCACAGTGGAACTTGTTCCTTTCGCACAACATCTCTTCGTCCGAGAATTTTCTCAGACACGACGTCACGGACGAGTGCTCTTCCAAGTCAATAGAGAGGTCCAGAAATGTCTCGTCCCTCTGCGATGTGGTCTCACACGCCAGACATTTTGTTTCCGATGTCAAGACACCCTCAAATATGTCGTGTACCCAGCCAGTCCCTGGTGACATGGCCCCTGCAACTTGTTGCGCCTTCATCAGCGCCGCGGTCGCGCCGTCGAGGGAGTGCGCCTGCCCATTTGCATTCAGCATATCTGATTCCAGCATTCGTCTCGCGTTCGCTTCCACGTTGGATATCACGTCGTTCAAGACCAGGCCATAGAACTCATGCGCATCTTGGTGGTTCTGGTTGCGGAAGGCCTCGTTGTCCCGCTTGAAGATCTCGAGAAATCGCTGGGGGCTCAGCACGCCTGTCCGGGTCTCGCTCTCGATCAATGCGTTGAATATGTCCTTGAGGCCCGTGAAGGTGCTTTCCTCCATACCGTAGGCGCCACTGTTCCCTTGGCCCAGCTCCAGCACTGGCCCCTTGATCATGGCCTGCTTCTTCTTATATTCTGGAGAGTCTGGTCTGTCTTCTGGCTTCTGCTGTCCGGGGGGTAACTGGCCGGCATTGATCTGCTGCCTCACCCGCATGGCCTGGGCGGCCGTCAGGGGTTTCTGCTTGTTCGCACCGGCGGTATTGGGGTTCGGAGGTGGTCTTATGGTGACGTTGACCTTTTTCGGCCGCCCATCCGGCGTATCTGAAGGTGATTGTAGAGGGTAGTCGACGACATTTTGCCGGAATGTTTCGCAGTAGTAAAGTGCTTGTACTATCGAGTTACAGTAACTGTCCCACAGTCAGTGTACAAAGTTCGTGGGTCAACGATCGGGGCCGGGTCTCGTACCATGTATTGCCAAACTGAGAGAGAGGCACCGAGTTAGCAACTGTAACCACAAGCAGAACCTGCCAGATGGGTAAGAGGACTTACATTTTCCAACCCAAAGAACTTGTCGCTGCCATCTTCCCGCAACGGCCCTGCATTCTGTAGCATCTTCTCTAGAGGCGTCTTCTCCACGGGTGGCTCATCCTTTTTAGATTTGAGACCGGTGTCTTTCGGTGCCGTCGAAGCGCCCTGTGATCTTTAGGTCAGCCAGTGTACTCGTGTGTCCTGAGCGAGGCGCGCAGTATCCCGCCTGGCCCCTTGCTTTTTCTTGTCCGTGTTTCTTTTCCCCCGGGGCGTGGCGCGTTCTAGCGAGGAGTCGTGGCTCTCTTGACTTACACCGCTGGCGCTTCGCAGCTTCTTGATCAACCCCGACATGATAAGAGCGTTGAGCGCAACAACAAGGTCGGGCGCAAGATGAAATTGGCGGGAAGAAGAGGGGGAGAGCGTCGACCCGGCTAACCGGTCAGACCCAGGAGCTCAGGACGACGCCGAGGCTTGAGGACCCAACATCCGGAACACGCAAAACTCGTGGGTCTGCCCACTCGACGAGGATGGATTGCTAGCAGGCGAAGGGTATTGAAGGCGACGAGCCAAAGAAAAAATAAAATAAAAATAGAAAACCCGGGAGGAAAAAAGGGCCGGACGGCAGAGCAAGAGTCGCGGGCGCGGAGTTATCCGTCGCGCTTCTCGACAGCGAGCGAGGCTAGGACTGGGCGCTGTGGGTTTGGTCTTGGATGTCTTTGGTACTTGTTCAGCTAGATCATCATCCGGGGCGGACTCGGGATTCTGAGGGACAATCGGTGGTTCTGCAAGGTCGAGAAAGGGCGGCGCAGGGCTCGAGGAGGACGGGCAAGCAGCAGCTGTGTCTGGAAGGGACGAGGTCGAACCACCAGACCAGACTGACGTGCGAGTCGCAGGCGAAGGAGCTGATGGATCTGCGGAGGTAAGGAGGCGTTCGGGGCACGATGACGGCCAAAGAGGTGCAAGTGCATAGGAGGAGGAGGTACTTTCGCAAGGCAAGCAGTACTGTGCATGCTCAGGATGGTTAGGCGAGGAAAATGTGCGCGACACAGTGTGCTTGATGATGGTAGAAGGATCGTCGAAGCGAGGCGGCCCTTTCCAACCTCGTCCTCGACATGCAGCGCTGCAGGTGGCTCGAACAGGTCTGGGTCATCTGGGTCTTGCAGTCAGTCAACTCAGTCAGTAGTAGTGGGTGGTGAGTGTACAGTGTACGGGGTAGTGCCTAAAGTCCCCCATGGAACCCATGGAAGGAGGAGTGGGATGAAGGCGGGGGCGGCGGCAGGCCCTGTTGGGAAGCTGAGCGTAAGCGTTAAATTGGCTTAGCCGTACCATGTGGTTTTCCTGGCTACTTACTGACACGTCCAATTTGTGCAGGGCATGACAGGAGGATGAAATAGTGCCTGCTATGAATCACTCAAAACAAGTCTGGTGATATCCATGTAACCACCAGCAGAGACGTTGTCGTCAAACGGAGTATATAATTTACGAAACAACAAGAGTACACTTGTCCCGGCCATGTCCTCTGCTTCCGCTGCAAAAGCAATCATTCCTTAATCCAGGCACAGGACAGGCCAGCGATAGCCGAGCAAGCGCGATGCTCGATTTGACGTGACCCCTCATCTTGGAGTCACTTCATGGTACAAAGTACTGCACACACAATGAACTACCAGCATTTCAACCGGCGGCCTTGGCCTCGGCTTGCTCACTCGAATCTGTTGAGGAACCTCTCTGGGATGATTGGTAACGCCGTTACATCTTCTGCCGACGACATCCTAGAACATATTGTGCTGAGGCAATTGGTCAGACACGAGCTGTCGTGGTTTAGACTCCGTGATCAGCCCCCCCCCCCCCAAGGAGGAAGGACCCGTTTCGTACAGGTACGTGCATAGTACACGCGCACAGTATGCCGCCGCCGCCGCAGCTTGCAGAAAAAGCAGCCAGCCCTGCGAAACCTGAAGAGACGAACCGTACAAATGGATCTACAAAAACAAGCTGCAAGTCCTAATCACAGACAAGGAACTCCACACATCAAACAATAACCTACCATGGTAGTAAGCTTTTTCTTGCCCTGAGCAATCTGGGGAAGAAGCGAGATCAAACCTCTCCTCTCAAAAGTCAATCCGACCAAGAATCAACCGAGGGCTGCAGGGTTGCATGACCATTGAACTCGAGTGTTTCCCCCCTATCCTGTCAGTCCTGCCCAGAGAGCCGGGTCCAATCAGAATCCGCGGCCCCTCGCTGTAAGAAATACGGTGTGTAAGACAGTGCAGACTGCCAAGACATGTGGACCACATGGCCGTACCAGGTTTGCCCCGTCTTTCTCACCTGCAGCAACGGCCTCCTAGCCGACCAAGCGCTGCCAAATACTAGAGAAATCCTGCGATCTGCTGTAGAACCAAGATACGTTAAATGTGGTGGCGCACTGATGAACCGACAGGAATGTGTACGCTGACTGACGGTATCTTTGTTCTGACCAATTCCGCAAATAGGACGCGATAATCCCAACCTCTTAATACTCAGCCATCTGCTCCTACATCGTCGTCCTCTTTTTCTTCGCTCTTGCTCTTCTTCCTTCCTCTCTTCATAGAAGAGTCAGGCGTTGAGCGGAGCTGAACATATCATCGCGCAAGTACTATGTATTTTCAAATCAGTAAAAGCACGCACTACTGCACGTCCCGGCTAGATTTCACGTCCCGCCTTTCTGTTTGCCTGCCTTCTGCTCCGGTGGCCCTGAATCGCGAGCATCCTTCGGATCTCGATTCTGGGGAGAAACCGTTCCGGGGCCAGACTTATCATAGTGCGTGCGTGCGCGTGTGCGTGCGTGTCCACCCTCAGCACTCAAAATCGCTTGCACCCCTCACTCCTTCGTTCGCCTCTGACCCATCCTGCGAACAATGCTGCGTCCTGAACATGCATGTACCTGCAGCCCCCCCCCCCCACCCACACAACACGATACAATGACTCTGGCTGCTCTGCAATGCATTGCTTGGCTCGTCAGAAAGACGTCCAGTGAAATCGTCTGATGTTTCTGTTTCCCTGGTGGCCATGCCTGCCTTCGTAGCAGTGGCAGCTACCAGTACCATGGTAAAAGCAGGAGAAGAGGAAGAGGGGGGGTTCCACGAAAAGCCCTTCCCTGCACAACTTCACCTCTCCTCACCTTAATTGTGGGGTATACCCATAGGGGACCCAGACCAGCTGCCAGGCCGTGCACAGGGGTCCTGTACCCTACAGGGCCGGTCCGGCCTTCGTCATCAGACCTGCAGCCTTCTCGAACCATTCTTCAGAAGACATCAAAAGTCTGGTCGTCTGTCCGGATCGACCGCTACGCAAGGGATGTGAACTGACAGGTAACGTCAGCAACAGAAGAGAGCCTATTTCCATTGAACCACTAGTGCCACGAGCACATATATCCTTCTGAGCTGCAGCAAGTGAGCAAGCATCTGCGCCGAAGATCCTAGCGACCCCTGCTACCCCCCCCCCCTTTCCTCAACGGACGTATCGATCTGCGTGGCGGGGTTCGAAGCACTACTGCACGAGATACCACAGCACGTACTATAGCACAGTGCTGTGGTAGGACGTTCCCTGTTCTCCCCCACTAGCTTTTTTGGGGGAGAGGGGGGGGGGGGATGGTTTGGGTGTCCGCAAGGACCACTAAGCCACTGGAGGGGAGAGACATCACCTGGATACAGGCGCCACAGGTCCCCTCCCTCTTCTTCGCACTGTCCCACCACATTCTTCTCCAGAAAAGGCATGCATACTACGTAGTAGCGAGCCAACCGCTTGTCCCCTACGTAACACCAACTAAAGTGCTCGTCCAACCACCAACCCGTCACCTCCCCCAAGATGTAGGTGAGGAGCACCGAGGAAGGACCGGCTGCAGGTGACTGCTCCCAGTTGTCTTCGGTCATAGGGCTGGGTAGTCTTTCTGTGTGTGTCGAGCTGGAAAATCCGCTGTGCTTCGGTTGCACTGAAGGAGTCGGAGGAGGGAAAGGGCGCACACGTGCGCTTGGGATGGCGTGTCACAGCGTGTGTCTGTTCTTGTCTTCCGTTCTACCAGCCTTGCCACGCAACGCAGGCTCTGCGCGTTGGAAGTGTGGTGTCATGCAAAGCGCCGCCGCCGCCGCCGCCGCCGCCGCCGCCACTACCACCACCATCACTGGATTCAGTGGTAATATGCGAGAAGGGTGTCGTGTCACGGCAGCTGGGAGGGGGGAGATTGCTAAATAAAAATAGTAGTAGTGTGTGGTTTGAGTGGCTCTCGAGAATCATGCTTCTTTCGACTGGTATGGCTCGTATTTCACTGCCTCCGCCAAGAGAAGCCTTGTCGGACCAATCTCCTCGCGACGGAATTATTTCTTCTTGGCCATTCTTCAAGCCGTTACAAAATAAAATAAAAATCACCATTCCGTCATGGGACACTTCAACCTGTGAGAAGACGTCTACATTATAAAGAACACATTCCAGCCCGCTCTCATAAACTACACATGATCGGACGAGCATAGCAGTCTGCACAAAACTCAGAAACGAGATACTTTGCGCAGCTTTGTGACAAGTCATACATGACAGCAGAAGGTTTTAAACCCCATGAGACATCCGGCAGTGGCTTTATTGGAAGCTATTCCGGAGGAGATTCTATAAATCGACCGCATTGCCGCTCTGAAATTGGAAACATGGAGCGCACACACAATAATAAGGCCTCTATTGCAAGTTGAAGTATCGCGCGCAGAGTGTGCGAGACAATGTTGAAGATTCACTCGTGTGCTTGCACAGCCCGGGCAGTATGTCCTTCTGAGGCAGACGTAATGTGACTCTAGGTGACGAATACTATTGCGAACCTCAACATCGACCTCCCTCGCTAGTGTCTCACTGACAGCTTATACTTGTTATTAAGATATGAAGAAACAGTTTTGGTTGCAGCATGGTATTCCGTACCTCTATCCTATCTCTCCCATCGCGAGGCATGCATGACTGGCTCTGTGTGTCAACTCAAGCCCAGACCAAAAAAAAAAAAAAAAAAAAAAAAAAAGATTAACGCCGCGCCCGCTAATAGCCAACGCACGTAATCCATCTACTGCTCCTCCTGAACAGTCCTTTTCAAACCCTCCACAAAAGCCTCGACCGCCTCGCCGCCACCAAGCGGCACTGCGCTACCCCTGATAAGCCCTGCGTTTTCGACCTTTACCCCCAGGCCTTCGGCAATGCTCGGCAGGCCGCCTTCCCGCAGCGCATTTGTCAGGCTTGCCAGAGCCTGTTGGAACATAGGCGCGCGCAGTACCTTCTGGATGAGACTCCTCTTCTGCTCAAGGCTCATGCGGCTCAACGCGTCCTTGCTGGCCTCTGCACCGGGCTCGAGCTCGACCGCATCGCCCCACGAAGAGGCGGACTGCTGCCAAAGCACGAATATCGTGGGAGGGAGATGTTTGATCAGTTTAAGGCAAAAGTCGTCGTCGGCGGACGCAAGCAGAGGGACGGTGGCTGAGGTGTCAAGGAGATCGTTGAGCGTCGGGTAGAGCTTGCCCTGGGCGGACTGCTGTGGCATGCCGCCTTGGCCTCCCTGCAGAGAGGCAAGGAAGTTTCGTACTGCCGCTTGTGCATCATCGGGCATGGCGCTTGCTCTGTAAGGCATGTTAGCAGATGGTTACTTGAGCGTGTCGGATTTATGGGTTGAAAAGAAAGAAAAAAATGGGAAAAGGGGGATAATGAACTCGCAGATGGGAGATTTCTGCTGATGTATCTGTGTCCGTCAAGTCCATTCTTTCATCATGAATCATTACTAAATGTACATGACCAATAATACGCCCTTCCCCAATGCCATGTCTCGATTCTTCTTTTGGTCAGCCTTGCGGCTTGTCCTTCAAGATGGCCATGCCAGGTGGCGTTTTCTTTTCCCCCATGAATGCACCTTTGGTATATGGCTCTGCAGGACTGGTCTTATGGAGGTTTCATTCCAGATAATCGTGAGGTAGGCAGTCTTTGAAGAGGAGATGAAACCTACGCTCTTGCACCATCCGCACCGCCCTCCCTGGACTCCTCGCCCTCTTCTCTGACATCACCGCCGGTAGCATCCGCACCGGCACCACCGCTACCAGGCTCGTTTTGCTCAGCACCGTGGCCCGTGGCATCCTCCATGGCCTCATCGCCGTCTGTATCCCTACCGCCTGAGCCACCGCCCGAGTTACGCACTGAGGCCAGCTCTGCGTTGACGTCAACCTCCTCGCCCTGCAGCATCCTGTTCACGATATCGCCTATCTTGCGATCGCGAGGGCTCAGCCAGGTTGGGTCGCCGCTGGGGTGCTGGGGGTGTGACTGCAGCCAGAATAGGTGGCGCGTAGATGAGGACTCGAACTTGAGGACGAAAACGCGGCCTTGGGTCTTGGCGGTCGCAGGAGACGATGACGAGGGCTCGACAGGTACAAAGGTGCCGTCGGTAGGAATCATGGTCAGATCGAGCTCGGGCTGGTCGGCTGGAACGCTGCGCTCGCGCCAGCAGAAGTGCAGTAGATCTTCAAACGGAAGTCAGCGGGTGATGTAACACTTAAATAGGAGCTGATACGCTGAATTCGTACCATCATCGGAGCCTTGGTAGAGGTAGATGTAGCCGGGTCGTGGCGATGGCTTCACCTTGTATGGTTTGGCAGCTTGCTAGTTTGGTTGGTTAGCATGTGAAGACGAACGGGGTATCTAGTTGGAAGAGGGGTCAGGAACTCACGTCGACATCGCAGATTCCGGCCTTGAAGGTGAGTATGGGATGGATGGACATCGTGAAAAAAGATAACGGAAAGTCAGTCGTAGTACAAGGAGTGTGTCGTCAGTTGTTGAAATAAAATGGCAATGGAAAAAGGGATACGTATGGCTGGTAGGTTGGGTACGTTGAGAAGGTATAACTGATAGAAGCTCTAAGTATGAAGCTCCGTTGGCGGGTAACTTTAAGCTCTAGAGCGAGGCAGGCAACAAGTAGGCTGCTCTGTCCCTGACGTGTTGCCGACAGGGATCTGGTCTTTGAATGCTGCCGGCTGAGAACTCTCTTTCCCAGATGGCGCCAGCTGGCAGCTCCGAGCCTGACTAAGCCTGCAGAAGTCCCGCAGCGTTTCCTCTTTTTTTCTCTCTCTCACGCTACCGTTCTCTCTCCCGCAATTCCGCCCAGAAATATCACGTGCACCTCTCAACCCAACCCACATCCAATTTTCAGTTCACTCGGACCGGGTAGTCATTTTCTAAGCGGTATTGCCCGCCACTTCAATCAAGCAACGACAACCCACCACCAAACGAACTTGTTCGTACTTTTCCATTCTTCTCTTCTCCCTAGCCGACGTTTACATCCAACTGACCCTCTTTTTTCACCATCCAGCACCAAAATGTCGGCCAAGGTTGAGACCAAGAAGTTCGGCAAGGGCACTCGGTCGGTCCCTCACCACTCCGAGAAGGCTCAGAAGTGGTACCCTGCTGAGGATGATTCCCAGCCTCGCAAGGTACGTTCGACGATGTGCACACGAGTCTCCGATTTTCCGTTGGCAGTGGAGAAAGATGGAACTTTGAGGCGAGCGGCACCGTCGAGCAAGAGACGGGCGCATCAGCATGGTCGGGATACCATCAGATGTGAATGATCTGGTGGAGGGTCAAGTGACTCAAACACGACGATGCGCGAGGACCTCACGATTGGATTTCGACAGAAAAAGCGACAATTGGCATACATGTGCGACAACGAACACGAGACGCGACAAAGAGGAGGGAGTTGGACCTGGATTTGTGGATGCACCAAGCAACTCGAGAATGCGACAGGCAAACTGACATTGATTATCACAAATAGGTCCGCAAGGCCGTCCGCCCCTGGCAGCCACGCAAGACTCTGCAGCCCGGTACCGTCCTGATCTTGCTCGCGGGCCGCTTCCGTGGCAAGCGCGTCGTCCTCCTCAAGAATCTCGACCAGGGCGTCCTCCTCGTCACCGGCCCCTTCAAGATCAACGGCGTTCCCCTGCGAAGGGTCAACTCCCGCTACGTCATCGCCACCTCCCAGAAGATCGACCTCGCCGGTGTCGACACCAAGAAGATTGACGAGGTTGCCGAGCCCAAGTACTTCGTTGGCGAGAAGTCCAAGGAGAAGGCTGGCGAGGAGGCTTTCTTCAAGCAGGGAGAGAAGCCACAGGTACGAACGAACCCCGAACGTAATCACGAGCACGAGCATACGGGCAAGGGTGGTGCCTGGCCCTTGGGCTACGGTTCACATCAGACGAGGACACATGTGCAAAGAAGACAAGGAGCTGACAAGTCTACGTGTACAGAAGAAGCAGGTCTCCTCTACCCGGGCAGAGGACCAGAAGGCGATCGACAAGGCCCTCCTGGCCAACATCAAGAAGGTGGAGTTCCTGGCCAGCTACCTGGCCTCTACCTTCAGCCTCCGCAAGGGCGACAAGCCCCACGAGATGAAGTGGTAAATCTTCTGCTCCCGCGAGGGCGCGATGATGACTGGATGGTCAATCTTGGTCCATGGGGGGAACGGCGGAGGAGGCGTACGAGACGACAGACGGAAAACTTCTCTCACTTCGGGCAGACAAAAAGAAGAATGAAACTTTTTGCTTTTGGGAGGGGTTACAAGAGCGGCACTCGAGAGGCTCTCGGAAATTAGGGACGGCTTGGCCAATTGCATCTTCACGTTTGCGGCGTCTGTAATGAGGGAATCTTGCACCAGTGATCATGAAAAACAAAGAAGAAAAACCAAAGATGGTCAACCGATGTTCCAGGGTCCAGTTGTTCTTGAGAACCGCGGTACAGAACAGGCAGCAGGCCAGTGAACAAATAAGCAATATGGCGGATAAAAAGGTCAAGCAGATTTCTAAATACCGCCGTGGAGATAATCCCGCCCACCAGCCATGTTCTGGCGCAATAGTGTTGCGTGCCGAAAGACGATCAGCCCCCAATGTAGGTCGTTTTTTCTCATGCTGTGCTCCGGAGATACCATAGGATCTGCACTTTCACTGCCACCTCCATTTCTGGCTTGCCGCGGGTAGCTACGTCTTAAGTCTCGGCATCATGAGCCATCAGACTGAGAAACAGGACCATGCACAATTCAAGTATTTGTATCGATCATCGAGGGGGTATTCAGCCACTTGTGTAGACTGGTGAAGATGTGTGACTTAAATTCTTCTATTCGCATCGCTGCGCATGCTTGCCGACCGGAACGGAGACTTGCTAGCGGCCTTTTTTTTTTTTTTTTTTTTTTTTTTTTTGAAAGCAGGTGGTGGTCTGTCTGCGGATGATGGTAATCAAGAATGTAGACTAGACATCATAGCAGAGCGCGGGATTTCACTTCAAAGCCCGATGTCCTAAGTTTGCCTTCCTATACGTCCCTTTCCACCCAGCTCTGGATCATGCCTTCGAGCGTTGGCTCGTACTGCTTGCAAGTGACCTTGCCAGAGCTCTCATCCAGATACGTGTTGGCCTGGACGAAGACCTTGCGAGGCTGCGCGTTGGCCACAACAACCTGGCGCACCTTGGTGCCCCAGTACTCGAGACCAACTCCCGACATCTCCTCGCCGAAGAACTTGGTGCCAGTCTCGACGTCTGCGGTTGACTTGTAGATGTGTATCTTCTGGAGGAAATCGCCGACGGCTGCCAAAGAGATGTGAGTATACGATCATGATATCGCGGGATGGGATCCTGTGGCCTGTTACGGCAGAATGCGGTACTAACCTTTGCGACCTTTAGTCAGGATCAAGCTTCGATTCAACTTAATCTTCAGATCTGACAGATCGTCGGCGGAATATTCCAGCTTGCAGAAGTCCTCACCAGCCTGCAGGAAGCACTTCAGGATGGCGAAGCGCGCCTGACAGTGAGGCTGCCCCCATCTCTGGCTCTTGGGGTCCCAGAACTCCAGGGCCGCGAGACCAGCGCGGGCCATGCTCAAGTATGCAGTGTAGAGCACATCACCCGCCTCGCCATCGATCTTGTCTGTGCCGTCACCGAAGCCAAAGATCTTGAGCACGGGGAACTCGCAAGCCAGGTACATGGACACCAGTTCAGCGCGGCATTCCTCATAGGCACCTGCCAGACCGCCAAAGACGCCGCCCCAGGTCTGTCCCGGCTTGTACCAGGTGGTGACGGGCTTGTTAGTCAGGGGGCTGATGGGCGGGTTCGCGTGGTCGAAGTTGAACACTCCCGGTGAGGTTTCTTGCAGCAACTTTCCGCATCCGTGCCCTGTGAGCCTATTGACGCATTCAGGAGTTAGTCCTTGTACCTGAGCCGTGAAGTATGGTCTAAGGTCTATCCTTTGCATCCCACAGACTATGCATCCTGGGAATGAAGACCTTGACCGAATTAATAAACCAGATTCCGAGGAATACGTACTCATGGAGACCGACCTGTACTTCAAAAGCAGGGTCTCGATATTTCTTGTACACCTCAAGGTCCTCTTCCTTAATGAATGGGATCTTCTCATTCGGAGCCTTAGCACCAAGGACATTGCCGAGGGAGACGTTCTTGAACCCGTCCGATTGCCGAATGTCATCGTACTACGTTAATGTCGTCAGCAATCGGTTCAGCACACAATCAGCCTCCATCAACTTGTGCGGGAAGGAGGGGGAAGGATGTGGGTAGTCGACGTCTTTCAGGGGCAAACTCGTTGGCTGAATACATGGCTTAACATAGCTAAGAGGGGCAGAGATGTGATAGTTGTGTGACTCTGAAGTGCTTACGTTTGGAATGTTGATACCCGCCGGGATGCCAGAGCCTGCAAACGAAAGGACTTCAAGGGATGTAAAGTCGGGGGCCATGAACTTGTCCTTCTCGAAGTCGGAACTCCACGGCAAAAGGGGGATCAACTTCGAGGAGGACGATACGAGCTCGCCGAACGCGCGTGTCCGTTCCTTGTTCACCATGGCCGCAAAACCCTCCCACTCGCCCCGGACACCAGCCGGGTCTCTGTACGTCTCGATGAAGCCGATGTTGCACTCCACATCCGGACCCTTGTCTGCGATCCAATGCCGCTGGCTGTCCTTGAAGGCCAGGAGCGAACCGCTGTCAAAAGACTTGGCGTACTCAGTGTGCATCTTCTGCTGGGTCTCGTTGTCGGCATTATCTGCAGCCTTCGCGATGTAGGCGGCGGCGGCGGCCATCTCCTTGGCGTGGTCACCGTACACCAGCTTGACCGTCTTGCCGGCCAAGACACCGTCATCGGCCTTGAATTCGGTCTCCTTTCCGATATCACCACCCTCGCTCGGGACGCTCGTCTGAGCAGAGGCGATGAGTATCTCAAAGACCCCATCCTTGGTCTTTCTCAGCCGGGTGTTCTCCGGTAACAGACCCTTGCTCGCCATCCACTTGGCTATGCCATCCACCTCAGCCTTGGTCACGTCGGGGGAGTCGACATAGTAGGTAGTCATGTGGCCCTCGTCCGGGTAGCCAAGGTGCATGAGACCTGGGCTGGAGCAGGCGAAAATACCTCCCTTGGTGGCCTTGTAGAACTTCTCAGCCTCGGGAGACGTAGCGGCCAGCTTCTCGACATCGCTCTCCTGGCAGCGGGGGATGAACTTGGAGTCGCCAAAGCTCTTGTAATTCCCAGTGTTTCCTAAGAAAGCACCAGCGTACTGCAAAAAGAAGGTGACAGCCTCCTCGGTGACGCCAGCCTTCTGGCCGAGGGCCTTCCAGTCGCCATCGCAGCTCTTGTGGAGGGCGAGGATGAAATCAAAAATAGGCTCAGATTCCGGAGACACCTGTCTCATCTGGATGCGAGACCCTGCGAACGAGGATCTATGCCAATGGCGTTCAGTGAGAGGTCGCAACAAGAGACACCAGATGAAGACCGTGACCGCGACTCACTTGGAGATGTAGTGGGCATAGCGCTTCTGCTTGTCCGTCAGGGCATCAAAGTGCTTTGCGATCTCGAGCCTCACGACGCTTGGAGGGGAGTCAGCCAGGTAAGACTTGAGCTCTTGGGCGTCCATATTGATGTGTCGTCGACCTGAAATGGTTAAGGCGGAAGGAGGCACACGCGGGGCAGGTCTGAGGGGGAAAGGAGAAGAGACAAAGACCGAGTAAGGTACAGTTGGAGACCTCGAGACAAGTCCACGGGCTGTTGTCGTCAGCGAGGCGGGGAGACGATACATTTATAGAAAGATCGAACCCTCCTTCCTTCGTGCAAGAACTTTGTCCAATTGGATTACCCTGTGATTATGGCCCAAGGTTTCCCCTCCTTGGAGTCTCACTAATGCAGCACAAGGCTCAAACCAGTTCAGCGTCACGAGCGTCAAGTTCAGTGGTCGAGGTGCCTGTGTCTGCCCGCCTTGGAAAGCTTAGACAGGCAGGTGGCGCGGGGTTCCTTCAGTCAGGGTCCGCCTGTTAGGGGTCTACCCGCTTCTAGCCGGAGAGGGACAGCGACTACCAGTTATGACTTTGCGGTTGGCCTTTTTGACTCTTCTTTCTTCTTGGGCAGCCTATGAGTGGATCCAAAATGCGGCAAGAGAAAGAGACAGGACTTTCAAAACAATTAACACTTTCATGCTTATGAAAGAACATCAAGAATCGAACAGGGAGAGTTTGCAGTCAAGTGAAGAGGCTGAGGCCAAAGTACAACACTATCAGATTCAGGGCTTATCGCCCTGAAGAGGCGTAAGACAAGCTGCCCCAAACGCTGCAGCCGACGCCTGACGCACTGCTGTGACAGGGGTTAATGCCACCCCAGATCGCCCATTATTGGAGGGGCAGTTGAGGCTCGTGCTTGTGGTCGGTGAAGCTAACGACAACATCGCCAAGTTGCCCTCTTCATACAACTCAAAGTGCTATTCCCCTTACAGACAATTCGACATCTCAAGAACCTCAGATCACTTCAAGACGTATACGTCCCCTCCAACCCCTTCTCCCTCCCTCCCAAATCGAGTCTCCTGCATACACAATCACAGGATGGCTTCCGCCGATCCCTTCGACTCGGCACTGTAAGCTTCCTCCGACTGTATCTGCTTAACAACGAGGGGCTACAAGCTAACAGCCTCCTTCTTCCTACCCCAGCGACCTCCTCCGCCGTCTCAATCCCAAGCACACCCAGCGCAACCTCGACTACATCATCCGCCTCGCCCCCGACCTGACAGAGGACCTCCTGTCGTCCGTCGACCAGCCCCTCGTCGTGAAGCGCTGCAAGCAGTCCGGCCGCGACTACCTGCTCTGCGATTACAACCGTGACGGCGACTCGTACCGGTCGCCATGGTCCAACCAGTTCGACCCACCGCTGGATGAGAGCGGCCCGGGCGGTGTAGGCGCGGGAGGCAATGATGGTGCGGGCGAGGGGGCGGTTCCTGGTGAGCGGGTTAGGAAGATGGAGATCAAGGCCAACGAGGCCTTTGATATCTACCGCGAGTTGTACTATGAAGGGGGCGTGTCATCGGTGTACCTGTGGAACCTCGACGATGGCTTCGCAGGCGTTGTCTTGCTGAAGAAATGTGAGTAAACATTGACGATGATGACAATGGGTTGCAAAAGGTCGTGGATCAGAATTTAACTGACACATGGATCTCCAACCCAAAAATAGCCTCCCCCTCCGGTGGCAGCAGCTCTGGCGTCTGGGACTCGATCCATGTGTTCGAGGCCAGCGAGCGGGGACGCACGACCAACTACAGGATGACCTCGACGGTGATGCTGTCGCTGGCGGCAGCGGGATCCGCAACATCAACGCTCGGCGAGATGGACCTGAGCGGAAACATGACGCGCCAGATCGAGCAGGAGCTGCCCGTCGACACGGATGAGAGCCACATCGCCAACATCGGCCGTCTGGTCGAGGACATGGAGCTCAAGATGCGGAACCTGCTGCAGGAGGTGTACTTCGGCAAGGCCAAGGATGTCGTGGGCGACCTGCGGAGCGTGGGCAGCTTGAGTGAGGGCCAGAGGGACCGGGACGCGCAGAGGGAGATCATCGGGAGTATGCGGAGGTAGTAGTTGAGCGTCGGTCTAGGAGCGGGCACCTTTGGCACCTTTTATGCCAGATCTACCCTTCTGCCTTCACCAGTCACTTCTAAACAGCGTCTGTTCAAGTGGTTGCGTGCCCTTAGTTGGCGGCCTATGCCAGATTAAGAGTATAGAACACATACTGAACTGTGTCATGAGGCCATTACACAAAGATGAATAATATGTATTGGCTCTCATGACTTATGGCAGTCTCAAGAGGTAAATATCCTCGTCTGACTTTTGTTCTTTTATATATATATATATCCCTTCTTTCATCTGATGTCCGCCAACAGAGTTTACCCTCGGCGAAAGTCGTCCAGGTAAGTCAACCAGGAGCGGCATTGGAGACTACGTACGTGTTTACTACAAGCGCAAAGTGGCCCAATGCCGTGCCTGTCATGTCACAATGAATGGAAAGCCACAATGCCTGGTAGCCCAATTCTCATATGCATTGTATCCAGCCGCGAGACGTTCTTGGAACTTAGGTTATCTAGTCGAGGATATTCATTAGGATAAGGGTGATGGAACACTGATGTCGCCGCAGGATCAGATGCAAACGACTATACAACTCGCAGCCAAGAGAAACAAGACGACTGCCTACCTCGAGCTGAAAGTGTAATAAGCCAGCGCATAATATGCACGTCGCCTTCTTCCCAATGCGGCAGCGGGCTTTCTGTCCCGAGCGCGGCCGATAGCTGAACCCTCAGCGCCCTTGTGCTGCCCACCCACTCAATGCTGACGAACTCGACGGACCGAAAACGCCGCCAAAAGTCTCCTCAGATGTGAGTTAGCCGTCTTAGTTCCAGGGGCCAACCTCCAAAGAGGGGAAGGGGAAAAAAGTCTAAGCCTCGTTCTCGTCTCGCCTCGCGCTGTCGTCGTGCTGCAGCGACTTCATAAGCGACCTCGAACTCTAGACACTCCATTTGTGGAGACGAGGCGGTTCCTTGAGGCTGGCGGCGAAAAGGCGAGGACCCTGAGCTAGACTGGTATGCCTTCTCTTTGGGGCGGTTCCGTTGAAGCTTCCCCCCCTCCCCCCCTCTCTTCTCTCCCGGGGCGTGCTGTGGCGGATTTCATCTGCGGTCATTGATACATGCGATGGAGGGTCAGTCGTTGCATCAACCGACGTCTTGAGGATTCAACCACAACGGTAAGCATGCAAAACCCCATGAAAAGGAGCAATATGTCCGCCACCCAAAGTCAAATATCCACTGCGACACTAAGGAAACATAGTGGTCGCTGGGACACGAAAACAGCGTAGTGCCCATTGGCACATCAAAGGACTCGTCAAGACTTGCCCATCTGACAAGCTGACAAGATACATCATTTTTCGGCTGTGACTGGTAGATTGCGATATATGACCAGCCCGTAAGAAGGCGAATCCTTGGGGCCAACCTCTAGGACTATTGTCCAGGGTTTTTCTTCTTGTTTCCTTCCACGTCGGCTCGGACAAACGCTATTGTTCACAAAGCATAGCAGCGGTTTCTAAGAGCCCAGCGCTCAGAGGCCCAACCAGACTTGCCGAACCACGGTGCTGCAAGGTCGCACTCATTACGATATGTGCAGCACGCATGGCCCCTCAGAACCGTGGCTCAAGCTTGGCTGACGAGTCATGGATTTAACGGCCTGACATGCCTTTGCCTGTGTGTGCGCGTGTGAAAAGAAGTAGAAAGTGCTGGTTTGTCTGCCTTGGGATGCACGATTGCGCTTCAAGCTCGTATGATTCGCCCACGTTTCTCTCTCGCATGTAAGATCTCGGTTGCCTTGCGCGTCCTCGGTGAACCCGTGTAAATTCAGCAGCCAAGGCATCAAGGCGTTCTAAGCGTGGACGGCTTTCCCAGCCGCTAGCCCATGTTCGCAGACCACGGAGGAGACCGCCATAGTTGTCGTGGCTGATCAGTCACGAAAGCCATCATGACAAGTGTCAGTGGCCCGGGAATTTTGTTCGCTGGGCGGTGGTGGGCCTCTGGACACGTCGTCCTCCTTTAGGATCAGAGCGATCCGCGGAACACAGTGAGACCCTGCGAAATTCTCAACCATGCATGCAAAATTAGACGGGGCCGGGACAAAATGCAGAAGGAGGGGGACGAGATGATCGTCTCGTGTTTGGCCGAGAGAAACTATTTGATGTTGGAGTCGTTGTCGCATAGGCGCCTACCCGATGGAGGCGTCTACTGCAGACTCCTGCATGGGGGAAATTGGACGGTGGACGAACCAACCACCTGCAGAGCCAACCTTGAATTTTTTTTTTTTTCGGTCAGAATTTGATTCTCGGCCTTGTTGGGATCCAGCGTGAGGCGTATATTGTAGGGCGAGACAGTTGCCTGTTTGCGAATGTGGGATGTCGTTTGCCTGTCTTTTGTTTCTTTCTTGGATGGTTGTCGTCGTCACGATGCATGTTGTTGGAAGTCCCGGTCGGTGCTCCCGCCGAAGGGTTCCGTTACAGCAGGTGTTCAAAACTTGCGGCATCTGCCGTATCATCAGAGCTATGGCCCCCAGCTGGAAATTATCCTACCAGAACAATTCCTGATCATCAATCTCTGTTGATCCTGTTTCAGGTAATTGTGTAGCGAGTGCGAGCAAGACCAGAGCTGCCAGGATGAAAGAATGCTGACCGCCCTGCCGGAAGGGCCAGCCCAATGTGCCTCGCTGGCGAAGATCAACACAACAACAGGACAAGATAGACAGACCAAGGCCTCTCTGTTCTAGGGAAGTTCATAGAAGCCTTCTAGAAGGTCTGGAGCGGCCGGGAGAGCGGGACGGGCAAAGATTGCGGCGGGGACGGCCGGGACGCTAAGTGTTTGGATGAAGGGGGGGGGGCGGGGGTGGTATTCTGCTTGCCCGCTGCACCCCTGAGGGCAGCATCGGAATAACCCATGGATGGCCATCTTCTCCCGCTTGTTCGACGCATGGTGCTTGGAATCGTGTGGTGGTATTGCGTCGTCTAGTCTCGCCCGGCTGATCCGGCCGGCCCTTTGGAAACCTTGTGATGTGCAGTGCAGTGCAGGATTCACCGTCTCGAACGGGTACACCGTGAGCCAGAACAGCTGTTATTGTCGCCCATGTGATCTGTGATGCAGGTACAGTGTTACAGTGAGTTGGCACACGACAGACATGCTCATACCTAGCACAGCAGGTGACGAGGATGCATTGCATCGCACGCCGGCACAGGGGACAGGCACAGGTGTGGATCAGCCATCAGCCCAGCCCGCTGTCAAGTGTTGCCCATTATACGTATGCACTGCCTATTCTCTGAACCTGCAGATTCTGTGTCACTTTTCAGGGTGTTGCCACTGTTGCTGCCTGCTGCCTGCTACCCTTCTGGGAGACATGCAAAAAGATATAGTGGCACAAGACGAGATTGGGTTCATTTGGATTTGCGCACATGTCATAGCAGTTCCTATCTATGCAGATCTCATGGACAACGCCATGTTTCGCGGGACGTTGCCCTGCGAATGTAAGGGGTGTCGTGCCAATCTGCCTCGGGTTACTCCAGGGGGAAAAGGGAGTGCGTTTGAGTCGTGTACTGTACATCATCATCACTTTCGTCGCAGGAGGGTGGGTGACGAGGTTGAATAATACTATGATGTAGAATAAGCGTCGGTCACGACTTTTCTTCTTCTTCCTTCCCCTTCCTTCTAGCTTTCTGATGTACCTGGAACTGGAGTCCTGCCTCCCCCCCCCCCCCCCGCAAAATGATGGTGTTGGGTAGGCGCCGTAGGGTGGGATAGGGTAAGGTCGGGTACTACAAAACGTTAGGGTAGATCAGGATCTTAGGTACTTGGTAGGGGGTGAATGTGCTCATCAGACGACGAACATAGTCAAAAGTCTCAGCGTCAAACCTCTCCTGTCATATCTCAGTTCCCATTGTGTCACAATGCAGCAGCCGAGAGACATGGGTGAATTTGGAACCATCGTGAATAAGGGACAAGAGGCTTTCGAAACGTTGCATGCCCTACATAAGTATATACTCGTTGAGGAAGCTGGGTATGGCCGGCCTGTCAAGCTTCAGGCTTGGAACCTGGTTCGCGGCCTGGGTGCTATGAGCTATGTGCTATCGTCACAGGCCAGTGGCCCTTAAAGGCCTGACTCTATAGGGGGTGGGGGAGGGGGGAAGTTGCTCGCAATTAGGGGACCCTCACTGAGGGGAACCTACTGGGTACCACCATACACCATACACGCCCAGTGGTAGTCGAGAGCCCGGAATGGACTAGTGTGAGGTACGCCGCCTCTGCCGTAGGATGAGGTACCCAACCAGCCAAGCCAAGGTTGGGGGCTCTGCGCAAAATCTCCGGATCCCTAATACAACGCGGATAATGCTGCACTGAGGTCACCTGGCCGTCTTTCTGGAACGACAGGTCAAAACCCTTGCCGGCCGACTTGTCCAGCTGATGGTGTGTACACACAAGCACACATACCGTGGCCGCTGGGAAGGAGACCGAGGAATAAGAAGATTGAAATACGGGACCTGTTCCAAGCCCATATCCATCCATGCCTCTGCCTCTCCCCACCAATCTTCTGGAGTCAAGCCTCTATTTAGCTTCTCATTGTCAGCTGTTGCTACTACCATAGTGCTGCTCTAGACAAGCAAGGACGAGGGCCGAGAATAGGTGACGAACGCATGAAAAAGGAAGGATCCACTTGGTATCCGTTGACCTGCCCTGGAATTGAACCCTCCTCGCGCGGGCCCGCAACCTGCTTCAGCCCACCCTCGCCCTCATCCTCGGCCCCCCCTGCGACGTTTGGGCTCGACCTCAGTCCCCCAAGGTTGACTCGGCCAGAACAGCTCTTCAGGGAAGCCTGTTCTCTCTGATCGACCTTTTTTTCCCTTTTCCCCTCTCGAGGGATATTCGAATCCCATTCATCTCATCAACCTGGGCCCTGGCAGTCCTCGTCAATTTCCGAGTAATCAACCTCAGGCTAAGGGCAGACAGTGTCGTCCCAAGGCCAGCTACCTATCTGCAGACGATCTTTGCCTGCCCGAGCGCAAATCTGGATCTACCGGATCGCACCCATCAAATATCACAGCTTTAATCTCGCCTATTCTATCTTGAGTCTTCTGGGACTGCCACCGCCTATTTCCCCGTCGTCTTTCGTCGTCGAGAGATAGCATCGCCCATGACCACATTTCACAGGCACGCATAGACAGCGCACAACCCTTTCAGATCACTGCACCTGCAACAAGCATAACTCATCTGTACGATATATACTATCAGAACTGTTCAGCTAGACGTCTTCTTCCTATACCCCCCCCCCTTTTCCCCCCTCTTCTTTTTTCTTGTTACATCATTTCGACATTGGTTGGCATTCTTGTCCGCCCCCTCCATCTTGTCTGGGCAGGGACGATAGGAAAGACGTTATCGAAACCGACCCCTGACCTGGACCCTCAACGAGTTACATCGCAAAGACGACCCCGCCCACCCAGGTCTTTCTTTTTGGTCCTGGCTCCAGGGCCGCTTGCACCCCTCTACACACAAACACGATCCGATCAGCCTTCCCTCTACTTGCTACAGCTTGAACCGAGCGCTACGTCTAACCGGTGCGCCCTTCTCGAGAGTGTGTCCTTGCGCCATCCGCCCCCCTTTTTTGCCTCTCTTTTGTCCATTGGCTCGCGATGGCGGAGAAGCCCTCGGTCCTCATCATTGGAGGGCTGGGCTACATCGGACGCTTCCTCGCTCTGCACATTCACAAGAACAATTTGGCCTCCGAGGTCCGCGTCGTCGACAAGGTCCTCCCGCAGCTGGCATGGCTGGCCCCGGAATTTGACGAGGCCTGCGCCGGCGACAAGTTCGTGCAGGCAGACGCCAGCAGGGAACGTGAGTCACTGGCACCCCCTTCTTCTTTGCCACCGCCTGATGTCCTGCCTCTCGTTCCCGGCCCGATCAAGGACCAGCAGCTCTTCACCAACGTTGCCCCCCCCCCCCTTTTTTCTTGTAGACATTTCAGGCTGATCCGTCTCCTTCGCCAAATTGCAGAAGCGCTGGGCAGGATATTCGACCGGGAAGGCGGCAAGCAATTCGACTATGTTTTCAACTGCGGCGGCGAAACCAGGTACTCACAGGAGGATGAGGTATACAAGCTGCGGTCATTAGGGCTGTCCTTGGCTGTCGGCAAGGAAGCAGCAAAGCGAGGCGTCAAGGCGTTCATCGAGCTCAGCACCGGCATGATCTATAAGTCAGACTCGGCAGCGAGCAAGGAAACCGACAAGCTGAAGCCGTGGAGCAAGATCGCAACGTTCAAGCTGCAGGCCGAGGATCAGCTGGCCAAGGTCGAGGGGTAAGTATTCGCTCTCAGCAGAGCCCGGCTGCAAAGATGAGCATGAACATGGTGTTCTGACGATTCCTCGCTGCCCTCCAGACTCAACCTCGCCATCATCCGTCTTGCACACGTGTATGGTCCCTATGCCTCGCAGTGGGTCGCAACAGCATTGTGCATGGCCCGCGTCTACAAGGCCCAGGATGACGAGATGAAGTGGCTGTGGACAAAAGATCTGCGGACAAACACAGTACACATCGACGACGTGGTGCGGGCAACGTGGGCCGTAGCGGAGTGGTACGCCGCTGGCAAGAAGAACTGGGACGACAAGGCAATGGGCGGTTCCGTACCTATCTTCAACGTGGTCGATAAAGGTGTCACCACACAGGGCACCATGGCCAACGTCATCGGCGAGATCTTCGGCATCAAGACGGGCTTTCAGGGCACCCTGATCAGCCACTTTGCCAAGCTCAACATGGATTCAGTCGTCGAGGATGTCAACGATGAACTGCTGGGCCCCTGGGCGGAGCTGCTCGAGTCGGCCGGCATCACCAGGCCGGGTCCCCTTACACCGTACATGGAGAAGGAGCTGCTGAAGGATACCGACTTGAGTATGGACGGGACCAGACTAGAGAAGGTGGTAGGCTTTCAGTACTCGAAACCTCAGATCAACAAGGAACTTTTGGAGGAGGTCATCGAGAGTTATAAGAGGATGAAGTGGTGGCCATAGCGGCTTGATGGACGCCACAGGTCGAAAGCGCAGTGCGACCTCAGTCGACACAGAAGAGGTGCAGCGGCCGGATATGAAAATGCAGGACATCCAAATGACTCGACGGCTCAACAACGCGACAACCACACCCTTAGCGCCCTCTACCCGCCAGTATCAAACACTCAACTATTCCATCACCAAAAGCGAAAATGTCCCATGACAGACGGGCAGAAGGGCAGATTGAAGAAGAAAGGACTAGGATGCTCACTCCAGCAGGCGGGGGACGCGAGAAAGGCGGCCTCGATCTGTCCTTGTTCCCCTCCAGCGGTTCGGCTTTTCTCTTTGTTTTGTATCAACAGGATATCCATTTCATATATGGTCTTCCTCGTCGTGTCAACCGGCAAAGTAACACAACACCACCCAGACCCATCAGGCAATGTGGAGAGAGACAAAAAGGGAAATGATGAGAGATTATATTTGTGCATATTCATGGACAATTCGGGCGGGTAGCATCTAGGAGCAAAAATATCTAGGAGCGAGGTGAGACTATTATTTTGGGAGGAAGAGTAATGCTTATATATACCACGACCAACAAATGCCACGGCGGTACCCAAAAGGCTGTCACTTTTGTAACCCGAGACATGCTGCTCCGAAACTCGATTTTTCTTTCTTTCTGTTTTTTGCTTTTGCCTGTCTGTTTGTTTGCTGATGCGGTGGTTAGTCATGCCTCCGCTTTCTTATTTTTTCCTCCCCCTTGTGTGTCTCGAGGGTAAATCTAGCGGTCCGATTGGGCGTCGGGCCGCCTGACATGCGATGCACTGCGGATGCGATGCGCTGTGATACTGCTTCAGCTATACCGATTTCGCATCTTATTACCAGAAACAACTAGAAGGAATAGCTTGTTGGTCTGTTGCTGAACCCAATGGCGCTTCCAGCTGTCGAATGAGAAATGCACAAGTCAGGTGATTGTGGGACGAGCATGCAGCTCTGTCTCATTCACTTGCTCCAGAGAGCATCGGCCTCCCCTGACTTCTCTCTCCCTCTGGTCACTGGCATCTTGGGCCGGGCGCGTGTGCTTCGCCAGCTTCTCCCTAGCTTGGCAAACCTCTAGTGATCCTGCATATATATTGACAGGACCTCCTCTATTTATGCATATATATACATTATGTAAAACCGGCTGACGCCTTAATTGTTCGTGCGTGTGTATTTGCAGCGAGCGCAAAAGCTGTCTGTCCGGACCGGCGGGCTGGGTTGCCATGGTACAATCATCAATGAAACGAGCCGAATCTAGGTTAAGATCAGTGGTTTTGCCTGAGAAGCATGTGATTCTATACTTGACTGCAGGGCGTAAACGCTGTTTGGGTTCAGCGCAGGCACATTTGCTATACATATAAATGAATAAATAAATAAAAGCCAAATGAAGAGGTGATGCTTCCTTGGGCGATGGTGACCTTGAGTGAGAAGAAGTTGTCACTCGGAATGCTCTACATTTCGAGATGGTTTTTTTTTTTTTCTTGTTCTTTCTCCACCTCCCTAGGGAACTATATGATGCAAGGTTGGAAATGTCGTGAGAGACTATGCCCGAGACGTGAGGACTGAAGCAGTTGAGAACATCTATCCCAGATTTCAGTGCTGGCAGACGAGTTGTGTTGCGGCTTTCGGGGCCCTCGGGTCCAATTGGTAGTCACCGTAGTCACAGATTAGGTAGGCGGTTTCCTGTTTAGCGTCAGACTTAGGTGGGAAGCACATCATCAATCGTTCATGCCGTTAATCCCATATGTACATACTTTCATGTACTGTGTAGCACAGGGGAAGGTAGCCCCTCATCCAGAAACGCAAACTGAACTACTGTATTTAAAGGGCAGCCCCACCCAGCCTCGGCCCTCTCTACTCTCCCTTGTGACAGCAGCCCTCTACTGACTTTCCTTCTTCCCTTGAACTCAACCACAGATTCCACAGACTTTCAAAGCCTGTGTACTCCCTACAGACTCAGTTACTGTGGCTGACCTCAGTAACTTCTCGAAATATTAATTGTTATAGGTGAGTTGTTTACCTTCAGAGCTCAAGCACATACGAGATGGTCGCTTGATAATGCCAGAATGCCATGGCCGGTATCAATACTTACCCACACCTGATACAGACAACAAACAATTGTTGAGAATACACATAGAGCAAACTCCTCCAGCTTCTAGACATTCTACCATAATGGCTGCTCCAGCAACTAAGACCCTCCATGACCTCAATGGCACTTGGTCCCTGGTAAGGCCTATTCCTGACCAAGCCCCCAGCAAGAAATGTTGCATGACAGAGCTCGATCATGGACCTCAAATCTTGAAAACCTCAGCATCAGCTGTCTGCCTTGCCTGCATCAGGCTGCTCTCAACTTCCCCCTAAAAGAAAAAGAAAAAGAAAAAATGTGTCCGTGGCTGACCAAGGAATCCTCTCCTTCCCCTCTATGAAAATAGAACAAGACGCTTTCGGACGACGTTAGCCCGGCCCTCGAGCTCCAGGGCGTAGGCTGGCTGACGCGCAAGGCGATCGGCCTGGCCTCTGTGACGCTGCACGTCAAGCAGTACGTAAGCGAGGACGGGAAGGAGCATGTCGACATCGAGCAGACGGCCACCGGCGGGCTCAAGGGCACGAGCGAGCACCGCGAGATGGACGGCCAGCCGCGTGAGCATAAGGACTGGCTGTTCGGGCGCGTGAGTGGCCGCAGCGAGTTCGTCACCGAGATCCCTGGTGGCGACGCATTTCTGCTGAGCAACTGGGAGGAGGGCACGTCCGAATGGCTCCTCAACTCCGTCGACAGCCTCGACAATGGGTGGACCGCGCGGCAGACGTGGGGATTCCAGCAGGTCAAGGGCGAGAGGAGGTACGTGCGTAACGTGGTGGTCGAGAAGGGAGAGAAGAGGGCGGAGATCCGAATGGTCTATGACTGGATCGCCACGTAAGAGTGAGAACTGCAGCACAAGAGAGGGTGGTCTGGCATGTGTGTACTCCCAGTATGCCCAGGAAGAATAGAGGGCACCTCTCTATAGTTGCCTGTTCGGCTGGTCTAGAGATTCTGTCGGGTGATCAATCACAGTCAAGGATGCTCACAGAGCTCCGGGGGAGGCATGACTCCTTGTCCTGAGAATTCATCAGAAGGGTACAGCTATCATAAATTATTTGTCGTCTATCCTTCCATAATTATATTCTTTTATTTGACCTATTATGGATGACTTGCATTTCTTTTAACCCTTTACAGATCAAGCAAGTAGATGAGAAGTTGATTCATCTTGTCCCCGGAACGCTCTCAGTCTTTCCAACCATGACCTGTTGAAAGGGCAGTTTTCCCATATGCCCAAGACCCTGGAAAAAGACACCACGCCATCGAACGCCTGTAGATGACCTCGAATTTTCTCCTTTATGAGCACCTCTCATTCTACGAGGGGTATCTCTCTTTTTGCTCTGATTGTAGCTACCTCGCAAAGGGCGCGTCCTCTGCTCTCATTCTCATCATGTCCGCCCTTACCATCAGCTCCGGTCCACAATCCGCTCAGTTCCGGCCAGCCAACCCCACCCCCCCCCCCCTCTCTCCTTCCCCGCCTAAGCTGGCCTCCTCTTCACGAACTCCTCCAGATCGGCCCTCGTGGCAACGCCCAGGACGAAGCGGCGGTTGTCATCGGTGACGACGGCAAACTCCTGCTTCTGGCCCGCGGTCTCGGCGCCCTCGAAGAAGGCCTCGAGCTCCTCCAGCGGCGTGTCCATAGTGATGACCTTGTACTTCTTGCCCTTGCGCTGGAAGCGGGTCATGGCGCTGGCGATGTGGTCATCGGGCTTGACCTTGCCGCCGTCGAGGAGGGCCTGCAGCTGGGGGATGGCGATGTAGCCGAGGAGGCTGCGGGTCTCGCTGTCGATGATGGTGAGGTGGGTGTAGTCGCGCTCGAAGGCGAGGGTCAGGGCGAGGGAGATGGGGTCCGAGGGCGTGAGGGAGAGGGCTGCGGGAGGTTGGAGGTCTTCTACTGCGGCCTGTTATATACAATGTGGTTTTTTTGGACCCTGTCAGTGGGATTCCTGTATCAGGGGACTTGTGCTAGGCCGCTGGACAGTGTTCAAGCTTTTGGTGGATTTGTAGGGGGGGGGGGGCGTGGATTGTAAACAGGGTCCTACGTACGCCGCGATATCTAGATGCCCATTTTGAGACGAATGGTGTTGTTGCACTGGATGACTCGGCTTGGGCTGTTGAGGGCTGCGCCATGATTCCGGTCGCCATGATGGGCCCGTAAGTCAGATGACAAAGATGAGAGTCTGTGGTCTGCGGCGTAGGATGGACTTTGTTTGTGTGCGCGGGTCTGGGACGAAGAGAAGCTCTTTCGGGGCACCTGTCAGCGTGTGTGATGGTGGCGCGAGGTGGTGGTTGTGGAGCAGATGTCTTGCGATTTCATCTAGCGCTGGAGTACAGTTATGTTCAAGCTGTGGGGCCGCCGCGATGGTGGGGAGCCAGCCTTTCCGTCCAGACCCCGCGCTACTCGAACTGGCCTCTTGCTTGCTTATAATTACGACTAGTATATAAGGTGTTTACATCAAACAAACAAAGGGTTGTTTACCTCGAGTACAATCCTTATACGTCGAAGAAGAAAAGAAGAGAGAAAAAAAAGGGAGATTCTCGTCAATACATGTTGAGGTTAACTATAGCAGATAAAGGTGACTTGGTAGCTAATCAGCGATTATTGAAGCTGGTTGGCGAAAGAAAATCCGCCGACGTCACTGGGGTTAGTTAGTGGTATTTTGCTAAGAGCCTGCTTTTCCGGTCCATCTGACAAGTTAGAGAGGGCCAACGGGACTTGGAGGCGTGTGAGGATTGGGGGGGGGGGGGTCCGGATTTTGGAGAGCTGACAAGCAAAATGTTTGGCATCCCCAAACCCCCTCGCCGGTGCTTGTCAAACCTCCATCCTCTCCTATCCCAAGATAAGCGATTTGTTGACCAAGACATCATCGCTCCGGCCAATCCCACTCTCAGCCTTCTCAAGTGTGCTGAATGATTGATTGGAACGACATTCTATGTCAGGTTATAAGGCAAGTGACATCGAACTTAAGGTGAGAGATGCCCTTCTGTTGGCTTCTTTATCTCCGTTAATGACCGGTTTCATCATTCCCCTGGCCTTCCACGGGGAATACCGGAAGTCCGCTATTGCCTAGTGCTTATTTATACCTCGAGAGCGATTAAACCTACTTCGCATCTCGAATCTGAAGAGGTTCAGTTTACTGACGATAGCTGAAGTAGCTGCGTGAGATTTCACACCCCTCTGCCTCACAGGATGTCGCACCTCTACCCTCGTTACGAGGTCCTCCAAAAGACCTTCCCCAGCCAGTCCCAGGATGGGCTGAAGGCACGAAGCAGCCGAGGTGCCACTCCGTACCAGGCTCGCATGGACCTCTACTCTGCCTACTCGACCATAGAGGACAAGGCCAAGAAGCTCTCTGCTGAAGCGACTGCCGAGTTCAACAAGGCTTCTGCTGCGGCGCAGTCTAAGACGGGCGCGATTGAGCTCTACTCCGGCAAGTACTATGCCGCGTGTACCTTTGGTGGATTGCTGGCCTGTGTGAGTCGAGATCCTTAAGGCTCATCACCATCACCTGGACTCAAAAGTACTCATCTCATGCTTCAGGGCCTGACGCACACGGCTGTCACACCTCTCGATGTTGTCAAGACCCGGCGACAGGTGGATTCGAAGTTGTACACGGGCAACTTCCAGGCCTGGGGGAAGATCTACCGGACCGAGGGACTCCGTGGTATCTTCACTGGCTGGAGCCCTACCTTCTTTGGCTACTCCGCCCAGGGCGCCTTCAAGTATGGCTGGTATGAGTATTTTAAAAAGACGTACGCGGACATCGCCGGTCCTGAGGCTGCCTACAAGTACAAGACCGGTCTCTACCTTGCTGCCTCTGCCTCGGCCGAGTTCCTGGCCGACATTGCTCTGTGCCCCTTTGAATCGGTCAAGGTGAGGATGCAGGCGAAGATCCCTAGCCCTTATACTGGCACCTTCCACGGTCTCAGCACTATTACGGCTACCGAAGGTTTTGGTGGTCTCTACAAGGGTCTCTATCCTCTCTGGGGCCGACAGATCCCCTATACCATGATGAAGTCGGTCTTACCCCCTTCGAAAGCTGTCGCTTTGGTCTTGATAGAATTTTTGTGATCTGACGCTGCGCCTAGGTTCGCCTCCTTCGAGACCATTGTCGAGATGATCTACGACCGCATGCCTGGATCCAAGAACGACTACTCAAAGGCCACCCAGACTGGCGTTTCTTTCGTCGGTGGCTACCTGGCCGGTATCTTGTGCGCCATCGTCTCTCACCCTGCCGACGTGATGGTCTCCAAGTTGAACGCCTACCGGAAGCCGGGTGAGTCGTTTGGAACTGTGACCTCCAGGATTTACGCAGACATCGGCTTCAAGGGACTGTGGAATGGTCTCCCGGTGAGAATTGTAATGATCGGAACTCTGACTGGCCTGCAATGGATGATCTACGTGAGTCACAGCCCCGTTGTGTTCCCTTTGGCATTGAAATAGAAGTCAACTAACAAGTACAACCACAGGATTACTTCAAGATCTATATGGGCTTCCCCACAACTGGTGGTGCAGCACCCCCTGCGAAGGCGGAAGAGTAAGCTCATTGAAGATAGGGGAAGAGAGAGAAAAGATGATATGGGTGTCGTATCGAGGATGTGGGCAATTGCATCCTAGAACAGATGACCAGGTCGCTGACTGACCTGGGGACTTGTATTCAAATGGCTGTGGCATACATCTGCAATATTCCGAGTTACTGATACATCATGATACATTGTGGTCTTCGTACTTAAGAGAAACCTTGCTTTTCTCCAAGAGGTTGTGTGTCACTTGCTAGTATTGCATTCACTTCCTACTTCCTCATTCGCTTCTCACTTTCTCGGGCCCCTGTCATGGTAAGACGGGCAGCGTGTTAGTGGGCAGAGGGTCACCAAGGTATTACGTAGTGCTGCTATAAGCTGGCGCACAGACCCCTGTTCCTTGCGATGCACTCTTTCGTCAGGGAGCCTTTTCCTCCTCGGTTAAAGTAGCTCCAGAAATGGACACAGCTACAAACGGTCCCCTAAAAACAACCCTTGCTTTCTGCAGCAGCGTCAACAGCAGCAACGACAACAACAAGAATAGAAAAGGCGGGCACGATCATGGCAGACCACTCGATTGCTGAGGTCCTCACCTTCCCGACAGACCCTGCACAATTCGACAACGACGACCGGATCTCCTTCTCCAGGCTTGACAACAAATACATCGCCGTACAAGAGTCAGATGGCACCGAGTTCGAGTTCGACGCGCAGTTGAAGCGATGGGTACCTGTCATGGACGAGGCTGAGGAGGCCCTCATACAACAACAGCAGAGCGCATATGGCAGCATTAACGATGCTTCGTACGGCGACGGTGACGCCCAAGTAAGCAATGGCAGAAAGAGAAGGCGAGATGACCTCGAGGTAAGCTGCGTATGCTGGGCCACCTGCATATGTCGTCGCGTGGTTCCTCAGCGCGCGCCCCGCCTCTGTCTGGCTTTCTCTTCTCCCCTCCCTCGCACCATCCTCCTCTACGGTGCTCCTTGACTGGCCGCTTGATGCATACTACATCGAACCCCGAAGGATCAGTCCCGAGATCAGGCTTGCCTAAGCGACCAACAAAAGAAAAGAATATAGAACATGGTGACCCACTGACACAAGCCATCGTTGCTGCTCCAGGACCAGGACAATAACAACAACGACAACGCCGCCGCCTCTTCTTCGAACGGCAGGCGGAAGAACAAGAAACAAGCCAGCCAACCCAAGCAGCCGCCCCAAAACAGAGCCGTCTACGTGACAGGTCTACCCCTCGACGTGACAGTCGACGAGGTGGCCGAGGTCTTTAGTCGCAAGTGCGGCGTCATCGCCGAAGAGATCGACAGCGGGCGGCCGCGGATCAAGCTGTACGCGGATGCCGCAGGAAACTTCAAGGGCGACGCGCTCGTGGTCTTCTTCAAGCCCCAGAGCGTCAACATGGCCATCATGCTGCTGGACGACACACACTTCCGGTACACAGAGTCCGGGCTCGGGTCAGGCAAGATGCGCGTGCAGGCTGCCGACACCAGCTACAAGAAGACACAGCAGCAGCAACCGGTCGACGGGGAGGGAGCGGGCGGTGAGGGCGCACAGCAACCACACCAAACGAACAACGGCAGAGGCGGGCCTGGCAACAATAGCAAGGACCGGGAGAAGGTGATCAAGAAGACGCAGAAACTCGATGCGAAGCTGGCCGACTGGTCAGACGACGAGCCGGCGTATATCCCTCCCGAGCAGCGCACGGGTAAAAGAGACAAGATGGTCATCCTGAAGCACATGTTTACCAAGGCAGAGCTCGATGAGGACCCCGCGGCGCTGCTGGAGATCAAGGAGGACATACGCGACGAGTGCGAGAAGCTGGGCGAGGTCACAAATGTGGTGCTGTACGATCTCGAGCCGGAGGGTGTTGTCAGTATCAAATTCCGGAAACCCGAAGCAGCAGACGCCTGTGTGCAGTTGATGGACGGGCGGAGCTTTGGTGGCCAGAGGGTCGAGGCATACATACCCACTGGCAAGCTGAAGTTCAAGAAGTCCAGGGACAATAATGATGACGCTAGCGATGAGGAGGACTGAGAGGAAGAGGGAGTGAAGGGTGAGAGAGAAATAGAGAGAGAGAGAGAGAGAGAGAGAGAGAGAGAGAGAGAGAGAGAGAGAGAGAGAGAGAGAGAGAGAGAGAGAGAGAGAGAGAGAGAGAGAGAGAGAGAGAGAGAGAGAGAGAGAGAGAGAGAGAGAGAGAGAGAGAGAGAGAGAGAGGTGAGTACGTAAGGCTTTGCGTACGATTTGTTACAGCCACCACTCAGGTTCTAGGTTCAGGGAGTTAACGGCAGCGCGGCGTTTGGCATAACAAAACATCTAAGTGCTTAGACTGACTGACCACCATCGATATCAAAGATGAAAAAATTATGGCAGTTTTTTTTTTTCTTCTTTTTCTTCTGGAAGGCTTCTGAAAATTATTCGGCACTACTTTGGTCAGAATGGTATCAATCTGTGACTACTACATCCCAACACTCCACTGCTTTGCGTAACACAGATTCCAAACGCCGCCAACTTCGCAGCCATTTATGGTCAAGCATGGTACGATGGCCCAAGTCTTCCATTGTTTGTCGCCCCCACCCCCAAAACTCATATCAACCCAGGTTGAATACCCCCTGTAGCGTTAGGGAACGAAACAGTGGAGGGTGCGAGAACTCACAGACAGTCCACGTATAGTGAACCTTTGTGTGTGTTTTTTTTTCGACAGAACACCAATTGCGATGTCGGCAAAGAGTGAAGTGGTGTGAGGGTTATGTGGGCATGTAGATGTGCGTGTAAGCATATACTCAAAGACGAAAAAGAAGAAAAGATAACTGAAAGATAAAAGTGTGTGTAGGTGTGTGTGTGTGTGTGTGTGTAGAACAATTAGCTGCACGCTCTGCGGTCAGTGTAGGCCACGACGGCGGACGGGAGTGATGGGGTTCGGTTAGTTATGTATGAAGCCAGTCTAATTTCAGTTTTTTCTCTCTCTTCTCCCTTGTTTAAGAGGGCGGCTGCACCATCAAGAGAGACTCGATGTCAACGCGTTCCTCAACAGTATACCAAATGGCGGCCTCGATGATCTTGCAGACCACGCGAAGGTCGCTCTCATCTGTCCTGGCTTGTCAGTCACGGCTTTTCCCCACACCATATTCAAGAGAGGGGGCACAGGTGGGGTAAAGAGGATGAATGAGTGAACTAGCTCACCCCTTGGCGAGTACACGAGCACAAACGTCTCGGGCAGCGGGCTTCTGGGCTCCCACCACTTCCTATGGGCGCCAAAGGCCAGCGGGTGTCTCTCGGCCCAGCCCTTGGCCAGGACCTCGGCGATGTCGTCTGGGTGCAGGTTCATGTGCATGCTCCGGTCGGAACTGTGGATGTGGCAGACCTCGCCGTTGCCGCAGACGTGCTCGCTGACAGGGTGCCGCGCGAAGAGGGCGAAGCCGTGCTTCTCGATACAGCTGGTCGCGGTGCCGAAGCGAGAAGGGTGCAGCTTGGCGAGGCGGGTCAGCGCAGCGCGGAGGGAGGCTATGGTGGTGGGGGAGCCGTGCTGGTTGAGCTGGCGCTGCGGAGCGAGGCCGGCGACGGTGGGGCGGGGGCCGGAGCGGTAGGGGAGGTTCTGTGGTGTGAGGACGCCGGCGGCAGGGCGAGAGATGGTGGTGGTGGCCGCTACTCGACGGGGTGGTGGCGAGAAGGGGTCACGCAGGGCAAAGAGGCGGAACCAGGCCAGGCGGGCGTAGCCGGCGAGGGTGGGTGGGGTGCCGCCGGGCCCGAGGCGAAGGAAGTTCTGGTAGTCGTTTCGGATGAGGAAGAGGAGGGGCACAGCGAGGATGCAGGACTCGAGCAAGAGGCGTGGGACAAAGTGCATCCCCATGAGGAGGAAGAGGGACCCGGCCAGGAGAGCGTTGGCGTCGAGAGTCATGCTGAAGGGGTCTTGCCGGATGACCATGTTCAGAGCCTTGAGGTGGTCAACCCCTTGGGCGTTGTTGTTGCTGTTGTTGTTGTTGTTGTTGTTGTTGTTGTCATTGCTGCTGCTGCCACCCATAAGGAGGAGTCCGGTCCTCTCGTCCATCTCGAGGAGGGGCCTTGACGGCATTGGGAAAGGGAGCTCGCTGACGGCCTCGCTGGTCGAGGGGGGCTCCGTCTGGGAGGCGGACAATAGAGACATGGCTGGTTTGTCTTGAGAAGGAGAGAAAAGAGGCGTCTATGCTATCGACTTTTCTCCTCTGTCCAGGCCTGCCCTCTCTATCCCTTGGTTCTTTTCCTGTGCGTTGACAGGGGCTGCTTCTTCTACCAAAGTATGATCCCGACCCAGGACAGTCTGATAACTGATATTGGATCGTGCTGGTGGTTCCTTGTTGAGGACAGACGGACAATGACTGAGACTTCTTCTCATGAGATGGTCAGTCTTCGACGAGAATGGAGGCGAGGAAGGGGGTTGGTTGTATAATGTGGCGACAGTGAGCAGTTCCACGTCAGAACTATGTAGTAAGAGAAGATGTGGGGACAAGGTAGGTCACCGGCACGTCAAGTCAAGGGAGGGTAGAGGAGGGGGATTGACACCCACGCCTCACGTCCCTCAGGGTTTGAGGACTGGAGAATGGTGGTAAGAGGCCTTTGACAAGAATCCAGAGAGAGGAGGCCTATGATTATTTGAAAGGACCTGAGAACTGGTTGACCACGTGCAAGCGATGGCGGCGAGGAGGGATGAATAGATATATAGCAGCCAGAACAAGCTCCTTTTTTGTCTTTCTTTCCTTTCATGCAGACACAGCGGTGTCCAGTGTTTAAAAGTATGTTGGCGGTGCGTGAACCTAAAGAGCGGGCGGGACGTGACAAGAAGGGTGATAGTGCGGCGCGCGGTCCCTGTCCTCGTGCTGTTGTCAGGAGGAAGGGTGCAAGAGACGGTGAAGGACGAATTGCGGCTGGCCAAGCCCGTTCCTTCTTCCAATTGGGAGTATCGGTTCACAGTGTCCTAAATTCTCTAGACTCGGATTGGAGGTCGATAGATAGCCTGACCAGATTGATAGAGAGATGGCTGGCTGTGTTTTTGTCCTTGGTATTTTTTCCCCTCTAAACTTCAAGCATTCGAAGCCTCTTCCTGTCCCCTTTGAGACGACCTTAGGGACGACGTCGGAGGGCCTCGTACGATTTTATTCATGTGGTGTGTGTGGCGGCAGTAGGCCACTGCAAATATGCGAGGATCATTGGCCACGCCACTCTCATGTGTGTGGCCCGGGACCAGAACGGACATCCAGTTTGTTCTGTCGTGGCCCCCCTCCGAGTGCCGTTTTCCGCGTGATGCAGGCTGAGGTACACACTGTACTGTTGTAATAGTACAGAACACGAAGGGGCCATGGGAGGCGCAAATCATGAGCGGCATCGGAGGAAGGTACCTACATCCCGAGTCTGGGGCTGTTGGAGGAGGAATGACGTCGCTTTTTGGGGGAATGCCAGTAGTCAGCCGCCTGTGACGCTGCGGCGGCTGAACCAAAAGATGGTTCCTCGTGTCTGCGGTGTAATAGTAGGAAGCAGACACCTGGGGCCCAGACATCAGTGTATCATAGAGGACTTGCCTCCTCGTGGCCATTGGAGGGCACACCCCAGTGTCTGCTCCTGTGAATCTGCATCTGCAAGCACAGCCGACGGGAGCGGTCTAGAAGGTGTCCTATCCTAGGGATCAGTGACAAGCTATGCAACGATGCTTACTATGGCGAATACTAAGGGACTGACCGGACTAAGATCTCGAATTGGAGGCCCTTCCTCCAATCAATATTATACACAGACGATTAATCTTTCTCTTACCTTTCCCCTAAATTACACCTCACACTCTCATTTTGTAGAAGAATGTTCCTTTTATCTTGTTATAGTACATTCGGCCTGGATCTGGAAACCCCCTCCTAAACGGGCATCAATTACCGGCTGTATTCCGCAATAGTTTGGCATGGCGGGGAGGGGCGCCGTGGGGCGGTTAAAATAAGCTTCATGGGCCGGAACCAGACACAAAACTCACGGTTATTACTTATAATATGTAGGACCGTGGAACCAAGAGAAGGAACACCAAAAAGTAGATTTGCCTGCGGCAACACTCTTGAGTTCGGGACGTGCGAAGTTGTTGTTTACACTGGGCGAGTGAAACATACCAATCTTGGGGGCTTCGCTGGACTGGGGGGGGGGGGGGGCAGCCGAAAGTGTGACGTTCAGGGAGGACGAGATTAACAGCACATAGGGTAAAAATGGTCCCAGGCTGGACTTCAGTTGAGTCTCTAGGCAGATATGGTGACTTTCGCTTGAACATGTCAATTCTCTTACTGGACAGACCAATATACAGGCTCTGTTGCGAGGTTGGAGTGTGGGAGGGATGGTAACACCTTTGGGTGGCAAGGGGGCAATTATCCTCGGATAGCTAGTCACCCAGAGGTATGTTTAAAAATAGCCTCGCGTCCCCGTGCAGTCTCAGCCTTGCATTGAAACGTGATCGCACTACACCTTGCAGGTATGCGCATTGTAAGTTTGGAATGCTGCTACAACTTCGCACAGGCTTCATATCGAGTTTTCATAATGCAAGTTTGCAGCAAAAGATTTCATAGTGGCTTGTTGACAACCCCCCCCCCCCCGAGATATGACCTTCCACGGCCACCAAGGATGGTTTGTTGATCAGATCACGTCAGATCCCAAAATTCTCGATCAGCACAACGATGAGATGAACATCGGGCGTGGCGCAACGGAACCCGCATCCAGGATCGGATGGCACTTGAATCCACCTTCATCATTGCTGTCTTGTCTATCTCTCTGTCTCTGGTTGTAGGTAATGCAGCATTCGAGCAGCGGGTGTAAGTTGGGCATATGAAAGCTGTCAAGGGGGGGGGGGGAGGGTTAAAATAAAAATAAGAAAAAAGAAAAGAAATGCTGCCTGGGCTAAAAAGGGGCCCATGATCCAGCCAGGATAACTTTCTCGGCCTATGATGGCGGATTTCCCCTGACATTAGCCTCCCGTCTTTTAAGTGCTGCAGTCGGAAGGTCCCAACTCTCTTGAAGCAGCAGCTGTTAAGTAAATGGTGTGTTGCTGTCTATGAGCCTGAGATAGGGGAAATCGTGATCCTTACTCGAGTCAAAAGTCCACTGTCTGGTCGATCAGGAGGGGCCCAATTTTTATAAAACAAGAGCCGCTTGGGCGGTTCCATCTTCCCCATTTACAGATACTATAGTACACGTAATTCTAGCAATTACAATGACAATTACCGAAAACAAAAGAAGTTCCACAAGCCTCCCACCTTATTGTCCTTCCAATTATTATTCGATCGTCCTGTCACAAACTATAACGGTGCATTATAGTAGTAGAAGCAATGCTTTGCATACCTGGTACTGTGTATGTATGTTATGGTGAGTATGCAGCGGCACGGAGCATTCACCTCTCGACTCGGCTAAATGCAACACTCCCAACAGGCAATGAATGGATCGATGGATCGATCAAATTATCATCATGATGACTGCAGGCTGCCCACATGGGCGCTGGTCCAGCAGGCAGACACGCATATCCATCTGGTAACATACATAGTAGTACATGCATGGTGGTACTGCACGGTAACAGAAGGGGAAGTTGGATAACACCAAGAGAGAGAAAAACCAGCCAGACAAGCCGGCCAGCCCAGGGCCGTTGCAGGCTTTTCGGGGGTGAAGGGGGGCCCTTCATTAGCGAACAATACAGTAGGGATGCAGGGAGTGTATGGGTTAGCTAGAAATGTGATAGGGCAGGATGGGCTGCTGGTGTAACAGTTGCCAGGGCCAATTGCGCTAAGGTGCAACACCTAAACTGCATCCATCCTGGCCTGGGCTGCAGCTGTTCGTTGCTGAGCAACTTCTCCAACCTTGAATCCTCCTCTCACACTCCTTCCCACCCCCCCACGAGCGATTATCTCTCTGATGACGACAAAGATATCGGGTGGCACAGGAGGTGGTGCAACAGAAGAGAAGAAAAAATTTAATTTGAAAATTACCCACACCCACCACATCAACGCCCCAGAAAACCCAGCACCCCTATCACGATCTCGGTGGTCATTCGCACTCCTGTACTACTGTGTACTATAACACATACTGTACCATTTCAAAGCCCTGTGGCGGCTGCTGGCTGACCTGTGCCGTTCCAATCTCTGCACCCAAACCCATAAAATCGCCATCGCATCGTATCAACAGCCGCATGGCGGTCGAGAGACCCCACAAAACAAAGATCAAAACACAAAAATAAGAAAGAGGAAAAAAACAATTGATCCAATCTCACTGTTACCTGATTAATATCATCTTCTCTCCCCCTCTCTCTGGGTCTCGGCCTATCATTTTCCAAGAGTTCCTGTACGTATGCGTGGGCCCGCACGCATGTTTGCAATCATCCACCTTGTACCCTGTTTTTGGTCCTGGCCTCCCCTTCCCCCTAGGCCTGCAAGTCTGGCTGGTCCTTGGATCTGCCTGCAAGTCTACCCATCTATTGGCCCCCCCCCTCCCACCCTCCCAATCCCCAGCCCACCCACATCACGTTACGCAGTATGTGGGTACGAAGTTCCTCGTACTCTGTACGTATACAGACGAGCCCACCCCCTCGAGTCTCCTTTGATCTCCCATGATTTTTCAACAAACACTTTTCCTCAGGCTATTCTTGTACCTCGAACAGAGACAAGCACGGTATCTATCCTTTCCTGGTCTACCGTCCCCAAAGGACATTCCTCAGAGACCCTTCTCCTTACCGAGGTTCCGTCCTCGAGGTATGTACCACCTTGGCTCGGCCCGGTACTTTCTACCTTCTGGGTACTTTAGCAGCCGCGAACCTGCTTGCAGATCCGCCGCGCTCGATCGCCCGCAACCGCTAACATCTCCATCCAACATCCTTAGCCCAGTCCCATATTTCGCCAACCTCCCACTTTCGGTAGCGCCCCCCCAGGTCCTCAATAATACAACTTGGGCTTTCATACCTTGCTTGCCTCTCCCCCCCCCCTTCTCCCCAAGCGGCCTGCACAAATACATACCTTTGCAAAGCGAGTAGGACCTTTTTATCTCGCTCACCTTCTCCACGATCGACTCTGGCAAACTAGCCTCTTTGCACTATATTCGAGACGAACTTTTAACGATTTGCATTGTTGTCGCCTCTTGCTTTTTTAGTTTGCATCCCAGTGTCCCGCGTGGATAGGCCACGACCGAAACCAGCGCCACGACAGATCGTGCGCAAGCAGACCGTCCTATGCTGGGTCCGGTCCGCTTCTTAGCCTTACAAGAGCATCCAACCTCCCCCCTCCCCACTGCCACTTCCGCAGACGTCTCTCCTTTCCATTCGACGTCATGGGACTTCCAAACCCCCTTCGACAGCGAGGGCCACAGCTGCCCATATACGAGAAGATCCCCAGGGAACAGTTCTCATCACAGGAGGACGACGACTACGACCTCACAGATGACGACCGTGACGACTCTTCCTCGTCCGCCTCCTCGCCAAGCCGGGACTCGAGACGGACCAACTCGCTGTCCTCAAAGTCTGCCAAGCTCAAGAGGAAGCTCAATGTCAACGCTACCCTGGCCCCCCCAGTTACCACGCCCAACCTGCTGAGCCCGATGCTCACGCCCAGGAGACAGACCTTCACCCTCTCCCGCCGGGCCACAGGCGCCGGTCTCTATAGGCTCCCCAACAAGATCACGAGATTCCTCTGCATCGGCCTCCTGGTCGGCATAATATTATTCATCTCCGCCCTGGTCCATGCTGGCGTTGCAGAAAACCACAGGATCCTCAAGGGCGAGCTGCCTGCGAGGCCCTCGGGCCCCAACGCCTGGGAGTCCTTCAACTTCCTCACCCGCTACTACGGCGGCATAAGGACCCTCACCCCTTTTGAGGACAACATCCCACAGTACCCGAGAAGTGAGGACGAGGCGCCTTTCACCGGGGACGAGCCAGGCCCGGCTTTCTACAGCGGCTCGCAAGAGCCCACCGACGCTGCCTTGCCCCCGAGCAAGTCCTTTCCCAGCGACTACCAAAATACAATCTTGAGGGCGCAAAAGGTCAACGAGTGCTTCCTGGACACCGAGCAGAAGGTGAAGGTGCCCTACATCCGGTACTATGACGGACGGCCAGCCGGCTTTCCCCAGAATGTGCTGGGCTCCTACGAGCTCCTGTCCCTGCCCGAGGACATTTGCTTCGAGCGTCATGGCAGGCTAGGTCCCTACGGGTTCGGATACTCGGTCCGTTCTGGTGGTCTGGGCATTGGCGAGCACGGCGATCGTGATGGTTCTGAGCATGTCTGGGATGCAACGCACCAGGTCGACTGGCGCAACATTGACTGGTCAGCCGTGCAGCGCAGCTGTTACCAAGCCAATGCCGACCTTTACAAGCCACTCACTCGCAGACAACATCCCCCACGCGGCTTCTACATCAACGAGAAGCTCGAGAATATGACCCTCTTCCGGAGGGACGACGGCATGCCCGCTATCGGCGAGGCCATGTCGCCAGGTGCAACCTACGACACATCAGCAGCGCCATCGTCGAACCAGGGCGAGGGCGGGGCTGTCCAGGCTGTCGACAGCTCTGCGGCTGTGCCGCCGCCTGCCGGGACAGTCCCCGAGGACGCTGCGGCGAAGCCAGCGGGCGAGCTGTCCCGGACCGCCATCGTGATTCGCTGCTGGGATGAGTACGACTGGCGGGCAGAGGACGTTGTGTACCTGCGCTCTATCATCACCGAGCTCTCCCTCGCGTCGGGCGGTCGATACGACGTCCACCTCTTGGTCCAGGTCAAGAACGACGCAAAGTACCCTATCTGGGCCGACGACGAGGTGTACGAGCAGAGAATCAAGGACACCGTGCCCAAGGAGCTGCAGAACATCGTCACCCTCTGGACAGAGACACAAATGCTCTCGTTGTACCAAGGCATTCATGACTTGTGGACGCGGGGCAAAGACTTGCCTGTTCATGGCGTGTACCGCGGACTCCAGATGGCCATGCAGTACTTCGCCTACAACCACCCCGAGTACGACTATTTCTGGCAGTGGGAGATGGACATCCGATACACTGGTCACTACCTCGACATGTTCACCAAGATGGAGAACTGGGCCAAGGAGCAGCCGCGCAAGGGTCTCTGGGAGCGAAATGCGCGCTTCTACATTCCGGTCGAACACGGTACCTGGGAGGACTTTAGCCAGATGGCACGCGTGCAGGCTGAGATGGGCACCACCAGCGCCGATAATATCTGGAGCGGTCTCGACAAGAAAAAGAAGCCCAAGAAGCCGCAAGAGCTGACCCGCGGCGAGAAGATGATCTGGGGCCCAGTGCGTCCGTCTGACGCGAGCGACTGGTTCGAGCCCGAGAACGACCCCGTCCCGCCTACAACCTACGAGCACGACAAGTACCAGTGGGGTGTTGGCGAGGAGGCCGATCTGATCACGCTGAACCCCATGTTCGACCCAGAAGGGACCACTTGGCTTCTGGCTGACGATATCACCGGTTATAACCACACCGATGAGGCGGGCAAGCCACCACGCCGTGCGCAGATCATCACCGCCAGCCGCATGTCCCGTAGGATGCTCTTGACCATGCATCGCGAGACCGCCTTCAAGAAGCACCACGCCTTCCCGGAGATGTGGCCTGCGACCGTCGCCCTGCAGCACGGGTACAAGGCTGTCTTCGTACCCCACCCTCTCTATGTGGACCGTGAGTGGCCAACCCAGTACATGGCGGCCGTGTACAATGGCGGCAAGAATGGTGCGTCGGGTGGATCGCGGACGAGCGTGTTCGGGCAGCGCGAGCACAACCTGCAAGGGCTGACCTGGTTTTACAACTCTGGCTTCGCCCCGAATCTGTACCGGCGTTGGCTGGGCCTGAAGGTCAACAATGATGGCGGCGAGGAGTTCGAATTGACTCGCGATATGACCAAGGACGAGACCTCGGTCGGCGAGATGCGAGGTGGCGAGGGCCGCATGTGTCTCCCACCGATGCTCATCCACCCGGTCAAGGGTGTGGACCTGCCGGTCGAGCAGTACGATGAGATCGAGGTCCCTGAGTCTGACCCGAGCGCCTGAGCGGGTGATTGAGAACGTGAGGAAAATCCAACCAGATAGCTGGGCGTCGGGCTGGCCCTCTAGGGTTAATATGGTGTTAAGGGATCCATCGTGGAGGAAGAGGCTGTGCCTCAAGCAAGGCTTATGCGAGATGGACACCCCGCTTGGATCGGCCGCCGCCGACTGGGGTTTCACACGGCCAAGCCTTGTTATATGAGAGCCAACATCATCTGGCAAGGGAGAGGGACGGGGCCATCAAAGGAGTTTTAAGGCGTCATTCCGGGGCAAGCAAATGGGGTGTTCTGGGCTGCTAACGGGAGAGATCTTGGTGGCATGGTTGCTCACAAGCAGGAAATACCATTGGTACACAGCATCGGGGTTCTTTTCTTTCTATTTTCACCACCGTCTTCATTCCCAGATTGTACATGGGACTTTTCCTTCTCACTCTTTTGTTGCATAGACAACCATGAGGTTGTTTGTATATCAGGGACGGCGATGAAAGGATGGGGAAGCCTTCCCCACACCATGAGAATAGTCCCCTGGGATGTACATAACTTTCTCGTGAATAGTCTAGACCCAGCACCTGGCTGTGGTGTTATAATAATGAGTGATGATTGAAGACGAGATCCAGTGACCTTTCCTTTTGTCCCAGGAGCATGTGCATGTTTGGTGTGTGAGAGTGAGAGTTCATCTACAGTATTGCGCATTTTGGAGAGATTGATCTGCGTTCATCCTTCGCATTACACATCTCTGGTGTATTATGTTCTCTGGTGTTCGAGGCATGGTGCAACATGACATTGATTGACCTACGTGAATGGAGGCAGAAGGGAGTTCGAAACTCTCTACTTGGTATATATAGTATCGTTCTGTGTCAACTACTTTCTTGGCCTTGTGCCTCTATTTCTGGCCTGTCTATCAAGAATCTATTTGTCGTTGACTTTGAGTAGTCACTGAATCCATTTTGGTGGATATTGGGTTCTCTTGTTCTTGCCTGGTCGAGAGCTCTTGCGGCCTGGTAACCTTATGTCTAGGTCTAATGTCCGATATTGTCCTTGAAGAGTCGAAGCTCATTTCCTCGCAACCAAGACAGGAGTATGCTGTGCCAACCAGGACAATTGATGTTGGTCTTATGCATTCCTGTATTCATATGATATCATTAAAGCCGTCCCCTGTGATCCATGCCCCCTTTCACACCCCTTCCTTTCGTCGATTTTTGTTTTTTGACATCTATCCTTACATACGCCAAGTACGCTTTTCAATTGGAGACTGTCTCTTGCGTCCGAGAGTTCTGTTGAATTCGCATGGGTATGTAATAGAAGAAGGAAAAGTAAACTCGCTGCATTCAACACCCAGTATGCCATAGCCTATACACAAAGATTCTTCCCTTGCATCCCAGACTCGCTTTCGTCTTTTCTTTTTCTACACTACCCTCTTCACCTCGAAGAATCTCCTCAGCCACCAGACCTGGAACACGGACTCGCCAATGACGACGCCGAGGATGAAGACATTCCACCATTTGACGCGGCTGTTTGTACTCTCTGCGGTGTTGCGGTGGGTGCGCTCGCGAACAACGATGTAGGACTGCTCGTCCTTGACCTGAGCGAGGAGGTCGGACAGTTTCTTGACTGTTTTGTTTTCCCCAGCTGGTCAGCAGCATACCTCGGGACGGGATGGCAGGGCAGAAACAGGCAGCCAGATAAGCAGCAGACTTACCTTCAGCCTCCAGAGGATCGGATGGCGCGTCCGACTCTGACACGTAGACGATGCCGTGGACGTTGAACGAGACCTCCTTGCTCGAGGCGCCCCAGTGGTCGTTGCCGAAGCAGTAAATGAACTTGCCGTCGTGCTTGGCATCGAAGGAGTGGTCGCCGTTGGAGACGGACTTCTCGAAGACCTCGTACTGGCCTGAGGGGTTCGTAATCTGTTCAGAGGGGGATTGATTTGCCCTTATTAGCCATACTACTGCTCCTCTTCCCCCTTCGTTGAGGACACGGGACCAGGTGGACGAGCGATCCATACCCAGAAGTCAATGTCCAGGTTTCCTGCACTGCCGAATTCTCTGTCGCCGACCTGGAATGACACGGTCATCTTATCATCCTTATGCAGCTGCTCGTGGAAGCACTCGCGGCCATGGGCGGGCAGTTGGATGTTGTGGGCCACCACCGTGGACGAGAACAGGCCTGCTGCTGCCAAAAGCAGCGACGAGGCTGAAAGGAACTGCATCGTTTTATTCGTTTTTGCCTTCCTTTTCCTTTCCACGACAAAATCTAATTGGACGAGTGGGGTGAGAGGAGGGTCGGCGATGGTGGCTTGTGCTGGTTTTGGGATGCTGGTCGTCGTCGCCAATTCGCAAATAGCTGGGGCTCTGAAGGGACAGCTTGGCGGGTTCAGAAGCTCTCGAAAGCTGGCACCCGCGACCGAGTCGGCAGGCCCCCCCGGGCAGTGAATTGTTCCCGCCGGGATGGCGTTGTGTACCCTGGTCTCCCGGTGGAGGTACGCGAGAGATAGTGTCGCACAGGTAATGAGATAAGGTATCGCCGCAGGGGCTGGGACGTACCGCCCCAGTTGACCTTCAGGAGAACCTTCCCTGGCGAACAGCACTGGAAGTAGGCTCTCTTTCTGCACAGGGCCGGTTGCGTAAAGGGGTCTCCACAGATTTGCCCTGGCCAATGAATGGTTGAACGACTGGAAGCTGGAGGGGGCTCTCAGCTGTCACCCTTCCCCTAGCACGGCCCTTCCTTCTCTGCCCTGCGACAGTGGAACTTTGCCCTGCTGTCAATTAGCGCTCACTGCCTGCCTACCAGTCGCTGCTGCAGCCTCTCACTGCCACAGGGGTCTGAGCAGCGTCTGGGCTTACCCATCCCAGCCCCGGCACAGGTCTGCGCTTGGCCCAATTTTCAAACAAACCAACCTGTTCTGTTCCGAACCTCGTCTCTTCCCACGTTCTAACGGGCCCGTTTATTTTTCTGACCTGCCTTTGCCTCTACCCTCCTACTACTTACCTACTACTTACTCCCTTCACACCGACAATCGCAACTCGATTACGACCCAAGTGGCCATCGCATCTCTGCACAATCACCAATCTGCTACCCGGCATCACTCTCAAGTCTCGACTCGCCCATACAGAGTTGAGAATCTTTGATCTTCAAGGTGAGCACGACCTTCTTCGCAGTCTGCTGTCCCGTCTCTTGCTCGGCGGCCCATCGTGACACGTTCGCACATCCCTGGCCCTGTTCACAATTGCCACTCTCACCAGTTGGGAGAATCGTCACCATCACCAACCACCTCCCCCCACTCGTCACCAGTCATCGATATCTCCATCGCTGCTTAGGCATCAACATTTTGTTCTGCATGCGCCGCGCGATCTTCTTGACACATCTCCTGAACCCAATTCACACCCTGTTCTGTCCTACCTTTCACCCAGCCAGTATCAGGCGCCCCTTACCGCAGCCAAGGCGTTGGCTTTGTCGACCTCTCTCGTCTTCCCAAACGTGTCCTGTCCTTCTTGTTTTCGCCTTAGCTGTCATCTTCCGCCGTGTCAAACATAAACCTCCTCTCCCCCGTCTCGCGACTCTGGGCGGAAGGACTTGTCTCTTTTAACCCTTTCATCGCCATCGCCCATCCTCGTCACTCTTTGCTATCAGCATCGTCACAGCGCTTCACGGCGTGCACGGAAGCATCCAAGATACACTTTTTTGCTGACCTCAAGAACGCTCTCTCTAGGTCACGCGCCCGTCGCAAAACTTCCCCTACTTTAATAGTCGATCCCCTCACAAAACCGCCAAGATGGGTATGGCACTTTCGTCTTTCGCCGGAATCTTCCAGAAATGGATCGGCAAGAAGGAGATGCGAATTCTGATGGTTGGTCTCGACGCTGCCGGAAAGACCACTATCCTCTACAAGCTGAAGCTCGGTGAGATCGTCACCACGATCCCCACCATTGGTACGTTCCCGTCTCAAAATTTGCCATTGGCATCTGTCCAGAATATCCGGATATTGCGCCCACGAAGAGCCCCATCGAGCTGACTAAGATGTTGTCTGTAGGTTTCAACGTCGAGACCGTCGAGTACAAGAACATCTCGTTCACGGTGTGGGATGTCGGTGGTCAGGACAAGATCCGTCCTCTGTGGAGGCACTACTTCCAGAACACCCAGGGCATCATCTTCGTCGTGGACAGCAACGATCGTGATCGTGTTGTCGAGGCCCGCGAGGAGCTCCAGCGCATGCTGAACGAGGATGAGCTGCGCGAGGCAGCCCTGCTGGTCTTTGCCAACAAGCAGGATCTTCCCGTAAGCACAAGAGGACCCAGATCTTCTGTCTGCCCTTGAGGGAGGGCATCAAGCATAGCAAGCTGACCATGATCAATAGAACGCCATGAACGCCGCCGAGATCACAGACAAGCTCGGCCTCCACAGCTTGCGGTCGCGCCAGTGGGTACGTACACACGTCATGACCCCACCACTGTAATGAGAACAGAGTCGCTAATGCATCGACAGTACATCCAATCCACTTGCGCCACCAGTGGTGATGGTCTCTACGAAGGTCTCGAGTGGCTGTCCAACGTTGTCAAGAACAAGAACTAAAGCGGTCACGGTCGAGGGACACGATCCGCCGGGGCCCATTCGGTTACTTCGCAGGGCAATCTCACGACGATCGAATGACATGATACATGGATGGACGCTCTCACCCCATGAACTTTGCATCTCCTTGTGATGGGTCATGAGCGATTCATAGTGGGACCGCTCGTGGGAGCAGTCGGAGGACGTTTCGCGTGTTTGGTCTTTTTGCGGCATGAAGGGTGGGAAGGGGCGCAAGGGGGGGCTCTTGGAATCTTTGTACGATTTGTGGAATGATTCTGACTCTTTTTTCCTCTACTAAGAACGTCATGGGCCCCCTTTTTCTCAATGGCAGCTTTGTGATAAGGGGAGGGAGAAGGGCATGAGTCTGGGGCGGGCGACCTCACGGTGCCTTTTGTTGTTTCTTGGCTCCTCGCCCCATGCTCCTCGTCCTCTTCCGGGGCTTCGGGTGTGCGAGCAGAGAAAATAGGGAAGTTCGTTCATAACACCATTTCACTATCCCCGTTGCAAAGCTGGAGTCTTTTCATGTTCGTCGTCAACTTTACATAGACTGGTTAATTGCTCTGTTTTCCCCATACAAACCGCCTCCCAAAAGCCCCTCCCCCCCCCCCACCCCATGCTCCCCTCGGGTTTTGATAAGCGGCTTCTCATAAATGATATCGTGTGGCCTGACGTTAGTCAAAATGGAAAGTGCTCCCGCCTTCTGGAATGTCATTTGTCTCGCACAAAACCCACGCCACCATTGCGGTCACGTAAGTGTTTTTTGGGGGACGGGGTCTAAATTCAATATAGTATTCGCGCAAAATCGTATATGCCAAGGTCCACACAAGAGACTACAGGCAGAGGGGACAGGTGGCGAGTTCGGCAACGGAACAACTCTGCACCATCTGATCTATCCGGCTCAGCCGCGGGGGTTCGTTCTGGAATAGTGTGTGCCGCTGTGCCGCATCGCTTTAGTTGTTGCCTGGTGGCCTGAGAAGACGATGATGATTGATGGCTGTTGGGTCACCCTGGCCAAAAGGGTCATGTCCTGCTTACCGTATAGTGAATTTGGAGGGTAAGAAAGGGCATGGGAAGGAAAGAGCCCTTTAATTGGTATTGCTGAATGGGTTTGGGTTCTTTCTGGTCCACTTGCTCCTGTTGCTGGTTCATCGCTTGTCTGCTGGGTTGGGTTGATCTGGAGTTTGGACCTTCTTTTTGAGACAACAAGGGGGGGCTTGCTCGGAGAAAGGCATGAGATGTGTGTGTGTGTGTGTGTGTGTGTGTGTGTGTGTGTGTGTCTGTGTGACAGAGAGAGCACGTGGGGCGTAGGTTCGGGCAGGTGTCTGCAGATTGTCTGAAGGGGTGTGTTGTTCTTTTTCTTCGGATGAGCATGGTTGGTTGTATGGTGTGGCTTGGTCGTACAAGGAGGGATTCTTGTATGATGTTGTATGATGTTGTCCATGTCTAGGAGTTGAATTGAATGGCTCACAGCTGTTGCATTCTCGAGTCGATTTGGTGGAGAGAGACAGAGAGGAAAGGGAAAAAGAAAAAGAATCAATTCTCTTCTTTCTTCCCATTCCTACTGCAAATTCTTAAAAAGCAACTCATTTGGACTGAAGGTATAATAAATATGCTTTGATGAATGGAAAGACCAGAGGCATTCCCCTATATGATGAAACAAGCCAGTGATAGAAGAGGGATGATGTCCACGTTGGCAGTGGTGATGATTCTCTTGTAAGAACACAATTGTATTTGGTATCGAGAGCAGAGATGTGATGAAAGAGAGAGACAACATATACATTCAAACGCCACAGAGTCCTCCCTTAAGGAAGACAGCCGTCTACCATACCATGCTCCCATTTCATGCAACCTGACCAAAAGAAGATGCCCACAAAACACCGTCAATGCAAAGTCCTTTTCTCATTCATTCTTTTTTTCCTTCCTTCCAGTCTGGTGGAACCCCAATCCATCTACTCTATTCCTCCCTTCGGCTTCGCATGTACCTCCAACCCTGAGCCATCCGCGCTGATAGCCACCACGGCGGTATCGTTCATCTTGACCTCGCCCCGGATGATCTTATCCGCCAGCCTGTTGCCAATCTCGTGCGTGATCAGCCTGTTGAGCGGGCGGGCGCCGAATTTCGGGTCGTAGCCCTTGTCGGCGAGCCATTGCCTGATGTCGTCGGGCACATCAAGGGTGATGCGCCTGTCGCTAAGGCGGGTCTGGAGCTCGCGGAGGCGGATGTCGACAATGTCGCGGAGGGCCTCACGCGAGAGGCGCTTGAAGATGATGAACTCGTCGAGTCTGTTGAGGAACTCGGGTGGGTAGTTGGCAGCGACGACGTCGAGCACGGCCTTCTTGACGTCCGGGCTGATGTCGCCCGTCTCGGTCTCCTTGTAAGGGTGGATCGGGTCCGCGCCCACGAGGATGTCGGCGCCGAGGTTGGACGTCAGCACGATGATGGTGTTTTTGAAGTCGACCTTGTGGCCCTGGGCGTCGGTGAGGTACCCCTCGTCAAGCACCTGCAGGAGCAGCGCCGAGATGTCCCTGTGGGCCTTCTCAAACTCGTCAAAGAGCAGCACCGCGTATGGCTTGCGGCGCACCTGCTCTGTCAGCTGCCCGGCATCTTCGTAGCCGACGTAGCCAGACGGTGCGCCGATCAGCCGTGAGATGGTGTGTTTCTCCTGGAACTCGCTCATGTCGAAGCGCACGACGGCCGATTCAGTCGAGAACAGGAAGCCGGCGAGCTTCTTGCACAGCTCCGTCTTGCCCACGCCGGTAGGGCCGAGGAAGAAGAAGGAGGCGAGTGGGCGGTTCTCGCCCGACAGCCCGGCGCGCTGCATCCGCACGGCATTTGCGACAGCCTTGAGGGCTTCGTCCTGGCCCTTGACGGCTTGTCTAAGGTTGTCCTCCATGTGGATGAGCTTCTCAATGTGCCCGCTCGTCAGCTTCGACACAGGGATACCCGTGATCCTGGCCACCACCGTGGCGATATCATCGGCCGTGACGGAGTCATGGATCAGGGTGTCACCCGAGGTGGTGGCTCCGGATGATGCCTGCTGCTCTCCTTCCTTGGGCAGCTTCTGCTCCAGGGCTGGTATCGCGCTGTACCGCAGCTCCGAGGCCCTGGCAAAGTTGCCCTCCCTCTGCGCCATCTCCAGCTCGATCTTGGCCCGGTCGAGTTCAGCTTGCGTCTGCTTGATGGTCTCAATCTCGCCACGCTCCTTGTCCCACCTCTCCGTGAGCACCTTGACCTCTTCCTGGAGCCTCGTGAGGTCCGCCTCGAGCTTCTCCCTCCTCTCTCGGCTGGCGACGTCGGACTCTTTCCTCAGGCTCTCCAGCTCAATCTGGATGGTCATGATCCTCTGATCTAGCTTCATGATATCCTCGGGCTTGCTCTCCTGCTGCAGGCGCAGAGAGCTAGCTGCCTCGTCCATCAGGTCAATGGCCTTGTCGGGCAAGAATCGATCGGTGATGTACCGGTTGCTCAGCGTCGCGGCTGCCACCAACGCGCCGTCTGTGATGCGCACACCGTGGTGTACCTCGTATTTGTCCTTGATACCGCGGAGGATGCTGATGGTGTCCTCGACCGTCGGCTCGTTCACCAGAATGGGCTGGAATCGTCGTGCCAGCGCAACGTCCTTCTCGATGATGCGGTACTCGTTGAGGGTCGTGGCACCGCAACACTGCAGTTCTCCGCGCGACAACGCCGGCTTTAGCAGGTTCGACGCGTCAATGCTGCCCTCCGCCTTGCCGAGGCCCAGGAGCGTGTGCAGCTCGTCGACGAAGAGGATCACCTGGCCCTCGGCCTGCTCGACCTCGTGCAGCACCTTCTTGAGCCTCTCTTCGAAGTCGCCTCGGAACTTGGCGCCCGCGATGAGCGAGCCCAGGTCAAGCGATATGACCCGCTTGTTCTTGATGCTCTCGGGGACATCGCCGCGCACGATGCGCAGAGCCAGCCCCTCCAGAATCGCTGTCTTGCCCGTCCCGGCCTGTCCGATCAGCACGGGATTGTTCTTGGTGCGCCGCGAGAGCACCTGGATCGTCCGCTGGATCTCGGCGTCCCGTCCAATCACAGGGTCGAGTTTGCCCTCCTTCGCCTTCGCGGTCAGGTCTATGCCGTACTGCTCGAGCGCGGGCTTCTCCTCCTCGCCGCTCATGTTCATCCGGTGGGTGCCGCCGGGCGGGTGGGGGCGGCCGTTGGCATAGTGACGGACGGACGAGACGGAAGAGGAGGGAAGTTGAATCGATGGGGTGTTTGCTATTGCTGAAGACTGGTGGGATGGTGTGGAGAGTGATCCAGCCGCGAGAGGTTGGAGAGCGGTCGTTCGTGGGGTGAGTCGTCGAATCGTCGGCGCACTGGCGATGCGCCGGGTGGACGTGAGAAATTGACGTCTTGTCAACATGATGATGGTGGATCGTTGTAAGGCACTATGGGAGGAGAAGGTGTATTAGGAAAAAGGAGAGTAGCATCGTGGCAAGGATTCAAATAAAAAATGGCGGCTCAAACGGGATGCCTCGTTGACTGACTGACGACATGGAAAAAATGATGGCGAGACTCAAGATTGGAGACTCGACACCTCGAGATGCTTCTGGAAAGTCCTCCAGAATTCAAGCTCCAGGATCCTGGTCCATGTCTTATCGATAAAGCTATACCCCTGCATCCTGGCGCGAAACTTTTCTTCAAAACCTCTTGCCCAGAAAACAAGCTCTAACTTTGTTCTTCTTCCTTTCGTCACCATCTTGCACCTTCATGGCCTACACCCAGATGGGGTTCCAACTGGACTAGCACATCTCGGATTGGATGGATGAGCTTCTGAACTGTGAATGATGGTTTCTCTGAGTCTAGAAACCATCATTTACCATGCAAATCCAAATGGTATGTACATGCTTCTCCTTGGAGAAGGTCATCCTTCTTCTTCATCTTCTTCCTTTTCCCCATATTCTACATGATGAGAAAATTGGTCCGTGTTTCTGAGCAGACTCAAGACCTGTTCAAATGAGGATAACAACAAGCACTCAGTGCATCTCTGAACCATACATCTACCTTTTGCTGGCATTTCTTTCAAGCGTTATTGCGAGTTAGAGGTCACAATTGCTGATGTGTTCCCAGACCAGTTGCGCCCTTTATTCAACTCTAGACCGCACATGATCGATCCTTTCTACATCTATTTCAGATATGGACTACTGGTAGTATTTATGCGATAGTAAACACGTGAGGCTTGTGAGGCTTGTGAACGGGGAGAAGTCAAGGCAAGATGGGGAAAGTGTCGAGTAAGAATTTGATTGTCTTGTCAAAATGTCGATTCTTCATGGCACCCTTTCAAGAATGCCATTTCTAATCATGAATAAATTGTTGAATGAACTCCCACACACGTGTTGAATAATCCTTTGTCCAATGCCAATCCCATTTTTCGAGTCCATCCCGTCACATCATAAACATCATACACGTGCGAAATGCAAATAATGACCGAGCTAAGAAGGGTATCTCTGCCGTTGTTGTCCTTCAGTCACCTCCCTCCCTCCCTCCCTCCCCTCTCTTTCTCCGTCTCTCTTAGTGATGGAACAGACGGATGTTCTGCTCGATGAAGGTAATGCCCAGCTTCTCGGCCGTCTCGAAGACGGGCTGGTCGTTTTGGCTGCCACCGGGAGCAGCAATGTACTTGACACCAGACTTGGCGGCGCGGTACACGTTGTCGGTAAAGGGGAACTGCGCAAAACTGTTAATTAGACTCTATGCCATCCATGGCTTGAGAGGCGTTTAACAGGGACACTCACAAAGGCATCGCTGGAGACAGCAACATCAGTCAGCTTCTTGAGCCACTCCTCACGCTCCTCCTCGGTAAAAGGCTTGGGAACCTCGTCGAACGTCGCCTCGAAAGCCTCCCGCTCAGGGCCGTCCTTGGGCAGCTCGCCGCTAACCAGCAGATCGATGGCATTGCTCTTGTCGGCACGCTTGGTGCCCTTCTTCCACTTCAGGCCAAGGACGCGGGGGTTAAAGCGAAGCCAGAAGTTGTCGGCCTTATCGCCCGCCAGACGCGTGCAGTGGATGCGAGACTGTTGGCCAGCACCTAGGCCGATGATCTGGCCCCGGTAAGCGTAGCAGACCGAGTTACTCTGAGTGTACTTCAGCGCGATCGTGGCGACGGTCAAGTCGCGCAGCGCACTCTCGGGCACGTTGGCATTGTCCTTGGGCGTGATGATTGTGCTGAAGGAAGCGGGAGAGAGGGCAGCCTCATTGCGCTGCTGGGCCAAGATCACACCGTACACAGTGCGCGCCTCCCTCTTACTTGGCTCGTACTCGGGATCCATCTGCAGAACGAGATACTTGCCTCCCTTTTTCTTCTTGAGAATCTCCAGCGCCGCATCCTCATACCCTGGTGCGATGACGCCGTCGGACACCTCCTTGGAAATAATGCTAGCAGTTGCGACATCGACAATGTCGCTCAGCGCAATGAAATCGCCAAAGCTGCTCATGCGGTCCGCACCACGGGCACGGGCATAGGCCTGGGCCAGTCCAGACTCATCGATGCCTGCGATGTCCTCGACAAAGAAGGCCTTCTTCTCCTCCGCACTCAGGGGTAGACCGATCGCGGCACCGGCGGGTGAGACGTGCTTGAAGCTAGCAGCTGCGGGCTTGTCCAGTGCCTGCTTCAGCTCCTTGACCAGAGGCCAGCTGTTGAGGGCGTCGAGCAGGTTGATGTAGCCAGGCGAGCCGCAGAGCACCTTGAAGGGCAGCTGGCCCTCCTTGACGTACGCCTCGGCGGGCTTCTGGTGTGGGTTGGCACCGTACCGCAGGGCCTGGTATTGGTGACCGTCGGCAGCATACTTCTTACGGAAAAAGTCGGAGATGGCGGCGTCGTAGTCGGCGGTGTGCTCGAAGGCCTTCAGGGCATACAGCTGGCGGCTGGACTCCTTGACCTCACCGTTCTCGAGCTCCTTGAGGAACTCGGGATAGTCGGCCGGGTCGCTGAGGATCGTGACCCTGGAGTGATTCTTGGCAGCAGCGCGGATCAGGGTCACGCCGCCGATATCGATCTCCTCGACTGCCTCGGGCACGGTCACGTTGATCTTGGCAACGGTGTCCTTGAAGGGGTAAAGGTTGCAGATAACATAGTCCACCTTGTCGATACTCTGCTCGGCCAGGTCCTTCTCATCCGACGCGAGGTTGCGCGCGAGGATTCCTGCGTGCACGGCGGGGTGGAGGGTCTTGACGCGGCCAGCCAGCATCTCGGGGGCCTTGGTGATGGCGGAAATATCTCTGCACGGAATGCTTGTAAGCCAGTTACCACGGCGAGGTAGATAGATGGACGGGCGCGCGCATACTCAACCGGGAAGCCAGACTCCCTGATCATCTTGGCAGTTCCTCCAGAGGCGAGGATGCGGACATTCTGCTGGACAAGACCCTTGGCCAGGTCGAGCAGGCCAGTCTTGTCGTAGACAGAGACGATGGCAATGCGCTGCCCCACGCTCGCCTGGTTGGACATCTTGGAATGTTGCTTGTTGCTTAGCGAGCTTTTAAGAGACTTGGGATCCAATCGAGCTGAGGGATTCTTCAAGAGCGAAGACAAGAACGTTACAAGTCGGGTCTGGAGGGATATGAGTCTGAAGATGAATTGGAAAGAGCTTCAACGACAACCTTTGGAGCGCGGCCCCTCTAAAAGCTCACACTCAGCCCTCAGCAAGAAAAATCGCGGGGTTCTGAAGTTAAAAATTTGGGGGGCCCCTGTCCCACTGCCCCGCCGGAATCGGTGCCGCCAGGCCTGTGACGTTGTGCTGGAATGCAAGCGTGCCGCATCCATTGGGCAGAGCCCAGCATGAGACAGGGCCCCTAGCAACTAGAAACCCTTGTTTCCCAGTCCCCATAGAATACTTCAGAACAACCTGCTTTACGCGTCTCCCCTTCACATCGTCTAAGGCTTGCACCTCGTCTCCCCCAGAATCCAGTAGAGGCAGTCTAGAGGCTTCTTGTTTCGTCGTCTGTTCAAGACACCCAATGTCTCTCCATGCCTATGTACGGTGATCACGGCCTCAAACTGGTATGTTTACGTGCATCACCATCACCATCCCATCCACGCGTTGTCTTCCCCTTTTCCCCATTTCTTTCGCACATCCTTGTTCCTCTTCTCCTCTTTCTCTCTGACAGTGAAAAGGTCGTCCAAGCCAAAAGAGCTCAGAACTTGGCACATCTGCCACCCTACGAGACTGAGCTCGTCCGCGAGGCGGCGCGCGAGGTCCGCGACCTAGACCGCGATGTCGCCAATATCCTGGAGCCGTTCCAAGGCTCGTTCGACCCAAATGCGAACCAGGGCGCGGCCGGCACGCTCCTGACGAATCACCTGTCCATGCGGCGGAACAAGCGGTGCCTGCTCGCCTACCACAAGACGAGGACGGACAAACTTGAGGAGTTGGTGTGGCGTGGTGCAGACGTGGTCGACCTCTCTGGGCAGCAGGTCAGGGACGGGGCGCGGGGTGCGAATGCTCCTGGGGCCGCCGGGCGTCCAAACGATGGCGGGACTAGCAGCCTCAGTCCGCAGGAGGAGGACTACGTCAGGCAGTACGGTGATCTGCTGGCTGCGTATAAGGGACAATGGACCGATATCGATTTGACGGGGACGCTAGAGCCCCCGAGAGATTTGTTTATTGACGTCCGTGTGTTAAAGGATGCGGGTGAGATCCAGACGGAATACGGGTATGTAGTTACTATCCAGGGACCTTTACCTTGAGCTGCGACTGACAATGATACAGTGCAATCACCTTGACCAAAAACAGCCAATTCTACGTCAGACAGGGAGACGTCGAACGACTGATCGCCCAAGGATACCTGCAAAAATTGAGCTAGATGTCCCTTTCCAGGGCTCGCTCTGTCGAGCTTGCGAGAGTGTCTCTCTCTTGCCCGCCATGGAAGGAGCAGCACGACGCTCTAAAGGCTCATGCCATCTGGCTTCATACGTGCAAATGAGCCATGGTACGACTGTAATGGCGTGTGCAGACGATCGATCGCACGCCTCGTCACATATACACACAAGAGACGTTGCGGAGCAGCCAATCAACTACTTTCTGACTCGACCCTAGCCTATCACCCACGATGGCGAAGGAATGGCGCAAGAGAATGAGTGAGCTACCCAGCTGTTAACATGATGAAGTGCATAGCCGAGATTCACAATCACAGGCTCGCATCAGCCTTAGTAAAACGACAACATTGGCATTCATGGACCCGTGGGGGTAATATGATGCATATTTTGGGAAACCTTATTATGCCGAGAGCAGGATGCGGGAGGGCATATGCAACGTCGGGGAACGACATAACACCATGTACTATGTATGTACTATGTATGCGACCATCCGGATCACAACATGGCTGCCCACATGCTAAAGATGCGTTGAGAAAGCGACTTTCCCCCACGCCGGACGGCATATACCGTGTGGACTGATGTTGCTCCTCGATGATCGCTGCGGAAGCAATGAACATCGAAAGCTGTGTTTCTGAAGAGCAATAGTGCGGCAATGCATGGGATGTTGCTTGCCATTACCTAATGACTACAACCTAAACATTAGCTCCCGCACTCGAGCGATGTTCGGAGGGCTATATAAACTCCCTGGTACGATTTACAAAACCAGAGATACCATGTACAATATGCAAGGGAGATCTTTTCCTTGGAGGGGGCGAGGTGTGTGTAGACTCTTTCGTGGACTTGCTGTGCTTGGGAGACTTTGGGTCCTCAAGCGGTTCGATATAGAGAATGAGAAACTCGCCTTGGATCTTTTCTTCTTTTTCCTTTCATCCTTCCCCTTTCCTATCTGAATATTTTTTCTTGTTTCTTATAGCAGGCCTGACGTTCTAGACAAAGGTCTGTCTTGGCGGAACACCCTGGAGCTGCGCTACTTATATAGTCCTGTTCTACTGCTCTGGTACGAAGTAGTTTTTGGTCGTTCTATTTTTCTCCACATTTGGCACCTTGGAGCGGTTCTCGCCCGTCTCTATGAAGAGCCCACAGGGGGGCTTCTCATTCGCCAATTCCACCGCCGCATCGCCTTTCCCGTCCTGGGACACTTACAGATCGAGGCTCTGCTTGCTTGTTACTGTCGCCTCCCTTACCTGGTTTATCTATATCTTTTGGGTCATAAAGCCAACCATGTTCAAAAATTTTCTTCTCTTCATTAGCGACGCTCACCACTTCCCCCCACATACATCCATACACTCTTCTTGCTTCTGTCCCTTGCACCTGCAGCCGGTGGACACTGCTACAGCTGTACGACCAGATCAGCAAAGTGAGTTGTTTTTGATGCCATAACAGGCTTGGCAGGGTCGAGTCGCGCGCTTTGCTAGGAAAAGTGAGGGCGGACAGGAAGGAAGGAGAAAAAAAGAGCTGGGTGGGCCCACCACCATCTAGCTAGCAATTGCGTTTTCCCACTGCGGGAGGCGTTGTCGCCCCTAAATCCCTGCAATTCCACTTTTGCTCTTGGGAAATTCTCTTGCCTGGACCAGGATCGCCTGCGCTGGGTAGACTCGGAAGCACATGCTATCCAAGCAAGCAAGCAGCAGCAGCAGCAGGTTGACCTGACCTTCAAGCGAAGGCTAAAACTCCAATCTCTGAGCCTCAAGATAACAACACGCTCCCCTCCGTCCCCCTCGTCTGGCTGTTTCGAGAGAGCCAAGGGAAGTCACGACTGTTGTTCTTCATTAATTTGTTCCTTTCCCTTTCTTCTTTTCTCTTGATAAGTTGCGGCTGCAAGTGATCTTTGCTCTCGTCGGGTGTGTGACGCTCTTTTCATTCCAATTCTTCCCAGTGTTCGCTCACCTCTACGGATCACACCTCCCGACGTTCACACCCGCGTCACATTTGGTCATCCTTTGGTGCCAACCTTGTGTGTGTGCGTGCTTGGATCTCAACTTAACGTCTTGGTATCTCAACCAAACCACAGACAGCTATCACATGCCTGAGAAACACAACCGACCTGCATAAAGCGCAACCCTCTCCCATAGCTTCTTCATGAGGTATATCATCATCAGACTGGCAAGAGCCCAGTAGTTGCTGGGCATCCTGGCTTCTGGCTGCGATCGAGCTTCACAGTATAAGACTCCATAGGCGAATGCAGTCATGGCCTCGCCGGCGCTAGGGTTCTCGTGGATTCGTCGCCAGTCTGTTAACTCCAGGGAGAACGACAATTCATCGCCCACGCCTGGTGCTTCTAGTCCACCCCGAGCCACTGCTGTTCCTCAGAGCATCAACGACCCATGGGTGCTGTCTTCCTCCACACCCGCAGCTCACAGGGAACCTATACGCTCTTTTGTGTCCGGCAGCGTTCGAGATACTCCAGGTATGTCATGACACGAAGGTTGTGTGTACCTTGATGGCTCCCCTCCTTCCACAGCAAGCCTGTGCATCCGGGGTCTACGCCATGTGAACGCCACTGTTTCACAGTGGCGCTCATGCTATACGCGTAAAGTTGATCTGCTTCAAGAATGACAAGTCAGCGTCACTAAATCAATTTGCTAAGCTGACTGAAATTTCTACTCAACAGCGCCTATTGATAGTGCTCAGTATGCTGCCAGCGTTCGTGAAGACACGGCGGAGCTTGCTTCCTACTTCCTGTCGGACAAGAAAAGTCCTCGGAACTCCGACTTCTTGACTCGCCCGAGAAGGGGATCTTCGTTACGTGGACCCCAGTCGGATGATGAGGACGACACCGACCATGCTGGCGGGTCGTCGGACACCATACTCGAAGTATCCGAGCCCCCCTCCCCTGATGAGGATGACGACGTCGAGCAGCAGGATGATGGACCTTCGATGCTTGCGAATATGCTTCGAAGGTCGCCGCCTGAAAGCTATCAGGACCACCTTGCACCACAGCCTGGGACAGATCAGCAGTCCTCCAGGCAGGCCAGGTCTTCAGCAGCCTTCGAAGGGTGGTCTGGAACAAGCAGGACAGGCCAACCCGAGAATGGCGCTTTGTGGGCTGCCGATCCAGAGACTGAGCCTGACCAAGCTGTTGAGACAACGCCGTTGTTGAGACACAAATCACAAGCCAGCTCACACCACCGAAATGGTCACGGCCGCGCAGATGCCGGCGACGTGGATGTTGAGGGCCAGAAACCACCAAGACCCAGGAGCTGGCTGGCCGAGAGAGCAAGTCACCTCCGGGGCCTGGCCACGAAGGCGAGTAATCCCAAGGTGTGGAATGGCAAGGCGCTGGTGCACACGCTCCTGCTCGATCCGGCCAAGACCCTCCCAGCTGTCTTTGTGGGCCTCATTTTGAATATCCTGGACGCCTTGTCGTACGGCATGATCCTCTTCCCCCTTGGGAATCCCATCTTCGCAAATCTCGGTCCGGCCGGGATCTCCGTCTTTTACGTGAGCACCATTGTATCTCAGGTGGTCTTCTCCACGGGCAGCATATTCAAAGGAGGCGTGGGCTCTGAGCTCATCGAGGTCGTTCCATTTTTCCACAGCATGGCCGCGACGGTCACATCCCTGGTGGGCGAGGACAATCCAGACGCCGTGATCGCAACGACGATCTTCTGCTTCTGCCTCAGCTCTCTGATGACAGGCGCTGTCTTCTTTACGATGGGCGCCCTGAAATTCGGGTACCTGGTTGGCTTCATTCCGCGTCACATCCTCATCGGCTGCATAGGAGGCGTGGGCTGGTTCCTCGTGCAGACTGGCTTTGAGGTGTCTGCGAGGCTGGAGGGAAGCTTCCACTACGACGTCGAGACCCTCCGCCTGCTCTTCCGACCTGGCACGGTACCTCTATGGACCATCCCCCTTGGTCTTGCTATCGTCCTCTTCGTGCTCACGCAGTCGGACAAGCTCAAGGACAATCACTACGTCCTGCCTACCTTTATCTGCCTGGAACCCGCCATCTTTTGGTTTTTTGTCCTGGTGCTTGATTCGCTACAACCAGAGCCGCTGCGCGAGACTGGCTGGATTTTTGAAGCGCCACCTGCTGGAGAGACCTGGTGGTATTTTTACACCTTGTTTAGTGAGTCCGAATTGTCCCTCAAATAGGTTGGTACATGTGTGGAAGATTGTATTTTTTTTCTGACTTGTAATTGCAGAATTCAACCTCATCAGCTGGGAGGCAGTTGCCGAATGTGTGCCTGCAATGTTTGCTCTGACTTTCTTCGGAGTTCTTCACGTTCCGATCAACGTCCCAGCGCTTGCCCTTCAGACTGGCGAAGACCACGCGAACCTCGACCGCGAGCTGAAGCTGCACGGTCTGTCCAACTTCCTCTCGGGCTGCGCGGGTAGCATTCAAAACTATCTCGTCTACGCCAACAGTCAATTCTTCATCAAGTCGGGCGGCAACAGCCGGCTGGCAGGCTATCTCCTGGCAGCCGCAACAGGCGTCGTCATGGTCATCGGTCCTGTCATCATCGGGTTCATACCAGTTATGATGGTTGGAACGCTGATCTTCGTGCTTGGCTTCGAGCTGTTGATGAACGCGCTATGGGATCCGAGGAAGAAGTTGAACTGGCTCGAGTACCTGACGGTAAGTCATGACCAATAACCTCGTGCACAATGGAGATTTGCCTGGGGGTGCAAGTGGTTCTAACATAAGTTTGTGTGAAAAGGTCGTGATTATTGTGCTCGTCATGGGCATGTACGACTTTGTGGTGGGGATCGGCGTGGGTGTGATGCTCGCATTCGTGTCACTGATCTTCCAGGCATCGAGGGTATCTGCGATCCGAGCCACCTACTCGGGCGAGGTCGTCGGGTCCACCGTCAGGAGGAATCCGTCTCAGCAGCACTACCTTCAGAAGGTTGGCAACCAAGTCTGCCTGATTAAGCTGTCTGGCTTCCTCTTTTTCGGGACCATCGTCAGCGTCGAGGAGAAGATTCGCCAGCTCATCGACGACGATGAGTTTGAGAGGAGACCGATCAAGTTCCTGATCCTTGACCTCAGGCACGTTACCGGTCTGGACTACTCGGCTGGCGAGGCTTTCAGCACCGTCAGCCGGCTCCTGGCCGCAAAGCAGGTCGCGCTTGTGCTCAGCGGTGTGGATACAGAGGGTCCTCTTGGGCGCGATCTCCTCGCCGTTGGCCTGGGAACGAGCTCCAAAGACACCGAGGTATTTTTCTGGCCCAACCTCAACATGGCCCTGGAGAGCTGCGAGAACGAGCTCCTGCGGACGCTGTACGCCAGCCAGGAGGCCCTCAGAGCGGCGTCCCGCAGCGCCGGCACCGGCGCCACGACAAGCCTCGAGGTCCCGGTGGCCAAGAACCTCTGGTCAGGGGAATTCGCCGACGACCACGGACCGTCGTCCCTCCTGGCGAGCTCGCCTCGCCGCAGCCACCTGCACCAGGCGGCGCGTGAATCCCTTAACCAGCGGGAGGTGGCGCGGCTCTCGCGGTGGCAGAACTTCAAAGAGCCCCTGCGGCTTATGCTGCAGATCTTCCATGACCTCTCGGAGAAGAACGAAGACTTTTGGGTGCGTGCCAAGGACTACTTCAGGCGGCAGGAGCTCCACCAGGGCGAGATCCTCTTCCGAGCGGGCGAGGCGGCGACGGGGTTCTACCTTGTGGAGAGTGGGATCCTTCGCGGTGAGTATAACCTGCCGCAGGGCTGGTTGTACGAGAGCATCGCGGCTGGGACAACGTGTGGGGAGCTGCCCTTCTTCAGCGACACACCGCGGACTGCGACGGTCAGTGCAGAGAGGGACTGTGTGGTATGGCTGATGGATCGCGAGGGGTGGGACGCATTGCAGAAGAAGGAGCCCGAGGTGGCGCAGGAGCTGCTGAGGATCTCGCTGAAGCTGACGAGCGAGCGCATGAGCGCCATTACGAGTTATGTGTTGACCATGGCGACTTGAGAAGAATGGACAGATTGAAGTACTGCAGAGTCCCCCCCCCCCCCCGGGAGGGGGCTGGAACATGTGTCCATTTGTATTTCAGGCAGGCGATTGCGCAAGTCAATTGAGAATGTTGGACTGAGCGATTGCACACTACTTCTTTATTCTTTCTTTCCCCCTTCATGGCATTTGGCTATTCAAACAGCGGATTTACATATTAATTAGAGTATTGTACGGATCTCGGGATCACGATAGGGACTTGCATGTATGTATGCGTGTCACCGAAAAAGATTGCAAGGCGTCTTGACAGGGAAAGAAAGAAGGGAAAACAAAGTCATGAGACTGACTGCTGCCTCTTGCCTCTCTCGAACCATCTCCCAAGCTGTAAGTGAGGAACATGCCCATGAGATTGGAGAAAAAAGACAGATTAGAATCATGGCCTCCAGTGAACAGTAGAGGACGCAGCACATTTCTCGGCTCAAGGCAAGGTTGTCATTGCAGGAAGAGCCAGCGCACTCACTCATTGACTTGACAACTGGGGGACAGTGACCACGTCGATGAGGGTGTGGTGTGGCACTTGAAAAATTGGAACAAAAACTGGAACTGGAACTAGGTCTGTTATTTGGGTCACTAACCGCTACAGCATGCAATTGCAGCTGCAGCTGCAGCGGCGGCGGCGGCCGGCCCACTCAGGTCACTGCTGCCACTCAAGAAGGGCCCACTTGCTGACCGAAGACTGCAGTACTGTAGTCCATATAGACGACATCGGACCCCTACCCACTTGAGCACTAGCACTTCATAGTAAACCTTAACAACACACACACACACACACACACACACACACACACACACACAGGCAGTGACAGGTCAGCGCAGAGACGGAGAGAAAAGAGCACAGATAAAACGGGGAGCCAGCCAAAGTGGATTCTCGGATGCTGCACGCAACACCCCATCACGGTCATCTCTCGCCTCGCCTCGCCCCTCGCTTCGCCGTTTTTGAAAGAGACTGTGTGTGAGCAAACGATATCGAGTCTCTGCTGGACGATCGGATCGCTGAAGATCTTTGCCTCTTGACATCCTGCTGTGCGTGGGTCTAGCGCAGCAGTGCTCATCGAGTCCCGACTGGGCAGGTCTCTCTGTCTTTTCTCTCGTGTCTTCCTGAACCCCTCTCGCTCATACTCACTTTTTCGTGTGTGTGACTTCGCTTCCCGTCCGGCGCAGGGGAGGAGAGGGGAACTCTCAGGGTTGTTCCTTGACCACGCCAGAATTTGTCTTTGCTTGGCCCCTGTGGCCCTTGCAACCAAACCCATCAAAAAAGTTGCTCTGGACCCTTTGACCTAGGCCCCCCTCCCCCTCGTCCGAAAGGCGCAAAAGCTACCATGGCCGGTGCAGGACAACAAGGCGAACAGTCGCTGTCGTCGTCGTGGTCAACGTCTGCTGCTGCTACTACTGCTACTGCACAACCGCCGGGCCCGTCTCTGACGTCAACTTCCGACCCGGTTCTCGCGACGAACACCGCCGGCAGCCCTCCTCGTCCTCCTCCTTTCACGAGCTCGACACAGCCGACGCTGCAGCTGCGGAGAACCAGCAGTGGGGCTAATAAACACAACGTCACGGGCGCGAGGCTGCCACGGCGTCTTACCGCCCAGGAGAGGCTGGACGGTATACTAGAGGTACTATTGTCACTATCATTCTACTACTACTCTCCTATCACCACCACTATTACTTACTGTCACTGCTACTTATATCACCGTTGTCTGCTGGCCCACAAAGTTTTGGGCCGTCGGGCTTCCAAGACCCCTCTCTTCCCCATCACATACGCTACCAAACCTACGGCAACCGTCTCATGACCCGCGCCAAGGTGCCAGGCCCTCTAGTGTCCGCATGAATGACCCGCCTCTTCTGTTAAATCCTCCGTTGCCCACCACGCAACATTGTCCTCCTCCTCATTCTTCTTCTTCAGTATACTTGTACTTGTACTTCTCCGACTCCTTCTCTCCACTCCCTCTCTTTCCTGTTGTGCTCAAAGGCCCCCCCCCCCCTCCCCTTTCTCCCCAACCCCAACAACCATACGAGCTCCAATGGCTGCTGACGAACAACTCGCCGCACCACAGCTTGGTAGACAGCGCGCCGAGAGCATGAGCCCCGGCCAGAGCCCGCCTGTTGCGTTCAGGAGCCCATTCTATCAATGGAGCGGCAGCGGCACGTCGCCAATGGGCAGGTCGCCAATGGGTCGGTCGCCCTTCTTCCGTGATCCAGACCTGGACGGGAGTCTGGACCCGCAGGCGGAGGAGCCAAACGAGACGACGGGGATTGTCTCGAGCGGCCAAAACAGCAACAACTACAACCACAATAACCACAGCACGCCCCCGGTTATGAACTACCAGAGTATGGCGCCCATGGACGGAGGTGTTAGCACGCGGGCGAGGAAAACCGGGGCCTCATTGTCGAGGAGCAGCATCAGCAATGGGCGGACGAGGGGCACCACGGACGAGGTGCCTGAAGAGGGAACCGGGGATCAGCACGAGGAGCGGAACAAAGAGGCGGAGGCCTGGTGGAAGACGCAGCTGGCCAAGTTTGGCTCGATCGAGCTGGAGAACAAGGGCTCCGTCGCGAGGGATCACCTGGCCCTAGGTTGGTACTACCCCAAAACCTGCTGGCTGGATTGTTGGTGTTGTTATGTGTGTTGGGAGAAAGGAACTGATTGGAATCGAAAACCCCCAGAACGGACATTCCTCGCCTGGCTGAGGACGTCCCTGTCCTTTGCCTCTATAGGGGTCGCCATCACGCAGCTCTTCCGACTCAACACGTCCCTCGAGGTTGAGCAGGGCACCTCCGACAGCGCAAACGCCCACACGCTCCGACACCTCGGCAAGCCGCTGGGGGGTATCTTCTTGGGCATCAGCATACTAATGCTGTTCCTGGGCTATCACAGGTACTTCCAGGCGCAGCAGTGGATTATCAAGGGCAAGTTCCCCGCCAGCAGGGGCACGGTGATCCTGGTGTCTCTGGTCGCGCTAGGTTTGATGATTGTATCTCTGTAAGTCGGTTTTTCTTCTTCTTTTCTTTCTGTTCCTTTGGAGTCTTGTCGTGGAGAGTTTGATAGAATGATTGACTGACTGGCTTGACTTGGGTCTTGATTAGTGTTGTGGTCCTCCTTGTGCAACCTGCTGGGAGCAGTAGCTGATAAGGAGAGGTTCATCCTTATGAGGTCTACGAGATGATTTCTACCTTGTTTGTTTACATTTTTCTCTATTTTTCTTCTTCTTGTGTTATATCTTCAAAGGAAAGAGAAAAGGGAAAGAAAAAAAATTTAAGAATACATAATAGCTTCGAGGAGATCCAAGTTCAAGGGCGAGGTGGGCAGGGTCCATGATTTCGAGTTTGGTTTTACTGTTCAGCAGCAAGCGGCGTTTGGGGTATAAAGAGAAAGCATAGCACTGGCGTTATCTATATAAAATTTCCTGACGAATTCAAAAATGGATAGCATCATTCGATCATTAACTGTGTCAGTACTAGGCACTTGTGCTGCGCGTGGGTTTTGAAACTGTGTACCTGTACTATCATGTCTTCGTACATTTTTTTGAGCAATTCATACTATGATTTACAGTTAGTACTCAGGTACTGTAGAGTCCAACAGGGATCGAAGCTCTCAGGTAGGTGGTCCGTGCGCCACCGCCAAAAAAGTTCGAGAGCTGCCATCGTCACGAAGACGCGCGATTCGTCCCCAAAAGACAGCAGAGGAGAAACTATTGCTCTCCCCTCTCACCACCACCACAGACATCCGACACCTACCGACCCACCCACAAACGCACAACCTCTCCCCCTCCCCCTCCCAAAAAAGGTCATGTTCAAGCCCAGATTACGGATACCAAGGAGGGCAACAGGCCTCCTCTCCAGGCCCTGTCTGTCCTCCTCGACGACAACGACCACCACCCCTCCTCCTCCCCACAGCTCCTCGCCCGTCTCGTCTTCGCCCTTGGCCGCACAATGGAGAAGATCAATACACGCGACACCGTCGAGATGCAAGCATGTCGCGCCCAAGCTGCACGATGTCTTTGCCACGGAGGGTGTGGCGGGTCTGTATTCCACGGGCGGGTTCGAGGTTGCGTACACCAAATACCAATCTTGGTGTTTGGATGAACTGAACAGATTGACGGAAGGTATGTCATCTTTATTCTCGTCTGTGTGTGTATGTGTGTGTGTGTGTGTGGTGATGGTGGCGGCGGCGGCCTGCCCTTCCTCTCTCTTTCCCCTCTCTTTTGCTTGTGAACACAGATAAATACACAACACGCATCACAAACAGTCCCCACTGACATACGTGACCTTAATTTTCTGTTCTTTTCCAGGGACCAAGTACGAAGGCATCGAGGTCAAAGACGTAGCCATCATGACGTCCCGCGAGCCCGAGCTCGCCGCCATCTTCAACTACGCCTCCATGGCGCACAACAACCACTTCTTCTTCGACGGCCTCGCCCCGCAGGGCGGCAAGGACCCCGCCGAGTACATGCCCAGCGCCCTCAAGACGGAGCTCGAGGCCTCCTTCGGCAGCCTCGAGACCCTCCAGCGCGAGCTCGTCCTGACCGCCAACGCCATGTTCGGCCCGGGCTTCGTCTGGCTCGTCCGCGCCACCGACGGCCACAGCGCCCAGCGGTTCCCCTTCCGCGTCCTGTCCACCTACCTCGCCGGCTCCCCGTACCCGGCCGCCCACTGGCGCAAGCAGGGCACCGACATGAACGCCCACGGCGGCATCACCGACAGCGCCGGCGAGACCATCAGGCACTACTTTGACATGCAGAACATAGGCCAGGGCCGCGCTCCCTTGCACGGAAGCGCTGCTGCTGCTGCTGCTGGTGGTGGTGGTGGTGGCAGTATCCTCAACAAGGAGAGCGCCAAGAACCCCGGCGGCGCCAGCCTCGTCCCCGTGCTGTGCGTCAGCACCTGGGAGCACGCCTGGCTGTACGACTGGGACGTCGGCGGTAAGCTGGCCTACCTGACCGCGTGGTGGGATATCATCAACTGGGGCAAGGTCGCTGAGAGGGCGAGCCTGGTCGGCGATAAGTCGATGACGGCGGAACCGGTGCTGTTTTCGCAATCGGCCGCGAGGGCGGCATGAAAAGAAGAGCGGGGAAGAGAGAGAGAGAGAGAGAACAATGTTAAAATCAGAAAATCATTAAATAAGAGGGAAGACGGAAGCAGGCGGCCAGCAGGTTGGCTTGGGGTGGATAGGGATGTATAATATATCCAAAGGCTTTCGGAATTGTTCACAAGAGAGAGAAAAAACCAACCAAAACCGGGGAGCATCTAGTTATCTACATCTGCATGGCGTAGATGTGTATAAAGTGATTGATCCGAGGAAGAAAATCATAGATAAAAATGAATTATGGATGCCCATGAACGCATTGGATACATATTTTCTGTTGGTCTGGCCCAGTCAAAGCCAAGATGGAAAGGAAAAGACGAAGAGAAAAGAAATCATGTGCATCTATCCATCACCCTCACCACTGCAATTACGGAAAAGACCCGATGATGTCCATCAAAAATGCAAGAATTGAAAGTACTTTTTTTGTGGTTGTGACTCAATCATACCATAAGAATGGGGAGTAGTAATAGTCGTGTTGTAAAAACCCCTCCCCTGAAAAACCCAAGCTGGAGGTATCTCTGTGTTGTGTGTAAAATCACCACTCCTTGGAAAAAGAGGAAACGCCACATGATCATGCACCAATATTAGCTCAGCCCACCTCACCCCTCCTGCCCCTCTTTCCTCATAATCTCATCATTATATCTGTCTTCCAAAGTCCGAAAATCTCGTCTCCCGATCACCGGGCTGTCCCTCGCCGAAACGCCCTGGCGGCCCCAGGCTATGGGGCGACAGCGCGTTCTCGTCGGCGAACACATTAATGTACGCGGCATTCGGCGAGCTTCGACCCGTACCGCCTGATCCACCACCGTACTCGCTTACGTGGTTGTTCATGGCGGCGCCTGTGGGCTCGAAGCCTCCGTAGGCCCGAGCAGACGGCATCCGCAGCGGACCCTGGAACTCGGAACCCCGGGTCGTGTCGCGGTAGAGCTCCCCGTATAACGAGCTCGCGGCGCGGGCTCGGGGGCCCGGTGGGGACCGGGGCATCTCACGCATCTCGCCTACCGCGTCGCGTTCGTCCTCGTTCACCTCGTCGGTCCAGCCGCCATCGCTGCTCGAGTTCCGCGCATTCGGGCTCCTGTCTAGCCCAGCAGCACCGCCGTAGTAGTCGTGGTGCAGACCCAGGCCTGCACCACTGCCTTCAGCCTCATCGGCACCACCATCAAGGGAAAGAGAGTGTGGAGTGATCTTGCGGCTGAAGTCGCTGCGTAGCGTACCGTCGTCGTGGAGGATGGGCTTAGAGATGGGAGCGCGCGTCGAGCCGCCCCTCGTGACCGGGTGAGCCATGACATTGCCAAAGGCGTCCGTGCTCGCGTCATCGGGGGTCTTCTCGCTCTGCTGCTTGCGCTTCATCTCCCTCTTGACGAAGAACATGATGACCAGGCCCAGGCACACGGCCGCGGCGATGCCGCCAATCACACCACCTGCCACGACACCGGCGTGCGCCGACGAGTCACGGCTGCTGGAGGAGTCCTCAGGGCTCGAGTCACTGCTGCCCGAGGTGGAGGACGAGTCAGCGGCCGCCGCTGAGGCTGTTGACGAGCCCGTGACGGATGAGCCTGAGGCTACCGTCGCCGGGCTGACGGCCGCAGTCACGGTGGCACTGGCACCGCTCGAGCTCTGCGAGCCGCTGCTTGCCGTGGCCGCCGCAGAGGATGCAACCGAGCTCGTGCTTGGCTTAACGCTCTGGTCCGCATCCTCCTCACAGACATCGTCGGTGGTGCACGAGTAGCCAAAGGGGCAGCACTTGTCGCCGCACGTCTCCAGGGTGCCCGTCAGGGCCGTGGTCATGACCACGGCGGCAGGGTGCTGGCTCTTGTCCTCGAGGGAGAGCTCACAGGGGATGGTCTCGATCTGCGTGCAGTTGCCGCCAATGGGACAGCACAGTGCGGTAGTGCCGCCGGCAAGTGACATGCATGTCGATGTCGAAGGGCAGCAGAAATCCGAAGGAAAATCGGAGCCACACTGGACGTAGGAGGAGTCGCCGCATGATGAGTCGCGAGCGAGAAGGTCTTCTGATCGTAGTGATGATGATGCTGTTGTTACTTGTGATCTTGGTAGGAGAGGATTACGGATGGTGAAGGTTGATGCGAGAGATGGTATGGTGAGGAGGACCATGAGTACCGCCGACGCTCTGGGCGGCAAGAGGCTTCCCGTTTGCCTCTTGATCGATATCCTTCTCGTTCTCATCCTGGCTTGTGTGGTTTGTGCTAGTGTTGCTTGAATGTTGTGGTATGTCGTGTGTTTGTGTGCTCCAAGGTAGCTCAAAGGCCGGCGTGTAGCCGGGAAGTAGGGTTTTGTGCGCTCTGTTGTGTGAGGCGGAGTGGAAGGCTCTTCCGGATGGTCGCGTCTTCTCTTTCTCTCGAGTCTCGTCTCTCCAGGAGACAGATGGAAGTTTCAATAATTAGATTAAACAAATAGTGTATGCGTCTGACAAGAAAAGAAGGCAGGTAGCGACCAGGCCACAGTCTTTTCTTCTTTGGCAGTCAGTCACAGGTATAAAAGGTATGATCGACAATGGGGTTGTCCCGATCTGGGTGTACACGTCCACAAGAGAGAAAGACGATGGACAATGGTAGCTTGTCGTGGGATTACAAGACGGAAGGAAGAAATGTGAGAGAAAGGAGGAAGAGAAAACACAGGACAAAAGAGAAAGAGAAACAAAGCGGAGAAAGAAAAGGAAAATACAACAGCCAGCAAGGTCGAATGAATCAAAGCTGGGCGCGAAAGAAAGACCACCTCACCTCACCTCACCTCACCTCACATGGATGACGTCCTCGCATTGGGCGTTACATGTCTTGAAGCGCCTCTGTGGTGACTTCAGAAGACTGGCCGCCGGTACGACCATGTCATATCCACTGTGTTCGACAGGTTCTCGACCCAACCGAATGGGGGAGGGGTTCGCAAAAAATGCAAGCAATGCCGCCGGGGGTGGCCCATCTCTAGGCCCTCGGTGACCAACGGATACGCAGACACGACGATGTCCTCGGCGGCAGGACAGTCAGGACGAGTCGAGATGACTGGCCGTGGGTGCACGTAGCCGCCATGGGCTGTAGGGGGGGAGTCATAATCAAGCGCACAGGGCAGGGCAATGCATGGCAGGGCGCCAAGGCGGGATAGAGAGAAGATAGCTAGTGAGTAAGCGAGAGATGAAGCGAAGGTGGAGGGCTTGTCTGATAGGACACAGCGAGATTGAAACATTTGGCTGGGTTGATGCCAGACCGCCCAAGGTGGCCCGTATCCACACCCACAAGCGCGTGTACGTGGTAGAACAGCTTAGCCTTGGGTGGCATTGTCGTTTCGACAGCGTCAAAGGTCGTAGAGATGAGAGGCTGTGGTGAAGCGCTTTGACTGACGGGTTAGTTGACAGGGGCGGGGGTGTTTGCTCCCGCTTGCTGTGCTGTTCGCTGCCAACGAAAGGTTGATCCTCATTGTGGTGGAAGGGCAGCTTGGTTGGTGGAGAAAAGGAAGGAAAATCGGGGGCTTTGCTGCTTTGCTGTGCTGTTTGTCGCTCTATCGCTCTACGGCTGATCGAGGGGGAAAGGAAAGGGTGAGGTGAGGTCGGCCCAGTCGCGCCTGCGTTGAAACTTGTCGAAACGGTTGGTTGATGTTTGTCCTCACTGGAAACAACCAGGGGCCGCCTGGTCAGGCCCCCTTCCCCGATAAGCGTAGCTTGCTAAGCCAGCCAGGGGCTTGTTCTGTTCTGTTCTGTTCTTTACTGTTCTGACGGGCCGGGACCAGGTGTGCACACTTCAGGCTGGGCTTGTGGCAGGTGCCTTACTGTACCTCGATACGTACTATTGTGCTAACCCAACACTGAATCATCCAAGACCAATCATTTCACTGTTACACGATGTCACCAAGAGTACTAAAACCCCAGACAACTCCCCCTCCCCTTCTGCAATGATCAATCTCATGATTTTTTCCATCCGCCATCGCCAGTATAGAGTGACTACTTGACCACAGACATGAGATTTGGTCATTTATCGGCAGTCACCCTCAATTCTCCCTTCTTGCATAAATTCCGCAGCTCGGGATCGGGCGGGAATAGGAATGCGAGATGCGCGAATGTGACCTCCCCCCTTTTCCTTGCTCCTGCACGTTGGTGGCCATGGGGACTTGGGGTGACGGCACTGCACAACTCGCTTCAGCTCTTTTGAAGCATCTTGGTTGCTGCATCTGCATGCATGGTGTCAACTCATGGTGAAGATAGCCATCGCAGTTCAAAAGCAGGATCCTCGGTGTGGTTGCCTGCACTTCGACAACGTTCCGTCAAGTCCATTTACGGGGGAACAATGTATTTGCTTACTTCCTCCATCCAATGGCGTACTTTCTCTACACGGCCTACCTGCCCATGTGCGTGCCGCCGTACCTTGGAATTGCCAGAACCACCTCGACTGCAACCTCGAGACAGGCCCCAGAGAGTCCACTTCCCTTTTTACCCCCATCCATTCATTAAGTCCAGACCGGGTAGATAACATTCATGCGCAATTGTCTCCATTCTCTTTCATTCCGGATATAATATAAGTAGTGCCATAGTCTTTCGGCAGTGCCTTTGCCGCGACGAATACTACTCTTGCTAGAATACTACTCTTGCTAGAATACTACTCTTGCTAGAATACTACTCTTGCTAGAATACTACTCTTGCTAGAATACTACTCTTGCTAGAATACTACTCTTGCTAGAATACTACTCTTGCTAGAATACTACTCTTGCTAGAATACTACTCTTGCTAGAATACTACTCTTGCTAGAATACTACTCTTGCTAGAATACTACTCTACTATGTAGTGACTGGAGCAGTAGTAGTGATAGTCCTAGTAAGCAGTAGTAAGCAAAGACTAAAGCAGGCTGCCAGGTGAATCCTCCTCAGCGCAGGCACCTTCAGCTGCTCACGTGCTCCTACAGTATTTACTTTTCTCTTTTCTTCCCCCTTCCAATCCTCAACCCTGTATCATCCATCAGGCTGATCAGATGTCGGAGAACCACAATAATATGGGGGCCTTCCGATCCCAGAGGGGATCCATCAGTGCCATTACATCGTACACAAGAGAGAACCCTGGACGGCAAAAATTGGGTCTTTGGTTCTCCTGGGTAGCCTCAAACTCTCCAGAGTCAGCATCCCTGCCATGTCCGAAAGTCAACGACGTCTCATCAATATCAAAGGATTCACACGCATCCAAAAGCCGAGACACGAGACACTGGGGCCGGGGGAGGGAAAAAAATGCCCGTCGTAACTCGATCCGCGTCTCCATTTTCTTCTTTTCTGTCTCCCCGCCGGGGGGGGGGGGGGGCGTCCGTCGTTGTTTGCAAAGGATCTCGCTCCAATGTAACACACTCCCACATAGCGTTGAGCTTTCTTTTTTTTCTTGCTTTCCACCCTCTCCTTAAGGTTGAATACACTTTGATGTGTGTTTGGGAGGGAGAAGGGACCGGGAGGGAGGGCGCATGACAAGAGATGACTGCGTCTGTATATGTTGAGACAATGCATGTGTGGTGTAAAGACATGAAAAGTAAAGACGGCTCGGTCTTGAAAGCTCTTCGCCGCTCAGAAGGGAGCTTGGTTGAGAGGTTTGAAGAAATGGCACTACATTACATGCTTTCTTCATCTCTGAGCCCTTTCTCTGACATCCTCATCAAGGTTCGCCAGTTCTCACCAAAGACGGGCGCTGAAGCAAGCCTGTGCAAGATAAGAAGGTTTAATTTTAGTTTTCTTCTTCTTTCTTTATCCTTTCGTTCTTGTGAAGAAGCTTAAGGATCATTATAGCCTAAATATCAACCTAAAAAAGATTATACACACAGTTCCAAGAAGATGATATCGCACTAAAAGGCGTTGATGAGCAAAACAATTCAACCAATGCGCCAGGCTTGAAGAGGGTTGATGCAACCCACCGCATGCCATGTTTTTCGACCCAAGATCTCAATATATATACACGTTACTGTGTTCGCTCCCTTTCTTCTTCCGTCCCCCCCCCCCCCTTCTCTTTAATTTTCTGAATGCACATAACAGCAGGTGATCTCCAGGACAGGACACATACGAACGCAAGCACGCACACAGACACGCACACGTCCTTTTGTCTTCCCCTTTTCCCTTTATTCCCCTTCTCTCTTTCTCTCGTTCTCAATGCCACTCGCCATGAGATGGCTCTTTCCAGATAGCATCGGTGCTCTTTGCATCCTGATCCTGGGTGGACCGTGAGACATAGTACTCGGTCTTGATCCGGATCTTGCCCTCCATCTCGGGAGCCATCATCTCGGGCGGGACCACGCTGCTCGGCTGCACGCTGTGGAGCTCGTATGCATTGTAAGTCGGCCGTCGGCCGCTCGTGTTGGGCCCGTAGCTGCTTGCTCCCTTGTAATTGGAGTTGCCGTGAGAGCTGCCGAGGGAGAGGAAATTGGGGAAGTACCGTTGCATGAAGGGCTTGAGACGTGCCACTACAAGAGAGAGAAAGGTTTTCTTTTTGTCAGAATGTTTTTTTTTTTTTTTTTTTTTTACCGGAGCCCGGAGCTGGAAAGGCACAACACTTACTGCTGACGCACATGATGCCGATATTGACCTCGACCGAGGACCACACGCCGACCCTGGCCTCGGCATATGTCGTGTCCACGTCGTTTTGGATCGCCGTAACATAGACGATACGGACGATGGAAGCAACCACACAGCTAACCCAAGTCAGGTCAACAATGGAAACAACCAAAGACAGGAGGATCCGCAACTTACAAGGAGCCAAGAGTCATGAGCACGCCGACCGTGATCTTTTGCTTAATAGGCATCTGCAGTCCGTGGATCAGGGGAACCGGTAACACGATCACGATCAGATCCGACAAGATGTTCAGAGCCGCATGGGCAGCACCGACATTGTTGACGCAGTTGATGTTGGCCGGCACGAGCGGGTTACACGGGCCCGCGATTAGGACGGTGAAGACGGTGGTGTAGACGAAGATGGAGATGGCCAGAAGCCAGGTGCAGATACGCCCCCACTTGGACCGGTTGACAGAGTAGAAGAGCGTCAGGAGGGCTAGCTTGGTCAGGCTTGGTGACCAAAAGTAGGTGACACTCATTGTGATGAGTTTCTATCCGTTCGGGCGGAGCACATGGTCAGTTCTGATGTTTCTTTGTGGTATTTTTCTTTGTCCCTTTTCTTTCTCAAATCCCGTTTCCATCCTTTTCTTTTTGTTCTTCGTCTCTTTCCTTTGGGAAAATGTCCAACAATTGACCATGGCGACTTACTCCATAGTAACCTGTAATCTGCTCTGCAGTTACATCCCAAAGGTGTTGTCCGTACCCGTACTGGATTGCTGTTCACACATATAAATATCAGCATATGTCTTGTCAATATGACCGAGCAGGGTGGCTCTGTCAAGAGGGGAAAGGAAGAGAGGGAAAAAAAAAAGGGGTGAGAGGCCATGGACTTACCAGACATAGTTTCTCCAAAAGAGGCCGCTCCTATGGCCCAAGAAGCAAATACAAAAACTAGAAGAATGAAATCTCGTGAGCAGAGTGTTCATCAAGAGGGCAGGACGCTGGCGAGCGAGGTCATTTTCTTCTGGGGAAGTCGAAACGTACAGTCACCAGGCTCTGTCCTCTTGTTGATGAAGGCGGACGTGTAGAACCTCAAAAACATGAAAACGGTGGCGAAGAAGTAGGTGACCGAGTTCACGACGATGAGTGCAACCTGAAGATCTGAGAATCCGTCATTGAAGTGGGCAGTCTCGCCCGCTGGCGGAGGTATCACGCCGACCTGCGACATAATTGTTGATATTGGTATATGTTCAAATGTTGTTTTGGCCCCCAAAGCATCGGCAAAGGTTAGCTGGCCACCACGGAGTGGTACGGAGTGATAGTGGAAGTCTTTCTTTCCTCCTCCCTCTTCTGTGGTAAGGACGAGGCTGTGGTTGGTTCGTATGTATGTGTAATTGTGTGTGTTTTGTGTAGCGTTGGTGGTGGTATAGCCGCCGTTGTGGGATACAATCACAGAATGGAGCCCAGAGGAAGTGATGTGAGGTGATGAAGGCTGGGTTCTGGGGGCGACGGGTGGGTTTTACTTTTCCAATCTAGATCTAGGGCTGAGGACTGGTCTGGGGCATCTCGTCTGGATATAGGTAAAGAAAAGAGAGAGAAAAACAACAGTATGTGTACGTATTTCTTGCCAGATCTGGTCTTCAGGTACGTGCAGTCGGAAAAACAAAAAAGGCCTTGACCCCCTTTCCAAAATCAAAAACAAAAAACAAAAAAAAGAAGCCCAGCCCACTGCCATCCGTCTCTGTAACCTCGATCCACCGTCTTACATGAGACTTTCGTAGCCTGCCAGGGCATGGGGAAGGACTCTCAAGAAAGTAATCAAGGCCCTTTTAAGAGTTACAATGAGGTGCTCCAAAAGGGCCGAGACCCAAGAATTTCCCTATTCAGAAGGGACCCTCACCGCAGGGTAAGATACACAAGAGATACTATGTACTTGATATTCCCCTTGCGACCAATCCTGGAGACTAAGAGGATCCTTCGGATCCTTCAGCATGATGATCAGCTCCTCTTCCCTGCATATCTCATCGCCCTGCGTGGCTAATGCAACGACGAATATCACAGTAGTGGTTTTACGGCAGAGTATAAACATCGTCACATTGACGAGCGAGTTGTTGCATCTTTTTGATGGTGTCGTTCTGGTTGTTGCCACAGCCTCCAGGTTATGATGCTTATGCCGAGTGAGTTCGGGAAGGGGGACAGGAAAGATTGGGGTGGTGATTGCATCTCTCAGAAGACTGAGACCTGAGGGAAGAAGGAGGATGAAGAAGAGAAAGAAGGAAAGAGAGAAGCTCCCACGAGGAAGGAGGAAAGAAGACAAGGAATGCCACCCCGAAATACCATCGCCACGGCAGGAACCCAGAAACCTATGCAGCCTGCTCCCCTCGACCCTTCCCTTCCCATAAGACAAGATAATACTCCGAAGAAGGGTCCTTCTGCTGATCTCACGACGCAGCCAAGGTATTGCCGAGCCCTGAGAAGCTTGGCCCATCGAGACAACATGCGACAGAATTGCGCATTACCCACACTGAACCAATGGTTCTCACGGCTTTGCATCTCACCGGTTACTTACATATGCTGTAGTGAGAGTAGCAACAGGCAGTCACTCGTGAGACCCTATCCCGGCCTCTGATTCCATTTGCGCCTCGCCCGGCCCAGACCAGTGGTACTTCCCTTGTCTCGTCTCCCTCCAGGCTGTGATGGGACATGGGTGTACAAAATATAGTTTCCTTAGCACTTCCATCGTCGTATGTGTATTCCTTATTTGGTACCAACCTGCAGGTCCTCATGGCTCGCGAGATGAGATGATCCATGGCTGTCCCTACATATGTATCGTGTTGGATTTGCTTGTTCCTAGCCACCCCCTGCATGACACATGTCGAAGAGAGGAAGGAAGAAAGTATAAAATAAAGTTCACGACTCGTGATGAGACGTATACCGTTGCTGTTATGGTAAGGGAGACGGCACTGCTTGCGTCGGATTGATCAAGTTACGTGTTTGGTCTTTGGGGTCTGTGGATACTACTATACTCGAATTCTATTTCATACCAGATCAGACTATCCCCGCACCGCGCCGAACCGATCATCTGGTTTTTTTATTATTATTATTTTTTATTTTTTTACGAGCACGGCCATTCAAGTCAGTGGGCTAGCGCCAAGGACTCGAAGGGACGACAAGCAATAGGACAAGGGGGATGCTTGGACGGGTGGAGGAGAGGGAGGAGACGATCGTAACTTTGTCCCTGGTCAGTTAATTGTGGATATCCCGTTTGTCGTTCGCGCGCCCATAGGCTCTCGCTACTTACCCACAATCCGCTCCGGCTGGTTCGACGACTGACTCTATCCTGCAACCTCCTTCCCGTGTCTCGTTATGAATTCCGCAATCTCTCGTTTCCGAGAGGAGAAGGGCAAGGAGGCCTGACTTGCGAAAATGACCCCTACACAATGTGGCCTTAAGAAGATTCCGAGCACCAGCAACAAACTGTATTGAGAACCATGTGCCGTGCTATACTATATACTATCCCATCCTGTCCTCCAGTGCCGGACGTAGCTTGCGTACGTTCGTTTGCTGATCTGCATGCAGTGCAGGGCTTCTTCTAACTTTCTTCTCATCTCGGTGCCTTCACATCACCATGTGCCATGTGATGGGTACTGCCCAACACCCCGTCCCACCCTCAAGGGGGATGGCGCAACTCTAATCGGGCGGGGGGAGGCAAAGGCGGGTCTTCTCTCTTCCCGGTCAAGGAAGAAAGAAAAAAAAGAGAAGGGAAAAAAGAGGCCAGCCCGCTGCAGTTTGACGGAGTAAGCGATGTGTTTCTCACTACGGCCGATGACAAGTCACTTATTTCTTTCGAGTCAGTTATCTGTGGTACGACCAACAGACAACAAATGACGGCTGATTAGATCATGAAGAAGAGGATGAGCACTTGATCTATGTACTACGGTTGTAATTATTCTGCTCTGCTTCACTTGTCCTCTCCCAAGATCCCCCTTCGCCTTTGTTGCCTCTCTCAAAACCAATTGAGCTGTGGCATACATGTTATTCCTGCCGTAAGCAGTAAAATACCCATTATTAATCCCTCCTCCAAGAGGTAGTGACTGAAAAGTGTCCCTTGCAGTAGCATCTGCCTCCCTACTACCTTACCACTTAACAATGATGGGATCCTTTTGCTTCCTTGGCCTGTCCATGAATTTTACCTACTCCACAATATAAATGCGACATAGGACCCTCAAAAGCGCCCCCCCCCCCCGCCCCCAGCCCCTCCAAACCCACCCATCCCTCCCTTCAACGGTTGCCAAGAAAGATTCCCATACGGTGGTACGCCATAGCAAAACCATGCCACTCTTCACTTGGCTTTCTTTGCTTCTTCTGCGTAGTAGTATGAGCCTGTCAGTCCTGGCGATCATCCCCGTGTGGACTCTCTGTAGATCCAGACGGTATGACACCAGTGATACCGTGTTACAGTAACTTGCCATGAACAAATTATTAGTACTATAGTTCCAGCACTGCAGTCAGTATGATCTTCTATGGCAAATATGACCACCACCAAAATTACCGGGAGAAAAGAAGAAAGAAGAAGAGAAGAGAAAATGAGCAAAGAGACGGCCGCTGCATCTGGAAAGGCCCTGCCCATGCGACGCTGCGGCGCCGGTCCCCAAGGGGTTCCATCCGTTGGGAAGACAAGAGAGATATCAAGGAAAGTGGTGCCTGGCTAGGGCCCGGAATCCTTCTCACCTCTCGGAGAGTAGTTCATCACCGCTATCAACCACAGGACCAAGAAATAAAAATAGCTGTGTCCGCTTCTCTCTTGTATAGGCCTAGCCTGTTGGAAAGTCAAGCCCCGATTCTAAGTCTGGTGGAGTTGACTAGCTGGCTCATCAAGGTCTTGTATATGATCCATCCTTAAGTGAGTAGTAGTAGCCTGTGGCACACCGTGTACAGAACGGACTTGCTCGTGATAATTAATTCTTTTTAATTTTATTTTTGCCGTTTTCTCTTTGGGTATGTATGTCTCCCTCTCTCCCTCCCTGCCTCGCTACAGCATTCCCCCAAGCTGTCAGGTGCCTCTTGTCAGGCTTGGTTTCTTGATCAGATCCTCTCGGACGCTTGCTGACAAGTCCTAGGACGTGATAAAGAAGGAGACCTCACAGATCATCTGTCAGCTCGAGGGCGAACAAATAAACGACGATTATCATCATTGTCATCACCAAGGCACCTGAGCGTTAACACTACCTGTGATACCACCACCACCATCACACCACCATGGCTTCTCCTCAGTCCTCGGCAGGGCCTGACAAGGTCATCCCGCTGCACTTCTTTGACGACACGCCCATGTTCACCAGGATCACAATGTACGCTCTCATGGTCTTCGACGAGGTGCTGGATCCAGAGAAGCTGCGCAGCAGCCTCGACAAGCTCGTGCGGCGCGACACCTGGCAGAAACTCGGCGGTAGGGTCAGGAAAGGGGTACGTTTCTGGCTTTTCTCTCTCCTATGCTCGATCCATATGATCTCTTTATATATCATCATCTCATGTTACTGTGGGAGAGGGAGTGCGAAAAGGGAGAGAGAGAAAGAAGAAAAAAAGGAGGGGAGAACAAAGAAGACTAACCGGACCATCCGTCTTCTCTCTCTTCACTATAGGCAAAAGGTCTTGAGTACCATGTCCCGCAGCAGTTTACCCAGGACCGCCCAGCCATCGCATACACGCACCTCGCCCACGACATGCCAAAGGCAGACCACCCAATCGCCTGCAAGCTGCCGACGCCGGCCAAAATGCCGACCGACCGGCCGGCCACGGTGGGCAACCCGGAGGAGTGGGCGGAGCTAGCGTGCGGGGCGGACTCGCCCAAGTCACTCGAGGACTACACGCTCACGGACCGGCCCGTGCTGGGCCTCCGCATCGTCTCCTTCACGGACTCGACGCTCGTGACGATCCATTGGCTGCACGTGGCCAGCGACGCCATGGGCCTGCGCGCCATCGTGGACAGCTGGGTGCTGATCCTGCAGGGGCGCGAGGACGAGGTCCCGTCGCTGCACGGCTTCGACGAGGACCCGCTGCGCGAGCTGGGCATGCACCCCGAGGAGACGTACGAGGTGGCCAGCTCGGCGCTGGGCTCCCTGGCCACGGGGTCGTACGTGCTGCGCAACGGCTACCGCCTGCTCGTCGGGAAAAAGGAGAACCGCACCGTGTGCATCCCGCCGCGGTTCTGGCAGAAGATGCGCGAGGACTGCCTCCAGGAGCTTCGCGACGCAGGTGACCCGAGTGCGTTCCTCACGGAGAACGACGTCCTCACCGCCTGGTGGTCGCGCCTCGCCGTGTGCCACCTCCCCGCCGACAAGCCTGTCACCATCATGCAGGCCATGTCCGCGCGCAAGGCCCTGGCGGGGGACCTTCTCCCGCCCGACAGGCTGTACGTCGGCAACTGCCTCAGCTTCAAGAACCTGCTGCGCACCAAGAAGGACATGGACGCGTCGCTGGGCCGCCTGGCGGGCGACATCCGCAAGGCCGTCAACACCCAGGGCACCCGCGCCCAGGTCGAGGCCTACCAGGCCATGGTCCGCGCCAACGCATGGCCCCTCGGTCCTCTGCCCGTCTTCTTTGGCGCCTCGAATATGCACCACGTGGGCTATTCCAACTGGTTCAAGTCCGGCGTGTACATGGCCGACTTCTCGTCCGCCGCCGTGAAGACGCTTGACGGGCCCCTCACCCCTTGTTTTGTCTCGCAGATCCAGACTGGTTTGCCCTACCCTGAAGGGTTCATCATCACTGGTAAGGACGCCAAGGGCAATTATTGGCTCGAGGGGTATCGACCTGCTGGCCTGTGGGAGAAGGTTGAGAAAGAGCTGGCCGCGGGGACGAAATAAGAATTACGGCATATTTGCTAAGATGAGGGCTTGTTGCCGGCCGGTGGAAGAGTGAGGAAGGAGCAAGACCAGAAGAGACCTAGCGGCTTGATTTTGTCTGGTTACTTTATTTTTTTTTTTTTTTTTTTTTTTTACGTGTTACCTTAATTTTGTCTCTTCTCTTCTTCTTTTTGTCCTTCTCTGCGGGGCGCCACGGTGGCATTTCTGATTTGCTGTAGAATGTGTGAATCTAGGCAAGATCCCGGGATTCTATATCGGAGGCTCGTGGAAGGGCTCGTGGCTAGCTGGGTGAGCGCACACCGCTCTTGGCTCAGTACTTGGTTGAGAGTATATGGGAAATGGGTGAATTGAGCCACAGAGAAAGAAGGAAAAGGGAGAAAAGAAAAGAAAGAAAAAGGTGCCTGGCGCTAGTAAGGCCGGTGGACTCACTGGGGACTCGCACAGAACAAGTAAGTTGCTTGTAATTAGTATCTCCCTCCATCACACTATAGAATGTTTCACCTCCAAACGTCGTGCCAAAATGAAATTGATGGCAAACTTGAATATCTGCCAAGCTGACTGGAGCAACACATAGTTGGCCACCAGTATTGCCATGATGAGGTTGCCGCCTTGCTTCAGTCTCGGCTCTGAGCATAAATACTGCGCCGAAATGACAGACGGTTGAATGCCCAACTGCCACTCGGATGCATTGGCATTAGTGAACGGGCCACCAGCCAGGCTTGAGTCAAAGATGCTAAGAACCGAGGTTTCCATAACAAACTCACCACGGATAGCGGAGAAATTGAGCGTATAATATTCCAGCATATCCGGGCTCGTCAATATGTTTTGATGGGCCGTGTCCAGCTGGCCGAGGTCTGCCAGGATGGTGAAGTACATCGCCTTTGAGAGTGTGTCGACATTGATCCATATCGACGGCAACCATGGGCCATCAATCATTTGGGACACGAGGTATCTGCCAGACCAGATGATTCTGTCTGAAAATTCTCCATCCTTGTTATACGGGACAAAATACAAATCACCACTGAAGAAGTCAAGCGATTTAACCTGTTCATAGGTCGTTGCAAGGCCGAAAGACGTCCTGTTCATGGTGACGTATCCTTTGTAGGCACCGGCTTCCTGTGCTGCGATGACGGTGTTGTTGATGAGTGCCAAATAATACCAAGCCATCAACGATTCTCCCCACCACAAACTGCCAGAACTCTGATTTACTCCTGGAAACTGCGTCGACGGATGATCGAATGAGGTGTGTGAAGGGTTCCAGTCCCAATCCGTCGTAAAATTGACATGCATCGGTCCTTCTGGAGTATACAGGGAACAGCTAATAAAGGCCTCTAAGCTTGTTCCCCACTCTGCCCTCGCGATCTGCGCTCCCGTGCGATCGAACGATTCAAAGGTTATTCCCAGGCTTGAGACGGAGCAATTATCCAGGCGATTGTTATGGTAAGGCAACCCTCCATCCAGTAGCTTGGAGTCGGCCCCAGAACCTTGCCAAATGCTCGTGATTGTATACGAAAAGGCGGTATTGTTGGTAAAGAAGTTGGATCCGATCGGTAACGAAGCTGAATTGCAAGTGGCCTGCGTGTTCGCCGTCATGAACGAGGGCCATTGAGAAAAGTATGTATGCTTGGCTTCCGTTGCGTTGGGATCATACGAGTATGTCGTCGACAACTCATAGCCAGATGTCGAGATGCTCACGACGGTGGTGACCAAAATGATCAGCGGTGCTCCAACCAAGACTAAAGGAGTGATCCATTTGAATGGGTATGGCCTGCTCAAGTTATAAGAGAAATAGGATGCGTATGAGTTTGCTGTCGACATAGCATTTGATCAACTGATCAAGATAATACCGTTAACACAATCATATATGTACTTCGAGTTTCTTCAATCTTCAGCATCTTGAGCCCGGAGAGAAGAACGTCTAATAAATCAGCAGAAGAAGGCTCGGTCGAGATGACCCGCTGCAACCTCGCATTGAACTTTCAGCCTCACGATCCTATCATGAACACTTCGCGGTTTTACTTGCCAAATCAGGCGCACCAAGGCCGCGGATACGCCTTGCCAGCCAGCCTCAGCCTTTCCGCTTTGCTGACATCTGGATGTTCGTGTTCGTTTCTGGTGCGGCTGACAGACGACACGCCGCTCCCAGCGTCTAAGCAAGCCAGCCCCCTTTTCCAAGAACGAGTCGTTGCGTAGGGCTTAAGCTTTCCCTTCGACGAGAAGGCGCAGAAGCTCTAGAACTAATTCATCCATTGGATCGGGGTGGAAGAACCACCGTATGCGAGTGTGCTCTAGCTTCATCAAAACCAGCGGTGCCGTACTTTTCCATATAGCAGCTGAAACATCCTTAGATTAACTCCAGTCGTGCATCTTGGGGGTAGGTTCTTTCCTTACGCAATATAAATGTCCAGGACAGCATTTTGCTGGTTTAGGACCTTCTTGTTGCAGTGTTTCTGCCCCGTTTCTTGGCTTGTTTTCGGTGGGCACTACCCTTCAGCCTTGATCCTTTAGTCTACTCTGTGTATTGTTCTGATCTAGTAGGCAGCCAAAATGTTCTATTAAAGACGAGAAAAAGAGGGTGGGAGCTATAGTGAGCTTTCCTAGGGCGCAGAATCCTTAGGCAGCGTGTAAATAGTAGGGCTATGACATATTGGCCTGGATGAAGGTAGACATCGCAGTACATCTCCTGAAGTCGTTCTGTTCAATGTTTGGCCAGAGACAGTTTGCAGGGAGCTTGTTGGTGAAAGCTGCATCTAGTTTGCAGCTGTGAGGATTTCGGGATGTGTGCATGCAGCTCGGTCAAGGAGCAGGCGCGAGCTCAGCCTGAGGCAGCAACAGTCGCGCATCGTAGCGCGAGGTAAGGCAACCATGGCCTCCACCTGCACCTGCTCTCCACCTGTTGGTACTGTTCATATGCATACCTGCAGCACTTTATTTGGTGTACCTGGCTCAAGAATCAAGAATGCAAGTCATGTCCTTTTTTATTTATTTTTAAATTTTTTCCTTTTATATCCATTTTCCCCTTTCCTGAATTCTCAATTTCAAGAAGAGAATACAAGAAGCGAGACCTTGTGTGGTTCTTTCCAGCGTCAATAATTCAGGGCGCGCGGTTCGATATAGGCCTCATATGTGTCGCATCACAAGATGACGCAGGCCCAAGTAAAAACAAAGTCAGGCCACCTCTTGTTGAAAATATTGCCCTCTTGTATAGCTGAGCATGCGAGTAAACCGCCCCCTCCCCCCCTCTTTCTCTGAAACACATCAAGTCCATTGTCGGCGGCAAAATCATGCGCTGGGGGCCCAAGATAAGAGACCAAGTAAGATCTCTCTGTATTATATGAACGTACTGTACAAGTTCATTATTAACCTTGCCATTGGTCCTACTTTGCCTGAGAGTTTGGAAGAGGGGGGGGGGGGTGTGTGTGGCAAAGCAAAGCCACGATGGATGGACATCAAGGCCCTGTCCATGTTTTGAATTTGCCACCTCTTCAGCATGAACAATGTTGTGGCTGTGTGTGTGTATCCCTGGCTTAAAATGACGAAATTGTTAATATTGCGTGCTACAGTACAGATCGCGGCGGTACGCCGGGGCTCCAGGTTCCAGAAGGCCGCTGTTGCTGCTTCTGTTCCCTTACCGCCCGCCGCCGGTGGGCTGGCTGGCACCAGTCAGTGGGCCACGATGGCCTCAGTCCTCGTGGCCGTGGCGCGCGTCTATAGAAGAGTCGAAGGCAAGTTTCATGTTCCACCACCAAATCACCAATGGAAAGCATCGGAATAGACAGATTTACTTTTTTAAAATAATATTGTTTTTTGTTTATTGTTTTGACTAGGGTCTTTTCCCACCCCTCGGCGTACCGATGCCGCCATTATCAAGAACGTCGTCCCATCGCCGTGGACACCACGTTGAAAACTCGAGGCGGCTATTTACTTCAAAGAAAACCCTGCACGAAATTCGTGGGTATATAATAAAGTCCTTTCCTCCTTCCAGCCAACTGTGTGATCCGTCTTGCGAATAAGGAGGAAGAAAATGGGAAAGGGAAAAAGAGCAGGCAAAAACAATCAAAGACCAAGGCAATGCTCCTGAACACTCACTTCTCGCCCAAGGAGAAAAAGGAAAAATATGGTATGAGCCCACACACTTTGTCCCAATGACCCCCAAAGAAATCCCCCAGACACGACACGCGCACAAGAACTCCTGCCCATGCATGCTGTAAATATAGGGGAGTGTGTGTAAGTTTGTTGAGAAACCAGAACACAAACAGCTAATCTGTTGACAGGATCTTTCAATGCCGTCTGGTTTGGCTCGTTTCGTTCATTTGTTTATTGCTTCATTTCTCGCAATATCGCTCGCTGCTCTTCAGCCCAGCTGCAGAAGAGCTTTCGTCGTCAATCTTCATCCGAAAGGTCCAGTGTCGTCCAAAACAGTTAGGTATCATTTCCTCATCTCGTGAGATGCCTTGCGGCAGCCATCTAGGTTTATAATAATAAAAAAAAAGGTTATAAGTTGTTGAAATGAAGGGTTAGTCAGCGAAAAGGGAGTGTGTTTGTGAGAGAGAGAGAGGGACGTGCAGGCGGATGCAGAGTCGGGTTATTCCTGTGGGGTCATCGTCTAGATGAGCAGGAAGTCCCAGCCCTTCATCTGCATCACATCCCGCCAGGGGATATACTGCGGCTGTCCCTGCTGCTGTGCGGACTCCTCATGCTTGATGCCGGCCGCGGCACTGGTGGCGCTGCTGGGCGAGCAGACGAGCTCGTCGTTGCGAGCCCACACCTCGCGGAGGAGGCAGGCGACCCGGCCGAAGGAGCCATAGTCGGCCTGTTCGCCCAGCTGCGACACGCGGTCCTCGAAGAAGGTGCGGAAGCTTGACCCCACCCCGCTCATCGAGCCGCCGAGCAGGTACACCCAGACCAGAGAGCGGTCGAAACCACCAGGTCCCGATGGGATGTGCTGCAGGACGTTGGTGAGGCGTTCGACGAGGTTGATGCACGAAGGCTGCGTGGGCGAGAAACCGGGCACCAGGCTGCACAGGTAGATGCGCGCCGTGAGGCGGAATGCCTGGGTCATGTTCCTCGACAGCTGCTTGGGGCTCAGAGACCCGTTGGCATTGAAAGGGATCTTGGGTCCCGTCTCGCCCATTTCAGTCATTCCGATCTGGTCGCCCAGGACGTGCACGTGCTGGCACAACGAGATGTCGTCCATGCCATCACGCTTGAGAGCTTCGAGGCAGGCAATCTCGCTGATCAGGTACATGACACGGTCGTCGCACCCCATGAGCTCACGGAGACCCAGGGAGTGGTTGACCTGAGACAGATGCTTCTCACGGTAGGTGTGTGCAAAGGTTGGGGCACGGCCCTTGATCGATGCACCGAGGATATCAATCCATGATGTGAGGGTCATGTTGAAGGGAGTCTGGCTCAGCGGGTGGTGCTCGTCGGCGACGAGGTTGGGAAGGTTGAGCTTCTGTACCAGCGAGATGGCAGCCTGGAAGTGCTGGTGCCATGCGATATCAGGCAGGGCGTCGTCAAAGCGGCCGACGCAGCATTGGAAGAAGATGAGCCCAAGGGCAGCCTCGAGAATCTGTTGGTGATCCTCATCCCGGTTGAGGGCATCACACAGGGATGAGATGGTCGAGTAGCGGTGGCGCATGATATCGCCATCTACTTGTTGCATAAGATCATTATCAACCTCACCGCCTTGCGTCATGACCATGGCCTTGTAATGCTGTGCTGCTATGCTCAGGCAGCAGTGCAGGTAGCCCTTGTTGCTCTGCAGTGCGGGCAGGATGAGATCGGAGCCAACGGAACCGTGTTGGTTCGTCTCGAGGATGGGGAAGATGGTCGGTAGCACAAACTGGATGAAATGGTCCAGGAGCCTCTGGTCACCCTCGTCCAGCTCGATGGCAACTTGTCTTGTGTTCATCGAGGGGCCGTGTGCAAAGTCAAAGAAGTTGCAGTTCAGGGTCTCCTCGGTCAGCGACTCTCGCCGTTCTGTGCAGGTCTGCTCCGTCCATTCGCCGCCCTCGAGCGGGAACGACGAGGGCAGTAATGTCCCGGGCGGTGGCGGAGTGGTGTATGTGCTGAAGGTTGAGGTTGTTGACTCGGTCAGGGTGGGAACATCGTCCACAAACATCTGTCGCTCCGTCTTGACGTCAATCTCGTATGGCGTGTATGGTGAGATACCATTCAACATAAATTCCGGGTGCATCTGTCCATTGTAGGGAAAGCCATCAGTGACGGCAGGTGGGCTGTTGAAATTGAACGAGTATTGCGAGTCGATGGACTGAGATCGTGTCCGGTCGAGAGGATCAGAGAAGGTGGCTGATGTTGGGAGAGAGTGAGACAGGCCTGGCGGCGAAGGCATCGAGGTTTGGATGGCATGGGAATGTTGTGAGTTCTGCGCCTTCTCGGACAACTTCTTCCTCTTGATGATCATCTTGATGTCGTCCTTGTGTTTTCTGCGGGCATCATTGTTGCTCCACCACATTGGGCGCTTGTATTCACAAGCAAGACCGAGGTGCTTGCATGCTGTGCACATTGGCGAACCCTCGTCGCACTTCTTCCTCCGGAGTCTGCAGGTGTAGCAGCCTTTACCAGGAGATTTAATATTAGCTGATGGAATTCAATCAAGATGATGAAACAAAATATGGACGGAAAACTCCCAAAAATAAAAAAAAGGAAAAAGAGAGACCATTGACATGAGACATTCGAGCCTCAATGTTGGTTTGTTTTGTTGTTTTTTTTGCGGGAGGAGGGGGGGGGGAAGGAAGGGGCGGCGTCGACACCAGCCCAAAGTGAAGCAGGAAGAGGAGGACAAAGGAGCATTGTAAAGAAGACAGTACAAACCTGTTCTTGAGCGACGATGCATCTGTGTTTTTTGTTTCGGATTGGCATTGTTGCTGGCCTTGGGACCGCTAGCCTTGGGGGCCGACTTGGCCTTCGCCTTTGTTGGCTGTGCGACGGCCATGTTGACTTGCGATGCTCCCATGAGGTCCTCTTGACGATGTTGACGGTTGGGGGGTAGTGTTGACATTTGTATGCTCAGTCCCTAATCAAGACTGGTAACTCCGTACCTGCGTACAGTACAGAGACAGAAAGAGAGAGGCGCAGGGGATACCCGGTCCTTGAAGAAGGGGGGGGGGGTGGCAGTAGAGAGTGGGGGCGGGCGTGCGGTCAGTAGGGTGTGGATCTTCCCTCTTGTCCTCTTTGACTTCTGGGCCGAGCAAAAAGCGGGAGGGACACCAGCAAGGGTCTCTTCTCCTCTTCCAAGTCCTGGTCGAGGTCCAGAAGCTCTCTCTCAGCTGGGACGGGTTCGCACTCGAGAAGATCAGGCGAATGTTTCCGGGGGGGTTGCAATGCGTGCCGAATGAACAGCCCCAATCTTGTCCAAGCCCCAAACGACTAATATTAATTATTGCCGGTGAATTTTGTCCGCCTGCGAAATGATTGACCGGTTAGGGAGCAAGGCCTGCTTGCTGGGTGATTTTGAAAATCGAAAACGACTGATGAATAGGATGGCCGAGATAGAACCTGTATCGATGGACCGTGTGGGGGAGGGGGAGAGGAGGGGATATTAAGAGAGGAGGGAAAGACTTTGACTGGACGACACCAAAATGAACCATTAAACCTTTTGGATAAGAGGAAGAAGAAGACATCACAGGCCCAGATGTCGGATGGACCAAAAGCCTTATATCGTGGCCACATGTCCAGGCCACACGAAAATTGTTGCTTGGATCCGCCCCGTCGACTTTGTTTTCTAATTTTGGAACTGCCAGCAGCACACAACGACGCTTGTCTTCTTCTGGTCTGCCCAGCATGTCGCCCTACCGCACAACGAGCAGGTCGGTGCAGAACTCCGCAATGGATACATGTATCCTCCAGTACTGTAATTGGTGGGCCGCGACCTGCTGTCCCGTCCTCGTCCACACTCTAGAGTAGGTAGGAATGGAGACTGCGCTAAAGGTACCAATGAGCGGTCGCGCGGAGGGTCTCACTCGGAAGTGTGATCCACCATGTAACCCACCCACAGAGAGCTATTGTTGAGCTCTGGTAGCACTGCAAGGGCCGGGGGCCATGGGCTCCGTGCAGACATAGTACTATGGATAGTACGGGAGGAGAGCCCTTGGAAGGGGGTGACGGCAAGGTGCAGAGGCTATTGGCGGGACCTCCACCCTCCAGCATGCAGAGGTCATGCGGGACAGTACTATAGTATTAGATAGCTCCGTCCATTCTGGGTATCCTGCAGGCCTGATCTCACAGGGGTCGGTGCCGATCTTCACAGATGGGCTCACTGATGGGCGGAACCGGAGAGCAGAGCTTCCTGCGCAGAGGGTCGTCTGTGCGGTTTGAGTACATGGCTGCTTGTGTGCCATTGTAGAGAACATCGCACCTTAGCCGAGGACAGGCGGGATTGCGACATGCGACCGCTAGTGATAGCCAAGTTGCCGATGTTTCTTTTCTTGCAAAGTGATGATGTGGAAGCGGGAAACTCCCGAAAGTCTAATATTGAAACCCCGCTTGGTCGAGTTTTTGTTGTTTCTTTTCTTTCCCCCTAGCGACACAATGTCCATGATCTCGAGTGGACGCCAAGACGTGTACGGGACAGTAAATGTCGAGACACACACACACACACCACCACTTGTGTGGCTACAAACCCTTGAATGTTTGTTTCGGAGAAACATGCCGTGGAGGGGGTTAGTCTGACTGGAGTCTCGTCCGAAGATCGCACTTTTGTCATCTCGCGTTGTGATGGGACCTGGTCTGGTCACATCCTAAATTGGGCATCGCACAGCTGCAGATGCAGCTGCCCATACCACTCAAGGCCCAAGGCACCATTACTATAGTAGCCTAAGCCGAGAATTCAGATCGGCTCACGTTGAATACCGCTGTCCGCTCTCGTTGCATCCGTCAAAGTGGAGTCGTCTGCAGGCAAGGCAGGGAGCATGCGCTGTGCCTTTCTGAGAAGGATTTCGTTGGCAGTGACACCTTGATTTTTGGGGTACGCCTCACTACCACGGCAGGTTCATTTCGCCGGCGTAGCAGTCTGTGAAATCGCATTATGGGTTGGTCCATGTTGATCAACGGGCCCAGATCGAACTCTTTGGAAGTGCTCGCTGGCCATGACACGATGTGCCGCACAAGATTGGCCAAAAAGCAGGTCGAGGGTAACCCTCCCACACCAGATTGACGTGGCTGATGGCTGTAATGACTCCTATGCACCGTGGCGGCCACGAACGACTGGCCAGCAAATGAGTTTGTGTGATACAACCAGTGAAAGATGGGACGGGGGGGGGGGGGGTAACTGTATAAGATGCCACCGGCCTCCCTGTAGCGTGGTCTTGGGGGACAGCCAGCCAGCCAGCCAGCCATCGAACGGCCATTCTGGGGCTATACCCTATGGTAAAATCTCCTTGTCGCTCAGAGGAGTGTGTATGTATGTGTCTCCGTATGTTTTCCCGCACAGTTGTTTCCGAAGGTCTAGGGAAAGTTGTGAACTGGCGGTAATGCCTAAGACATAGGCACGTGGAGGGGATACGGTGTAGACCCCGCAAGCTGGCCTTTGGGTGCTGAAGGGTGAGCATGGGCGGAGGGATTGAGCTCGTGGCCCGGTAAGACGAGTGTTACCGAGAGGGGAAACTGACTGTCCAACGTCCCCCCCCTCTTGCTGCAAGCAATTTACAGTTGAGGACATGAAAAAGACTGTGGTAAGTGAGGTCTGCTGAGGGGACGCGGGCCGGTGAGGAACCCTATTGCATTGACAATGCCATGCCATGCGCATGCTTCTGTCCCGTCCCTCGTCCCTCGACCAGCCAAGACAATGCGACCAACTCCATTGTGCCAATGGCAAATGGACAAGATCTGCAGGTCCAGGGGAGCGAGTCGAGTCTGTAATCTGCACCCCTGGCTGACTGTAAGCCACACAACCCCGAGAGCTAGCTTATGGAGGGTGTGGTCACGTCGCAATCTGTGCCGTCCAGGATTTGTCGAGCTTTTTTCTGCAAAAACAAGATGTGTGAATTGTTGGCTGATTCGACGACGTTGAAGTGACGAAGGGTGGGCCGTGCATTAGTAGCAAGTGGAAAGGGAGCGATGTAACGGTGATGAGAGCCAATCGAAATGCGATACAGGCTTGTCAGACGGGAAGGAGCCTTCGAGGTGGGGACGCTAGTTGCAGGGGTAGACAAGTGCAGGGGGGCTGCCTGACTTTGAGTTGCTCTTTCCCCGGGGCTCTAAGGCCTGAGGCCTAGAAGGAGTCATCTCCCTGTAGGCCCCTCGGGTGCTCCCTCCCATGCCCGCGAGCCAATGTGGGGCCAGCTGGTGGGAAAATCTTATCGTACCGTCCCGTGCTCTACTTGCTGCGTATGTACTAGGTCCTCGATAGCCGCCGCGAGGGAATCCTAGGCTTCGGACCCTGCGACACTAAATCGAGGAAGATAGATGCGCGCGCCAACAGCTAAAGCGTTTACTGCATGCGCCGAACGATAGAGCTTTGTCATATGAAATGACCTAAATTTGGCATACCGCTCTGACGATGGTTTGTTCAACCGCCTTCAGCGCTTGCACACACGCACGCGCATCATCGATCGAGTCGATGCACCCCATCTGCTTGATATCCGCGGGGCTATTTTTGTCTGCGCATGTTCAGCGAGACATGGTCCGCAGAACAAGCGCCGAGTTGAAGCTGATCGCGTCAAAATAGCTCCTTCCTCGACATGGTTGATTCTCTCTCGCGGCAGCCATGGCTGACTGGCTTTGGAGGTTGCTGCCCAGACCAGGACACCTACCTGCGTGAGAAGGACCCAACCTGTTCCCAGTGCTGGCTGCAGACTGGCAACACACTTCGACCAGCCACGCTACTCCGATTTCGGAAGACAACCGAGACAGAGAGGCACACAAGACGTCAGAAACGGCTGGGGCAAGGGTAAGAGTGCGTGGCCTGCACGCCGCATGTATCGTTCCTGCTTCCAGTACCAGTACCTACCTCAGAGGCTTCTGCCCACATGGGCAATCTCTCCAAGGGCCCGAACTGAGCTGCACGATACTGATTCATGGAGTATCATCAGCTTCATTTGATGAGGTACACATTTCTCACCCTCTTAGGAAATGGTGCGTCTCCATCCTCTCCTCGCTATGATACCTCATCTTGCATTGACCAGCCAATAGTCGATGTATGGTGTGGTATCCAGGGGCCAGCCTTGCAGGACCAACCTCGTCGGTGTTGATTAGGGGGAGGATCCCGCTCTACGCCGTCGCCCTTAACTGCACGACTAGCCCCAACGTTGTCCAATCCAAGAGGTCCGAGTCTCACGCAAGGATCGAAAGATCAGCCACAAGGGGCCATGATTCATGTAGGCAGCTCGATTGATTAGGGCCTGCGGCTGATCCCTCTTCTTTCTCCTATCTCAACGATGTGCCGATTTTCCCCATCTTCCCACCACAGCTTCACAATGCATATGCAGGGGCAGACCCAGCCAGCTGAGAGTCAATCCTCCAAGATGGTTCATTATGGCTGGTACACGACGTAGTACTTTTATGGACAGTCTCCCAGCCACCGTTGGGGCTCACTTCCAGCCACAATGCTGGCCCCGCCAGCAGATGATGTGGTGCAGTGGACGGGATCACTCCGCCACACAACAAATTGGCACCGACAATCAATTTCACCTTTTCCTGTGCGCCGGCACTTGAGCATCGGGACTGTACCCACATGATTCGCCATCGCCATGCTCACCTTGCTATACTACTCATTTCAATCTAGGATGAAAAAGGCCGTGATGTCGGCCATTTTCAGCATTCTGAAATGTCATTTCTGATAAGAACCAACATCCTGCTAATAGCCGAACAGTGGCCGGCGCCGAGGGAACCGAAGGACAAACCCTTTGTGGGCCGCGCTACCTCGACTCTGGTGGCTGTTTAAGTGCGGCCAAATCTGAGCTCTCAACAATGACCGCCTCAGCTCTTAAGCGCAAGCGAGCCAGCCGTCCTGTAAGCATCCTGATTCGGTCCGCACCCGTGGCAGAGAGGTGGATTCTCATAGAACAGGCTCTGCCATTCAGCATCGCAACAAGGCCAGTATCTTGTCGGCCATTCAACCATCCAACACAGCCCTGATGGATTCATTGGTCTTGCGGTCCCCAATCTTCATCATGTGAGGCCGCCTTTGGGGAAGCACCGACTAAATGAGCACTTCCGTATCTGTCTTGTCCACCCTCATGGCCAGCCGACCGCCACTGAGATGTTGTCTTGCGGAGCCGTTGATAACCATGAAGGCCCACTTGCTTTTTTTCTCAGGGAGGGGGTGTGCTTAACATTCGGCCGAGTGGGGTCAGTTATGGTTCGTGAAGATCTTCACCGGTCCCACAAGACATGGAGTCTGACGAAGATCTCGTGCGGAGGTTTTCATGAAGACTCATCTTTTTTTTCTACCCCCTGCAACAGACACGACGCGGCCCATTCAGGCGACTTTTGCCTCCCAGTCGTTCACAAACCAAACAAAAAACAAAAACAAAAAAGAAGAAGAAAAGACGCGAAAGAAACTTTTCGTCAGGTGGACGTTGTGGGCCGAGGAGGGAGATAGACGAAGGCGAGAGAGATGAACCTGTTTGCCCTTGTCTTTGAAACTGACCGCAATTCACGCCTCCACGTGCACGACCGAGACGAAACGTGGGCCGCGGCGCAAGCCCGAGACAGCGCGCCCTCGTGGGTTCGGGCAGAAGGCCAAAATATTGCCCAACCTGAACCAAGGTCTCACACCTTGCCGCGCTGGATCGACGCAATTGATCCTTTTTCCTTGGCTCAAATTGAACTGTCGGTGAGAGCCTCGAAGCAGGCGGAAGCGGGGGAAACTTCGTCATCCGCGTCATTCAATTTTTCTGAGCGCCAGTGGCTGGGCCGACGTGCCGTCTTCTGAGCCGTCCTGCTTTACAATGCTTGAGCAGTTTTTCACGATCGCCTCGGGGGCAGCCTACGAGGAGGGCCCCTTCGCGTGTGCGAGAAGTGGGACAGGGAGGCAAATCGTGCTGGCTGGGTCCCTTGTTGGAGTTTGCTCGGCGCACGCCCTCTTGTCCGCCCTTGCAAGCCACTTTCCACGCTCTCTCAATGCACTCTCAATGCACTCTACCATAATGGGACTGGATTCGATTCAATGGGGACCCCAGGCCTTCGACCTTGTCTCTTGCAGACCTCTAGGACAAGCATCTCGAGGGACTGTCGACTGCTCGACGTGACGCTCTCTCTCTCTCTCTCTCGCATATGGCCTGCAGTATGGAATGAAATGAATGCAACATCTGTGGGCACAAGTCCCTATCCCTCGCATATGCACCCTGCGCAGAGATGCTTGCGGACGCGGGCCGACCATGGCATCTGCACGACTTGCCCAACAGTGGATTCGAATACCCACCGGACCAGCACAACCGAGAGAGGGAACGAAGGAGGGAAAATGAGGCTTGAGCTAGAATTCCCTGTCGACCGCCTTTGGGGGGGGGGGGTAGTTGGCTGCAGATACTACTAACGACTACTGAAGTGCTAAAGTATGGTCCCATACTAATGTATTATGGTAGCATGTGTGCTCTCCCTTGTGTGCAAGGTGCATGGGAAGTGGTCTCGGCGGTCTTTCCCCAGAGAGTCGAGTTCAGCTCGGTAGCAGGCCACTGACACAGCGTTGCACGGGTCAGGTGCTTCCTACTGTGGTCACGATGTATGCAACGCACCGAGTCAATTGGACGGCTCACAAAGCAGGGACCAGGGCTCATTCATTCAGATCGTCAGCGATTTTTCTTTCTTTCTTCTTTTCTTAATTGCCCCCAGCACCGGGCAGACTGGGCAACGGGGCACCCGGGCGAATCCGTCTCACCAGAAGAGTCTCGACTGTGAGGGGCGAATACGGAATCGTTGCTCCAATGCACAGGTGACCTGGACGGGAAGGTCAAATCCTGTCCACACCTATGAGATGCTCGGCAGGGCCAATGTCGGCACACCGAGGGTGAGCAGGAGGAGCAGGGAGAGAGGGTATAGAGAGGAGTAGGGGTGGTGACCAAGTCCACAGGAAGGGAAGAACTCCCCTCCCCCCCTTGTCCAGTTTCCACCACCCCTCCCCACCCACTCTCCCCTTGGTGCCAGCCCAGGTCCTGTTTGTCGTCGGATAACCCAGAAGGGTCAGGCTAAGTTTGACCGTTTTCTGCGGTCAGATTGAGATCCATGTATTGTGCTAAGTTGTGGGAGCACAAGATGAGGGGTTATGCGTCTGATCCAGTATGCCGTGGCTCTCTTGTCTTGGGTTGCCGTCCCTCACATATGGCAGGCTCTTGCTATGCACCCCATGAAAGCCACGGCTTATCGGCATATCATCTGCTGACCACCACCACCCCAACTTAACACCCAAAGCGTTCAGATGGGATTGTTGAATTCGACCACATGACTATGGACCAGAGACTGCCGCTCGCTCGAACCTCGGGAGTGATGGAATAGAGGACAAGCAAACAGTCGAGAGGCCATAATGCGATTGTTGAACACAACCCCCCCCCCCACCTTTTTAAAAACCAAAAAATCCTGAGCCGTTCCCCGCCCAGCAGGAAACCGAATGCGACAGGCAGGAAGAAGGAGGAGGAATCACAGTATGCAGCTCAGGGTGACAAGTGAACGAGCTGCATAGCGCACACCCTCCCGCTGCCCGGGGAAGCTTGTGGATACGACTACTCTTGCACACCCTGTCACCCTCCTCTGGTCCTCCAACCCATGCATCCTTCAAGGTCGCATCTGGATTCCCTCCATTCTGATCCTGGACCCTGTCACAAAGCCCTGGTCCCCGGTCTCCGGAGTTTTCCCTTGGCAAGAGAGTCCATGCCTATTCATACTACTATGGTTTACCCGTCGAGTGGTCCTACTCTTCACGCTCGGCGCTTGAGGTTGACCAATCACGACTTTAGGCCGTCCAGCAGCCTCGCCAATCACCACCCAGAACAGCAACATCGCGGAAACTCACTGCAGCTCTCCCTGGCCATTTTGGACTTCCCTGATGCCCGACCATCCTTCCCCCCGGCCAACCAGCCTGTGAGTCTTTGCTCGCTTGCCGCCATGCGGAGCAATGCCTTGTCTACACCATGATGACTGCCAAAAATACCCTGGGAAACGCACCACCACAGTGTACCATCGGCTGCTTCTCGTGGTTTGGGTTGGTTGCCAGTAAACACACACAGAGAGATGCACGATCTGGCCAGACCTGCGGAGCTCACTTACTCACACACACACACACACACGCGCTCTCTCTCTCTCTCTCTCTCTCTCTCTCTCTCTCTCTCTCTCTCTCTCTCTCTCTCTCTCTTCTGTCCCATCCCAAGGACCAGCTCGCTCGTAGGTGGTGCTTTTCCTGAACCTTCCGTCGAGTCCCACCCCCCCTCTTCTTCCTTCCCACTCCCACTTCCCTTCCCCTCCCAAAAGTCATCGCATCCGCCCGACCGATTCCGGTGCATGAGAGTGTGTATGTGTGTGCGTGCGCTTGCTTGTTTTCGTCACCAACGGATTTGGCCGTGCCCAAAGATCCCCAGGAATGGGCCCAACCCCACTGCAACCTCTCTCTGTTCGAAACGCACCCTCTCCTCTGCCCGCCTATCACTCACGCCTGTGACCGACAGTTGACATGCATATGCCGGTGCTGTGATGGCCCCATAGCTCCCAGACTTTTCTGCACTCGCACCACAACTATCAGAGCGGTGTTGGTTCTGTCTCTGTCTCTGCCATACATAACCTCGCGTAGGCGCCCGCCGCCCGATCTAAGACCTGTTCTGACCGGTGTTTTTCTCGATTTTGCGACCCGCTTTCGATTATATGAGCACAGCGGGTATTCCCCTCGTTTCTCATTGCCCTTATCCTTTTCCTCGCTATAAACAAACAAAACTAAATCGAGGACGGGCAAACGCTGCATCTTTCTATCTTGTTTCCACCCCGTCATCTATCTACAAATTGGTCGCTGTTTGGTCGAGACAGCCCAGCCCGCGCCGGCAACGGCTTTTTTCTTTCTTTTCTAAACCGGTATAACGGATTACTGTTTTATACAGACAATACTTACACACCGGCACCGATCGCCGAGGTGACACACACACAAAATGGTGAGCTGACAGAAGAACCTGCAGACGAGAGGGAGGCACATTATTCACACTCAAACTCCGTAGGAAACAATGTCGCGGCACGCCATGGCCGGAAGACCACATCGGGAGATGGAAGAGAAGTCGCGGTTCCGCGAGACTTTCTTCTCGCTGAAGAGTGTGGCGCAACAAAGACCTGAATCTATTCATACTGAGTTTATGGAAACAGACTGGGATGAGGACGACATACTCAGTGAATTGGAAGATGGTGGGAGTTCACCTCGGCACAGTATCGACTCTGTAAGTCACTTGATGCTCTCTTTATCCTGTCATTTCCCCTCCATATTGAGACCTTGTCTCTGAATGCACGACCCCTCTTCTGGAATGAGATTTTCCCTTTCCAGAATATCATTCTCGTCACATGCCAAGTTTCATGAGTAGCAGTAGCTGATACCGTCCCTTACGTGTAGTCTGGCCGCCCAAGTGTGACCACTCTGTCAACCTATGATGAGGTTCGCACGCCAGACCAGCGCTCACTTGCGCGTTTTGAAATGGGCCCGGACCCGATCAAGCCGACTCTTGGCCCAAGAGGCCCTCACCTGTTCCGTAGTTCCATCAGCTCGACGAGCTCAGTGGAGTTCCAGAATGCGCTGTCGCTCTCGCCCATCACGCCCAAGGCGCCTGGTCAGGGTGTTGTCGAGTTCCAGCTGCCCATCACCTTTGACATGGACCTGCAGACACCAAGAACGGAGATACACACCGGACCGGTGCGGTTTACCAGCGCGAGGCTGGACACGGCAAACCTGGCCGAGTGGGCGCCGGAGAAGGTTGCGCAGTGGATGCTCAATGCTGGCGTTGAGCAGCAGTTTGCGGAGAAATTCATCGAGAACGATATCAACGGGGCGATTCTGATCACGTTGAAGTTTGAAGACCTGAAGGAGCTCGGCATCGCCTCTTTTGGGGTCAGGACCAAGGTGTGGGAGGAGATTGCCAAGATGAAGGACATCCGCGCCGCGTCTCCAGACCCGGAAACGCCCATCGAGGATGAGCCGAGCAGGGAGGTGAAGAGGGAGATGAGGAGACAGGAGCGAAAGGAGGACGGTGGAAACGTGAAGCGCAGCCAGAGCAGCCGGCGGCGCAAGCACCATAATGAGGACACCATCCGGCCTGGCGAGTCTGTCTCCATCGTCGGCATCGAGCAGGTGCTGCCAAAGCCTCACCACTGCTCCAAGGGCGAGAAGTGTCGCAAGTGGCAGAAGCAGCAGCGCATGATCGAGGCCTTCAAAAACGACCACCCTTTTGTCAACCTGGACGGCGGTGGAGGCGGCGTGGTCATGGTTGCTGGTGATCCTGGGAACCCTGCCACCGCCAGAGCCATCAGGCCAGATGATGAGGTCGTTTTCCGACCCATCTCAGACGCTGTGCCCTCGGTGGTCGCCTCGTCTGACATCCTGGGCTCTGAGGGTCTTGCTCCGCTCCAGTATCTGCAGCAGGCCACGCTGAGGAACGCCCAGGCCCGCGAGCAACAGGACAACATTCAGCAGTTCCTCGAGCTGCAACACCAGATGGCCGCGGCTGCGGGTGGTAATGAAGATGTCCCACCCACCCCACCCTTCGAGATGCTTCCTCACAGGAAGGCAACGCCCCACAGCGGCCTCAAGGCCCTCTCCAAACTGTCCATCCCAGCGCAGACCAACCGTTCTACTGAAGAGCTCCCTGGATCAGCTTGTCCGGGCTCTGCATGTCCCGGGTCGGCTTATCCTCCCTCGGCGCACACCTTTGGACCTTCACAGCCCTCGTATGCCGCGCAGCAACGCCAGGCATACCAGTCGACGCCATCGCCCTCCCCAGACTCACGCTCTCAGACACCGACTGGGGTCTATCGCTTCGGCACGCCCTTCTCAGAGATGGACGTGCCGGTGACGGCACATTACTCCATGGCGCCCGTGGCGCGCGACGTCTCACAGTCTGTGCCGCCAGAGATGAACTATCACACGGCTACCAACCCGCCGCCTCGCTCGCTCTCTCGCTCTACCTTCCGCAGGCCCTCGTTTATGGCCATGCCCTCAGTGGACGAGAACATGGCGACGCCTATCGAGCCGCCTCGTCGCAACATCCCCTCGCCTATCGAGACGAACACCATGACGTCTCCTCGGTCCAAACAGCAGCGACCTCTGCAGGCACCTCCCCGTGCTGCTTGGCCCTGGTCTCCTCCCGCCATAGGCCGTCAGTTTGAGACAGCCATCGCACCCATCCCCAAAGGACATGGGGGCAGCGCAGACTACTTCAACAGCGGTGGCGGTAGCAGCAGCAGCAGCAGCAGCAGCAGCAGCAGCACCAGCAGCGCCAGCAACGGCAGTAGCAAGCAACACACGCCCAACAGCAGCATCTCCTCGACGAGCATGAGCAACCCGTCTGCACTAGCGGGCCACCCCAAGGACCTGGACGGATATCAGTACCAGGGATACATGAAGAAGCGCAAGACCAAGATGCTCCGGCACGAGTGGCACGAGCAGTACGTTACCCTGAAGGGAACGCGCCTGGCCGTGCACAAGGACCGGCGCGAGGTCGACCGCACGCTCGAGTACATCGATATCGACGACTATGCCATCGCCTGCGCCGGCCTGGCGTCGACGAGCAAGCTCAACGCGGCATTCAAGGCCATGAGCATCCGCAAGGACAAGGGGATGACCAAGGAGGACATCGCTGCCTTCAGCTTTCAGCTCATCCCGCAGGGTGACATGAAGGGCGGCGTCGGCGGCGTCAGGCTCAGGAAGAGAGAGAGCTCGCTGTCGTCCGGCGTGGCTCCTCACCCGACGCACCGCCGGAACGGCAGCCTGGATGACGCCGCGCTGCTGCCGCCGCCGACGCCGCCTGAGGCGTCCAACGGTACGGGCAAGACGCATCACTTTGCCGTTCGGAGCCGTGACGAGAGGATTGACTGGATGAGGGAGCTGATGCTGGCTAAAGCTCTGAGGCAGAAGGGCGAGGGGTTCGAGGTCAGTGTGAACGGAAACATGATCTAGTCTGGCCACTGCTGTTGATGTTCTTTTTCTTTGATCGTTCATACTGTTTTTCTTCGGTGCATTTGCATTCTTATTGGCGTCTGCTCATCATGACTTGTTTCTCTTTTTTCTTTGTTATCGTTTTCCATTTTACTTTTCTATGCTTTCTTTGCTTCACATTCCATATACCTTTTCTCTTCTCTTCTCTTCTCTATGCCTCACATTTGATACGACATGATACCGATGATACCTTTCTCGTCCTTTTTTTCTTCTTTTACCTCTTTTCCTGCCGCACTGAGTAGCCGTCGTGTGTATACAGGCACTCGAGTCGGGCTCATTTTCATTCCATTTCTGAAGAAAAAACCCCCCAACATCGGTGGGATATGACTTTTTGTTATGAGGCTTGGGACACAAAAAAAGAAGACACAATCCGCTCGCAAGATGCAATGGGAGAGATTTTTTGGGGGATTTGTTTTTTTCTTCTTTTTCTGACGACTGCATGACATTATGGAAGCGGGGGATGACAACCAACTTACCACACTCTTTTGATTAGCATTGGGTACTTCTGAGTCAGTTTGATAGCTACTTAATCAGGACATTGTCATGTTTACTTTCAAGTATGTTGGCAGGTGTGACGTATTCTTAGTGTTCTAGCGTGTTGGTTCTTTCTGTCATTGATGTACAAGGTATATACAGTGGTAAATGACATCAATATAAAGCCATCGCATCATTACTGATGGAGTGCAAACCTTGGCAGTCCGACAACAACTGTAGCCACGATATTACTAGATGAACACAAAGGTTTTGAAGAAGAAAAAAAAGTATAGACGTTGCAAGAAAATGTATTGATTCTACCCAGTTACGAGCCAATGCTTTCCTTCTCTCCCTCTCTCTCTTCCTTGACTTGCGAGCATATCGCGTGTCTAGCTCTCTTGATGATTGCTTACTCAGGCCGGACCTTCGATGGACATTATAGTTTGTAGAAGATGTAGCTGGACCTTGCCATCTGCTCCAAGAGCACATGAGGCAGGCAAGAAGCCTGATGCCTCTTTTTTCCTAATGATAACGCCTACATCAAAGTGACCTATGAATTCTCCATACCTATCAGAGGCTTTTCCAATCATATAGACGCAACATTATGCAATTACATAGGTAGATTGATACATCCCATGCGCCGTTTCCAAGTCTAAAGGAACTGAAGCCGGTCCTCGATTGTGCGTGTGTGTGTGGCCCGCGCAACCCACGACGCCCCTTCACCAACACACTCCCACGCGTCCCTTCTCCCCCCCCCCCCCCCCGGGATCCCAACCCTCCCCTCCCCCCCAAAAAAAAACCTAACTACTGCTTCTTCTTGGTCGAGCTCTTGGCCTGCTCCTCCTGCTGCTCGATGAGCTCATAATCATCCAGCTCCTTCCGGTCGGCATACCACTGGCCGCCCTGCAGGACCAGGACGCCGACCAGCACCAGGGCCAGGATGGTATTGCTGGCGGCCATGACCTTGAGGCTGTCCTCGCGGCCGAGGACGATCTCGCCCGTCAGGGGCCCCTCGTGCAGCTCCTCAAAGCGGCCCTCGGCCCAGATGTCGCTCGAGACGGCGCGCAGGCCCTTGACGATGTTGGCGACGTAGACGCCCACGCCGATCAGGTACATGACGAGCGAGGCGCCGTCGAAGAGCATGTTGCTCTCCGAGGGCCGGAACAGCTTGATGAAGAAGCCCAGGAAGCCGACGGCCACCATGATGTGCAGGAGGCGCGCGATCAGCGGCGGGGACTGGTGCATGAACTTGAGGTGCGTCTCGAGCTGGTCGAAGAAGGTCGGCGCCACGGGGGCGGAGGTCCAGAGGAGGGGGTAGTCGTAGGGGAACTGGGCGAAGATGATGCCTAGGAAGAAGCAGACGGCTGGAGAAAGGAGGGAGGAGGATGGTTAGCCTTTATTTTCTCTTTTTCCTCCTTTTTCTTCCTCCTAAGTTTGGTAGGCTTTCTCCTGGGAGTTTGGGAGGCTGGTCTGTCGCGGCAGATGCGAACAGCGCGAAGGAGGGAAGAACTCACGTCCGACGATGAGAAAGGTCGCGAAGGAGCTGGACCCTCGGTAGTCCTTGGACCGCACCGTCTTGCTGCGATCAATCGCGAAAACGCCAGACATGGTGAAATGTGGTTGAACGGTTGTCAAGCACCGCTTGGGAGAAGTAGGTCCTTGTGATCTGGTGTAGTAGTTCCAAGCGAACTTTTTTTGTTGGAGATAAGAGAAAGGAGAAGAAGATCGAAGCAGAGCTGCTGTAGTTTGTAGCGTGTGGGAAATCTCGTCAGCCAGGCGGGACCTAATGTCGTCCGTCGGTCTGGATGCCAGAGAGGGCTGATGAATTACTTGACTATTGTTGGAGTGGCTCTCTGTAAGGGTCCCTCCCTCCCGAACCCTTGTGCGACCAGCCTAATGCGGGCGGGTTAGCGATAAGAGCTAAATTGGACCTTACCTAATAACGGTGACCCCTAAACATGGAGGACTTCAGGCCTCCAGCTGAGGCCCTGTGCTGCACTTCTCTATAGTACGCCGGTTTTCTTAGGTAACCTGCTTCTCCAGCGTCAATAAAATCTCCTACAACATGATTTTTCTCAATACTACTAGCACCAATTTCTTCAGTGAAATGTAGAATTATCAACAAATACGTCCAGAACAGCACAGGAGATGCCAAACTTCTAAGGGTTTTCTTTTCAGGACTGTTAATCACTGAAATACTTACTAAGACTTCGCCAAGATACTCTGAATATTAGCGCTCTTTTCCAGTGGACGGTCTAGTCCTGGCGGAAACAAGTTCTAGATCTTCTGTGTCGGATCTTGAGAAGGTTTGCAATTGCCTTTGCATGAATGAATTGCCAGTCATTTCTTGACCAGGGCAAAATTATTACTACTTGGCAGCCAGCTGCGTGTTGTCTGTATTGTTGAAGCCAGAAAGAGAATTGTGCATCTGCCATGCTGGGCCAGCAGCCTCTCTCATACAGTTGCCCCTCTCAGAGAGGTATGGTCATCGTACTGAGGCTTGTCGCCGTGTGTTCGCCAGCTTAGGGCAATCAGGGTTTGGAGCTTCCGACCAGCTGCAGCTCACTGGCTTTCAACATGCAAGCGGTGCATATCTAGGTTCAGAAAGAAAATGTTAGCATAATCATTCCCCAAATATATCAATAGTGGCTAGTGTAGAATGTAAGTTAAGTTTGGGGAGGTGAAAGGTGCCGGAAAGGGGGGAGCGGATATCGAAGAGAAAGTGAGAGGGTTTGAAATACTTACCGAGTTTATAACATCTGGCTTCACATTCTTGGTGACCAGATTACACTGATACTTCTTGTTGAAGACCTTCTTGGTGCGTGATGTGAGACAGGCTGTGTCCTCGATCCACTGTTCCATGAGCGGCTGAGTGCAGTGAAAGTCAACGCAGACCCGCTGCTTGGTGATCTGGAAACACATGTTTGCCGACTGAGGAAGGTTCTGAAAGGTCAGCAGCACATATGATTGACAAGAGAAGAAGGGGAATTTGTTTTTCTGGAGGGGGCTAGCATGCCCATTTTAAACCAAAGAAGTAGTAGTCACTGCAGACAGAAAGACTGTTCTGTGTGCGCGCCTTGCCCAGTCTCTATTGTTCTAAGCTGCATACTCTCCAGCCGGTGAGCCCTTTGTACAAAACTAAAAACAATGCAATTGTGGCCCTATCTTCAAAGAAACCTCCCTTTTGTGGCAGCTGAAGGTGTCACTCCACTGGTAGCATTCGTCAAAGTCTCCCCCCGCCACTCTCTCAGAAAAACATATCAACCCAGTAAAGCCTGCCTCACTATCTCAACGTCTTCTGGCGTTCCACAGACCAGGCCAGCCCTCTCATCAGTTCCCTTCAGCACTCTGTCCAGTATCGCCTTGCCATCCACAGGGTCGATAGCCACACCACCCGCACACTCGATAACCAAGGCAATAGGGAAAAGCTCAAACAGTCGCCTGAGCTTGGCCTTGCTCTTTGCCGTGACGGGCGACACATAGACGCCGTGCCCCTTGGCCAGAGCATGCACCAGATCAGGCACGAGCCCGCCGCAATACCGCAGGGTGTAGCCCTCCTGGATATACCTATTCACCAGCCCCATGTACCTCTCGTCCTGTCCCGCAGCGCGCAGGTTGGCCGGCGCAAAGTAGCGCGTCTTGAACGGCGGCGGCGACAGCTTGACTTCAGAGCGGATGATCTCGCAGTCCCTGGAGCCGTGCTCGTTCAGGCCGATCTCGAGGCAGACGGGCGGCGTGGCGCCCAGGATGCGGATCGCGAGGATGGCGGTCGTGCGAGGCCCGTACACGCCGAGGACCGACGCGATCTGCTTCTCAGAGGGCTGGCCCACCGCCGTGCTCCCGTCCCACACGCCGAGGATCGTGCCGACTGTCCAGTTGGGCGCGATGATGGAGCTCCCGTCGAGCGGGTCAAAGGCGACCGTATACTGCTGCTGCGCAGTTGTCTTGGTCTCATCAGAGCCGACGTGAACAGCCTTCTCCACAGGGTCCTCCTCGCTGCTGGCGGTGACGACCGAGGGACACCTCTCGGCCAGTGTCCTGCGCAGGATGTTCTCGGCCGCGACGTCGACGTTCAGCTGGTCGTCGCCAAACGTGTTGGCCGTGCCCGCCAGCGCGACATGATGCGCCCTGCTCAGCGCCTGTGCGATGTCGCCAACGGCATCGAGGACGGCGGGCAGCACTGATTTGAAGAGGTCGGCGTGCGAGCCGTCTGCTGGTGCGAGCGATTCGAGGTGCGAGGTGAAGGTGCCTGTCGTGCTTGCCATAACTATCTCTGATGTATATAATTTACACTTCCAGTGTGATGAATTTGACTTGGCGTAGGAAATGATAGTAGAAATGAGGAAGAGGAGGGGTAAGTATGTTCTTTGAGGTCAGGTACGAAAACTTATAGTGGCGTGAGTTGGTAAGTTAGTAGTTGAGGTTTTTTGGACGGCGCGGCCCGACCCACAACAAGTTGAGTGATGGTATAATTACAGACAAGACGTCACTCACTCACTGACTCTCTCACGACTCATTCACACTGCTTCCCTGGTGTAATTCTACTAAATTACTATTCCCCAACCATGCTTTCGACACCACTTGAACAAAGGATATAGCAGTATGTACACGTAAACGAATCGAAAATACCCAGAGCAGCCTCCCACTCAACCACACCCCCCCCCCCCAAATATTATTCTTACTTAACTTCCTCCTCATGCTCAGGACAAAGTCCCCAAGCAGGCTCCTCATGCACCTCAACCCGAGTCGACAAATTCCGCTGCTTCAGAGCAAGAGGCACGTCATCAACCCTCGGTCTTCTTGTCCTCCTTCTCCTCCTTCTTCTGCTCCTGCTGCTGCTGCTGCTGCTGCTGCTGCTGTTACTACCACCTCCCTCACCCTCACCCTCATTCTCGCCCAAGAAGACGCCCCCCTCATTCCAATCATGCGGCAGCCTGTCGCGACACCTGAGGAAGTCCTCCGTCATCTGCGGCTTCCGCTCTTCCCACACCTCACAGGCAAACTCGATCCTGCTACAGAAGACGTGTTCGATCCTTTCCGAGACCAGGATGTCGTGTTTGTGTTTCCATCTGCCCGTCTTCCAGCAGCTATAACAGTATACCGGGTATGTCTTGAGATGACACATCTGAGGTTTTTGTAAACATTGGAGAAAGAAAGAGGAAGTCAAAATCCTAGTACTTGGTTGTTGAGGCAAGGCCAACGACGTGGGCCCAGGGCGCACAGGGGTCTCTCTCTCTCTCTCTCTCTTGTTTATCTTGTGTGGTCCATTTGAAAGTTTGCCTCTCGATTGAGCTCGCCAGAAATCTGCTGAAAACCACAGATCACTCCAGTCGCCGATAGGACATATCCTGTTGTTGTTTAGAAGGCACACATCACTTGCTGTCGATGGTTTGACTGTCTTGACGGCCGGTCCCAAGCGTAGCAAACCATCGATATTTGTCACGTAACTCTGTGGACGACTGTGCGCGCCCCGGCAATTGTGCTCTCCCCCCTTTAACTAAGCATGTAGGGTGACTGAATGTTACGCATAGAGGCGCCTGAGTGACCTGGATCAAGTAATGCCTTTACTTCATTCCGTGCTCCCGTCGTCACCGCCCGTCATCAGCCAGGCAGCTCACCCCTCGGCCTCTCCACGGCTGTATTCGCCGCCTCGGAAGCAGGCTCGCTCGCCTGCATTGCATGCAACCCGTAGCCGGAATACTTGTAGCTCTAGTCCTGGTACGCCGTCGGAGGCACTGGAGAGTACCCTAGTTGTTGGGAGGAAGAAGCTGCCCCGCCCGGTACGGTCTCCAACTTCTGCTGTTTGTCCTGGCCGTCGGTGAACTTTGCTTTTGAGGCTGAATAGGCTGTCTGTCATTTCCACGGGCGCCTTGGCCAAAATAGAGAGGGCTCGGATAGACCTCGACAACATATCTCAGCAACGAAAATTCGCGAGGTTCCCCAAGAAACTTCTGAAGGACTCTTCGGTATTCAAATAATGAGTATGAGCTCTTGTATTTCCAATTTTGTGGTGTTATAATGCTAAAAGTCTGAGTTGAATACTCGACTGCTGACTGGATTAGGTCCGGCAATTCCTGTATGCGCTCCTTTTTGGCCAGGGCGGTCCCACTTTCCCTTCCTCACATCAGCTCTTATGTGTGTTTATAAATGCCTGCAACCCACCCAAAGACATGTACAAATTGAATAAAAGTAGGGATGCAGGCATCGAGGCGGATTGTCGTTTGGGGGCCACCGAAAGAATCGGGATATCGGCGGGGGCCCGCGCTAGAGGTCCGGGAAACAGCAGTGCCGGTAGCCGTGGCGACTGACGCTTCTACAACGTGCCAACTGCGTGAGTACTTCATCGCCTCTTCTTTTTCTCCTCCTGTTGAGACAGTAATATGTCCCGCATGGCGGCTCTGGCATTGCGACTGCCGCCGAGCTTCGGCCCTCTGAGAATCTCCTCCTGCTTCGCTCCAGGTTTCGGTGGCGGAGCCGGATGCCTTCTTCGTTGAGCTCTTCTGAGAGCCATAGCATCCAGAAATTCGCGCCGAAAGTTGGCCGCGATCTTCTCATCCGCAGCTTCGTCAGCGCCAGCCCCAGCTCCCGTGTCTGCTTGGGCTGTAACATCGTACACGTCCACTGCGTCAGGATGTTAGTCTCTTTTCCCCCTTTTCTTTGGGGATCCCGCCTGAACCCTGCGTCAGGAACATGTGAAAAGGAGAAGGGTCAACTCACGTTTGTTCTCCGACATGAGTGCTTCCACCATCTGATCTCGCTTGATGTCGTCACTGGCGCGCCTTTTGCGGCCACGCCACGGCTTTCCGTCCTTGCCGAGCCTGCCATGTTTTCGAGAGTCCTCGGATTCGTCGTCGAGATCCTCTCCGGCAAGTCGCCTCCGCGCCTTCTCGGTCATGGCGGCATTACGCAAGCGGGCTTCTTCGCCCAGATCAACCTCGTGTAACCGCCCTTTCATCGCCGGCTGTTCTCCCATCCTCTTCAGCGGATCGGTCCCGGCTGCCACCTCTGCGCTCGACGAGCCGGGCTGTTGCGACGTAGTTGCTTCGACGTCCTTATCCGCAGCATACCGTCTAGCCAACTCGGATTCTATATATTCCTCCCTTCCTGGGTCAGTCTTTGTCCGGGGCAAGTGTGTCGGGTGCAATGGGGAAAACCTACATATGCTTGTTCACGAGCTCGCCGACCAACCCGACCTGCGGTGCAAAGCGCCTTGACACGCCCAGCTCCACAGCCTCGCCGTCTTCATCGGGAACCAGGCCCAGCTCGGCCTTTGCTTCCTCCTTGGCCGCAGCCTCCGGCCGAAACTCGACACCCTTAAGTCTGGACTTGCGCGCGTTTCGTAGGCGCAGGGCTTCAGCGACTGATAAAGCATTTGCTTCTTTGGTTTCTTCATCGCTGCCATTGTTATCGCGGGTAGTAGCTTCGCCGTCCTCCGTTGATGCATGAGGTGCAACGTTTTGGCTGGTTGCATCACCGGTCGTGGCCCCATCGTTCTCTTCCGGGCGGTGCCTGAAGTGCTTGCGCTTCTTGCTTGGTCGGAAGACGACCTGCGATGGATTTGTATCAACGGATGTGGGTTCCTCCATATCGAATGGCGATAAGTAGGCGAGGTTCTTGATGATGACTAGAGGTGATTTTCTTTGGGAAGTAAGGAAGTAGGGGCTGATTCCATCGAGACTGGGGGGTGAAGTAAGCGAGATCCTTATCTTATCGCGAAGTTGCTATAGTACTAGTACTATGTACTTTAGCGCAAGCAGCAGGACTAACCCTAGTCTCCAGTGACATCAATGCTTTGGGCTTTGTCACTGTCAGAGGCGAAGTTATACACAGTTGAACAAATCACAACCTGAAACAACTCCCCAAGAAGAAATCAATTCACAATACCAATCAATACCATGGAGGATTCAGGCAGCACATCTCAAAAGAGGATTCACTACACTGTGGAGGGGTCAGTCCAAGGTAAACACCCTGCCCATTAATGCATCCCTAGATTGCCTCACACTTACATGTTCTTCCTGGGAAAAGGCGTTGGGTATAGGTAGGTTAGTTCATATCATGCATATTGCAAGCTCTCTCTGACAATATTTGTATCAGGTACTTTGCTAGGAAGCATGCAACAGCCAGAGATATCACAGGCTGGGTGCGCAATACACCTGATGAGAAAGTAAGTCATGCAAACATTCCAAAGGCTGAATTAGCATATCCTGACATTGGCTTTAGGTTGAGGGAGAGGCACAAGGTGATTTGAGAAAGATTGCCGAGTTTCTCAAAGATCTGAACAGGGGCCCTTCCCATGCCACTGTGAAGAAGGTAGACCATGAGCACCGAGATGTTGTAGAAGGTGAAAGAGCCTTCGAAGTCCGACACTGAGTGGGTAGTCGCATTTCAGGACCAAAACGGCAAGATAAGAACGAGGAGACAACAGCAAAAAGAAACGCATACGTAGCTGGAATGGGTGAATTGACTGCATTATCATGATGTGATATCCTGTAGTCTAGTCCACACAGAGACCGTCAAAAGGAACTGCACTCGTCATGTTTATTCTTCTTCCATGGATTCGTCCTCATCCCCGCCATCGTCAGAGTCTTCTTCTTCTGCCCCCTCGTCCTCATCAGACTCGCTCTCGTCATCAGCGATTCCAACAAGCCTCTCCTTGACATCCTCGTCGGCCTCGGCAGCAGGCATCTTTCCTGCGAAAGCGCGGCGAACAGTGGCATTTGTGCTGGTGTCCCAAACGTGCATCCTTCCCTTGCTACCAGCCACTGCCAATCTGAAGGCGACCTCAGCGTCTGGCCCGAAAGTAGTCGAGAAGACCTTGCCCACATCCAGATCCCGTGACACCACCAGTGCGGGGCCAGTTTGTTGAATATTCCACAGCTTGACCGTCTTGTCTGTAGACCCCGTTGCCATGAAGCCAGGGATCACACTGTTGAGGTCAAAAGAAGAGACAGACTGGTCATGCGCTTGCAGTGTCCACACAGCCTTGCTCTTAGCTGGGTCTGAAGGCGCGTTCCTCACATCGTAGTAGTGAATGACTCCGTTCTCGGTAGAAACGAAGAAGAAATTGGGGTTGTGAGGATCCCACCGCACGTTCTCGACATCACTCTCCACGCCCCATCTTGATGGCTTTGCATCTGGTGCTCGCATGTCGGCGGCGACAATCGTCCGATCATAACTACCGCTTAGAAGAACTGTCGACTCTACCGAGTGCCATGCTAACGAGCAGACCTTGTCGGTGTGGTAGCTGTATGACTTGGCGCACTTGGCAGTGTTTAGATCCCATAGCTTGACCGTCTTGTCGGCCGAAGCTGAGGCCAATAAGTTTCTGTGTTTTCGGTTGGCCGCCAGTGACAGAACTGCGTCCACATGGTATTCGTCGTTTGCCCTCTTGGACTTCTTCTTCTTCTTCTTCTTCTTCTCATCCTCGGGGTTACCTCCCTGACCCAGTATGGCGTTTGGGTACATGCAGTCCACCGTGTCGAGGTCCCACAGCTCAATATCCGGGTCCATCGTGCCAATCGCGACGAAGTTTGCTGCCGCGTCCTTGTCGACGCTTGACCTGCCACAGGCGATGTCCAGCCACTCGACGCAGAGGGGTATCGCAGGAAGCATGATGTCGTGGTGTACGTAGAGATTGTCGGCTTCGTCCTCGTACACGTAGACCTCGAGGTGTGCCAGCTCGTCCTCAACCTTGGCTGCCAGCATCAAGTTATCTGTTGCAAGAATTTGCAAGTCCTCCCGCTCCTCGTTCTCATCCTCTTCGTCTGGTATAGTGATGTACGGGTCATCCTTGTTGTTGTCGTAGTATGCCAACGATTTGACGTTGCCAAACATGCCCATGCTCTGTGCGACCTCGATGTCCTCCTCCGGGTCGTCGTCGTAGTGCTCAAGGTCGTACTCTTTCAAGTCGTCGTCGATTTCAATACTGCAACGCGGTCAGCACAATACTCTTCTGGGTGAAGGCGAAGCGTCAGGCCATACTCGTTCTTGGCGTCTTCGGACGCCTTCTTGGACCCCTCCTTGTCAGATGCTCCCTCGCCATCCTTTGCTTGGGCCTCTTCCAGGTCATCATTGGCATCGTCCAACTTTAGCTTCGCCAACGACGCGATGCGCTCGAACTCTTCCTCGTCGAAATTATATTTCTGGGGGAAGGGAGCCGCGAAACCTCGCGGCACCCAGGCAGCAGTCGTGATCATAGACGACATTATGGCGTAGGAAGCACAAGTTTGCTGAATCTCAAACGAGTGCAGGGGATGAAGGTTGCGAAAAGCCTTGGGGAAGGAAATTCAGGGCCAAAAAAAAAAAGTTGAAGTCCCTCCAAATCTCCGATAAGATAAGAACGCAGCGGAACCTACTACTGTAAAGCATTAAAGCAGTAGACATAGGCCTAGTGACCCCACGTCTATGTACCTAGTACGTACTTATTGCGTACTACGGTTAAGCTGGTAGAATCTTGCCCTCACACCTCTCAACTTACTTTTTCCTTTTGTTCTTGATGAGAGCAGGATTTAATTATTGAATGATCTCAGAGTAGATGATTTTGCGTAATTGATCAGTCCACTTGTGTTCGTGGTGCGAGAAATCTATCGAGTATTTGACGGTAGCCGTAGCGAAAGCTTCAGGCGGTCGAGCGGCGGTGCCAAATGTTATTACAACATCGGTAGGCTCCAAATTCACGCCACGAATCCTCATCAACTATCATCACTCTTTTAAGAGATCCTCCGCAACACAACAGCCATGGATCGTGATAGAGACTCCAAGCGGCGGAGGCTGAATTTCAACCCCTTACGATCTGATGACCGCTGGGGCGACGTCCCCAACCGAAAGAACGGCCCTCCTCACGCGAACGGACGCTTCTCATCCGGGCGGTCAACACCCCGAGGTAACAACAACAGCCTCTCCACCCCCGAGCCACCGCCCAAGGACGACGAAGTCCACCCACAAGATGAAGACGACACAGCGCTTGACCGCGACTGGTACGCTGGCGATGAGCTGGGCCACGCCATGGGCGACGAGGCACACAACCCCTTCGGCGCCTACGACAGCAGCTGGGTCGAGAGCCAAGAGCAGGAACGCGCCATGGTTGAGAAGCGGGTTGGCCGGTTCGATCGGCAGAGCCAAAAGCAGGTGCAGAAGCAGAAGGACATCGATGCGTGGGAGACGAATCGCATGCTGAGCTCTGGTGTGGCGCAGAGGCGCGGCCAGGAGTTCGAGGATGACGAGGATTCCATGCGGGTGCATTTGCTCGTGCATGAGCTCAGGCCGCCCTTCCTGGACGGACGGACCATCTTCACCAAGCAGCTGGATCCGGTGCCTGCGGTGCGGGACGCCCAGAGCGATATGGCCGTGTTCAGCCGCAAGGGAAGCAGGGTTGTAAAGGAGCGGAGGCAACAGCGCGAGAGGCAGAAGCAAGCACAGGAGGCGACAAGCCTCGCTGGTACAACATTAGGCAACGTGATGGGTGTTAAGAACGAGGACGATACGGACAGCGCGCTCCCGGTCGCGAAAGAAGACGAAGTCAAGGCTGAACCCCAATCACACAAGTTCAGCGAGGTCATGAAGAAGAACGCCGGCGCGAGCAACTTCAGTCAGAGCAAGACGTTGAGGGAGCAGCGAGAGTTCTTGCCGGCATTCGCAGTTCGAGAAGATCTTCTCCGTGTCATCAGGGACAACCAAGTAATCATTGTCGTCGGTGAGACGGGTTCCGGGAAGACAACTCAGCTTACGCAGTTTCTATACGAGGATGGCTATGGCAACCGAGGGAACATTGCCTGTACTCAGCCCAGGCGGGTGGCTGCAATGAGCGTTGCCAAGCGTGTCAGTGAAGAGATGGAATGCGAGCTGGGGAGTACCGTTGGGTATGCGATCCGTTTCGAGGACTGTACAAGCGAAAAGACCGTCATCAAGTATATGACTGACGGCATTCTCCTGCGAGAATCGCTTAACGAGCCGGATCTGGATCGCTACTCGTGCGTCATCATGGACGAGGCACACGAGAGAGTGTTGAACACGGATGTTCTCATGGGCCTTTTCAAGAAGATCCTGCAGAGGCGTAGGGATCTCAAGCTCATTGTTACGTCTGCGACGATGAACTCGAAGCGATTCTCGGACTTTTTTGGAGGTGCCCCCGAGTTTATCATCCCCGGCCGAACCTTCCCAGTCGATGTCATGTTCTCTCGGTCGCCAGTCGAGGACTACGTCGATCAAGCTGTCCAGCAAGTGCTGCAGATACATGTCTCCCAGGGCAAGGGTGACATTCTTGTCTTCATGACCGGCCAGGAAGACATCGAATGCACCTGCGAGCTGATTCAAGAGCGGCTTGATCTGCTGAAGGATCCACCAAAGCTCAGCATTCTGCCCATCTACAGTCAGATGCCTGCAGACCTGCAAGCCAAGATTTTCGACCGAGCAGCGCCTGGCGTGCGCAAGTGCATCGTGGCCACCAATATTGCAGAGACCAGTCTTACGGTTGACGGCATCATGTTCGTGGTTGATGCCGGGTTTTCTAAGCTCAAGGTGTACAACCCCAGAATGGGCATGGATACCTTGCAGATCACACCTATTTCGCAGGCGAACGCTGGGCAGAGGTCAGGCCGTGCAGGGCGAACTGGGCCGGGTAAGGCATACAGGCTCTTTACAGAAAAGGCTTACAGAGATGAGCTGTACATCGCGACTATCCCCGAAATCCAGAGGACGAACCTGGCCAACACCGTCCTCCTGATCAAGTCTCTTGGAGTCAAGGACTTGCTGGACTTCGACTTCATGGACCCGCCGCCGCAAGAGACCATTACGACGTCGCTATTTGATCTGTGGGCGCTAGGGGCGCTAGACAACGTTGGCGAGCTCACCGACCTGGGCAGCAAGATGAACGCTTTCCCCATGGATCCATCTTTGGCGAAGCTTCTCATCATGTCGGAGGCGTACGGTTGCAGCGAAGAGATGCTCACGATTGTTGCGATGCTGTCGGTTCCCAACGTGTTCTTTCGACCGAAAGAACGACAAGAGGAATCGGATGCGGCGCGTGAGAAGTTCTTCGTACCGGAATCAGACCATCTCACATACCTACACGTCTACTCTCAGTGGAAGGCCAATGGCTTTTCTGACAGGTGGTGCACGCAACACTTTTTGCATTCCAAATCCCTACGCCGCGCCAAAGAAGTCCGCGACCAGCTGCTCGACATCATGCGCATGCAGAAGATGGACATGGTCTCGTGCGGTACCGACTGGGACATCATCCGAAAATGCATCTGTTCGGGCTACTATCACCAAGCTGCAAAAGTCAAAGGCATCGGCGAATACATCAATCTGCGTACTTCTGTCACGGTCCAGCTGCACCCGACGAGCGCCTTGTACGGCCTGGGCTTTCTCCCTGATTATGTTGTTTATCACGAGCTCATCTTGACATCAAAGGAGTATATGTCAACCGTGACGAGCGTCGATCCGCACTGGCTGGCGGAGCTGGGTGGAGTGTTTTACTCGGTCAAGGAAAAAGGCTACTCAGCCAGAGACAAGAGGGTCATTGAGACAGAGTTCAACCGCAAGATGGAGATCGAGGCGCAGATGGTCGAAGACAAGAAGAAGCACGAACAGAAGTTAGCCGAAGAAGAGAAAGGCCAGGCAGGCGGGAGCGCGAATGGCGCTAGCGTCAAGAAGAAGATTGTTACATCAGGGGCAGTCAAGAAGCCCGTTGTGAAGAGGAGGGGTGGTGGGATGGCATTTCGATAGGGTTCGCCGTGCACGAATCAACATGCACTTTTCCAGCCCAGCCTGAAAAACAATGTTCCCTCAATGCTTCACTCCCAAGCCCGCGTACCATTTGGCCTGGCCTTGCTCCTCAACGAGCGCCCGCATATGGTCCAACTGCAATACATTCGCGACGACCTTCCCATATTTCGGATACTGCCCCATATCGAGGTCCAGCGACCTGGGTCCCCAGCCATAGAACACCACCAAGTAGAAGTCTACGATGGATAGTTCTCCACCAATCATGTGGCCATCGTCCGACAAATTCGACTCAATCCACTCATAGCACGCGAGGACCTTGCGCCGTCCGGTCTCCCTGATGGCGGCCAAGATGTTATCATTGACGACGTCAAGATCCGGGGCAGCGAAACGGGTAGGTCGGTACACCATGCCATAGCCTTGGCCGTGCAATGTTCCGGTCAGCCATGTCATCCATTGCAAGAATTGGGCCTCGCCCACAGCTACGAAAGATATGTCAGCCTGGGTCTGGTGCGTCTGAATGAACAAATTGGATCGACTGCGGTTCTTCTTTTGCCTAGGAAAATTGATTTCGCTCTTCGTTCGTGACGAGGCTGTGTGTCGGCATATCTTGTGAGCTTGGGCTGACGGGAATACGACTTACCTGACGCTGGAATGAGCTTTCTCTCGGGCACCAGCCTGGAGATGTAGAAAGCGATGGCTACCAGCTCAGTAATGACGATCTCGCCCGGCGCGATATCAGTGGGTCTAGTCGAAGCCTTTACGCCGTCTGGAGTGATCTTGAGAGCCGGTACGTATGCGCTGTGGTGGATAGCACGGTATTCGGCGCTGTTGAAGGAGCCATCAGCGGCCTCTGTAACAAGCTTGGTCAACGGACGGACAGAACAACGTCACCCCTCTTGGCAGAATGATCAAGGTGTTCTCGATGCGTCCTTCAGCAGGGAATGCAAACTTACCGCCACCGTCCGGGCCCGCCACAAGAAGCACGGAGTTAAATGGAAGATCGACATATTTGAGGAGCATGCAGAGGACCAGGGAGCAGGCGCCGTGGGCGTGGAATAGAGTGAGCTGAGGTGCCATGTTGACCGTGTGGATAGAGTGTGCAATCCAGTCTATATAGTGATAGCATAAGACGCAAGGGGGGTGCAGTATCGAAAATGCTTGATCTAGCTCTCCAGATGGGAATATGATTCGCATACACACCGCACCTATTTGTAAAGAATTCCATCATATATACACGATCACGACCTTCTCAAAAGACGGCCATATAATTGCTCCGCGGAGATGTCTACACGTAGACATGTAAACATCTTTTGATGAACTTGTCCTTTTGGTGAATTTGTCATCGAATTCAAGACCGCGTTTGTCAGCACGCCTTGAATCTGACCGCGTCCTCAAATTAAACTGCACATTTAGTCCCCAGCATGATACGTGTTCGGCGCAGCATCGATTAAGATTAATGATCAGAAAACATGAGGATCAAAGTCTCCATTATAATCCTGAAAGGGTATCAAAATGCCAGTCTTATGATGCCATTGATTCTGAGAGGGTTGAGTGAAACAGCTGTGGAGCACGTGATGTGTGCAAATACAGTTAGTTGTATGAATTTTGATACTCCCTAGGTGCAATTAATTGGCTATCATCAACATGTAATTAAGTACTTTTTGGAACATGGCTCTCATTGTCCAAGGGACTGATGGCGCATATTTTGAAAATGGCTTTAGAATACAAGACCTGCCTTCATACTGTGCTAGATACGATGTTTAGGAGGAAACATACCATGGAGTTTAGCATCTTGAATCAAGGTCCTCCTCGCAACTAGCCATACATGACGACGCATTAGAAATATCATATTGGGATAAGAAAAGATATGAGCAAGTATACGTATATTCGAGAACTTTAACCAAAGAACCATGGAATGGAACATAAATCAACCTTGATCATTTGGAGCCCAAGTAGCTACTCGAGAGCTTGGCCACAACAATTCCTATCATCAAACACCTACCTGGAACTCATCTGAGGAAACATCATGAGACGCTCGAAAGCTTCAGCTGCTAATTACATCTTTGAAACCAGAGATTTTCTCTCCCGCAATCCAAAAAAGACGCCGAACAAGCCAAGTTCAGCTCAACAAGATTCTACACAAGGCCGCCGTAGGAGTGACGCAGACGCCTGAGCTCCAAGGGAAGGAAAGGAAGGGTGGAGATATGGGATTGGATACGCAATTATCATCTTTGGCATTAATCAATGTTCGTAGTCTTATTCACAATCGGTGATACATGGCCATGTTGAGAAGAATTGGAAGACGTGGCATGTACAAGCCAACTCATGACGCGGGTTCGTTTTTGAAACAAACCTGCTCACCTCAATGCGGAGCCATTCCTCACCGCATGGAGTTCCTTCAGTCCATAAACGGGCAGACTATGAAGTTTGTCCCGTCTGAAATAATGAACGTGGTCGACCACCGTAGTAAATTGTGCCGAACTGCGGGCCAACGTGATCTGCCTGCCGACTCTGCTTGTCCTCGCCAGACCCAGAGAAACCTCTGACGTGGCAAGTCCCCTACATCATATGCAGTCGTATTCGGCCACAGACGACTGGACAGGAAGGACTGGTGAATTGAGGTCTGCACGGGTCTTGTGATGATTCGATGAACGGTACAACAGATACGCCGCGGACTTGGTCCAAAGCACAGAAGAGTCGATGGCTGACGAGATCCCCACGGATTAAGACCTCGGTAGATGTTAGTCGTTCCATCGCGGGTATTGGGAATCCCATCCGAAGATTGAAACCAAGGCCGTAGCTGAAACGAAACAACCGTGGAAAAAGCTATGAGGCGTATTAATAGTATCAACAGAGGAATACTTGAAATAGCAGAATTTGGGATTGCATTTCTTTCCTTTTTCTCTTCGACCGATTTGTGAAAAGCATTTGTTGGTTACTGACCGGGCTGCGTTGTGTAAACCAACCTGTGTCCTGCAACAGCTTCACCAATGCGTTGTTGCATCCCACCCAGATGGCCCACTCAGATGGCTGCGGGGAATTTAATCATCATATAGCTAATCAATCTCGTTTGCTGCGAACACGTGGCACATCTGCCAGTGTGCGCAATGACGAGCACGTTCAATCCCCTGCACGCACACACAAGAGATTCCCGCCTTCACAGCCCGCCAAATGTTCAATGTTACCACCATCTGGCTGGCAGGTGTGATATGGTGGCAGCATAAAAGGTCGAGAAATATGTGTTCGGTGGTGTGTGTGCAGGCATGGATTGAAAGGCCCGAGCGCGGGACTCTGAAACGGGCGTGATATTACTGGAGCTTGTCCGGGGTGTTTGGTGGCTTGATGGTTGGATGGCTCTCGATCCGCCCCAAAACAGCATCTGCCAATAGCGTCTCTCGTCTGCCGCCGTCCGTTTCATGGGCTGCAGGTAACAACAAAAGCACAGAAAATCCTAGAAACAAACGAGCGAACCTCCCTTGCCGATCACCACCCTGTGGCTCCACCTTGGATGCGCGCAGCTCCTGGCGAATGGCTTGGGAAAAATCCTCCCGCCCACTACAGCTTTCTTTGGCTACCGATGGCCAGGGCGCGTTTGCACTCTGTGCAGGGTAGAGAGGCCTCAACGTGACCTGGCCCCACGCTTTGAATCCGTTCTTGGTAGGCCCAGGCAGTATGGCAGTGTGCAACGAACCCATGGCCCAGGTCGCCCTCTGACCATTGGACATTATCCAGCGTCCAGCGTCCACCGACCAGTACAGCAGCCCTTTTGGCTGTTGGTGTGTTGATTGAGTTAGCAGAGCACGCAATGGGCAGTGTACTAGTAGATAAGTACTTAGTTAGTAGTGATGGCGGGTCAGCTGTGGGCAATGGACGAGTCACCAGGCCGCGAAGCATGGCCCACCTCGCTGTCGGAAGATACTCGATAGGGTTGCAGTAAGCCGTCCCTAGTGCCGCGTGCTGGCTCCACCCATGTGGTCGGGCCACTCACCCCCCATGAACCAGTGTTTGTTAGGCCAGGCCACTCGTTGGTAAGAAATGCGGGCCATGGTCGGAGGTGATGGAGGGCAAGGTGATGCATATACAGAGAGCACGCATGCAGTAGTACCACATTATCCACACACGGTATTGATGATGGTGGTGGTGTGATGGAAGGGAAGGGAAGGGAAAAGGGGGGGGGGGGGGAAGAAAGGGGTGGGGAAGAAGGGAGCAAGGCAGCTGCATCGCTATGTGCACGCTGGTAGCGCCGTGTTCGGTGAGGACCTTTTTGGACGCTCCTGTCTGACCCTTTCTGGAGGCAGATCTCTTGGAGGGATACAAATGCAAATCCCACATGTGCACTATCGGATCACCCTCGAAGCTTGTTGTTTCGAAGGGGAGAGTTTTGCCCTTTGGGTTTACAGGCGGAAGGATGAAAAAATCCAAAGGGGAACTCTAAACCACACACACAGTAAAACCGTTTGTTTCTTGGGCAGGATGCGTGGAAGGGAAGAGAGAGTGGCAACGCTACCCCTTGTTCCTGCGCTAGGTAGCTTGCTTCTTCTATCCTGACCAATCAATAGTCAGTCTTGGTGGGTGTTTGGCAGGGATCAGATCCCCAATTTACTAAGCGGGTTTACCATATGTACCTCGAGAGACGACGGACTGACAGACCGGTTGAAAAAAAAAAATGGCGGAATGACGGATAAGATGCTCGACAGATATTCAGAGTTTTTTTAATCGCTCATAAAGAATAACTTTTCTTCTTCCTTTCTTCCTTTCACTTAGGCTCAGGCTAAAGTGAGGCGATGATGAAGCTCGGTCCGATGAGAAGGGCGGTTGAGTCGTGTAGTTGCTGTTGCGGTAGATACAACAGTTTAGTACAGATCATACTATGGTAGGTAGCAGTAGATAGCAGACGATGGCAGTCGTGCCAGGATGTGGGTGAGTAGCGGGTACGTACCTGATCCCTTGGCCACAAGTCCCTGAAACCCCGACTTCTCATATATATTGGCGTGCGGATGGAAGTCCCGCTGACCCCAGGCAAGTCAAGCGCTGGGTCAGGGCTACTTTGTACCCGAAAAAGGGGAGTGCCACCGGTGGGGACTACAAACCACATCCACCTTTGATCTCCCTCAAAGCCTCGACTTTTAATTACTCACACGTCCCTCCCCCGGATCTTCATCCTTTCGTTGTTCAGCAAAATATTATCCTTCTTCCAGCCAATCCTTACCCCGACGACCAAACCGTCATTCATCGTGCACTCTGTTGTCGCGGTGTTTGTGTGTTGGCCGCATTTTCCACCATATTAGTACGGCTCAAGTTCGACTCTCAACTTCTCGCAGGATTTCGAGAAACGACCTTCCTTTCACAGAATCATCACCAAAAACAAAACCAAGAAACCATCCTGCCGGCCTTTTCACCTGTCCACATTCGCTCCTTCGAGCCCAAGTGACCTGCCCGCGCCCTCCTGACCAACTGAGAACCTCCCCAGAGACGACCAAGACTCATCTGACAACTGAGGTCTAGCCGAAAAGCCGATCTCATCGTTGGTTGGAGACCTTTTTAGGAACCTGATTCTCTTTTTAGTTGCGACAGCGATAGAAAAGACAAAACTCTCTCGGGATCCTGCCCAGGTTAACAACCTCTCCCCACTGGGCCTTTTCCCTCGTTCTTTTACTGGTGGCTTTCGATCTTTACCACCAAGCACTCTCGAGGTGTGCGTTCAGGACTAGTCGCCTGAGATCAATCATTTCTTTCTCCACTTCACCTTGGCCTCACCACCTTCAATACGCCAACACCAACCCACAAAGGTTGCCTCGCTGTACCCGAGGGCACTTTTGGCTATTTTCCACAAAGGACTGGATTCCAACAAAAAACGACAATCATCACTTTCAAGATCACTCTTTGACGTCGGGTCACTCTTGTTTTCGCGACAGAACACGCCATTGACGTTTCGACCCGATTTAACTCTCCCACCTCGCCGCCGACTTTGACGCAGTCTGCGCCCCGTCTCAAGACTCGCTCACACCAAGCTTGAATCGGCCACCCCACCACCTGCCTATTTTCTTTTTCTTGTCTAGGCTCTTGAGTCTTTGTGTGTGTCCCACCTTGGAAGGTCATCTGTGCCCTGTGCGATCATCTAGGCGGGTTTCAAAGACATTTCGGCCAATCACCACATCCGATCGGCTCATCCTGTCAGAAGGTGCAGTCCCTACCCGCAGAGCCACCAACCAAACCTCTTATCACTCGGCAACATTCTGGCGACGATTTCACAGACGTTCTCACTCTGTGACCTTTTCGTTAAGACACCGCACGTCATACGGTTTCGCCCCGTGGGATATTGTCTCGTTGATACTTCGTCACTTTTCGCCTCATCTCACTTGAGACCTCCCTCGCGTCGAGCTGCATTAACTTGCAGATCCCGGGAAGAATCGATAAATTCAAAAAAATAAAAAAATAATTACATTTCCAAGGCTCCTCCGGATCTTTCTCAACAACCTCCATTTCGTTCCATCCAAACTCTGCAAAAATGTCTCTAGCCAGAGCGTTCACCACCCGCCGGGCCAAGGTGTTTGGGGGTGATGGAGAGGGCAGGCCAACCAGAAGCAACACTGTGCGGACCAAGATATCAGGGCCAGTCGAGCTGGTCCACACGACCAACATGCTCTCTTACAACGCCCCAGATATCCGCAAGGGCCCCAAGATCTCAGCACCAACAGAACTGATTCACACCACCAACATGCTGTCATACGACGCCCCGGATATCCACAAGGAGCCCAAGACGGCCACATCCTACTCGTCCATGTCGCTTGGGTCCGAGGGCGACTCGGACCGCAGCCCAACCGCAGCGTCTTCACCGCCAACCAGTCCTGATTCGGCTTTCCCGCACGGCGGTGACCTGCACGACGATGATAAGTCTCCCGTCGCACCCGAGCCGAATCATCTTTCCTGCTACTTCACCCTTCCTGGCCAGACCTCGACTGTGAATGCGCCAGCTGTGCCGGCGATCCCCAAGCGAGCGCCGTCCCACACCAAGCGGTCATTCGAGCCTCTGAGCCGGAGAACAGATTCTCTAAGCCGGAAGGCGTCTGTTCCAGAACGACTGGGCGGCAAGCCCTCTATTTCGAGACTGTCAGAGCAATCCAGCCGGTCCGTTTCTTCCAAGGCCAGCGGCACCTTCTCCCGTGCCTCATCGAACTCGACCAACACCACGGCCAGCAGCCCCCACACCAGCAGCGCCTATCACGCACAGAAAACCTCGGCCAAGATGCCCCCGCCGGTCCCTGCCGCGCTGTCGTCATCTTCTGCAGCAGCCACGAAGGAGCCATTTGGACACGAACTGGCGCAGGTCACGGAGCTCGCTGAGGAGTTTGCTCTCAAGGCTGCAGACAAGAGCCGTGCTATTGCTACGCAAGAGGAGAAGGACCTCGCCTCTCGAGGGTTGTACAAATTCAGCCCCGAAGAGTACGTCTCTGATATCCAGAGTCTGTTCAGCACCTTCTTTGGTGGCGAGGCGAGGCACGTTAAGACCGTGGCTCCCCAGTGGATCTAGACTTTTGTTATCGGAGGGGACGGCATGCACTGAGCGAGGCCGCGCCCAGGATACCTGGTTCCAATCGGTTGGAACACACTTGCATCGGTGCGAGGGTTCAGGATATTCCAAGTCATGCAAGGGAGAAAGGCGTCCTTGAAAACTTTGGTCACTGGGTTGCTATTCAATTCTTGTTTTCACATTATTCCCCGTGCCCCTTGAGGCAGCAGAACAACATTTGGGTGTCAGGACATTGTTCTTATTTTCTAATCCCTCCAGTCACTCTTTCCTGGAGATATTCTTTACTACATTCTCAACACTCCCTACAACGTTGTATTCATTCACAAACTTTTGTTCTTTTCTTTTCCCTTCCTTTTATTATTTTTTTTACTTTGTTCTACACTTATGAGATACCAAGGGGGGACAGATGAAAGAAATTGGAAGGCACGAGGTCTTGAAACACTTCAATTCCATAGCAGCATAGAGACTGCAGGTTTTATTCCTAAGATATTCCATGAATCAAAGCTGGATGATGAACGCATACCAAATATTCATGACTACCAATCGCATGTGACGTCCTGACTGTTGACAGATGACATGGTTGCAATAGATCACAGGACAGGGAACAAAACTGCCAGGGACACTATATATGATACTGGCGATCTGCAGGGCCATGCCCAAGTTTTGAAGTTCATGCACGCGGATCCCCGTTCGCCTCGACATAGATTTAGCTGCTGGGGCCTATCCCTGTCAGCCCCCCTTCCTGGAGTACTGTACTAGGAAATCTACTTATGTACTCCAAACAAACGTCGTGGGGCACCGAACAAGGCTCGCCTCACTTGTTGCTGCTGGGCCTAAGGCTCTCCAATCTCGCACATTCTACGACATCCTTGCTGCTGCTGCTACAACGCTTCTTCCTCATTGAGGTTCACATAAGTATGCTTACTATATAGCATAACAACCTTTAGTGTGCAGGGTCCCGGGCGGGCCACGCAGCATACATACTTAAAGACGGCCCTTGGCATGGAAGTGGCCGCAAGGGGATTTTGAGAACTTCTCGAACCACAGGGGATCTCGTGCTGTAGTGTCTTGTACCCCAGATATGCTTGATTTGTGGTTTTGTGTGAACTGTTGACCGGGGCCGGCATTGAAAGACAACTTTATTCGTGAAGCTTAATCTTCTCAGGATTTGTTGGGACAACGGTATTACCTCCGGAAGGGTTTCCCGGCTGAGCCTTTCTTTTCTTCATTCTTTAAAATTTTTTTCCTCTTTTCACTTTTTCCTGGTTTTCATTTCATGAGCGCTTATGAGCCTATGATTTGGAACGTTCCAGGTTGATGACCCCGGGCAGAACCCCGCTTGGCGTCAAGGAGATGGAACATCTTCACTCGAAGGCTGGGGTAGAGGACCCCGGCCCAGGTGCGCCACGTGTCTTGGTTCTGGGGTTCCGCAGAGCTACGTCTGTGGCTGGAGCAATCCATTCTCGATGCACGTGGACTTTCTGTAGGCGGATGCGCGAGATGGCTGTCGTACTGCAGAGCAGCGCAAGGATGCAGTCTCATTTCTGTGTGACGTGCATACAGCTTTTGTGTGAGCTTTGGGAAGAAATGGGTTTGTGCCGCCCACTCCGGAATAGAGAGAGGCGTTAAGAGGCACAGGAGAGTGGTAGGTCAACCTGCCCAGTGTATCCGTTCTCGGTCTATTTTCATCCTATATTGTAGTTCCGACGCCGATAAACTCCATGCCATGATCAAAGAAGCACATATAAACGCCTTAAAAAAGACAACCCTCCTCCAATGCTGAATTCTTCCTAATCTATGACACTCGAGGGGGGGGGGGGTTGTCTCTTTTGCAAAGAAGACACAAGTTGCTGGTCCCGCAGCTCCGTAAAAGGTCTCAAGAACATCTAGTCCAGACCGTATGAAAGCCACAACCTCAGCCCAAGCAGGCTACTCGGCTCGCCGGCTCGCGGCGTCCAGGAGCTCGGAGACGGTCACCACCTTGTAGCCCCTCCTCTTGAGCTCGGGCAGCACCTTCTTCAACATGGGTATGGTCCAGCTCCTCCTGTCGTGACACACGATGATGCCGCCGTCCCTGGCCATGCTGAGGATATGCCATGCGTTCAGCCACCAGTAGGGGACCTGAGGGTCATGTGGGTAGACGCTGCCCAGCACGAGCCTGTACCCCAGCCTGCTGACCATAGCCCGCATCTCGGTGCTGAAGATCCCCGACCCGGGCCGGAAGTACTGATGCCGCGGCCCCTCCGGCCGGCCGGCGTCCGCGTACGCCTGCCGTATGAGCCCCTGCACGCGCTCGATCTGGCCCTCGAGCACGTCCAGGTCCAGGCCGCGCGCGGCCTCGTCGTGCATCGCGTGGTTGCCCAGCTCGTTGCCCTGCGCCACCACCTCGCGCAGCACGTCCTCGCGGCCCTCGACCTGCCCGCCGATAACGAACATGGTGGCGTGCGCGTCGCTGTCCTCGAGGACCTGCAGGATCGCGCGCGTGTGCTCGGACGGCGCGTCGTCGATGGTGAGCGCTATGTACTTGTCGCCACCGTTGGGCTTCGAGGAGGAATGGGGGATCGAGACCTCCCAGAGGACGTCGGGCCAGCGGTGCTGGAAGTAGCGGATGAGGAGCCGTGGCGGGCGGTAGATGATGTAGAATGGTAGGAGGAGGAGGAGGAGTAGGAAGCAGAGCAGGAGGAGCGTGGCCATCCTGTGCCGACGGGCGCGCCGCTTCACCTTGGAGGGTAGGCGGAAGAGGGCGGAGAGACGGATCATGTCATTTGGTAAGTAAGGTCGGCGGGGCAGGGGGGGGCGGTGGGGAGGTTTCGTTGCAATAGAGGGGTTGGTTCGATTTGAGGCTACATCTGTATATGTCAAAGTCGGATGCAACTCGAGGTTGTGGGGTGCTGCAATTTGAGTGTGGAGGGTTTGTACGTGACGCAGCAGATATTGTTAAAGCTTTGATCGAGACGTGTTGAAAGGTTGTCGATAAGATCCTCAAATTGAAAACGATTATGCAATGTCACCCGTCCAATCTATCTTAGGCGGGTGGCCTGTGCTGCACCGCGCTGTAAGTGCCGGGTTGCGGGGACCAGGGCCCCGTTCCGGTAGTCCATTTAGTTTACCTAACCCCTGAACGTTTTCAGCTTAAGCAGGAGTACTCGACGACGTAAGTCAAAGGGGGGGGTTTTGGGCCGGGGTAGTTTTGGGCCACCCTGGCCACCCTCGTCAAATACACACACCCATATATATATATACTGTTTATCTATTCTATTCACCCACCACGATGCAATCCTCCTCATCAGTAGGTAATTCGACATCGCTCTCTTCATTCAGACTATCCTCGTGGCGATTGGCCGCGTTTTGAGCTCTCTGTATATCCTCAATCCCTGCAAACTTCGAATTCGGATCCATATCAACCTTTCTTCTTTTACTAGGCCTCAGAGCCTCAATCTGCCTTTTCAACGCTTTATTTTCCTCCAATGCCTTGGCAAACTCGAGGTCCCTCTCCCCATAAGCCTTTTTTATCTTCTTGAATAGCATACGGCGGCCTGGTTCCGTTCGAAGTTGTTGTCGATTCTCTAGCAGCTGATAGTACAGCTGTTTAGCCTTTCGAGGAGTTGAAAAGAGGACTGGCTGGCTTGAGGAGGCTTTTGGGGAAAGACGAGGTGCTGTTGATTGTGCTGAGCCTGAATTGGACTGGGTCTGACGGCTTGGTTGACTGTTCTCGAGGAGAAGAGGGCTCAAGAGGGCTTTTGAGGGTCTGAGAGGCCACAGACCAGTTGCTTTCCATCCAGATCTAATATTCTGGCTTGAAAGGCCTTCCAGTCGAGCCAGACGATAGTTGCTGAGGAATAAACGCTTGCCTGCGATAGTTGAATCGCCCCATTGGCCCATATTGCTGACTTTCTTTCTGTATGCCCGTTTGAGAGATGAAAAGACCCCTAGATCGAGGGGTTGAAGAACGTGAGAGGTATGAGGAGGCAAGTAAATAAGCAGGATATTGTTTTGGAAGCAAAGCCACATAAACTCGTCCGTTTTATGGCTGCCATGGCCATCCAGGACTAACAGCCTGGCTTCTGAGGGGTCTGCTGGCTGGCTATGAGGAATGAAGATCTCTTTCAGCCATTCAACTGCCATTTTATCGTTTGTCCATCCGTTTTGCGTAGCTGTAAACTTCCAACCATCAAAAGGCTCCAAATCAAGAGGAAACCACTGTTGTTGTACCGTTTGGCCCTTGAAAATCACCAGAGGGAAGAGGTAGGCACCTGTAGCTGAGATACACTCGAGGAAAGAAGTCCAGGCTTTTGATCCAGGGTCTTTCCTTTGAATTGAACGCGAAGAGGAGCCTCCGAGAACTAATCCATTTGTTCCTTGGCCCTCCATCAGGCCAGCTTCATCCATATTCCATCTATTAGCTGGCTTAATAGCTTGGATATGAGGAAGATTGAAAAGACGAAACCAAAGCCGTATTACCTCTGTTGTAGCCCCATTCGTTCATTCAGAGGCAATGCGGCGAGTCTTCCTGACCTTTATCTCTGGATTTCTCTTCAAAAAAGCCTGAGTCCATTGCACCCCGAGGGCCTGAGAGTCTCCCTGGACCTCGAGGATCTGCTGAGCAAAGTATTTGAGTTCTGAATGGCTTGGTGGAACGCCTAGGCTTTCTTGAATCAGGATCCATTCGGCTAGTCTTCTTTCCTGATCAATAGAGAGCCTTTGCTGGTTTTCGTGGGCTGTTTTATGCGATTCCCCTCCTTCTAGGCGAGCCTGAAGAGTACTCCTTGGAATACCCCATTCCCTCGAGGCTTGCCGCTGAGACTTGCCTTTTCTGACAGCCTCAACGGCCTGGGCTAGCTCAAACTCGGAATAGGGCTTCATAACAGTCAGATAAAGGTTTGCTGGAAAGATGAAGTTGTTTGGATCAAAATTGGTTGAGTAATAGCTATCAAACTAAAGGGGGTTGAAGAGGCGGTGAGGGTGGCCAGGGTGGCCCAAAACTACCCCGGCCCAAAACCCCCCCCTTTGACTTACCATATAAGTCCCAAGACCACGTACTCGAGAGAGTATCTGGGGGGGGGGGGTGGGGGAGGGTAGTTGCGCCTCAGAACTTCCCAGGTAAAATTGCGAAACCCCCAAGATATTGACAACATTTCCTTAATTTGAAAAGACTATTCTGGATCATACAATTGTTCTTTTTCAGAAAAAGATATTAGAAGAATAAAATATGCAGGTGTTATATGAGGTCCATTGTAGATGCTCGGCATACCTGGACTGTGCTCACTTCCAACTCGCCTCGTCATGAGGGCCCGCCTTCAACGAGGGAGAGAGATTGAAGGACTAACTTTCTGGCCTCCTCATGTTTCTAGTTGTAAAGGAAAAATCAGGGGGGGGGGGGGGGAAAGCCAGGTACCTGGTCAAGGAATCCTCGGGAAGACTTGCTCTAATAAAATAGGTGACTTGGGCATCTTAGTAATCATGAGTACAATCTCTATCCCTTAGGTCGAAATGGTTCATATATGGATCGATGCAATGCAACGAAGTCTACAGCATGAGGCGATGCATTTCAGCCCTTGAGGAGATATCGCATCATAATCACTCCTTGCTTCGTGCTCGAATTAGCTTCATCAACATATCCTGTTAATTACTGTTGCTTTACTTATGATTCTCAAGCCATGTAAATATTTAAGTATTCGGTTATGTTGCAATTCGGCTACGCAGCACATCCAGTAGGCAAATGACCGCATTAATACAATCCTTCAGATTGCACCGAGATCGTCATTTGAACAGTACCAGTGCTGGCAGCTTTGTGTAGTTTCACTTATCAGGTAATAATTGTCTTGTACTGAACGGCTTGATTGAAAATGATCAGAGAATTTCTGTCTGGAGGCTCAACGACCCCTATTGAATGACTGACACCTAACTTGCCTTAGTCAAAGTAAGTAAGTACTTGCTCACACTGCCCTCTGTTTGATCTACAGTATTTTCGTCCAATGCTGATGTACGAGCTCCTCTCTTTTTTTATTTTGTTCCAAATACGGCTGTTCAGACCTCAGGTTCCTCCCTGGGGGGGGGGGGGTTTATAGGAAAACCTAGTCTTCTATGTTGCCAGCTCTTGTGTCGTTTTTGCCACCAAAGCAGGGTTTGTTGGCAATGCTAGCTCCGCAACTCAAAACAACATCACAAGTAGCAAGGAGCATGAAATAATATATCGCATCAACAACAAAGCACACCATCTCACGCCACCCGTCGTGTACGGCGACGCTAATCACATGTTGTGGAATGCTCTCGGATTTTGGGCTGAGAACCCATGCCTGAATGCTGTGGAACTCACGTTCCCCCCCCCCCCCCCCACGACACCACCAGGGAAGTTCATCCCTCGGCAGGAAACTGTGAAATTGGCAGACAACCAGTGTCCTGCGCATCACTGTCTGCCAATCCCTTGGGGCATGCCTCAAATCCCGCCTCATGAGGCACGTGTAAGGCTTGTCCAGGAATGAAATGGGAATTCTCTGGGAAGGGATGTAAAATGTGGTTCAGATAGCGATCTGCCTCCCATCTCGATGAAAGCCCTCATGGTGGTATACCGAAGTCCTCTTTTGCGCGGAACGCTCCCCCTCACTTGACCGACTATGGGAAGCACTCTGACCAAGCGGTTTTGGCCTGCTTTATTTACATGCTAACAACCTCCTCATAAGGCTGCGTTCACCACCTTTTGTCTTCTCCCTTTTGAATGATAAGTAGAGTCTTCGGATAGTGTTTTTCTAGCGGAAGGCATAATCCAGCATTCCTCACCTTGAATGTTGAAGCAGGTCATGTCTCACGCAGAACACAAAAGTTCCAACAAGATACGAGACGGGAAACTCCCGGCGATGTACCGGTCACAACCCATTACGCAGGCGAGGAACACCTCTCGCGGGATGTCCCAAGACATGGCCCAGATGCGGACCGAATCACCGCTGCATACTTAATACTTAAGCTTGTATTAATGATTGCAAAGGGGCAAACAAACAGAGATGTGCTGTGAGGAGGGACGCTCATAAGAAGGACAAGGCCGCCCGCCCACCAGACTCGGGACTGAACTGCTCTTTCAAGGTCTCTGCACAACCTCCTGGGCATTCACTCTTTTTTGTTCTCGACCGCCGTCTTAAAATATTTAATAAAACGCTTAATTCTTCTGAAAAAGCTTTCAGGCTCTACCGCTAAAACAGTCTTTCAAGATGAGATACTCCTCTGCGCTCACCGCCATGTGCCTCGCCTCCAGTGCGTGGAGTGCCGCCATCAACAAGCCTCGCCAAGACACTGTCATCAGTACTATCAGCACCGCCATCGCTTCGGTAGAAGGACTTGTGACAGGGTTCTCAGATGCTTTCAGTATGTGATACGTCTTGATATTGTTGTTTGCTCTCATCCAAATCGGAATGTTTCGTTCAAGGAGCTGCTGTACCACTCTGGTTCAGAAATATGCATAACTCTTTTTGTTTTCTTTTCTCTTGCTGATCAAAGCTTCTAATCGCAGACGGATTGGTTTCTGCCGTTGGGAACACTGTCAATGACCAGACCACGGCAGTCGAGACAGCCCAAGCAGTCTTCAGCGGCAACATTGGCGCGCTCATCAACGGTCTCAACGGCGCAGCGGCGGCCATCTCCTCGGCGACCCTCAAAGCCGGGGGCAACACCGCCGCGGCGATTGCGGGCTTCACCCAGGCCGAGGTCGATCAGCTCAACTCTGACCTGTCGACCGTGCAGAGCGCCCTCTCCGGCATTAGTATAAATGTCGTGTCTGTCGGCCTTATCGAGTCCCAGCTCGGCGCGGCGTACCAGTCCGAACTCCAGGCCCTGGGCAACTCCATCATCACCCTAACCACCCCTCTTCTGACGTTCAGCCAGAGCGCCACCAGCGCCCTGCTCAACAACCCCGTTATCTCGGTCACCGCCCTGCAGAATACCATCAACAGCTTGTCCACCGTGGTCAACCGCTTCACGTCGTCTCTCGGCCTGGGCAGCGTCTTCCAGACTGTCGGCGGTGTCGTGGGCACCGTGGCAGGGGCTGCTGGCTCGACGGTGGGCACTGTTGGGTCTACGGTTGGGTCGACCCTCGGATCGACGGTGGGAGCTGGCCAGGCTGTGGGATCTGGAGTAGGATCAACCGTTGGGACTGTCGGATCTGGAGTGGGATCGACCGTTGGAACCGTCGGATCTGGAGTGACAGCTGGTGTTGGGGCCATCGGTTCAGGCGTCGGCGGTCTTCTTGGGGGCCTTTAAATTTCTTTTTCTCTCGTTTCTTTTCTCTCCGTTTATTCTCTTGACGACGAGACGATGATGGCTTAACAACATTCGTTTGGTGAAGTTGGAGGGATGTCTGGTACGAATCAACATGGATGGGATGGGTTGGGTACTTACTCTTCTCTTCGGCATGGCACAACTTGCCAGGCCGTTCCAGTTGCGCCCATGCGCTTAACCGCCTGGCGCGCAACATTTTGAAATGAGCAGGAACGAATGCTTTGGAAAGGAGATGCAAGCAGGCAGGTAGAAAGAAATATCATAAATGTTCAACACTACCAACCGATTTCCAAATTTTGCTCGCGGACATAGTTTAGGAAAGGACCCCTGGAACCGTTGGACATGACGTCTGACTTGAAAAGACGTTGAACATGTGCATGCGTGAAGATAGTCGATATGCTAGTGTGTATAGGTTACTACTCACCCAGCAGCGAGTATCGACGGAAGTGGCCAAGTGACATGGCTGAAGGCTTGAGGTTCGGCTTGGAATTCAAATATGCTTGGGGAAAAAAATACTTAACAACACAACCATACATACATTGATGTTGAACTGTGAAAGGACCGTAACGTATGATTTATCATAAAGTAACAGACCATCAGCTATATGTCTGATCCTTACATACTTAAAAGTAGGCGAGGCTGATGCAACATCCTCCTGAAGACCCTGGATTTGTTGTTTTTAGATTCAAATCGACGACAAGCTTCATCACGCCGTATTACCCTGTTCACGTGCCTCGTCTCTTCAGAGCTAGGGTTCCGGATGGAAGAGACTTTGCAGTTGTATTCTCGAGAGATTTTTACAATTTAATGCGAAATTGCTAGGCTAGAAGGACGGGTCGATCTTGACTCGAGGACTCTCTATCAATCTATGAACGATATCCTAGGTATTCACTGTAATTACACCAAGCATCTCATCAAGCTGATAAACGTCTTTCTGAGCGCAGATTGCTTTCCACACTCTCGTAAAGTCGACTCTGTGTGCTGCGAAAGATCCGCAAGACCTCATCAATATTCTGCACCTGGCCGATGATCCTGATGGGCACGTCGGTGTCCATCGTCCAGAGTTCCTCGCAGTTGAGGGTACACTCGGGATGTAAGAGAAAGTTGCCCTCTTCTGATCGCAGCTCGACGTGAGCGATGCATGTGTCAGACCGGATTTCCTGGTGTCCTTGCTCTGTGGTCGCAGTCCGCACTTTAAGATGAGCCTTGTCGAAGCGTTTTCCTCGATGGAGGCCTGGACTTTTCCAGGTAGAAATCAGAAGCTAATGCGTTGAATCTAGTTGCCGTCACACGCTGCTCGGCGCTAACTTACCTCTCCTTGTCTCCGTATCACCAAACGAAGCGCGCAATAAGCAAGGCTCCGCTTGGTCATCTTTCAGCCTCAACGACAGCCCACGCAAGACAACTTATTGTCACATGAGAAATGATGATGCACGTTGGCCAGACTTTGCACATCCCGTTGGGGGCCACCGCCAAGTGTACCTATAGCAGCCTATCACCTCACTACGACCACTGGACCAGGGAGAAGAGGGTGGTCGACGGCAGGATGATGACATCAAACTTCCTTACCTCCTTCGATGTAGGGATTGCGCTTGAACTCTGGTTCTGGGAGGGCTGACGTAGGCGGAGCTTGTTGCTTCTGTTTTGTGTCTGGACCTTGTTGAGCAGGCTCAAGAACGACCTGGACAAGGGTTCCATTTTAGACGCGCCTTGGCCAAAATGGGCATGATGAAGAGAGACTCCGTCAATGAGGTGCGAGCGTGTCGCCTGGCTTGCCGCGGGGATAAGGCTGAATGGCCTTACGTTGACCGCTGGCCAGCGGTCCCGCCCAGCGACACGAAGCTCACCTTCCAGTACTGTGAGGCCAAGGGGGAAAGCTCCATGTTTCTCGGCAACACGGATGCCCAGTCGGCCCTCGCTCTGCAGGAGGGGAGAAACAGACTCCTGATTGCGAGGATGCAGTCGCAGCCGCAGTCTTCCTCGCACTCCTACGAGCGCAGGTAGGAGGGTGGTGGTTGGAACGCAGAGTATGCATGGCCCTGCCCGTTTTGAGAAATACACCATTCATTTCAGCCTCAGGCCCTGCCACTGCACTACAACGTTTCTGGAATGTGACGTGATTCTTCATACTTGCTGCCTAAGCATAGTCCTTCTAGATGATCTAACTATATCTCTCACTTTAAGCGTTAGCGACATACAATGATTTCTGAAAAGGCCACGCAACCGTTCTTCAAGTGGCAGCCCTGCAGCCTCCCTTGCATTGTGCATATCTCCTCCTGATGTCGTAAAACAAGCCGGCAAACCGACTTTCCTCGGAAAGAGATGGCGGGCCGATTGAGGCAGGGTCTTACCAACCTGCTGCTGAACGGGCAGATCATGAAGTTTCTGAGAACGTGCTGTTCTCGCCCAGGAGCGCCTTGAAGCCCTGCAAAAGATCCTCCCGCAGATCCTCCCACGCCTCGACCCCGATACTCACCCGCAACACGGTTTTGGCCATGCTCGTGTCTGACATGGCCCGCCACTCGATCAGGCTCTCGACGCCGCCCAGGCTCGTGGCGTGGTGAAACAGGTGCAGCTTGCTCGGCAGCCGGCGTGCGTCGTCGTCCCTCTTCATGACGATGGTGAAGACGGGGCCCCAACCCCGCGGCATCTGTCTCCGCAGCCAGCTCCCCTCGACTGCCGCCTCGGGCTGCAGGCTGGCGTGCTGGACTTTGTCGACTAGGCGCGCTACGACGCCCCCGCCGTCCTGGCCATCCCGCCGCGTCTCGGCGTCGAGCCACGCCACCAGCTGCGTGGCACTGTGGCTCTGTCTCTCGACACGGACCTCGAGCGTCCGCAGACTGCGCACGCCCAGCCAGCCCTCCAGGCTGCCCATCACGCTGCCCAGGAACACCCGCTCGTCCAGGAGGCCCTTGGCCCAGCCGTCATCACGCGCGCGGTCCGGACGCACGGCAAGTACGCCGCAGAGCATGTCGCTGTGGCCACCGATGTACTTGGTGCCGCTGTGCATGATGACGTCGGCGCCGAAACGGAAGGGGTCGAGCAGGGGCGGGGGCGCAAAGGTGGCGTCGACGGTGAGGTAGCAGCCCAGCTCACGGGCACGGCGGGCGTAGTGCTCGAGGTCGCGGGCCTCACCGGTCGGGTTGAGCGGGGTCTCGACGTGAATGACGTCGCCAGGCTTGAGGAGGGCCAGCTGGGCCGGGTCTTCGAGCTCGAGCTGCTCCAGGCCCGTGAGCTTAGACATGAGGCGGACGACGCCGTGGCAGCCGTGATAGCCGCCACTGATGGCGACGCGGCGTGGGTTGAGGAAGACCAGCAGGGCGTGGAAGGCAGCCAGGCCGCTGGCATAGGTGATGGCGGGCCCGCCGAGTAGGGCGGACAGGAGAGCCTCGAGGCGCGTCGTGTTGGGCGCCGTGGCGCGGCTGTAGACGTGCGAGTCAAAGGGGGCGGCTGGGTCGGCGTTGTCCCACGACCGGAGGAGGTCAGGGTTGTCATTGTACCGGAAGGTGGTGGACGTGTGCAACGGGGGCGCGACGGCGCGGTGCGAATTGATGTAGTCGTCTGCGTGGACGGCGAGAGAGGAGAGGGCGAGCTCACGATTGGGAAAGTGAGAGGCCAGAGAGCCAGGGCCGGAGGAGGAGGAGTGGCCCTGAGACTCTGCGGTGGTGATGGCTGCTGCTGACGGGCCGGACTCGTCCACCGGGAGCCCGGAGGGATGAGACGGTGTGCTTGTGCTTTCTGTCGTCATGACAGTATCATGTGCTGTGTTTCTCTTCGAGTGGTTTCTCTGCCTTGATAACTGCTTAGGATGGTCTGTTATTCCTCTGGACTCCTTGCTTGTCTCGACCTCTGAAATATGACTGTGCTTTGATATACCAGCAGAGCGGGCTGACTCACACATGTAAACACACTTGATCTCTTCTTTGGGTCACGAGAAGTTTGAATGAGATTTTGACTCGACGATGAGGCTAAATGACGAATTGAGTTTGCTGTGATCAGCAGAGAGACTCTGGAAAATAATCACATATATTGAAATGGTAGATAAGTGCCCTTGTCGTCTAGAATCTTGCGTACCTTTGCTGTTAAAGTGTGTGTCTAGATCGAAGTGTAGAAGTTGAGATGCGTCGTCTCCGAAATGGCGTAATGGAGCTGGGGAAGGAGCCGAGCCCGTTATCGGGGACCCGGACGGCAGAGAGGAGGGAGATCGACCCCGGCTCTCGGCCCCTTCCCATCAATATCCACGGGACAAAATAGTCAAAAGTCAGTCATCCAGTGCTCTTGCCAGAACCTCGTAAAATTCGTGTTTCCCCTCGGAGTAAACCTCACCACAACCCTGAGCAAGGAGTGTGTCTGGTAATAAATTTCTTTTTATTGCATTATCATTCAATGGGGTACTTCGGAGACAATCATAGGCCTCTTTTCCCTCTCCAGTTGTGGTTTGTATCTTATAATCAGTGTAATTAAAAAAAGAAAAAGAAAGAGACTCGATCCACTCATGACTCCGTGTGTTCGTGTTGTGTATTGATCATGTTGATCATGAGCGAATGTCTTGTCCTGTATTCGTCCCGGCCAGGGTTCTGGAGAATTGAAAAAACAAGGGCTCCCGAAAGAACATAATGCATCAGGGCCCATATTGGTAGCGACCGGGAGAGCTTTGATTGGGGGCAACGTTATTGCACGTTGCTGGTGTTCGTCACAATCAACTCGCCGCCATCTCGTCCACAAGAATCGGGCTCGCTGTCCCTTTGACAATAGCGGCAGCAGCACACTAGGCCTGCGCAGACACATCGGTCATCTCTCGAGCCATGTCCCTGTTGGCGGACCGTGGTCTCTCCATGGCGCCTAGCTCGGCCCCCTGGCTGCTGCTCTGCGCCCGCTTGCGACCAGCCAGTAGCGAGAACCGTGAGGATGTAGGTGATGGTGACGCTAGCGTTGGTGAGAGGGCGCTGCCGTCTTGGTTGTGGTCGGAAAACTTGGCAAAAAACCCTCTCTTCTTCTGTTGCGGGGGATGCAGTGGTGCTTGTTGTTGGGTTGGTTCGGTGCCCTGTTTCTTCTCGTCGTCGTTCAGGCCGACCTCTTCGAACCCTTCGCCTTCGCCCTCCTCGACTGATGTTGGCGTGTCGCGCTCGAAGAGGCGCTGTCGAGGCATGCGCGCGAATCTCGCCGAATCCATGGAACGGCGGGTATAGCTGTCGTGGCTTACAATCGGGGAACGCGCTGAAATATCCTATGTCGTTTCAACCAAGTTAGTCTCAGAAGCATCCCCTGCTCCTCCGCCTCGGGGACATTATGCGCTGTTATGAACGTACAAAAGAGCGGCGGTAAGAGTCAAATGACTCCCGCGAGATCCCAAACGGCTCGATCTCGCCCACCTCGCTTCTGGTGTCGGTCGAGTTGCGCGAGAGGTATCGACGAGGCCATGATGCCTTCTCTTCGGTAGGTGATGGCTGTGGTCAAACAAACAAAAAAGTTGAAGTCAGCATCTAGGCTATGTTGTTCTAAGACGAGAATGGGAACTCAATTGGAAAACATACCGGTAAATATACACCGCTGTCGTTGACCACTAGATAATACGGCAATATCAATGGTTTAGCATGCTTGCCCCAGGCGACGAAAAAAAGGCAATTATGAACAACAAATGGTGATTTTTCTTGGGGATCATCATGGCGTACCGCTCATCTTGTATTCGCCTTTGTCTTGGCTGCGTCGGCTGCTGATGCTGACGGCCGACGAGGCTTTCGAGCCGACAGTGTCGACGCGCTCAAACCCAGGCGGGGTCTTGAGCGCAGGCTCGATGGTCAGCGGCGGGCGCAGAGAGGCCTCGTCTGCTTGCCGCCGCGCAAAGGGGTTCCGGATCGGCATGGTTATGGAGCGGGTGCTTCGGATGCGGCGGGTAAAGAGGAAGGGAGGAAGGAGATTGGAGCTGGTGAGGCGTAATCCAGGAGAATAAATTCACCAAGTGAATATGGAGGAGGAAAAGAGCCTCGGTTGAGTTGAGACAATAAATTGGCGTGTTATGTTTTTCGGGTTTTGGAAGACAAAGAAAGGGACGATGGGCGCTTCCTGATGTGGATCTCGAGGGGAGCAGAGCAGAGAGCGGCTAGTCTATGGGCGGCCCAGATCTGTCTTAGCCAAATGGTCGCTTCAGGCCGTCCAATTTTTTTTCTTTCTTCTTTCTGAATAAACTGCTGAGATTGGTGGGGCTTGTTATTGTTGGAGGTGAATGCGATTGCGGGTTGTTGGTGCTTGGTACGTCAATGCCAAATGGATACAGGAATGGTGATCGCCCCAGGCGTAATTTGGCGAGGGATGTGTAGCGTACGTTTATATAAGTCCAATGATGCGGGAAGCGGGAAGAGCGGGTTTCGAGGCTGAGAACGGGGTGGATTCTTTCGCAAGGTTGAAAAGAGGAAAAGTAAAGGGGCTTTCTTGGAATCCTTCGAGAAGGAGTACGGAGAGAGAGAGAGATTTTAGTAGTAATAGTAATTGGGGGCAGAGGCGATCGGGAAAAGAAAGTCCAATCGACTTCTAATTGTGTATGGAGGCTGAGCTCGGAGTTTGCGTTCAGGTTCAGATTGACTGGCTGACTGACAGACAGGAAGTGGGAGAGAAGGTGGCGCACAGTTTGTTCTTGTTCCTGTGTTCTCGGTCAGTAAAGAGAGGCATGTGAGGGTCCTGTCCCTTACATAAATCCAATCCCCTTGTTCTTTTTTCCTTACCCCTGGCCAGAAAATCCCGATGATCTGATCTCGGGACGAGCCAAGCCAAGACATGCAGGAAGTAGTTAGATTGGCCCCTGTCGAGGCATACGATACCACTAACTAGAGCAGCTCAGGTCGTCATATGCTTTTTTACCTTTTTCCGTTGTGCCTTGGCAAGATGGATAATAAAAGTTGGTACATTGTAAGGGTCGACTTGGGTAGGAGAGGTTGGGCAGGTTTGACAAGGTAGTCGCACCTTCCAAAGTACCATGTCCAAGGCAAGGAAGGCACATATCCGGGGCCACACACCACCCCACAGCACACCACCCCGCCAAATTCTCTCAAAACAGTAATAATCCATTCACTCATCATTATCACCAACATCATTGTCATCATCATTGATTTTTGAGACTTGCCTATCATGGCGTCGGGAAACGGCACGGGATTTGCACTCCGCCTTTCCCATCCTGACAGGTCCCTGAGTCGTTCTCAGCCCGCAGATCAACAACCCCGTCGTGCTAAGTTTGTTTAAGGCCCCCTCTCCCACTGACGCCATGACCTCACTCCCGATACCAGCCCTGCCTTCCAAGGTTCCAACATTACAGACAAGGAAGACTCCAAACGAAACGCCGAGGCTTGAATAGTACTGACGACGATACTGGTCTTGTATCCGATGTCTTGCCTTTGTAAATTTTTTCTTCCTTTGTATTTTCTTCATAAATTACTTCATTTCTCATTTGGTTTTGTCTCCCACCTTTTTTTTTTTTCTTTTTTCCTCGGGTAGAGTCGGGGCACTGGGTGTGGCGCACTCCCTCTCCAGGGCTTGTTGCATTCTTTGTACGGAAATCCGGAGGCACCCGGCCTCGTGATGCGAACCAAGCATCTGAAGCCACATGCAGTGGCAGCTGATGACGCTCGAAACTTGTGGCCTGATACAGAAGAGAGGAGGAGGGGCACACCTCGATGCGTCAATCAATTCATCAGCGAGGCCAGGCCCAGTCAAGAATCAAACCCTCAGAGGTTATCACCTGGTACTCCTTGATAAAGTCTCGCTCTGTTTTCGGCCCCACGGCGGAGAGAGCCTTCAATGTGTGATCCGTCTCGCCGAGGAGGTCTCCCGAGGGAAACCATCACGGGGAGAGGGGCGCGGCCTTCGGATCCGAAGAAGCTCTTGTCCGTCTTGTCGGCTCTTGCCCGGCAGGCCACCAGGCTCTATTCTTCATTCTCTGCCGCATCCATTAGGCCAGGTGTACTTATTATTATTATTTTAATTCTTCCCGTACGCGAGATCTATCCGAGGCCCTCGTGTAAGACGGACCAAAGAACAGCCGCTCAGTGCGGACTGCAGCCCCACTATACTTACCACACACACCGTGTTACACACAATAACCTCTGTAAATTTTCATAACCTGCGTCGCCTGCGAGATTTAACTTTATAATCCTTCCTCGAGGCGGTGCATGCACGAGAATTCTCGGGCTGCTTTCATGATTGGTGAGCCGAGGCCTTCAGTGTCATCAGTTATGTACATGGTCTGTGACCCTTCGAGTTGCCTCGACCCAGAGTTTCCTTTCTGCCTCGTGAATGGTTGGGCCCCAAGGGAAACAAAAGGTAGGAAATGAGGAAAGATTGTGGCTCAAGCCTTCTCATGTAAGGACAGTGACGATCATGGCACATACTACTGCATGAAGACACCGCCGGTTGCTTGTCTGGTTTGAAGAGGCAGGACCAGGTCGTCATCTGAGGCATTCAGGCTGCAGATAAGCCAGCCAAGCCAGCCAGTCAGTCGGTGTGTAATTGGAAAAGGGGGGCGTCTACTGTAGTCAGGTTTTACGTGGCTGACTACACCAACAAAATGACTAGAGACTTGGCTGTCCTGTCGAAGGTTTAGAGTCACAAATGTACTACATTACCATCGTTCTGACCATGATTGATGTTACTCTGTACATACTACACAAGTGACCATCAAATCAGAGTAACACCATGCATGGCAGAAAAAGGAAAGGAGGAGCAAAAGGAGAGGGAAGAGGGCTTGCAGCTTGGCAGATCCCAGCAGTGTGGGAGTGGCTGTCCCAAATCCGGTCATGGAGCATTATTAATCACCTTGGATAGAAAGTCTTCTAGACAGGCGACTGTAGTGTACCTATACTAAAATAACGCGTACAGGGTACTTTCCTCAAATCCCCCTTGCAGGCTCCCCCAACTGCTCGGGTCTAAACCCCCCTAGTGAGTCCCTCAAGGCAAACGGCCATGCACGTACTTGCCCCCCCCCTCTCGCCAGACACGCCAGCACAGACCTAATCCTGCAGCTGAAGGATTTCCTCAGCGGCATGCACTTCTTCAAGCAACCTACAGTCTTCTTTTCCAACCACAATGAACATTGTAAGGCCACGCGGCGCATACACCCCTCCTCCTCCAGAACCTTAGCCTTACGAACCACCTCACTTCTTGTCCTGCGCCGTCCCTCGTCCGACCTACAACTCTTCATCGTCACCCACGATCTGGACCCAAGTACTACATCTGCTACTAGCTCCGCCTGCCCAGGATCCGACGTACCTCTGAATTCTGGACCCACGGGTATCCTCCGTGCATTGCCCGTCATACACTTTCACAGGCACACACTGCACACCCACACCCCCGGGGGGCGGGCTCTCTGGACCAAGAAACACAAGCGCCAACACGCCACCGGACAGACCGAAGACGGACCCGCCAACAGAGCGTCTCCGTCGCCGTCGCCACCGACGGCCCCGTCCATGACAAGCACAGAACCATGTCCACCCCGGACACCGACACCGCCATGCAGGGCTTGGGGGAGGTGGAGGACAGCGTGACCGTGCAGGTCAACGATGACGGCAGTAGGGGAGGAGAGGCGAGCACGACGCCGCCGCAGCATCAGCCGCCCAACAACGCCGGCGTGCCCAAGCCCAAGCGTCTGGCGTGTATGGTCTGCCGGAAGAGGAAATTGAGGTGCGACGGCAACAGGCCGTGTTGTAGTACCTGCACGAGGCTGGGCCACGACTGCGCGTACGACGAGGTCAGGAGGAAGAGCGGTCCCAAGCGTGGCTATGTGAAGGCTCTGGAGGAACGGTTGAGTGCGTGTCCTCTCCTCTTTCTATTACACGACCCCTTGTCTGATCTGGGCTGACGTTGTGACCGGGGCCTGCAGAACAAGTCGAGACGCTGCTCAAGACGCAGGAACCGCCAGCAGCGACCGCCTCCAAGACCGCCAGCAGCAATACGCCACCCATAAGTTCCCGCACCGAGCCCAAGATCAGTAGTACCACACCACCAGTACCGTCCCTCAATGTGCCTGACCCGCCTATCAATGCTGGCGGTGGCCGAGAAAGGGATTGCTGGGACTTTACCGGCGACAACTCTCCCAGACCGCAGCAGCAGCAGCTTGCACCTGATACCTTCGACTTCAACTCGATCAACATGCAGAACAACTTCACCTGGGAGATGATAGGCCTGGGCTTGGAGGAGCCCCTACCTCCACAAGAATCCATTGATGAATTGTCAGGACGCCTGCCCCCTCTCTCTGCCTATGCTTTTATGTGTGGTGTGCCGCGCGAGAGGCTAACGAGTGTTCGAGCCGCAGTCACCAGATATACTTTGAAAAGATCCACCCTTCTATGCCGATGATACATAAATACCGCTATCTTGCGGCTATGAACCTGTAGGTTCCTCATGTTTCACTTGTCGCAGGCTGACGGAGAACTTTGATCATGGCTGACGAGGCTGTACAGAGCACCAAATCAACGGCCACCGGTATGCCTCAGATACGCAATATGGACAATGGCTTGTTCGGTGTCGGACAAGTTCTCGTCTCTCCGAGATTTATTCTACCAGAGGGCTAGGAAGTATGTCGAGGCCGATTATATCAAGGGGTTTGGAGAGCACCTGATCTCGGTCGCCCACGCTCAGACCCACTGTCTGCTCGCCCAATACGAGTTCAAGATGATGTTCTTCCCGAGGGCCTGGATGAGCACTGGCTCGGCCGTCCGTTTGTCCCAGATGATGGGGCTGCACAGACTTGACGGCGGTGGCCTGGATGTGAAGATGTGCATTCCGCCCCCACGGGATTGGACTGAAAGAGAGGAAAGGAGACGGACTTTCTGGATGGCCTTTATTGAGGACAGGTACGCCAGCATCGGCACGGGGTGGCCCATGACCGTCGACGAAAAGGACATCACGTCCAACATGCCCTCGTCGGAGGATGCCTTCGACATGAGCAGGCCTGAGCAGACGCAGACCCTCTCGGAATCCATGACCCCAGCCGGTGCCGGCAAGATCTCCACCATGGGTGGCATCGTGCTCATGGCATGTCTCTTCGGCCGCAACCTTCTCCACCTTCACCGACCGGATGTCGATGATCGAGACCACGATCTGAACGGAGAGTACTGGAAGCGGCATCGAAACCTGGACAACATTCTCCTCAACACCTCTCTGTGTTTGCCGGCCCACCTGAAGTTACCTGCTGGGCTGTCGAACCCGAACGTCATCTTCACCAACATGTGTATACATACCTCGACCATCTGTCTCCACCAGGCCGCCATCTTCAAGGCAGACAAGAACAGATTGCCTGCCTCAGTAAGCTCCGAGAGCAAAGTACGCTGCATCACCGCGGCCAACGAGATCGCCAGCACCATGCGGATGATTTCGCACATTGATCTCTCCACTGTAAGCCGTCATCATTATTACCGTCGTCTCTATGAATATCCAGTCAGCTCTATGCCGGCCAGCTAGCTAACCTCCATGCCTCCTCCTCCTTACTCAGATCAACCCCTTCACCTCCTTCTGTCTCTATGTTGCCGCCCGAGTCTTTGTGCAGTACCTGAAGAGTCGACCTGACGAGAGCCAAACTGCCGACTCTCTAAGGTTCCTTCTTGCGGCGATGGGCGCGCTGAGGAGGCGCAACCCGCTGACAGAGTCTTTCCTGGTCCAGCTGGATGTGGACCTTGAGGCTTTGGGAACGCGCATCCCGAAGCTGAGGTCGGCCTTCCCGCGCAGTACGGAGTCGAGCAATGTAAGTTCATACCCACAACAACAACAACAACAACAAGAACAAGAAGAAGAAAAGTATTCCCCACAACGAACTCGGGCTGATCTGATCAGACACAGCGCGGTCCAACGTCACAAGGGGCTGCCTCGACGCCGAGTGACAAGCAAGCCGTGGGGCAGTGCCTCTTGGGGAAGTCGGGGGCAAATTTGTTTGAGGAAGCGGCCGACGCTGGCAAGACCCCTGATATGCTCGATATTGATCCAGCCCTCTCAAGTGCCCCCCAACAACCCATCCCGAGCTTCAGCTCGCTGAATGCGCAGTGGCGAAACGAGAGCTCCAGGGCAATCCTCGAGAAGATGCGGCAGGCTGGATCCAATGCGAACTTCTTCGGGTCGAGTCTGATACAGGAGCTGGGCGTCGAGGCCACCGGCGACATGTCTCTCTCGCCGGACGCGGCACACTCTTCGGACCGGCCGACGCCCAACTCAAGCACATCTGCCTCGGACCGGCACAACAGCGGCAGCGGCAACCTTACGGCCGCGGGCAGCAGCAGCCGTTCAGGCCGAAACTCGTTCGAGGCCTCCCCGGCGTCCTCGTCTACGAACTTGCAAGGCCAGGGCGGCCGCATGCCGGGCGATGCCGTGCACAACATGTTCGATAGTATACCGGAGGGCCTATCTGGACACGACATGCCAACGGGACTTACGCCAGGCAGACCATTCAGCATGTCGATGGAGACGCCCAAGGACACGACGGGGTCTGGCGACGCCACCGGCACAGGCGACTTCAACTGGGAGAACTTTGCCTCGACGGGCACGGGGATGACGCCAATGAGTGAGGGAATGCTTCGGACGATGCTGCAGATGGGGCCCATGGAGACGATGGACTTGGGATGGGACAATCCTACTTGATCCCGACCGGACTCTTCCCAAGCGGAGCCCATGTTGTTCATTATGATTTTGAAATAGCATCAGTGGACGGCGTTGTTGGTCCATGTCTCTCTGTCAGCGGTACCGAGACATAACGGGCGGTTTGGTACGGTACGTCACGGTTTGGCGATTTTTATTCGGCTGAGGGTAGGGATTCTGATCTTTGTGAGCTTGGTTTTGGCAGTGTGGGACAATCGAGGGCGGGTTCTTGTGCGCATGGACACAGCACCTGGGTAGTTTTTTTGGATTTGGATTTGGATTTTGGCTGGCGCGGACATGACGATCTCTTCTTGCTGCGGTTGCAGCTTGTGTGCACAAAGTGCTGCATATATCAAAAAAGACAAATCTCCCATCATTTCGAGAAAAGGGTCAGGTGTGATGGCCTGATTCCGACTACTATTACTACTCGTTACTATACAATGCTAGCAGACTGAACATGTACAAATGCATGATTTGGCGCGAGGCAGGTGAATAATAAATTACCAAAACAAGACGACATGATTTTCTTTATTCATTAGTACACTAATTTACCATTTATTCCCAATGGGTTCTTTATCCAAGACAAGCATCCAAGTCCAGTCCGTCCCAAAACGCCGGGTATCAAGTTTATTCGCAAACCAACGTTCTGGTTCCTTTGCTTCTTTCTTTTCTTCACTTCTCCTCATTATCACCTGGGGCTAATACTGGGAATAAAGCGACACAGAGTCACTCCGCCCAAGCTCTCCATCATCCGCCACCTGCGCGCCGCGCCAGTCCTGCATCGTCGCCGGCGTTGTGGTCGCCTCTGGCACCCTCCTGCTCGGCATGCGAGGCGGCAGCACAAAGGATCCAACCTCCCAGTCGTCGTCGGCCGTGCCAGCCCTGAGGGTCCCTGTCCTGCTCGGGTAGAGGGAAGATGAGTATGTCGATGACATGGCCGCGTCCTCCAGCTCGTCCTGGTCCTCCTCGCGTGTGGATGGGCGGGAGTGGGGGTGGTGGTGGTGTTGTTGTTGTTGTTGTTGTTGTTGTTGTTGTTGTTGTTGTTGTTGGGAATCACGCTTGCTCGGCATCCGCGGCGGTAGCACAAACGATTCGACCTCCCAGTCGTCATCCTCCTGCTGCTGGTGCTGGTGCTGCTGCTGGCCGGTGCTGGGAAAGGAAGAAGAAGAAGAAGACACCATCGTGCCGTTCCTGCTGCTCGGCTGCCTGAGCGGCGCAACAGTCGACTGCGCCTCGAGACGTTCTTCCTCTTCCTCTGCCTCCATGGGCGACAGGCGGCGCGTCTCGGCGGCGGTGATGTCCTGTGAGTACCGGCTGGCATAGTACGGCGAATCTGACCCTGCCCCTTCTTGTTCTTCTTCTTCGAATCGGTAGTATGGGTTTGCCTCTAGTATGCGCGATCCACGCCTCGACGACCCTCCGTCTGTCGACGAGCCTGCTTCCGACGCGGCGATCAGGTTCGAGCTGAACAGGGGCGGCGGGCTCAAGGCAATCGCTTCTCTGGCGGCGGCCAGATCGCTGTCGTCGTAGCCGTCCAGCCTGTTGTTCTGCTCCATCGCCATGGCGCCACCCCTGCCTCCGCTGCCGTAGTAGCCGGGCGGGGGGCTGCCTAGGGTGGTCAGTGTCGTCCCCGAGCTGAGCCGTTTGCCCGCCACCCCGGCCTGCTTGCCCAGGAACACCGACGACGGCGCCTGCGCGGTCCTCTCGACGTCGTAGAGGTGATTCCCCGTGGTTTCTTTACTGCTGCTGTGGCCGGTGCTGTGCATGGCCGTCGTCCACACAGCCGGGTGGAAAACGACGAGGGAGACGAGAGCTTCTGTCAGCGGGAGGCCCTCGGCGAGGAGCCAGGCGGTTTGGTCACGGGCGAGGGGGCTGCCGAGGCCGCCCCAGGAGGCGGCGGCGCGGTAGGCGCAGCGGACGAGGACGCAGACGGTGGCGACGGGCAGGGCGGCGAGGAAGATGGTGGAGCGGGCGTTGTGGTTGTGTCTGCCGTGGTGCTGCTGGTCCTGGGACGGAGAGAATGTCGCGTACCGGCCGTACCGCCTCTCTGCGCTGCCGGCGCGGGCGTAGGCTGTGGCGAGGAGGCCCAGGGCAGCAGCCAGGAGAAGCGTCTGCAGGAGGAGGGCGACGGAGAGGATGGTCTGCCCTGTGTGCCCGGTGCCGGCGAGCAGGAGACCCCATGGCCCGGCAGCACGGGCGCCGGTGAAGGTAACGCCGACGGCGACGGTCTGGAGGAGGAGCAGAAGGAGGTCACCCCAGATGAACAGGCGGAGGTGGGCGTTGGGGGAGAGCAGGGTGTACTGAGGCCCGAGAGACTCGAGCACGGTGGCGGTTTGGAGGTGAATGCTTGTTTTGAAAAAATCAGTCTTGGATGTTCCTATGGGGAAGAAAAAGAGAGAGAGAGAGAGAGAGAGAGATGAAATGACAATATTCACCTAATCGTGATTAAAACAGGTGCCAGTGTCGATAGGCTAAAATTTGCTGCAAATGTCACGTAGGCCCACGGCTGGAACCGCAGTGCATACGCTGCAATCTCAAGTATATAAGCCACACAGAGAACAGAGCTGAAGATGATACAGCGCCTCGTCTTCAAAGTGATGGCGAGACACGCCGCCAGACTTATGGCAGTGACGCCGAGGAGAAGTCCGTTGGCCACTTTGTTGGCACCGCCTCCGTATGGCGTGTCGTAGACATCGAGCCATTTTGGACCGCTTGGTGAAGCCATCGTGGGATCTCTCTCAACTCAACTCAACCCAGCTCAACAGCCTCCAACAAAGAAGAATCGATGGGAAGAAAAAAAAACACCACTCAATAATAAATTAGTGCTAAATGTTCACTATGAAGAAGAGGAAGTGGAAGAAGGAGAAAGAAGAGGATTGCAAAGAGAAAAGTAGAGAGCCATGCCAGTACGAAAGGATGTGCAACAGAATGTCAACATTAATCCATGCCAGCCCCCTTCACAATTCGGATCTACGGCCATGGCCCTGAGCAGCTCCATTTTTATATACGTCACCCGTCACTAAACCACTGATCTTCCCACAAAAGCTCAGCCAGTCAAGTTGAGTTCAAGCCAAGGAACACTGTGTGTGAGAGTGAGAGAGAGCGAGAGAGGCAAACCTCGTCACCTCGTGTCTGTTTTGGCGTGGGGACCCGCAGTTCTGTGTGTCTCGAACAAGTTTCCCCACGGCAAAAAAAGGTGGCACTGGCATGCAAGATCGATTTGCAGTGCCACCTTGCGGCGGATCCTGGAGGCTGGGCTGCCTCGTCACTGGGACCCACACAACCACCGCCAACCTGGGCATTTGCTGGAGAGCTGAACGGTCCTTGGGTGGCCGATCGGGCGGTCGGGAGCTTGTGTACTATGGTACGTCCATCACCCGAACTGGCGTGACAGGCTGTTTCGTGTTGAATGTACAATACATATGTAATGAACTCGTAGCGGTGCATTGATTTTCGGGAATTTCGTACTATGTACTTCACTTATTGCGAAACCTGTCCTACGACTGCCCAAGCGTGTTGATCGGGAAGAGGGGAGCCACATGTGTTGGTGCCTCTGAAATCGATCCTGCAAGGCTGTGCGTGCCATGGCGAGAGAGAAAAGGCCATCCTGTGGTCAGGCTCGCTCTCTCCACTAGGTAGATGGTTTCAACAATAACTGCCGGACTGCACAGTGACCAGGCAACCTTTTTTTCCTTCCTTTTTTTGTAATACATCACAGGAAGGAATTTTGGGTCCACTGATCGTCTTCCTGGTCATCAATCAACAATTTTTGAAGGAAAGTGATGCCGTTCCGAATCTCGCGTACCTTCGAACAGTTCAGTACTCTCGAAATTCCGCATTCGACGGCTCTACCTCAAACCGCATAGTTGATGCTCCTATATGATCAGTTTCCAGATGGTGAAGGGGGCTAATGATCTTGGAAGCTTTGTATGAGTCTTGCCGGTGAGTATAGCTTTTGCCAGTCCTACTTAGTGCAACGCTGTCCGTGGCAGTACACGGTCGGTTTTTGGCGGTGGCGCTCTTGACTGTGTTATATCGACTCGCTCGTACTGGCGCCCTTAACACAACGCCTCCCGAGAAAGCGGCATCATCGGCTCCTAGGATGACAGCACGCTGAGACGTAAGCTGTAAAATGCTATGCCTGACTTTTGAAGATCGGTGACCAAGCCCAGACCTTCCAGCATATTCAGCAGCACCGCTCTCGTCAAAATTCCAGGCCCATCAGCTCGTCGACCAAGAGACACCCGTATTTATGGTGTATGTGTACCCCTGATGCAGAGGCTGCTGTACCACACTGGTCCCTGAGATTCATTGTTGGTTCATTTGCATTCAATTTCTTTGGCCGGCCATCAAGGTTAGGGTTAGAGTAAGTGATGACCTTTGTTTTGTGGTTTGCAAAATGAGGCTGCAGTTGATTATTCCATGGCGTATGACCAGTTGATCTTGCATCCCGTCATGTTTAAGCTTGCAAGTTTGGAAATGATGGTCAGGTCTGTTGCAATCAACGCGGGTTGCGTCGCGGTCCGTGATTTGAATCCATTTGTGGCAAGGTTTGGAAGAGCTATAAAAATTAGAAAATAAAAAGAGGAGAGAAATAAAGAAAAGAAAAATCGGGTGCACGGACCACCGCGGCGGGTGAGCAGGCACGGCAGGGTGCAGTGATGAGTGGGTCCTTAGAATAGCCGGGTGCAAGTGTGGGGCCAAGAGTCTCGCTCCGCTTTCCCAATGTGCACGCGAGAAAAGAAAAGTTTAGGAAGACGGGGGCAAGAAGAGAGAAGAAAAAAAAAAAAAAAAAGAATAGCCATCCTCACCTGCAACACACGCTCAACTCGCATCGATCGTACAGGATCGTCTTCCGATACAACTCCCTCCAGGAGAAGGCCTACCATGTTCCATCAGTCTTTTCAAACATTAATTACTGCATCACTCAACACCTTTCACTTAGCAGCTTAACTCGAGACGCTGCAGAAGGGAGAGAAACAGAGACGGATCAGGCATCCTCCCGACACCAGCCACTCACCTTTTCGTCACCTTGAATACTCTCAGACATATGGCGACCGAGACTCCGGTCAGAGTACAACGGCGATCATCGCCAGCCGTCAAGAGCTCCGCCCTCAAGGGCATCTTGAGGTCCGGCCCGGCGAAGCTGAGCCACCGCCCGCGCGAAGGCGACGGCGAGGCTGCGAACCCTTCTCCAGAGAGCCCGACCAAGCGCCGCAAGACCGTCGTCTTCGATATGGAGTCTAACACAGTACAGAGCATCACGTTCCAGACGCCAGACGAGGTCAAGAGAAAGGCGGAAAGCGCCAAGCAGGTGGTCCTCAAGGCTCTGAAAGAGCACGCTGGGGGAGACCAGGAGGAATACGATACCCTGAAAGGAATCTTCCGCAACGAGCGACGACGGGGATCCAATACGCCGACCTCGAGCCAAGCCGAGGACGATGTCGAGCCGTCAGACCTGATCCACTACATCAACGCCCTCAAAGCATGCGCTCCTCACATTGGTCGGTCGTGCACCGGCCTGGTTCACGAGGTCCTCAGCATACCGTGGCTGGGACGGCCCGACGATTTTGTCACTGCCTACATTGACTTTCTTGCAAACCTGGTCACCGGCCAGTCCATATATCTCAGCAATGTCCTTGCCATGCTCGTCGACAAGTTTCGCCATTCCAAGTCGTCGCAGTGGGCCGTCAGTGATTATCCCGAGGTCAGCTGCCATATCATGCGGCAGCGCCTCCACTGTGCCTTGGGCCAGGTACTGCAGCTCTTCCCGGCCGCGAGACGGGTGCTGCTCTCCCAGATCAATAAGGAGTTTCCTTTCTCCGACGACTCGAAGCCCGTCCACATGGCTTTTGTTCAGAATCTGCTGCGTCTACGAGAGTATGCGCCAGACATGGGACCTGAGATTATGGAACTGATCACGGACCGACTCGTCAAGGTAAGCACTTACATTACCGTCATTCTTCCAAGTTGGGGGGGTGGGGGGGGGGAGTGCTTCACTTTCTTTCTAGTTTCTTTCCTTGCGCTGACGTCTCCTGCAGATCGATGTGCAGATCCAAGTTGACCTCGACGAGGCCGACGACGAGGTGGCGGCCGGCGTGATCAGTCAGCTCCAATCCTCTAGGATGGACGACGCCAATGAGGACGATGGCAGCGACGCCGAAAGTGTTGCGAGTGACGAAAGCGACGACGGACACGAGCTGACTGAGAAGATATTGAAAGCTGCACAGCATATTCAGAAGATGGACAGCATCATGGACACATTATTCCGCGTCTATGAGCCCATATTTGCCGACCCGGACTCGGACAGGGCCAGAGATCTCTTCGACAACATGCTCTCGGAATTCGTCAACATCGTCCTCCCTACATACTCGAGCCGACATACACAATTCCTCATTTTCCACTTTAGCCAACTGTCAGAGGACTTGACGGATAGGTTCGCCGGTGTTCTGCTCGATATTGCATTCGGAAATCAAAACTCCATGGTCACGAGGCAGAACGCCACTGCATACCTTGCCAGTTTCGCTGCTCGAGGCAAAAAGGTACCGGCCGAGTCTGTACAGACGATATGTACAGTCCTCATCAAGCATATCGATTCCTACCGACACAGACATGCAGGGACGGCCCGGCCTGACCTACGAAGATTCACGCCCTACTACGCTCTCTTCCAGGGCCTGCTCTACATATTCTGCTTCCGATGGCGCGACCTGGTCTTGGATGCCCCCGACGCCGTCAACCCAGACGACGCTGCCTCCTACCTCGGTCAGGAGCTGGTGTGGATGCAGGAGCTCGGCCCCCTCCTCACAGCAAACATCTGGTCCAACTTTAACCCGCTTCGGGTCTGCCACCCCACCATCGTACACGAATTTGCCAAGCTGGCCGGCCACCTCGGCTTCATGTACGTGCACGATAAGATCGAGCAGAACCGACGCATCTACCTGTCTTCGTACGTCTCGTCCAGCGTTGAGGCCCTGCGTGAGACGGCCAGCCACAACCCGTATGACGAGAGCTGGCTGCAGCTCACCCCGTACTTCCCCTTCGACCCATACCAGCTCCCCGAGAGCCGCCACTGGGTGGACGACGACTATATACCCTACGACTCGTTTCCGGGCTTAGGTGGCGAGGACGAGGACGAGGACGACGACGACGACAGTGAGCCGGACGAGACTATGGACATGGATGAGACGTTTGAGGAGACGTTTGCCGATGACACCGAGACGGATGAAGGAAGTAGCAGCTGAAGAATGATAGAAGTATCATGAAAGTATCGTCAACCCATAACAGGGGACCGGCGTTCTGAGAACTGGGTGCGGGGGGACAGTCATAAAAAGCATTTATTCCGGCGTTTCTTTCATCTGAATTGTCTTCCTCTCTTTTTCTTTTTAACGACAGAGATACCACGCATCAATATCAAGCAAGCTCTTTTGTTTCTCAAACAGCATGACTATGGCGGCAGCCGTACACATACCTCCACATCCACAATATAGTTTGTTATCACATCTGTCGGAATTGAGTTGTACTTATAGTCGGATCTACTGGGCAGCTTCTTCGGGTTGCGGTTGTAATATCATGTATGAATTGTAGAGTATCAGCAGATACTACCTGACACACCTAATGTGGTCAATCCTTGGGATCTTCATGGCTGCACAATATGGATTGCTCCTTGCTAGAAATGCCATCATCCTCTGTCATTTGTGGTTGTGTACCGTGCTGGATGTCAATGCCTCCATCATGATGGCCATCGACACGTGAAACCTCTGCTCACTTCTTGTCCTTCTCCAGATCAACACCAACAATGCGCAGCTGACCCACGTCACTGTACGCAAGCTGGTATCGGGTAGGCGCCCAGGAGACGACAGGGGTGGAGCTGGCCGTCTTGAAGGTATGAACGCGCTCGCCAGACTCGCAGTGGTAACAGTCGATGCCGGTCGACTGGCCGGTCTGGACGTCGACATCACTGCCGGCGACGAGGTAGAAACCGTCCCAGGTGAAGCTGAGGGTCTTCACAGGGCCGATGAGGTCGGTCAGGGTGCGGTGGCACATCCAGTCGCGGGTGTCGTACAGGCTGACGAGCGAGTCGGTGCCGCCCGAGGCCAGGTACTTGCCGCTGGGCGAGAGCTCGACAGACAGGCACGAGCCGGTGTGGCCCTTGAGGGCGTACTCGTTGGTGGCGCCGGGGCCGTCGATCATAGAGCGGTCATAGCTGTAGTGGATGACGGGCTCGAAGTCTGGAAATGACAAGACGCGCACTTCGCCCTTGCCGGTGCCAACGTAGACGCGCTCCCGGCTCCAGCAGAAGGCGATCTGGTTGGTCTGGACGGCCTGCTGGTGGTTGGCGATGGGGGTAGACTGGGTGGGAGAGAGGACGAAGACGTTGTCGGCCTGAGAAGGTGGGATTAGCACAGTTTGAGTATTCACGTCATCATCAGGAGCAAATATCAAGGATGCTTGCCTTATTGCCAACGATCAGCGACTCCCCCTCGGGGTCCCAAACCAGCGTGAAGGCCTCACCCAAGCCCTTGACCTCGTTGACGCAGTTTTTAGTGCGCACGTCCCAGAACTTGACGGTGCCATCGTTGCTCACGCTGCAGAGCTCGGCGTCCTTGACGGGGTTGAAGGCGACTTTCTCGATGGGGGCGGCATGGCCCTTGAGCTCGGTTGAGAAGCGCACGTTAGCCCTCTCAGGGTTCCCTAGCGAGACCTTTTTGTCAGCAACACGACGAAGATAAAACCCACTTCATCTCCTGGCTCGGGCATGCAACGGTAACCGGCCATCACTTACAGACTCGAAGGGTCTTGTCGGCGGCACCGGTGGCGATCAGGTTGCCAAAAGGGTTCCAGCCGATCGAGCGGATGCTGGCAGTCCTACCGTCAACAAACGTCCGCGGCGGCTTCTTGAAAGCGGCTTTGGGGAAGCAGAAGGGGTCTCCTTCATAGTCGAGCTGCTGCTGAGACGACATACTTGTGGTTTGATGCGCCTCGCGTGGCGGTGGGCTCCGTGTATGCCTGTGGCCGAAAGGCGTTGAAGTAGACCTGGAAGCGGTCTTTGTTCAGGCTCTGTCTGGGCCGAAGCAGAGGTGCCCTGAGTGGCTTGTTGGAAGATGAAGCCATGGCTCATGAAGTCTATGTCTCAAGTGAACAAGGAACCTTCACTCATTAGCTTGCTGGCTGCTTTGTGTGCCTTCGTCTGATGTTGACTCACTTTTCTTTTGTGTGCGCAGAGATAGATGAACTTGGGCTGCGAGTGGATGAGACGAGATGAAGAGATCCCAGGGTAGGTACTTTGCAAACCTCATCCGGTGTCATGAAGACCTGAGAAAGAGTGACTAGAGAGACAGCCTGAGATAAACAACATGGCCCTAAACCTCAGCAGATATTACTTCCAACCTCTTAAGAGCAGGCTGGCAATTATCTGGTGACGATAGACAGCCTCACAGTGCATCCAGCCATCATGGCAGTGGAAATGTCGTCTAGGGGTTTTTTTTGGTGGTGGTTTTTCTTTCCTTTTTGGTTTAGGGAAGGTGTCGGACAGGGGGATCTTTAGCAGGTCTTCTCCCTAAGCTCGGAACACTGCAGGAGCTGTCAGTGAGACCGGACAGCCAACTACAGGCCTAATCCCAGACCACTGCTATGGCTGATTCGTCATTTCTTGGCTACCACTTCCTTAGTACAGTAGCTGCTGCTACCCACGCGTGTGCCCACCCTAGAACCACATGCAGCAGCAGCAACAGCACATGCACTGACTGTACCACGGCTCCCACTCCCAAAGTCCAACTGCAACATCACATACTTTTCCTCCAGGTTCCCAACTTTGCACGCCTGCAAACGACAAGAAAACACAGCACCAAGATGAGCTACAGACTGTTCAAGGGTCGACAATAATCTATCCCTCAGAGATTCTTTCCTTACGACAAGCCATTCAATTGGCTCGGATGAGGACAGCTCCTCCACCCCTCGGGCTCCAGACAGCCAGCCATGTACTGGCCGGTTGGCACACCTCGAGTATATGCGACAAGCAGCTCCCAGCCTGCCAACGGCAACATCACTGTCTCCCATGATGGCCTCTCTCTGCCGACACCTGATGAGAGGGATCCCGAGAAATCCGACCAAGCCTCCCTCCTGACCGCCGACTCTGCCTCCAGCTATGACTTTCCCAACCCGTCGACACCCATCACCCCCATCACACCAGGTATCCAGCCTGTTGAGCGCGAGATCCTCGACACCGGCTCCGAGGCGTCGTCCGGCAGCAATGGCAATGGCAATGGCAACGGCACTGAACGTCCGGTCATCCCGCTCCATGAGCCCATTCTGGCATTACGGGTCTCGCGCCTCGGTCAGATCTTTGCCGTCATCACTGCGACGTCCATGACCATATGGCAAGCCAAGGTGCGTGCGGCCCCGAAAGAGAGGGGCGGGGGAGAGAGAGACCCAGGCCATTGAACTACTCCCAGCTAATTGTCTCGTACAGCCTACGGTTATTCTTGCAGTCGTTGTGCGATCAGAACCCTCTCTCAGGTCCTACGGTACCAATGTCGACCTCCTGCTCCGGCCCGACTCTGCCATCTTTGTGGTCCACACCAGCTCGGGCTACCTCATCACCTATTCGCTAGCCACAGACTCCGAGTCGCGCGTGTACAAACCTTATTTTACGAGCCATACCAATGTGCAGCGGCGACGGCAGAGCCACTGGGGCGGGCCTGGGCATGCTGCACCGGATCAGATCATGTGGGGTCCCGGAGAGGGCCGTGGCGTCAGCGACATAAGCGTGCGGTTTCGGATGGTCATCAAGGTGGACGCTGGGATAGCAAGTGCGCTCGCGCTCGACGACGAGGTGGTCGTGGCCACACGCAAGCCGGCTGCTGTGCAGTGTATACGATGGACTCCGGATAGCTCGGGCAGCCAGACGAGCACCGAGCTTCTCAGCAAGATGACATGGCTGGGGAAGAAGGTGACTGTCACCGAGATGACAAACGACAGGTCGATGAACCTGTCGACATGGGTCACGGGTGATGGCAGGGCCTATGCCGTCCAGCGCACGCCGAAAGGCCAGCCAAATCCGGAAACCGGCGAGACAGACCCCAAGAGGCTGTTTAAGGGGTACTGTTTCCACGTGCCTCAGGGCACTCATGACCGCGCAACACACGCAGTGATCAATGCTCGGTTCTCCCTCATAGCACTTGGGTGTGTCGACGGCGTTGTCCGGGTCTACACAGTTCGAGATTACTCGGGCAACGTGCCGTCATCTCACGTCCAGAGACTACCAGTCTCTGAATCTCACTCTGGGAGCCTGACATCCTTGAGCTATTCCCCGGATGGGTATTGCCTATTTGTCGGCTATGAAAAGGGCTGGGCAACTTGGAGCGTCTACGGCAAGCCATTAAGCAACAGCTTTGGGGTCGATCAGAATCTTGTGAATAAAAATGGGGAATACTGGGTCTCGGGCGTAAGAGATGCCTCGTGGCTAGGAGGAGGCTCGGAGATTCTCCTTGTTGGCCAACAGCACGAGTCGTTATGGCTGCTTGAGATGGCGAGAAGCGCCGTCACTGGATGTTACAGCTCTTCAAACGTATTTCGCACGGTTTTACAGACCACATCCAGCGTTATGATCTACCGCGGTTACGACCTGCCCGACATGAGCACAATATCAGCAGAGCCTTTCCTCTGGCACACAACAAGGATACCAGCCACCTATCTCCTGAACCAGTGGCCTATCAAATCCACAGTCATATCCTCTGATGGGCGATATGTGGCTGTTGCAGGTCGCCGAGGTCTCACACACTACAGCGTCAACAGTGGCCGCTGGAAGACCTTCACAAATGCGGAACTGGAAAACGAGTTCTCGGTGAGAGGTGGCATGTGCTGGTACCAAAATATTCTGGTCGCTGCTGTCGAGGTTAACAAGACCTACGAGCTCCGGCTTTATTCGCGCGAGAAGGAGCTGGAAAGCATCGTCTACGTTCATACCATGCCCGCCCCCATTGTCCTCCTCACGCCATCCGGGGAGGACTCGCTTCTAGTCTACACTTACGACAATCTGCTTTACCACTTTGTTTTCAATCCATTGGGCAACACAGTACGACTTGTTCAGGTCGGCCAGATTGCCTTTCACGGCATTGTTAGATCGCCTGCTAGAGTTAGGGGCCTGAGTTGGATATTACCAGAGAGCCAGTTGGTTGAGGGCGATCCATCGCAAGATGTTCGCGTCGCCTCTGTCTTATTTTTGGTCGATGGGAAATTGGTCCTACTGCGGCCCGTGTTGGGCGAAGAAGGGCAGCTGAAGTATGACATGAGGGTCATCGCCCAGAATGTCGAGTACTACGTCTCCATGAAAGACCAGCCGTTCCTCAGCGAGATCGGGCCACCAGCAGGTAACACGCCAGCAGAGGCCGAGAATGAGGATCTCTTCAACTCACTATGGATGTTCGACGGCACGGACATCAAAGCTTGGACGGATATGCAGAAGGTTCTGAATGGGCTGGGCGAAAGTCACGGAGAGCTTCCCGCTCCGGTCTCCATCTCCGTCGACTTCTACCCATTGTCTGTCCTGCTCGAAAAGGCCATTGTACTCGGTGTCGAGCCCGACCTTGTCCAAAGAAGGGATGTCAACTTTTCCTTCTTCCGCTTCTCCATACGGGTAAGTCACACAATCTCTTTCTGTCATGATCTCATCACACTCGTCGCTGATACCAGGGCCAGACAACTCTATTCCTTCCTGAGATACTTCGGCATCACCTAATCGCCAACAAGTCCCTGGCAGCACTTCACCTTGCTCAGCAGTTCCAGCACCTCGAATACTTTGCACACGCTCTTGAGGTCCTCCTCCACCATGTCCTGGATGAAGAGGTTGACATGTCACCACCACCCTCCCCGGAGAGCGCCATTCTGCCGCGTGTGCTCAGTCTTCTCTCCTCCTTTAAAGAGTATCTGGATATAGTGGTCCAATGCACCCGCAAGACAGAAGTCCGCTCGTGGCGCACCCTCTTCGACTACCTACCACCGCCGCAGGAGCTTTTCGAGGAGTCCCTACAGCGCGGCTCACTCAAGACAGCAGGCGGCTATCTCCTCATCCTGCATACCTTTGACGAACTTGCCACCGCCTCTGAGCAGAGCGTTCGCCTGCTGACACGCGCCATGCGCGAGGAAGACTGGGAGTTGTGCAAAGAGCTCGCGCGTTTCCTAGCTGCCCTCGACGAGACAGGAGACACCCTCCGCGAGGCGCTCAGGATGGCGAATGTAAGGATTGCGACAGGAGACAAGACAGGAGAGGAAGGGTTTGGCGGCTCTCTCGTAGCGAGGCTAGAGGTTCCGCAGACAAAGGCCAAGGGTGTCAACGGGGCCGGATCTGGGTCTGGGTCCGGTTCGGCATCGACATCAATATCGGGCGAGTCGAGCAAGGCGGAAAGTCCTGGTGGTGGAAACCGCAATGACATCACAGGAGATGGGTCGTCGGATGCCAGCGTCAGTGGCCAGAGCGCGACCGTGTCTGATGATGGGACGGAGAGATGAGCATCCGAGATGAGGAATAGGATGTGACGGGACTCAAACTACCGTTCAAGATGCAGCTGCTTGGACTCGAATCGTTGTAGGAGGCTTTACATGCTTTTACACGTCGGTCTGCACCGGCCAATAATCGCGGTCCCTTTTTGCAAGCATAGATTCAGTTATCCCAAGGGAACGGTCAACAGGGGCCGCCGCGCCCTATCTCCTTAGGTCATCATAACTTCCGTCCTAGGAGATTCGAAACCTACGTGCCTGGTCCAACTCAAGCCAAGTGAACGTCTATTGGTATTGATCTCTCTTTCACATCATCTGGGCAGATGAGTTCCTTCCCATCTTCTCTCATCTAAGTCCAATATCCTGACCCCTACCACCCGCTCTCGCAGAATGAATAATCTCCCTCCGCCGCCGTTTGAGCTGGTCCACCTTCTCCTTGACCGTAATGATCTCCCCGTCCTGCCTTGCCCTCTCGCGACCCTCGCCTAGGTCCTCCAAGTTCTTGGTTTCCAGAGTCCCTTTGCCGCTGCCGCCGGGATGATCATCCGGATCCTCAGCGGCCACACGCCGCCGCTGCAGGTTCGGGAGGTAGGCCCATGAGTAGACGGCACCGAGGGCCATGAACAGGGAGAAGAGGAGGAACTCGAGGCCTTGGCGGGTTGGGGAGCGGTAGCCTGTATCAATGCCGTAGACAACGGCGACGGCGACCATGCTACCTATCTTGCCGGCGGCGGCAGAGATGCCGTGGCAGGTGCAGCGGTAGCAGCTAGGAAAGATCTCGGCGGGAATGATGAAGGTGAGGCTGTTTGCGCCTGGGGATCTTGAAATCAGTTCCTGGTTACAGAACAAGGGAGAGTCGCCCGGGAGGGGGGAGCTGCATACCAAAGTTGAAAAAGAAGTGGCAAATGGCCACGCAAACGACAGTGACGGGTGCGGCGTTTGTGTGCGCAACGCCGTAGTAGACGCCACCCGTGATGATGAAGAGCACGGTGAGTAGCAGGAAGGAGGCGGTGAGGAAGTGCCGCCGGTGGAACCTGTTGATGAAGATGGTGCAGCAGATGCTGCCGAGGATGGAAGCGATGGAGACGGTGATGAGGTACTGCTTGCCCTGCTCCAGCAGAGTGTCGTAGACGGTGGCACAGGGCCGCGACTTGTCGGTCTGCCAGGCCGGGAAGCCCGTCTGGGTCCAGGAGGGGAGTGCCGAGGTGCCCCCCTCAAGCGTGGAGTTCCAGCAGGGCAGATTGGCGCCCAGGGTGGGCGCGGGATTTCTGGCCCAGAGATCGGCGAGGGTCGCGCCTTTGTCGAGCGAGAAGCCATAGAAGGAGACATCCAGGAAGAACCAGGTTGCCTATAGCGACCATTTCAGTTAGTTGGTGCCGACTCTTGAGGTCACGACAATGCTTCACCCGTCAAGAGAAGAAGAAATGACTTACGGCAGTACCTAGGAGTTTGTAAGCCTTTTTGTGTTTCTCTTGGGACAGGGGCTTCGGGGTGTGCCAGTTCTTACCTAACAGATAATACCAATTCCCGTCCTTGATGAAGTATTTGTACAGATCCTCTCTAGAAAATTGTACGGGCATGAACTGGAAGGGCTCTCGCGGCAGGGGAGGCAAAGATGGGCTCTCGCTGTTCGCCCCGGGAGGGGGCGCACCGTACACCCTCTGGGTATCGCGAAATGCCGTGCCAGGTTTGCCCTTGACCTCTAGGCTGTACAGGCCGCAGTCATAGAGAAAGAAACGGAAGATGATGGCCAACACGGCAGGCACACAACCAGACCCGATGACGATCCTCCAGATGCCGTCGACGAGGCTCTTGCATTCTTTCTCGTACTTGGTGTCGATGCCGCACTGCAGGGCCTGCAGATTGTACTGGGCGTTCCTCCCTAGCACGACCCAGACGCCGACGAGCTGGGCGAGTGCTTGTCCGACGGGCTGCATCAGGAAGACGGAGGAGAGCATGGTGGCGCGGGAGGTGGTGCTGGACCATTCTGATGTGATAACAGCACTAAGAGGATACTCGGCTCCTATTCCAATGCCCATGACAAATCGCCACTAAGGAAGGAGAGGAAGAAAAACACAAATCTTGGGTTAGCTCCGTCGAGGTACGCAGCGCGGGAAGCCAGATATACTTACAAAACAGAACAGGGCAAGGAAGGACATGTCATTGTAACCATAGCTGCTGGTGGCCACGCCGATGGTGGAAACGATGACGAGGAGGAGCTCGATACCATAGAGCCGAGTTCGTCCGAAGCGGTCAGCTAGGTATCCAAAGAGTAGCTGGCCACACGCAGAGCCGCCGAGGGTGAACAGGTTGATGACGAGGCTAGGCCAGCGCTGCTCTGGAAAGTAAACGTAGGTCACAGATGTGTTTATGACATTGCTCGCGAATAGATTGTATCTGGTATGACAGAGTGTGAGCTGTACTGTACGTATGCGTTTGAATGAGATGGTCTTGTTAGCAATGAGCAGTAATGGCTGGGAGAAACTTACGAGTCGGTGAGAAAACCCGAGGCTGCAACGCCCCAGATCCTAAAATTCCAGGAGTTCAGGTCAAGCTCATATCTTAACTGGCGGCGGTCCTATATTGAGGGATTCATGTCAGTCATGTCGAGCTTGCGAGACTGTGAGTTGCGCGCGGGCATAACCGATACGTACTTGGCGGTCGCCAACAGGCAGAGCAGAACTGTCGAAGCCCAGGAACCCACGATTTTTCCTCTCGACGTCGTCGGGATACATCGTCCGAGCCATGTCAGGTGTGGATCTCCAGACCGCGGCAAGAATGGCTCTCTTCGTCTCTACTGATTGCCCCCTATCCCTATGGTAAGGCTGAGGGTTTCACCGGCTGTGGAGTCTCAAGCACATGCTTGTTTACATGTTTACAATGCCAATCTAGAGATAACTGGCCTTGGAGTCGTGGATATGCTCCTGAGGTGGGCCGAGTGGGTGGTAATAATTTGTTTCGTGGACCCCCGTGCGGTCTTCTGGCGAGCGGATTGTGAGAGGGGCAGAGTGATTGAGCCTCATGAAGGTGTTCTGAATTGTTGAATATCCCCGGATGAAGCTGGATGTCGCTACAAAAGGTTCCTTCCATTCATGAGCCAAAGAAGGGTCTTGGCGGAGGAATCTTGTAATAAAGGCAAGTACTGCCCAGGTGGAAACCTATAGCGCTGGGGTCCTGAGGAAGGCGCCCCCACGCTACACCCATTGTCCACCGAGTTACCAATACGCTGGAGCGAGACGCATGGATGGATTGATAGCCTACAACGAACCGAACACGACTGACTACGTCCTGTCTGTGTGAGTGTGTGGTACAATATTGTGTGTACGTACCATGAGTTCAGCCTTTTCTTCAACGACTTCCCTCCAAAAACCACCACACTGGATCTGACTACACCCAACTCACTCGCTCGCTCACCGACCCTGCAATGACTATACCAATGCTAATCTTTTTCCTATTCTCGTCTCGTTTAGAGTCCCGAAAAAGTCGCCCCTGTAAAGCCTCTAAACTCTCCCCGCTCTAGGCCATGGCACAGTAACATGCAAACTGCTGCAGCTGCAGCTGCAAGGTCCATCACGTTCAGCCCCTCCCTTCGCATCGTTGCACCCTCACTGCAGATGTTAACCCTCCTCTCAGCCTCCAAGACTCGTCGTGAGTCTATAGCCAGGGTATTCATATCATTGATTACTGCTTACTGGGTCACCAAGTTTTATTTGTCAACTTCAAGGAGGCGGCAAATATGTAAATGTGCCTTACGCTGGCTCCTGGCTTTTCTGTGGCGTTCACCGCTTCTCGAACAAGAAGTCAGTCTAGTAGTTCGGTCCCTCTCTTGTTTCTTCATTCTCCTCGTCCTCTCCGCCGCCTCGTCTGAGCGGGAAGGAGGGGGGGGGGGCGGAATGGCAGTGTCAGTACACCATCGGCTAAGCACCCATCTCGGTTTTCAACTCTGGCCGCGTCCATCGCTCTGCCCACGTGGGATGCACCCGAGCTGAGAAACCATGTCCGTCAAACAACAGCCCACTGGGCCCCTTGGGCCTTGGTCACTCAAGGTAGCCTGGCCTGTATCTTTCTGACTGCTGCAGGTGGCGTCCACTCAACTATGGCATGTGCCATTGCAACTCTTGTCAGGGAGACAATTCCACTACCTCCAGATAGATGGGCAACTTGGCGTCGGATGGGTACTGCGATATGTGTCTTAAGACAAGCTTTCGTTCCTCGGTCAGTGCAACCGGGGAGCCTCTCAAGCCTCCACTTGTTGTCTGATATATCATACTCAAAGCAGTGATCCATGAGCCACCTGATGAGGTGGAATGAAATGGGCTCACGGCTGTTCGAACGATTAGTAGCTGAGGAGGGGGTGGGATCTGCCCGCCTGGTTAGTCATTTCTGCTACGGAGCTCAGTGTGTCTTGACAACCCGGGAGCAGTCAGTCCCCTAGGTCCTTCCTCTGAGTATTGACGCCTGCCTTTCATGACACTGGCCTCATCCCTTCCCCTCAATCCTGAGAATACTTTCAGCCAACAACCACCACCAACAACCACCACCAACACCACCAGAGACTCGTCATAACTCGGGAATACATGCCTCAGCCAGCCCGTCGACATCAATCTTACTGATGATCATGATGATGATCTATGTGTCGGCTGTCGGCTGCTGTGCCACGGGTGGAGAGAAGGAGGGAAACATGCATGCATAGTGCCAGCCTTGGCTTAGCCTGACAAGGTGACAGATAGCTCTGTGCCAAATCCCGTTGCACCTTCTGCCCATGTGCTCTTGGGCTTTGGGCTCATCCCTTTAGCCCTGGCCCCTTCCTTCACGAAGGCTGGACCCCGCTTTTCTCAACTTTAAGCCCCTCCCCCAAAAACCGGAGTCCAGACCCGGAACCCAACCCCAGATAACTCACCCTGTCCCTCTACCACTTGGCCTGCACCAGCATATGCTGCACATTGCTGTAGCAGCGTCTAGGACGAGGAGCTGCTGCTGTGCTTGGGGTTCGATCCTCACACGAAGCGGGGGGAATAACACCATATGTGCACGCGCACGATAAGATAACAGCCACTGTTTAAACCACCAGCTCGCTTCTGTTTTTGCTTTGCATGCTGTTGCTACTGCCTCCTTGCCGTTGTTTTGCACACGCGCACACACACTCAGACACACACACACACACACACACACACACACACACACACACACACACACACACACACACACAGGAGAGAGAGAGAGACACAGAAGAGGTCACAGAAGCTGACTCGGTAATGAGAAATCTGGATGGCAAAGCACGGCAGTCATCATCGTCATTGTTGTTGTTGTTGATGTTGTTTGCCTCAGCCTGCGCCGCAGGGCCCTCAAGTATCTGGAAAGCTTAATTGTTTGCCTGGCCTTATTATTACACCATTTACCAACCCGACAACACCGCCGGATCTTAAGCTTGAGTGGCTCTCGTAATCACCTCTTGCGCTGCATAGTTCACCCTCGAATGCCGGTATGATCCTCACTTCTCACTGAGTACTGTACAATTGCATGGTTGCAGTGCCTATTTTCTTTCTTCCGACCTGTCCGCTTTGCAACACCATCAGATCGGTACCTCACAATACACAACCTTATACCCCAAGTGAAGTAGTCAGTCACTGTATTCGTCTGACTCAAGAAGTTTTAATTTAGCCTCACAGCCTTGTCTCTTGTCGGACCACACCAACGCGCCGCGGCGCACAGGCGCGAACCCTCACGGTCGACACAGGTACGGGCACGATTCTGGCGAAGAGGACTTGAAGAGCACGACGACCGGCGAACAAGAGGGACGATCAGCCAGTCTCATCATAACAGCACGAGAAATGCTCTTGTCGGCAGAGCATGAACTGCCTTGAGCTACACCACCCTCCCCCCCCCCCTTCTCCCCGCTGGCGCAGCTCCGCAGAAGGCTGGGAAGCTGTCGGGGTTCCGAGGGCCGACAATACATCGAACCGCGAAATCATGGCCTATTCCAATAGATCTTTACAATCAAACTCCTCGTCGTCGTCGTATATTTCGTCGTCTCTGGGTCATGCGTCCTATGCGGCAGCATCCGCTCACCTCATCGATACCCCCAACAGCTCCGCCGTCTCTGGTGCAGCTTTAGACCCCTCGCTGCCTCCGACCGCGCTTCGCCCATTAGATCTCGGTCCTCCTGTCTATCAGGCCACAATGTATATTTGACCTCGCAGGGGGGGCTTGTTCCTTATGTCCTAGGACTGTTCGCATGTCATGCTGATTATTGTCTTTTCTTTCGTCTAGCACTTTGTTCGAAGGCACAGTGGACGAGCGTGCAGTCTATCTTGGACCATGGGAGGTGATAGAATCGGACCCTCGCAGGGTCGCCTGGCAGTGCAGTCACCAAGGCGAGACGCTGGAGCAATTCCGTGCGTATGATGATAAGATGGAAATAAACATGAACCCGGTAGCGTTAAGATCCCCATGGCTGAGAAAATGTCATAGTTCCGATGGGCCTGTCCTCACAGGTTCAACCTGTCACGCTCCACGCCCAGCACCGGCCGTACTCTGACCCAGCCGAGATGGAGCTGTACGTCATCTTTCGAGAACCACAACGCGTGCGGTATACGGCAGCGGATGGCACGGTCGTGCATGACGAGGTGATGGAGGTCAAGTACGAATTCACCTCACTCGACGGCTCTGCGGGCTTTCAGGGGGATCTGCGGCGGCAAGATTTGGTCGACTATTTCGACGTCGATGTTGTCTTCAGCGACACACACGGCCGCACCGACTCTCTGACGGGCGCAGTGCGGGGGTTAGTTACGATCCAGAGGATCAAGGTGTGGAGGGACAGGCTATCCATGTGTCACTGCATTACGTTCTACTCGAATCGACCGTCCAGCCGTCGGGAGCGAAGGTATCGTGAATACCACGTTGCCGATTTCCATGAGGAGCTCAAGAGCCGCGACGACAAGCACAGGGAGTGCCGGCTGGGTGCAATAGGCAGGCGTGGGAGTGCGCCCAATGCCGTCCGGGCGAGGAGCTTCTCCATCTCCTCGCCCACTTCTTGGGGTCGCACCAAATCCAAGTCAGCGGAACGGGCCGCTGATGCCGCCGCGCAGGTGGTGCCGCTGGACATTCGCTGGCTCGGGATCCGATTCTCGAGAGAGACTGGTGAGTATGTGTGTGCTTTTTTTTTTTGGGGGGGGGGGGCGGGGCTGGGTCCCTCAACGCCTGCTTCCTTCTATTCTTTGTGCTGGGAGGCGTGTTTAGGCCTGAGTGAAATGCCTGCATTTTCGAACCTTGCAAAGGCTGACTTGAGCCATCCACGCAGACTATCGTCGCTTCATGAAGCTATGGGCAGATTGTCACGCCGCGGATAGCGAGTTTCGAGGGAGCTTGCTGCCTCGGGATCATGTCGAGCTACCGTCTCCAGCGATTCGGGCGCGGGAGGCCTTTGAGCCTGATGCGACGGGAATGGTATTCAGAAGCCTGCCTGAGGATCTGGAAACACTGAACGAGGCGACGAGATGAGAAAACCAAGAAGAGAGGCCGGCAACACATGGCACGTGCCTAATACAACAAATGAGTCTATGCCGCCACAGATTTTTGCAGCATAGAGAAAACGGAGAGAGCGCAATGATATGATACCATAGCAGCACAAAGGATAAGAGGCAGGAAGGGGCAGGGGGGTTTGGGTCCTTTCTTTGTCTCCCTCACTCTCACACAGCACTTTCTATGATTTCTAGACCACAACATTACGGCGTTCCGACTAGGAAAAGAATGTTTTATACCCATGCAGTCAGTCAGTCACTTGGTTTTTCAAATTCAAACGAGACGGGATGGAGGGAGGGCTGCAACTGCGTTCATTCAGACTTTTATGCTATGGAGGAATATATAATGACTGAATGCCCCTTTTGGTTGCTTTTGATACCCACAGCAGGTTCGTCATCCTGCTTCGCGCTCCCTTGGTACCTATGGTATCCTGTTTTCCTTTTTCATCATTCTTCTTTCTTCTTTCCTAATTATCTACTACCTACTTCTCAAGTAGCCTTCTGCATCTTGCACTGCGAAATTCTCCCCTGCTACAAGACTCGTGTCCTTGAAAAAGCACTCGAGAACGTACAACAGCTAGTCAAACATACACAACCTATTCAGGCAGATGTACAACTAAACTCAGAAGCTTATGAACTGCTAAGTAGTTATTAGAGATGATGCAGGAATGAATAACATATGTTCTGATCTATGATACATTTCATAGACTGTACTAGCTAAGATGCTTTTTGTGGAGCATCTTTTCCCCTCATGGCTTAATTTTCTTGGTCAGTCTGATTGATTCTGTTGTCTTGGTCTGCTTCATTGTCATCTTCTCGGGGAAAAGAAGAGAGAAGGAGAGGAAAACAATGTCCTGCCCACGGGGAAGAGTGTGGAGTTTGTCTGGGGTACAGAATATCATAAATGAGAAACCGAGCTGTCGGTGCCCGCCGATGCAGACTGTCACGCTACTTCTTACCTGACGTCAGATACGCGTCTGTAGCAGTACTGAGGGGTGCTATCTTAGTAGGGGTCTAGAGGGGCACAGAGGGGTAAGTAGAGGGCGGAAACCTGGGGGGGCCCTGGTTGTAAGGTGACCCCAAGATCACCCCATAACTGCATCAGCAAACAGCGGCACAAATCGACAACACCGGCGGTCCGAATTGATCTCTTGACGAGTGGGCTGTGGTCTGCAAGCTGAGCTGCAAACGGGAGACAACAGAGCCTTTTTGTGGTCTGGTCTGGTCTCGGCGGAGGAGACAAGAGGTGAGCTTTGGCTTCGTCTGGCTTGGCGAATACGTGCACCTATAAGTTAACGGCCTCAGTCATCACCACCACCCTTGTTCCGCTTCGTTGTTGGCACAAGTATAGTAAAAGAAAACATAGGCAATCTCATCTTCGCAAGGACCTCCCCTCTCAACGAACCAGGTGTGGTGGTCTACAACACCTGATACAACGCCCCAAGCCCACCAAGCCCGTCATCAGCAGACATGAAGAAGATCATCCTCTCGGTCAATGCGGGGTCCTCCTCCGTCAAGATCTCCGTCTACGAGGCCGAGGCCCACGGCAATCCGACCCAGCTCGCCGAGGCCCAGATCAGCGGCCTGACCTCGCCGCCGCCCAAGCTCACCTACGTGCGCGGCGGGCAGACAGCGTCCAAGGACGAAGAGCTCGGCGGCGGCGGCGGCGGCAAGAAGGTCGGCAACCAGGACGACGCCTTCCGCATCATCCTGTCGACGCTCACAGAGGACCCTGCGCTGCCACAGCTCGCCAGCAAGGACGACGTGGCCATCGTGTGCCACCGCATCGTGCACGGAGGCGACTTCCGCACCGCACAGGTCATCAACGAGGCCACCTACCACCGCCTCGAGGAGCTCAACGACCTCGCCCCCTTGCACAACGCCCCCTCGCTCGAGATCGTCAAGAGCTGCATCGCCCAGCTGCCAGGCGCCATCAACGTAGCCTGCTTCGACTCCCAGTTCCACGCGAGCATGCCCGTCCACGTGCGGACCTACCCTATTGATCAGGGCATTGCCCGTAAGAACGGCCTGCGCAAGTACGGATTTCATGGTATCAGCTACTCCTTCATCACACGGTCTGCCGCCGAGTTCCTTGGTAAGGATGTGCGGGATGTGAACCTTATTGCGCTGCACCTGGGGAGCGGCGCGAGCGCGTGTGCCATCAAGGGCGGCAAGAGCTGGGATACCAGCATGGGATTGACGCCGCTGGCCGGCTTGCCAGGCGCCACGAGGAGTGGGAGTATCGACCCAAGGTGAGTGAGACACACAAAACACACACATACAAAAGATTCACACCGGCTGATGCTCTTCTTCTTCTTCTTCTTCTCTCCCCCCAGTCTGGTCTTCCACTACGCTTCCGATGTGGGCAAGCTCTCACCCTCCTCGACCAAGGAACTGCACATCTCGGTCGCCGAAACCATCCTCAACAAGGAGTCCGGGTGGAAAGCCCTCACCGGCACGACCAACTTCGGCACCATAGCCAGCTCCTCGGACCCCAAGCACCAGCTTGCCTTTGACCTCTTCGTCGACCGCGTCTGCGGCTTCGTCGGGTCATACTACGTTACCCTCCGCGGCCAGGTCGACGCTCTCGTCTTCGCCGGCGGCATAGGCGAGAAGAGCGACAAGCTCCGCCGCGCCGTCGTCGACCGGTGCGCCTGCCTCGGGTTTGAGGTCGACCTCGAGAAGAACGCCAGCCGCGACCCAGGGGAGACAGGGAAGGTTGTGCGCGATGTCGGCCTCGCTGTGCACAAGGATGGGCGGACGCACCGGGTCTTGGTTGTCCAGACGGACGAGCAGTTTGAGATGGCGCATGCTGCGGCACAGGATCCGGCGCTGTGGGCGGACGAGCTGGACGAGGTCCCGGACCTGGAGCTGCTCAGAGTCAAGAGTGGGCACTAACCAGCCAAGCCAGCAGCCAATAGCATAGACCTGGGAGTCGGGCTGGCCGTTCACGATCGTATGAAGAAGAAGAAGAAGAAGAAGAAGAAGAAGAAGAAGAAGAAGAAGAAGAAGAAGAAGAGTGTGTGTATTTGGCGTTCTGGCAGCATGAAGAGAAGACATTAGAGAGAAGAGTATTTCCTACCTACTTGGATTGAAGGGTTTATACAGAGTCTATGTCAATCTCGCACTTGCGAACTCATCATCGCTCACACGACTTTTGCTAGCCCAGACAAAACAGCACATGCGCCCAGTTTCCTCTCAGGGCCAGAATGTGGTCCTCTACCAAGACATGGAGGTCCGACGATCCAAACTCAAGCCTTGCTCTTCTCTGCTCAAATCTGAGGTTCACGACACAGGGGACGGATCGAACCCAACTCCCCCCCCCCCCTTTTTTTTTTTCTCTCGGTCACCATCCAAGGCAGGTCTCTGAATAGAAGAAAAGAACTCAACGTCGTGTCTCGGACCCCGGCGAGACAACCCCTCTCCGATCAATGACTTGAACGCCTCTCTCTCTCTTCCACAGAGGAATGAACGAACGAATGAATGCGAAGTAGGATCCCTTCAGGACAACTCCGAGCAGCTGTATCATTGATCCTTCCACGCCACCTTTTCACTCGGGTTCTCTCTCTCCCCGTTGGCCCGTTCGAGCCAACGAGGCCTTCCCAACATGAGAAAGTTGTCTCACCCCCTTGACAGTCGTTCATCCTGTTACCTTCTTATCTCTCAAAAAATCGCAGCCAATAGCAAGTTTTGTCAGGCTGAGACAGGCTCGAGAAAAGTGCTCCTCCATGGGGTTCGACCGACTGCAGCAGTGATCGCTTAACGGAGGAGCCGCTTAGCCTCTCCCCCCCGCCTCTGTTCCAGTGGTCCAGCAAGACACCAATAGACGTGTTCAATTGTGTGTATGTATGTATGTATGTATGTATGTATGTATGTATGTATGTATGTATGTATGTATGTATGTATGTATGTATGTATGTATGTATGTATGTATGTGTGTGTGTGTGTGTGTGTGCGTGTGTGTGTGTGTGAAAGAAAGAGAGAAAGGGGGAGGGGGGTAGAGAGAGATAGAGAGAGAGAAAGAGGAGAAAGGGGCCAGCTCTACAACGGGCAAGGCCACCTAGGCAGAGAGCATGCTCGAAAACACACACACAATACACACACATCACACAGCCAACAAGAGTTCCGCCCCCCTCTCTCTGATGGACTGTGACTTGGGAGAAAGACACTCAAGATGATCGTCATTCTGACGCGAGGCGGGTGCTGGACGGAGGCCGCGCTGGCACATGCATAGAGGATCTGCGGTTCTGCCCCCGAAAAAGACAGAAATGAAAAGAAAAGCAACAAATATTTCCCCAACATTCCAATCCCAGTCCTGGGAACCAAACAATCCCCTCGGTCTCCTCGATATGGAAATCCCTAGCCCCCAGGGCTGGCTTGCTTTTCCCGTTCTTTCTGCACCTTTCTGCAACCAACGGGGGCAAGTCCATCCCCAGACTATTGGGGTGTGTGTGTGTAGTTCCCAAGCTACCGGGGGGAGGGGGGTTGAAGGGATGGACGAATGGAAGTGTAGTACAGTACATTGCCACCTTGACAAGGCATGTGTCATGAAAAGATTATCGTATCTCCATGCTTCGTACCCCTCATCCGGCTATGCTTTGTTACGATCATCGTAAAACTAACTATATATATGCACTTTTGTTGACTTCATGGGAAAAAAGCAACGCCTGGGGGGGTGAATTCGATGGGGAAATGAGACAGCGGCAAAAAAGAAAGTTGAGTGTGATGGGGGGTGTGACATTGTGTTGGACAAGAAAGAGAGAAGGACTGCCGATACGTTGCAGTTCTCCCACATACTCACATACTATGGTGCACATTCACATGCTTGCGGGAGGGGGTTTCCTGCAGCTTGCAGAAAAGGATAACCAGCACAGCATGGCAAATGAATATCCCATTCAAAATCCGTTCATACCCATCCCCCCCCCGGCCACATCATCCTCCTCGAGACAAAACGAAAGAGAAAAGGGCCAAGGGCGAACACCTGCAGATGCATGTGTGTAGTACACTATGTTTTGCTCTGCTTCTCTGGTCTGCTTCTTCTCTGCCGACCCTCATCGTAATCCAGGTCTCTCTGCCTTCACGGATCTTTGCCTGAGGGGGAAAAGCCCATCAAGCCTTTCCCACTTACCTCAAGCAGCCCAGGTGGTACAACTCTGTACCCCTAAGCCGTTCCTTGCCATGGGGGCAGCAATGATCACGACACAAGGGTCGGCATGGGGGTTCTGTGGCAACGATGACAAAATGCTGTGTGACGAAAGAGATGATGATCCCTCAACAAAAAAAAAAAAGCAGGATAGCTAATGCTTTGAGACACAATCCACTTATTAAAAATACCGCTTGCAGACCCCCGGCAGCAAAGCTCATTTGCTATTCCCATCCCCGTCGAAAACGGAAATAATTCGACTCGTTCTCAACGACTGGCGCATGCTTCGTCATGGTCGCGAGAGAAAGAGAAAGAGAGAAAGAGAAAGAGAAAGAGAGAGAGAGAGAGAGAGAGAGAGAAATTTCCTTGCCTATTGCCTTATTCCGAAGGAGAGGGGAACTCTGGGAAGGTGAAAGACCCTGACGATAGCAATAGAAGGCCACTAACCAGACCACTAACAAACACCCTGCCGTTCTCAGCGACGGCCCCTAAGCGAAAAGGCATGGGTTCACAGCAGAACACACTAGCATGAGGAGAGAGAGAGAGGGGGGATGGAATTCTGGACCCCGAGAATGGGATTTCTCCAATCCTCCATGTTTTGCGTCACAGGCTCATTCGCAGCTCCCCTCCCCACAGATGGATTCGGCCCCAAAACGCCACTCTCCTTCCTTACTGCCTTTTCCCCCCTCTCAGCATGGCCCAAGAGATCTTCATAGAATGGCTCCTCAATTTGTGTGACTTGCATTTACTTTGTTGATCAACATTGCCGGATCTGCTCGTTTCTGTTTTTCAAAAAGCTTGTTTTCTTCTTCTTTTTCTTTCCGCCCTGTATTCTTTGTCACATCGACAGAATAGTTGACGTAAGGTTGTGGCGAGCCTTCTGTTGAAGTTCAATGATCATCGTCTGCTGATGAGAAAATAAATGCTGCAACAACAAAAGAGACATCATAGTACTGTCACACAGGTATCCACAAATGTGCGCCACGATGTACTACTGTACTACAATATGCATGTCCTTGGTAGTATGTACCAATCCCATGCAAGGGCCACCCTTCTCACTTTCTCGAAATTCTGTCTTGCAAACGACGGAGCTCAATGCTACTCTTCCCACCCCCTCTCCAAAGTTGTGTCCGTGTGAGGCCCCCGCACCGCTTTTGTCAGACGAACATCACACCACCGGAGTCGACTCCCCGGAAAACTCTCTGTTGTGTACGATGGTCCACAGAGACGGGTCGTTTGTGGGAAACTATCCAGCAGGTTTTGCAGAAAGAAAGAGGGAAACAAACCCTTGCAGGACAGGGGAACCATACTACCATATTACTTTGACGATAAGGGTCAGAGGGGGTCATCGGTTTCAACCCAAACACAAGACAAGAGACCAGCAACAAGGCAGTCCTGGCAATAACAAGTAGTGGCTTGAGAAAACGACCGAGCCTTGGGACGCACAGGCTAGTGCAGCCACACCCGGTCTTCGTCTTTGGGAGACCCCCAGGAGTTAACTAGTTAGGTAGCAGAAAGCGAGCATCTATCCTCCTCGAAGAAGCAGCTCATCTGCTGAACAAGTCTGACCGGTTTCTAAGCGCCTCTATTTTTCTTATGTGGCTCGGGTAGCTTTGCTGTATCCAGGGGAGCTCCCCAGGAATACCACACCATTAACAACCATAGCATATAGACTGCGTGGTACCATTCGGCCGTCTTGAATGCTCCCACACCTCCCTTCCCCTTGAAGGATACGTTGGCCCGACCTGGCCTACCATAGTATCTTTTAGGACCCTGGGAACAAGCTATCTTTTTTTTTTGGTCAAATTTCGGCGCTCGAGCCCAAGCGTTTCTGACCACGGGCATAATAACAATACAACTCTGATATATGCTTGTCGGACATTGGTGGTCGTTTTCGTCTTCGGAACCGAAGTCCCCCCTGGGTCGTTTCCATGTGTCGTCTCCTGTTCCGTTGTCTTTGAAGAACCACCTTTTTCTTCTTTTTCTTCCGTTTTGGAAGTTATCATGAGGCTGACTCGGTTTGACCTTAGCGAGAACTTTAATATGTGGAGGGAAAAGGCAATCACAGGGCCAACGGGCTGCGGGGAGGACAGACATGCCATTCCGTGGGATCGGATCTCTCGCGACGCGACCTCTTTTGACAAAGTAATTTCTTGTGGGATACTTTTTTGTCCATGCCACCCACCCGTTTCTGATTCTAGACTTGGACGGGGCTGGAACCCGAGAAACCTTCTCTCCCTGCAATCTGCCAGATATGTATGTGCAAGCATTCCATTTTTTACTTCAACGCGATGCGCAGGGGTAATCTTGACTCCGTAACTTTTGGCCATTGAAAACATGTAGATAGCGTGGTTGGTTACTGGGTAGGGCGCGGACGCGCTGAGAGCACAGTCAGGCAATGGGCTCAACACCCAAGGTGGGGTGGTGGCGGCGTGTACTACAAAGTTAACAACGAGGTTGGACGCAGCTTGAATGATTGGTACTAGCTCGAAACTAAAAGTGCTAGGCTCTGCTGTAATGTTAAAACCGAGAAATTTCCAGCAACCTGCTCATCTGTGATTGGGTCTCCGTCAGGCTGCTCGTGATTTCACACCTCTCAAGGGAGGGACTCGGAGGACGTCGCTCTGTTGTCGGATGATAATGGATGGGTTTTAGATGACCCTGGGCCCCCTCCTCGGTCAAGACGCGCGATATCGCGGGCAATTACTCGGTCGCTACGCAATACTCGAAGCTTTCCGTGACATGTCAATAATGA